AAAAAACTTTTATAATAATAAAAAAGTTTTATTTTTTTTTATAATATAAAAGTATATTATATATTATAATATTTATATTATAACTTAATCTAAAAAAATAATTATTAATAAAATTAATATATTTTTTATTTTATAAAGCTATTAATTTTAAAATATTAAACTTATTTAATATTATAAAAAAATAATAATAATATTAATAATAGATATTCTAAATTATAATTTTCTAATTTAATCTTTTTAATTTTTATTAATAATCAATAAATTTTATTTATTATAAGCTATATAAAAAAATAATATATAAATTATATTTTAAAAGATATATTTTTAACTATTAAAATATAAAAAGTTATAAACTATATTTTATTATTTATTAATTTATAAAAAATAAAAAATTTAAATATAAATATTATATAGAATATTTTTATATATATTATTATAATAGATTATTATATAGATTATTATAAAATATTATTTTTATTATAAAAGTAATAAATATTTAATTAATAGTTAATTACTAAGGAAAGGTAATAGAATATTAATAATATCCTCTTAAATCTTAATATAATTTATAAGGCTAAAGCTAAGAAATAAAAGTAAGCTCTTTATAATTTTTTATATAGAATTTATAATATTATTTTAAAATCTTAATCTCTTAACTTCTTTACTATAGTAAAGAAAGTAAAATATTATAACCTTAGATTTTATAGAGAGATTATAATTATCTTAAAAGTATTTTTTTAAAAGGCTATAAATATTTTTTAAGTTAATAGCTTCTCTTTTATAATACTACTTAGCTTTATAAAATTTATTAATATATAATTATTATAAAGATTATTATAAACTAACTTATTAGAATTTTAAAAATATATAGATCTTATATTTAATTTTTTTTAAAAATTTAATAATATAAAGACTAAGTAGTAGCTTTTATAGCTTGCTTAGTAAGTAGTAGGAGTAAATATTTTTATAAATATTATTATTTTTTAAAATAGTTATATATAATTTATATTAATATTTATAATAGTAAATAATCTTAAAAGTAATTATAAAATTTAAAAAAATATTATTATATACTACTTTATATTATAGTATATTAATATTTTATATTAAATATTAGTATTCTTTTATATAAAAAATATAGAAATTTACTTTTTCTATTTATAATTAAACTTTATAAAATTTTTTTATTATTTTATCTTAGCTTATTTTAATAAGTTTATTATCTTTATTTTAAGTAGTTTACTTTTAAAAAAAAGATAGTTTCTAGTTATTATTATCTATAATATTAACTTAATTTAAATTATTATCCTCCTCTACTATACTTACTATTATATAAAACTACTCTAGATATTTATTTCTACTTTAATTATAAAACTTAGATTAGTATAAGAATTATTATAAAAGTATTATATATACTAATTATTTTTAATAATATATTTTAACTTCTTAATTATTATTTCCTACTTAAATAGATTTATATTTTAAAATTCTTTTATTATACTTAGCTTTACTTTTTCTTATTTTTACTTTTTTTTTAAAGCTTAAACTTTTAGTTTATATTACTTATAGCTTTTAAGGAGATTTACTTAATATAAATAGACTTTTTTAATATATAGGTTATTAAAATAACTTTTATTAAGCTATTTTTCTAAATAAATTAATTAATATAAAGATTATTATATTAAAAATAATAGAAATCTTATATTTAATAGTATTATATTTAGTATCCATTACTAGAGGTAAGTATAAGTATAAGGGATATTTTATATAGGGGTTAATATTTAAAGTAAAAAAGAGAAAAAGGAAAAAATTTTAATTTCTATTTTAATATATATAAAATCCTATTTTTTATTTTTATTTATTTATTTACTTATAATATACTTAATCTATTAATAAAAACTCTCTATTTCCTTTTTACTTTACTATTATTTTTAAGATTTATAATAAAACTTTCTAGCTAATTAAAATTATCTAAAATTATCTACTAATTTCTAAATATAATTAATCTTTTTTATATACTTTTCTTTCTCCTTATATTTTTACTTCTCCTTCTATTTCTTCCTTATAACTAACTTACCTATAACTAATATAGTAAGTTAATATTTTAATATTTAATTATATCTATAATAATCTTTATAAAAATCTCTAATATTTATTTTTAATTATAAAATTAATATAAAATATAAATAATATAATAAATATTTATTTTTAATATTCTAATAAAATAATATATAATAATTATAATATTAAAGCTCTATATAAGACTATACTAAAGCCTACTTAAAAGAAATAATAATTTTACTTTAAGAATAAGTAGATATCCTTTTTTATAATAATATCTATACTAATTTATTCTAGCTATTACTTTTTAGAAAATCTAAAAACTTTAACTTAAAAGTTATCTTTTTATAATCTCTAAAGCCTCCTTTATATACCTTATTAAGGAGATTATTAATATTTTCTATAATAAAAGTAAAATCTAGTTTAAATTATCTATAATTAAAATTCTATATAAAGTAATTAAATATTATCTAACTATTATTTTTTTATATAAATCTATTTTTTTTTTATTATATTATATTAATAAATCTAAGTTTAAACTTCTTTATAATCTATAGTAAATAGGTTATAATTTAAATTAAAGATATTAAGCTTTTTTTTTAAATTTTAAAAGATATTAAATTTCTTATTATATTTTATTTTATTTAAAATATTTATAGTAAGTTTATTAAATTTTATATTTTTATAAATTTTATAATAATATTTATATTAATCTAATTTAATTACTAGTTATAATTATATATAATTAAAAATATTAAAGAAGAAAAATAAGAATTAGTTTTATATAATAGTATATTATTAATAATTTAAAGTATTTTTATTTTATTTTAATAAAGCTTATTAATTTTTTTTTCTATTTATTATATTAGGTAATTTATATTAAGTAATAGGTAGCTGAATAGAATCTATAGGTAGGTTATTTTAATTAATTATAGGTTTTGACCCTCTACTACCTACCTATATATTTCCTTGATGGCCTGTGGGTTTCCTCTACTACCTTACTACCTATTTTCTAGGCCTGTGGGCCTGATGGGTCATGTAACCTACGGATTACCCATGGGCTTTCTGAGGCTTATCCACAAGTGTCGATCCACAAGCTGCGACGATGAGCGGGTCATACCGAGGCTCCCCTTAAAACTTATCCTATGGCGATGTGACGGACACATGCATGGTGAATGCGGAGAGTTTATTCGCGTCGGTTTAGATCCAGTTAGAGCCTGTACTTTGAGGAATTCTAAGTATTATTGGTCGGGGTTCGGGAGGGAGGTGGATTGGTGGAACAACCTGTGAGGATGGGGCTGATGGGCAAAGCATCGAAAGGTAAGGTTAGCGAATGGGATGGGCGTGATGGGGAGATCGATTTATTATCTTATACGATTTTAAGGACTAGAATATACTTTATTTCTTCTCAAAATAAATTGTCTGGTTATTTCTCAAAATTCCCTCTTGTTATAATCGACCGTCGGAGTCGGTCTTCTAAAATGTTAAAGCTTCCTCATATCTTGCATGCCCCACTCACTGACCACTATCCCGAGAATCTCAAGGCGAACGTTCATGGCGAAGACGGTCATTTCGAAGCCACTCTCTACTTTAGGGAAACGTGTCTAGGTCTTAGAGGTTAGACTCCCCCAAGCCAAAGACTATCTGTCGAGTTGGCAATCATTCCTCCGTACACCAGGTTCGTTCATTCATAGTGGCGCAGCTATCTAACCATGGTTCGCCTTAGAGAGTGTTTAGCAGCCCTATTGCGAAGGTACCGTTTCCATTGTCTTCAAGGGAACATGGGGCGCGCACCACCCACCAGGGTACAGGAATATCACACTTCGTTTTGAGCAGAAATGCTACAGCCAACACAGCCATGGTCTCACAATGTGAAGGAAGTGTGCTTCCAACCTTTCGAAAAGTTCAACTAGTATATTCTGTGTCATGTTTCCGTGTTTTCTTCTCTCCAAGCTGCCAGGGAGACTGCGTATCTGCATCGCTGCCTTGCGCCTCGGGCTTGCAATCAGGGAGAGGTATACCGGTGACCGAGAACCCCCTCGTCACCGTAGTAAGAATCTTCTTCCTGCAGGATTCACAGCCCTCCCGTCACCTCTCCGTCCACTGGGAAGCTTGAATGGAAGGTGACACAAAAAAGTAGCTGATATCAACCTGCCTCTGCGTGAGTTGATTGGGAAGGCATTTCCAACCCCGTTAGGGTGAACAGATAACAGGAAAATGGTCACGATGGGCGTGTCCAACTAGAATCACTGCCCTACTAATTTACTTCGAGCTAGTGGCCTGTGATGGATCCCAACAGTACCCAACCGCACCTAAGCTTGGTTCGCCTAGTTCGCCTACTTCGTATTCCGTATCCACCTCTCCATCACCGTAAAAAGCTCCGTTAGGACCGTTTCTTGCTGTTAGGCTTTCTAATGCATGGCCTGTTTATGGCCTCTCCATATCAATCATACGATAATCGTCAAGACAACAACAATGGCAGAGGAGGACCCTGTTGCTCGAAGGGATGACGGTCCCTTGACGGTTGGCGAAAGCCATCACCGAGTAAGGGCAACGTCAAATCTACAGAATGAGGCCATTAGAAGTAGAAATATGGGATTTTGGGGCGAGGGACCGATTAGCCCGATGCGCGATGCGACTTGACATACTCGGCAACAGATTGAGGCGAACAGCGAACAAGTCAAGGGATGATATCAGTCGGCTTTTGGTTAACTGATGGCGAGAATTACGGAAATCACCGGAGGACCTCTCGTTCAGTTCGCAACCTATGAAGTTGCCGGATCCTTCGCCCTTATCTAGAACTTCGATATATAAAATATTGGAACCGCCCTCTCCGGGCCTGTGTCCCAAGGAATCAACTATCGTCCCTGAGTGATTTTTCATCTACTAAAATATACCGATTTATTCTAGATACAAATAATATCACTGCTTTCGACATCATGTGTGTCGAGACTACTGTCAGCACGCCTAGAACACCCCCAGAGCTTCTCGGGCCGATCGCCTTAGCACTGAGGCCAAAACCTGAGCAAACAGCAGCGGAAACCCAGTCGAATGTGGCCACAACTATTAGCGCCCCTAAGCAGACGCTCACCTCCTCGACGGGCCTAAACACGGGCCTCGTTGTCACCGATGCAGACGCAGTGAGCAGAATCACTCTTACGCAATCACGAGACAAAGGGAAGTGTCGTGGGGGCGGCTTCCTTACTAACAGACAAACCAGGACAAGCCTTCGAGTCCCCCCAAAAATACTGCCCCCCCAGCCCTCGGGCTGGACCATGGCGGCCTTTCCTTTGGAAACATCCCACTCTTGAATATGCTCGACGACTGGCACTCTAGGACAGATGACCCCTGGAACACCCTCAACAGCAACAAGCAGGCTCACGATGGGCAGACCCACAACGACCCCACGCAACCATCGAAGGGGGAGCTGAATATCATCGACATAACCGATCCCATTTCTGTAGATACATGTGGGGAAGATGGAGAGGGGGCGACTGCTCCGCACTTAATGGGACTGAGTGAGTGTGCGGATATTGAGCACCCGTCCAACAATGGGGGTTAGCCCGATTTGGAGCGATAAACGGTATTTTTCTTTTTTCTTTCCTTCATTTATCTTGTTTTCATTACAAGTATCCTAGGAGATGGTCGTGTGCTATTCTATCAGTGTGAGGCTGCCTTCTGATTTGACGTTTCGTATCTGCGCCTTGGGTCTTCTTGGATGAGGTAGACTTCCCGGATGGCAAGTATTAGATACCTTCCTTCATAGTTTGGATGGCGAGATTCAAGCTGAGGCTGAATTGAAAATTCCCGGGATTTTTAGTGACTTTCCTAGATATTTTCGAAAGGCAGAAAAGGCCAGTCAAAACCCGCTTTCTCCAGCTCGCGAACCATCACGCAGATCTAAGATACGAGCATGATGTTACACGTGTAACATGTTGCCTTCTCCCCCGTTCGCCTATCTCCGATATCGTTCCGTTTTTGTAAACGGTATTTTTAGGGCAAAGTAGTCCTGACCCGTAGATACACGCAACTTGCGCCCCCCTCTCCGACTCGAATTGACTTTCTCTCCTGCTCCGCCACACACCATCGGGCTGGGCCAAATACATTGCCACTTGGTTTCGATGCAGGGTTAATAGGGCTGATAATCAAGTTCCGCACCATCGGATCAGTGGGGAAGCACGTCAAATAGCAAACCTGAAACACGTAACAAAGTAAACGGTCTCCATCTGCCTGTTGTCCGCCCTCTTCGCTCCTATTCGCCAAAAGCCATTCCCTCATCCGAGCCGGGGATGATGAACTGGAATGCTACGAGCAGAGCTTCCATGACGCGATAAATTGAATTTCATAAGTGAGATTGCCAGAATTGTAATTTCAGTTCCCGCTATGATTCGGCAATTCCATTTCGCCACAGATCTCAGCCGCTAAGTCAACGGATAAATGCTATCCTACCCCGTCTCACCTATTAGACATCCAATCGGCCTCGACCGCCCTAATAGGCTTTTGGTGCCCTCGCGGAACGGAGGACGGGGCCATACCTTAACAGGGTCTATCTCGTCATATCCTATTGTCTGTATCTGGGCCCACGCAATGTGAATAGATGAAGGAGAGAGGGGGAGACGGAGCCCAAGAATTGACGAGCTGGAGCCAACAATAAGATGGCGAGATAAGACAAGAGGAGAAGGCTATAGTTGGACGTGTCCCCGATCCATGTTATAATTTCGGTGAGCAAAGAGTGGAACTATTTATTTCTTTCACTTTGCCCGCCAATTGAGCTCCAGGCTTACACGACCCTCCGTTCCCGAAACATTTCATCACAATGCACCTATCAAGCATCGCAGCTGCCCTCGCGACCGTGGCGCTGACGTCCGCCGCATGCGTAAAACGCCAACAGCCGCCAGCTCCGCTGCTCACTATCGAGGGCGCTTGGCTCGAAGGCATCTCCGTCCGCGAAAATGGCCAGCTCGTGGTGAATCGCCTAGACGTCCCTGAGCTATGGACAATCGACCCCCTCAGCAAGGAATCCAAAAAGATCCTCTCCATCCCCAACGCCCTCGGCCTGACGGGCATTACCGAAGTCGAGCACGACGTATTCGCCTTCGTCGCGGGGAATTTCAGCACGGCCGACTTCACCGTACAGGCGGGAACCTGGTCGGTGTGGAAAGTCAATATAGCGGAGGAGGAGCCTAAGGCGGAGCTCATCGCGGAGGTTCCAGAGGGCGGATTCCTACTTGGTGCGGCTACGTTTGATAGCGATACTGTTCTCGTCGCCGATGCCACGGAGGGAAAGATAATTAGGGTCTCCGTGTCGACAGGCAAGTATAGTACGATTGGCGAGGATGATGCGTTCAAACCAGCGGAGGATGCGGCCATTCCCGAGGCGATCCACGGAATTCGATATTACAAGGAGGAGATTTACTATACCAACACCTTTGGGAACGCCTTTGGCAGGGTTCCCATTGACCCAAGCACCGCTGAGGTCGGTGAGGTCAATATCGTTGCGAACCTCACCAACAGCCCACTCGACCTTGCTGTCGATGGCGACGGCATCGCCTATGTCGGACAAATCGACCAGGGCATTGTCAAGATTTTCAGAAACGGAACTGTCGTGCCGGCATGGAACGTTACATCTGTCACGTCGTTGGCATTTGGAAGGACGCAGGAGGATAGTGACGTGCTTTATGCGGGAACCAATCTTGGTGCGCTCTATGCGTTGAAGCTGTAATCACAATGTTCATGAGTGAGTTGGAGACTCGGGGTGGGGATTGCGGAGGGTTTAATAGTTTCTTGTTTGGTCTCGGAGGAATTAAAGCTCATTCTCATCGTAATACAAATGATAACTCGCCGACCGACAAGGTGGACCTCGGGAACATCTTAAATGGCATTTTGCGATTACCTAATGAGTTGATCCCCTCTTTATTAGACTAAAGACGAGCTAACTGATCGAGCAAGTTTGAGTTGAAGCTAAGTTGAAGCCCATCTCATCTCCGCTCAACCGGAGCCAATATTATTCATGTCGGGGGCAGGTTGCCACATCCTCAACTCTACAGTAGTAACAAATACCTCATTTGTACCTCGCCTACACGTCAGAGACTTACGACACTTTTATCCCAAATCTTCGCAATAAAGTCTTCAAGCCGAAGCCATGTCGGACTCAACGACGCAAGCACAGACCGGTATCGGCAATGAGCGCTTTAATGCTGAGGCCGCCGCATGGGACAACAATCCTTTTGTCCGCGCCATGAGCCTCGAGGCCTGGAAAGCTATTCAACAATATTTACCGTCTCTATTCGGCCAGGAGAAGGACAAGCCGAACGTCCTCGAAATCGGCTGCGGAACTGGGTTGCTTAGCTTCGAAGTCGCCCCTGCTGCTCGTCGATTGGTGGCCGTTGATGCGGCCAAGGGAATGATTGACGTCCTCTCGTCAAAGTTGAGCTCTCCGACTGCCCCCCAAAACATCCTCCCTCTAGCACTTTTGCTCGAAGACCCAGAGGACAAGAGGCTTCCGCCGGCGGACGAAGCCAACCCCGATGGACCGAGACTCAAGTACGACCTAATCACGTCGCATCTGGTCTTGCATCACATCGCGGATCTCAAACCGGTTTTGACGACAATGTTGGGCTGCTTGAAGGAGGGTGGTGTGATAGCTCTCACCGACTTTGAGGATTTTGGGCCCGAGGCAAGGCGGTTCCATCCCGAGTCGAAAATGGAGGGAGTCGAACGTCATGGGGTCCCGCGGGAGTGGATGGCCGCACTGATGGAGGAGGTCGGTTTCAAGAACGTGCGCGTCGAGGTGGCGTGGGATCATACCAAAATGGTCGAGAAGTATCCCGGGGAGTTCAAGGATAGCGAACCCACCGAAGGGCAAGGGGAGATGATGAAGTTTACGTATCTGATATGCTTGGGAGAGAAGGCTTAGAGGGCAATTCGTTTGTACAAAAAGATCTTGTTTCAAAAGGTTTTGACTATATTTGAGGTGCCAGACGAACCAAACCTTCCGCGAATTTTCGATTATCCAGGAGGCTTATTGTGACTCTGCGCCTAAGGCTGCCCCAAAACAGTGACGCCTCTCGACTAGCTTGCTTGCAGATATTCTCCAGTTTAAAGCAGGTCCAAAAACGACATGAAAATCGATTATAGTATTCGAGATATGTTGGCATTGTGCACGAGTTAACGCGGGAAAAATCAGTCTGATTATATAGTAAACTCTCACGATTTTATTAAATGTTTTCATATTGCCAATTCACGGTCTTGGGTTGCCCTATCAAAGTTGACATCTCTTGGCGACTATCCATGAAACAATACACGATATGCATCATAATAATCTTCAAGATATGATATCGATTTGAAATGAAAGTAAGAACGGAGGCTGTTCGCAATGGGAAATCGCACCTCGGGGAAAAATATACAGACGAAATGGAGATGGGTCCTTCAATCAGCAAGTTAATAGTTCAGACTTCAGGGCTCTTCTTCCTCCTCGGGCGCCTCCTCTTCAGGAGCTTCCTCTTCAGGTGCCTCTTCCTCACGTGCTTCCTCCTCGGGTGCCTCCTCCTCAGGGGCTTCTTCCTCAGGAGCTTCTTCCTCAGGAGCTTCCTCTTCTTCCGCAGGCGGCTCCTCCTTTACAGGTTCCTCCTCCTCCTCCTCCTCCTCCTCCTCCTCCTCACAGGCGTCTTTCTCGCCCTCGCCCTCGCCCTCGCCAGCCGAGTCGTCCCCTAGCAGGCCGAAAGTCCACGAGCTCTCCCAAGTGTAAAGCTCGTCAGGGCCCGTGATCTGGGCATCAAGTCTATCCCACTCAGGGCTACGAAATCATTAGCAGTCAACTCACTACTTCCGGATGCAAAAGGAGACATTACTCACTGGTTGATACCATCAGGGTAATCCTGGGCCTCGATGGCAACGCAAGAGCTCTTTTCCACCTTGGTCCTCCCCTCGATGCCCTGGGTGCTATTCTTCAACTCTTGATCACCACCCATCCACGAGCAGGAGTAAATGACAACACCTGGCTGGTCAGTCTTGAGCTCTGCCTTAATGCCGGAGAAGGCGCTAGCAAGGGTGGCGACGACTGCATCCTCGGGGGCATCTTCGATGAGCCAGTATCCGTTATAGCCTTCGCAGGCTCCATCGGCGCCACAGTTACCCTTGAAGGCGGGGTCATCCTTGTGGTGGCCGAAGGGGAGAGAAGCGGCGCTGGCGAAGTCGTTGATGGAGCCGGGCTCGGCGGTGAGGATCTTGCCGGTAGGGAGGGCTCCTTGGTCAGCCTCGAGGTAACGCGCCGAGTAGGGCAGGTACAGAACGTGGTCCCAAATGAGATCGGTTTCGGGATTCTTATAGGCATCAAGGTTGAAGTACGTGTGCTGCGTAAGCAGGAGTGCTAGTTCAAAACGTCAGTAAGTTCCAAATAATTGTAACCAGAGGCTGGCAAACGAACGAGTTCTCTTGGTAGGTGCCGTAGCCTCGATGGAGATCTTCCAAGTGCTACCAGCAACGCTGTACGTGACGTTGGCATACACATCGCCGGGGAATCCCTTGGACTCGCCCTCGGCATCGTAGATAGAGAAAGTGATGGAGTCATCGGAAACCGCCGTCACGTTCCAGTCTCGGAAAGACCAGTTGTTGGTTCCGCTGTGGAGGGTGTTGTTGCCGTCATTCTGTTCCGTCTCGTAGGTCTCGTCGTCGAGGGTGAACTCGCCATGGCCGATGCGGTTGGCATAGCGGCCAGGAATAGCATTGTAGACCGGGTGGCCGGGGTCGTCAGCTGCACAAGGAATTGAGTGTTAATTCCCAGGGAATTCTTTGCAAACGTCTTCAAATGCTACTGAACGTGAAATCGAATGACAATACTGAGCCATGGGAATGGTACAGCCTGACACCCGCCATGCTAGGTGCTAGTGGAATTTTGCATACGGTACCGCGAGAGATCGTCATAGCCGAGTACGACATCAACATCCTCGTCATTCTTGTCCTTGACGAACAAGTTGGTCAGGGTAGCGCCGTAAGGAATGAACTATGTTCTTTTCGTTAGGTATCGCCTCTTCACATAGAACCTCACGTACGCACCTTCGCAACAAGCCCGTCACTGGAAATCGTGAACTTGCCGTCCTCGCCCGGCTCAAAGTCCTCCGCGAGAGCTCCGGCAAAGGCTGTCGCCCAGACGAGGAATTGAAGCTTGTAAGAGACCATTGTAAGAATTATCTTCTCAAGGCCTTGAAAGAATGAAGCGAGTGTTCAAATTGATCAGTTCTTCACTATGAAACAAACCTCCAAAGAGAGCGGGAGAGCAGCAGCGTGAACACTGCAAAAGAGTGGGGCAGAGACTGGAAGCCGTTGAGTCGGGATAGCCTGCAACTGGGCAAGTGTGACCATCAATTCTCCGCCGCCCGGACTCCAAGGTCCCTTTTAAGCATCCAACGGCGTTTCCCCATCGCCTCATTATATCTTCTACGCACTCCCGTGCGGGGATTGGCGGTTCAATTGGGAATTCGTATCCATTGGCCTCATTGGACTTGCCGGAATATCGATCCCAGAATACTTCAACCTTTGCGGGGTTAGGCAAAGTAGGTCGCCGTGGGTAAACGGAGGGAAGAACCCCGATGGCTGGAGTAATAAAGCTGACTGCTATATCCTCGAGCCTGGAGACGCGGTAGCAAAAGGAGCAGGGATTGGTCGGCTGCGAGAAACAATTTCCGTGGTTCTAGATTCAGGCTAAGTGAAGCTCAGATTCTTCACTGGGTGGATCGGACTTTGCCAGGCTTCCCGGTGCCGGTTCTTGTTTTAATGATGAAATGAGTGCCGAGGATAATTGGATACAATACTCATCCTCGGATCCCGCTCGCCTCTAAAGTGTTCTACATATCTCTACATATAGGAGGGGTCGAGAAGGACTATCGTAGAGCTTAAATATAATATGAACAATTTTCCCTAACTCGGCTTCGTGACAATTGCTCCTCGCCAACGGCGAACATGGAAGGGCTGCTGGAGAGTAAGATGCAAACTGTGCAAAGGTCGCGTAGCTTCTTGACCTTCCGCTATTCAAGCAAGGGCACACTCAATTACAGCGCTGCCCCCAGGAATTTGGCAAACTTTCGTAATCTTGAGCCCAGCCCTCCCAGTAACATCCTTCCAATTTTCGAGAGTCCTCTCCTTACCAGAGATTGTCATCATCATAAGGTCCATTGCCGCCTGGAAGGATGTTGGCGGGTTGGCCAGCAGCGTTTCAACAATTAGCAATCTGCTATCAGATTCCATAGCACCCGAAATCTGCTGTAGTATTCCCACGCATTCCTCATCCGAATAATCATGCAGACAGCGACGCATATAGTAAACCAGGGCCCCTGGAAGGAGTTAGCCGCATCCTTCCGGATCCGGAGGGCCTATGGACTTACCTTTGATAGGCTGCTCCTTATGAAAGTCCATGCCGACCATTTTCACATCGGCAAGCTCGGAATCATCCTTTCTGTTTGCCTCAACCACTTCAGGGAGGTCCTCCAGCACACACCGATGTCGTGGAAGCCCAGGAGTCACCTTCAAGATACCCTTGAGTGCCTGGCCCCTACCACCACCGACATCGACAACAAGTGCCCTACTCTCGGATTTGCTAACCTCTTCCACAGCCCAGCTGAGGTCATAGACTCCAAGAGGGGGCATAAAGTCCTCGATTGCGGCCATAGCAAGAGTGGAGACTTTGAGGCGTTCTTCGGAACTGCGGTTGATTTCCCAGACAGTGGAGCCAAGCCGATCTTCCGCAAAGGCCAGAATAGTTTGCAGGCGGTCCTTCGGTTCTGTTGCAAGGCCGAATCGGTCGAAGTATTTGGGCATGGCTACGTAGGCGGCTAGCTGATCGTCGAATCTATCACTTGTGAGTGAAAAGGCCCTGAATAGCTATCTTTGGGATGACCACCATACCCTAGTTGCACCATGGCCCATAGGGGATTAGGCGTAGTAAGGATCTTGGAGAATTCGGTGTGTGAGATAGAGTCGTTCCCGATCTGCTTGAGAGAGCCGTTTGCAACGAGTGCCCGCCCCAAACGAGCTAAAAGAAAATCTGGTAAGCCAAATTCTGCATGAGAGGAGAGAATTTGAGCTTCAGTATCTTACTGATCAACGACACGTCGGCATCTAATTTTGCAGCCAATTCGGTATATGAAATCGCCGCGCCATCTTCGGCGGGGATTTTCTCAAACGCCTTCCATTTGATGAACAGGCGAACAGCAGTGATGTGGGCAAACTGTGGAAGCCACAGTAAAAGCTTGTCCTTGGGCACGCTGGCTGCATCGATCAGGTCTGTGCCGGCTTTGATCAGGTCCATCCGCTGGAAGATGTCAGTCTCGAGAGATAGATTGCCGGATCGGATACCCTCAGCGGCGTTGGCCAGCTTCTGGGAGAGTGTATCCAGAGTGTCTGCAAGAGGGGAAGCCATGACGAAATAGTGGCGAAATTCTTAATTGTCAGAAGAAGAATAGAGGAGTTTTGGGAGGATGTGTCCGACAGTATGAAATGAAAGTGTCTATTTCCCCGTGGAAGGGTAATAATTGAAACCGACGATCTGACTTGAAGAGAGAAAAGTAGAAAAGACGATCTCGGGCTTTCGAGCATCCATTCGTGGTTGGTTATATAACAAGGTTGGTTTACGGAGGATGGAAAGTCTCGACGGCATTTTCGCCTAATCCCGAATCCGGTGTCCGAGTCCGCTTTCGGGGCCGAAAGCCGACCCCGGATGCTGGACAGACACGTAAGCCCCGCGTGACTTCGGGTCAAGTATTGTAAGGGGATGGCAGATTGGTTGCACCGCACCAGCCGGTCTTCATGGGCAGGGGGCTTTGGTATACACGCAAGAAGTGGTGTAGTCAGGCAGCTGAGGCGATTGCATATATCCACAGCCATGAAGTTGTGCATGCAGATCTTCAACCTGAGAATTTCCTCTTGCATGAAACAAACCCTGGCAGTCTAGCCCTGCTGCTCTGTGATTTCGGAGGGGCACAGCGCGATGACCTGAATGTGGATGGACAGCATCTCCCAGACAGCCCTTTTTACGACCCCACTCAGCACAGCCCTGTCTCCTCTGCAGTTGATATATTTAGCCTTGGGTCAATGTTTTACACGATAATGACGGGATTGTGGCCATATAGGTCGTCAACCGGCCGCTTCACCTTTGAAGAGATGCTTGGTTATGACAAAAACGTCGTCAAGCTCTTCCGTCAACAGCGGTATCCCTGTGTAGATGACCTGGCTGGTGGGGAGGTGATGAGCGGTTGTTGGTTGAAACAGTATACCGGCGCCGAAGATATTGTCGAAGCGATTGATAGAGAAATGATGGGGAATAATGTTGGTTAGGAAGCTAGCTGCCCCTAACCTAATTGATGACCGAACTGATGACGAAGCTATCGTCGCGACGGTTATCACCTGGGCGTGTCTTTAGATTCTGCTGGTTACGCTAAGAGGCCCTGTCGGCTTGGACAATCCAGTTATGGTGGAATGCCTCGCCTTGCAATTCCGGGCTAAGACGTGAGCTGCATAAAAGGAAGTGTATTATTCCTGAACAAGGAGGCAAAATCCAGATCGAGCGCATACCCAAGTCGAATGGATGTGCCATTTCCAACATTTGTGGTGTGGCGAGGGGACTGCAGCGAGCGTGGCTCGTTGCGCCTTCTCATTCCCAGCTATGGTTCCGTTCGGATTCATAAAGCTCACGAGGCGCAGTTCGATCAAGTCATGTTGCCAACTGTAAGCTGAGTAAATACAATAGATGCCAGTATGTTTCCAACTAGGGAAAGCCATGTTAACCTCCAAATCAAATCACAAGCTCAATGGGAGAGGGCGTTCATCGTCATTGTCATTGAGCATACCAACACAGCAGGATAAGTGGATTTTAATAGACTTTATTCCGAGACAGGCTAACTACCAATCAACCTTCCGTAGCTCCTTCTAGTATACTGGGGTTGGAAATGGTTCCTGCTCTTGCAGACTTCACAATTGTTCCTTCTCCCCATGCCTCCATCAGTCAACGGTGATAACATCAACCTCGAGGGAAAAAAAAAAAAGAAAAAAGAAAAACGAAAAAAAAAGAAGGGAGAAAATAATCAGCACTTATCAAGGCGAACGTCAACACCAAGACCAACGGGATCCCAAGCCTTGCCGCCAACCCAATATCCCTTGTTCTTTCTATACTCGACGGGACACCAGTCCGTCGCGATGCCCTCGGCGTAGTCAGCCACGTAGCTCCAAGGCTGCTCGTAAACATCCGGAGCACCAGGGACCGGGTCCCAGCACATGTAAATGGCAGCGTTGTATGAACAGCTAACGCGAGAGCAAGTCCTGACCTGGAGGCGAGCGTGGTCCTTAGGCTTCGTGTAGAGGTACTTGACTCCGTCGAGGATGGGAGTACGAGAGGCCCGGCCGTTGGGGACGTTGCAGTCCTTCCTAGCGACAACGCGATCCCGGAAGCCGTTGCCTCGGTTGACCTGGACGCCGGCATTCCAATCAAAGTTGGGGTTGATGGCCTCGACCTGGGCGACGACCTCTTCGATCGTGCCGTTGAGGGTCAAGGTCTCGCCGTTGATGCCCCAGGGTCCGCTGAAGCTGGCCTGGACGACGGCAAAGCCGCGAGCCGCATACTCGTCCTCGGCAGACGTGAAAGTTGCGACGGGCTCCTCGACGTCCACGGTGAAGGTGGCCTGAGGAAGCTTGGCCGCAAGTACGCCCTTTTGAGGGGTAGTTTAGTACTGGATCTTAGGTGAGGATGAAATGGCAAGGATGAGGGGTGTGGGATACCTGGGCAGAGAGGGCAAAAATACTGCTAATAGCCGTGAGGAGACGAGCATGCATGATGGCTGAGTTGTTGTGGTGATGAGTTTGTTGGAAGAATTGATGGATTGATAAGTACTTGTGCAGGAGGACAAGGGATGGCTGGCAACTTGAAAGACTTGGATGATGTTGAGGAGAAGAGTGAATGAAAGACGAGAGATGTGGGTGTACTTATACTTAGGAAGGGAGAGAGGTGATTCAGAAGATCGACGTGAGAAATAGAAGGAAGGAACAGGCCAACTACTCTTCCCTGTCTCTTCCTTCTCTTCTGAGTAGTGATTTACTTAGAGCATCATGCAAGGAGATGGAGGGAAGGAACCACACAACAACAAAGTAGTAGAAGCACAAGCAGATATATAATCACTAGAGCAAACAATTGGCAGGTTGGCTACTTCCATTTTGGTGTTTTGATCATCAGATCCCCAGAATAGAGAAAGGAAGGATATGCTTCTTGGCAATGTAGGTCGGTCCTTCCCTTACTGATACATTCCAGCATCATGACCAACAAAGCATTTAATCTACACATTTACACCAAAAAATCCTTTTCTTGCAAGGATCGAGGCTCAAGAGGGCCCGGCGTCAAAGAGCGAGAATAAAAGAGCTTGAATGAATAGCGGTTGATCCATACTACCTTGACCGGGATGCAGGCAGTCAACACTAGGTACCCGGTCCCGAGGACATATCCGAGGAGACTCTGGGGATCGCTTGTGTCCATCGCTTTAGCTTCAGCCGTGTTTTAGAACATCCCTTCTCGTGTAATCCTTTAGAGCACTTTGTGAAAGAGGGTGGTTCGGCGACGGCGAAGGAAAAGGTCAGTTGCGTCACGGTGATGTGATATTATAGATGCTACTTACTTCCGAATCGTATGGATGTTTAGCGTTGCTGCCAACGGATATCGGCGTCCAGAAGTTCTCACTCGTACCAAGAATGAATATCAGCGCACCCGAGGCCAAGAAGACCTTCCTCTCCATACCTTGTTTCTACCTCGGAGCACTCTTATTTTGCTAGAGCTGGATGGCCTCACTGCCTGTCTCTAGGTGCCGAATGCATCATTGGGCGGGAGGCTACGAAAGGGAATGTCGAAGATTCGGCTCTGTAAGCCAAATAGTCAATAAAAACCCGTTCTGAGGCCCTAGATTGATTAGTATCAAAGATTGATTAGTATCAAAGAGGCGCAAATACGCAAACCGTGAGTCTGCGATGGACGTCTGGTCGTCCATATCAAATGTAATTGGTAGATGATGCCAGTAGCTTAGATGCGGATGTATTGCGCCGTAGCACTTCTTCTGAAACACACGTAAACATTCGTCGATATTCCTTGTTCTATTTAGTTCGTTCAAATATAACTATCCCTCCCTGGTTGAGGACACAACGTTCGGCGTATAAATATCAGCGGTATCCCACCAAAGAAGGCGGTCAATAGAGTTGACGTGAAAGCTGTGAGCAGGATTCGAGTCGATAAGTTTCCCGATGAACTAAATGCCACTCCCATGGAACATGAGTGCGTGGTTATTGAATTATCATCTACTTGGGAGTTGTCCACAGTTTCCATCGGCCAAGGCGAGTCTGGAGGTGTGGCCTCAAACCTTCGTTATCCCTAACTCTTAGAAATAAATCTATTCTATCCCCTTGTCTCACAAACGCCTACGATGAGGCAAAGTCGTAGTGCTACGAAGCGGTGGAACATGACTTCATTGAGCTTCAAGCAACGTGGGCACTTAACGAGCCGACAGGGAGCGATAACCGGCCAAAATCGGCATTCCGAAGTATAGAGAGACCTCCTCCTCGAAGTCGCTCTGGATGAAAGCGTCAATGTAATATATGAACTTTTTCCTGGGCTAATTAATGATAGACTGTAAGGCAGATTCGTATCTCGAATCGAGGTTGACCCGACCTCAACCATTAAGCAGGGCGAGAGCGTGGAGAAATACTGCGCCTTTTGTGGCACTGGAAAAATTCCACTTCCAACCTCGTGTCTGGCCCCGGTCAATATATTAATTCACTCAGTTCCTATTTTAGTCTCCTTACCATGGTCCATACCTCTGTTTAGCCTAGTCTCATTTTGCATCAAAGGTAGGAGAGAGAGAATTGGTGTGAGAAGTGTACGGCCACACAATAAGATGTCGCTGCAGTCTAAAGTATTGGGGGAGATGTGCTGGACATGCAGATTAGGCAACACTGCCTTCGGGTCGAGCGACAGGGGGGACCAGGCTGTGAGATTGGGGACCAATAACATATAAAGAAAGGTGATGGAGGTGTGATGTGCTGTATATTCTAAACTTACATCCCTGCGGGCTGACATCCCGTACCGATCTGATTGAAGACCGTTCATCGAATGAAGCAACACAGAACACGCATCAATGGCCAAGGTGGGACGAGATGGCACGAGACGGTGGGGGCTCTTGTTCGCCATGCAGCCCCGGGCGAGCCTTGGGACGTGGTGATACCCGACTGCATATTCAAGGATCATTACCTCCCAAAGCCTGCTCTCTTCTGGCACCAGTATATCATCCATCAGACTGCCAGGCCCACTTTCACGAAGCGGAGAGGATAGCCCACCAACGGCTCAAATAACACATGCCTTGAGATCCATAGAAAACCAGAATTGCATTTCTTCTTTCTTTTTTCTGACACACATCAAAATGTCTGGCAATCCTCTACTTCCGGCGGCAGCTTCTGTTGCCCGATCTCAGTTCGCTCCAGAAGACCTCCACTCTCGTGCAAATGCCATGCTCCGAGCTTCACTCGCCAGCGGAGATATCGGAGAATCTTCACACACCCCACAATCTTCGATCACGTCGTCCCAACCCTCAAGAGACAGCCTCCGGTCTCGCGCGAAAGCCATGTTCCGTGCTTCGTTTTCCCGCGGAGACCCTAGGGCATCTTCATCCACTACTCGGTTATCCAAATCGCCCCCTAGAACGATGGAGAGAATCGAAGCGGGAGATGCACTCCCTTCCCTCCCTCCCAGCTACGTCACAGAAGCGGAGTATCAAATTGTGCAGGCCCCATCTTCGCCACCGCCCACCACCACGTCCACCATGATGCGTATGAAGTACGAGCAGGCACTAGTGGAAAAGCGCGAAGCTGAGCGCGTGGCCGCCGACCTCAGACGCGAGGCGGATCTCGGGCCGAGTGAGCTCGTAGCCGAAAAACGTGTACTTGAGCTCAAGTACGAAGCTCTGAAGGCGAAGAAAGCAGCGTCGGTACGTTCCGGTTCCGGGACCGAATTGTTCAAAAAAGCATATTCTACCGATGTTCTCTTTCTCATGGACACCACGTCTTCCATGCTGTCACATATCAAAGCCGCCAAGGACCAGATCAAGAGTATTGTAACCTCCATCAAAACTGCCTTCATGGACGTCGCCGATTTGCGCGTCGCGATTGTGGGATACAGGGACCACGAAGACGATCCAAACATCGAGTTTCTCGATTTCACCCGGGATACTAACGAAATGCGCCGGTTCCTTAGCGGGCTGGAGGCGACCGGAGGTGGGGATACTCCCGAGGACGTCCTAGGAGGGATCCAACAGGCTCTCAAGGCGAATTGGCAAAGCCAGACGCGGGTTATCATTCACATCGCCGATGCGCCACCGCACGGCCGTGACCTGAACGACCTAGAGGAAGGCGAGGACGACTACCCGAATCCCGGGAGCGAGCCGCATCGCCTCACTTACGAAAAGCTGATTAAGCAGATGATCAAGTTCAACATCCACTACACTCTGCTCCGTATCCACAAGTTCACGGATCGTATGGCGCACGCCTTCTTCCAGGTGTACGCCGCTGCTTCGGGCGGGGCCTATTGCAAGTTACACCCGTCGAACGTATTCTACGGCCGACCGAGCGGCACTACGGAGGCTTCTAGGAACACAACCACCGCGACAGCCGTGCAGTTTCAAGAACTGGAACTCGGCATTTCGCTTCATGATCTAAAGGGATTGGTTCTCCAAAGTGTCACAACCTCGGCCAGCATCGTCGGTACACACCTCGCTGCACTTTCGACATCTAGGGCGCTGATTCCAAGACTCTTTGGCCCTAGCAGTGTTCGGCTGGAGACTACCCCCCCACGATGGGATGAGGAAGGTTGGCTGGACCAGACACTGGTTGTGGAGGCTTATTTCCCGGATGTCGTGATTGACGGCCGCGTCTACCTCGATGACATGATGAAGGACGACGAGAACATCAAGATCACCACAACGAATCTCACCATCCATATGCGGTCTCGGCCGTTTGATCAAGGTGCAATACGCTTCGCGTCATACGCCCGGACCGAAGCTTCCACAAACAAGCTCGTCGTCAAGACCTTCAAAGACGGCGGCAAGAAGAAACTCGCGCATCTGGTCGAGGACATGCGTTGCCAGGCACTATGCAAGGCGTTTGCATTCGAATTCAACGCTCTGCTAAAGTTGGAGTACTCTCTCGATTTCGTCATCGCCGCTTGCTTGAAGCCCAAAGGTCCAGGTAGTAGCGGCAAGTTGATGTCGCTGGAACCCTTCATCAAAGGCAATTACATCAAATATTCGTCAAATTTTGGATTCGTAGCCGATCTCCCAGGCGACAAGATCAACATGGCGGCTCAGGCATTTTCACACTTCACGTTTGAGAGGTCGCGAGGCAATTTCCTTGTGAGCGATTTACAAGGAGTGGGCCGCGTCCTTACTGACGCTTCTATTCAGACGCGTGATCCGCGCCAGTTCGGCTTGAGCGAGACCAACGCCGGCGAGAGTGGCATTATGGCCTTCTTCGCTACACATAAATGCAACAGCATCTGTCGGAAATTAGGTCTTCGAAGCGATAAGTCAATGTTCCCATCGTTTACTTTTCGCGAAGGGTGGGTGGTGACCGGTGGACGGGGGAACATGTTGGTGTGTTGCTCGAACAAGCTCTGCAGTCAGATTGTGCAGGCGTCCACGGCACGAAAGTCGGATGAGTTTCCGGGGTATTATTGGTGTAGGAAGTGTTGGGCACAGTTGTCGAGGTCGTCTGAGACACTAACATGCGTGGCCACCGGACCGCGACATGTCTTTTCAGTTTCGAAATTCTTCTATGAGTCGCAAGGCCAGTCCATACCACGCAAATGTCCAGAGCACCGGACAACTTTGTAGGTATTAGAACGGTTCAAAGGTATCGTCTTGAGCAGGTTGGCGTTAATAAAGTAAGGCAGAGAGGCAATCCCGCAGGGAGCCATCGAGGTTGGATTTAGCACATCCATGTTAAGTTCTATATAGTCTTATAAACGCTACTACCTACCAATAATTGGAAAAAAAAGAAAAGAAAAGGAAAAAAAAAAAAAAAAAAAAAAAAAAAAAAAGAAACTCTTGTTCCTTGACCACCCTATCGTCCCGTCCGTCGCCGCATCGACAGGAATATGAGGACTTGTCCTTTAATAGCTATCTCTCAATTAAAAGCGTAATTAACGTACGTAATTCTTGTCTTAAGATCGTGAAAAATCTATGAGTGAAGATAGTTTTGCCAACATTAGACTTGTCATTATCATAATTCCTCGATTAGTTTCTGTTTTATCTAAGTTCGGTTTTAAATTGTTGATAAAAAAAATAAAAAGTAGAGACACGGTCTTCCTAGCAAGTAGTTTAATTAAGGAATGGTAAGTTTATCGATGGTCGTCTCGAATTATTCTACTTGAAAGAGGAGATGCTTGAAATTATCCACTCTCTGCCCGATTACGCTCGCAAAGCTGTCTGAATCGGGAAAACGCGAATGCATCGCATTCCCCAAGCTTTCAGCTGGCTAACCTTTTTAGGACGTGGCGCGAGCTTATTGTGGTCAAGAGAGCAGTACTAATTATGCATAAATCGATAGTTTGCATTGACGAGCCGCCCCTGCCGCTGAAATGCCCGCAAGGCTGCGGTCGGGAGGTGAAATAAAGGAGAAGAGAAGAGACTAGACTGCACCTTGATGAAAATCTCGCTGAAAAGGAAGGTCGAAGACTTTCTCCAACTTATCTCAGTTCGCGGCCGAGAATAGTCTTCACCTTCAGGACAGCACGAGACCGCCGTGATGATTTACTCGAAATCCGGCTTTACGGTTTCCACGATCCCGGTTCTCCACAATGCCGTCAAATCCATCATCTTCAGGTGCGCCGAGCTCCTGATGGCGTTCTTCATCTACAAAGTCTTCTCCTTTTTCGCCGCACGTTCGAACCAATTCACGTCCTACCTCATGTTTGCCGAGGATTATATCCAAAGGCTCCTATTCCTCACGAACAGGGGCCTCTCACGCGCCGGTCTCATCGTGTTCTTTAAATGATTGAGGGTAGTATCATAGTAGGCTCCATGAGAATAATACACCCTGAATCGCAACCCTACGTAGTCTAGCCCTTTCTGGCCAGCATATTCTCGCCTAGAGTGACCAGAGCCTCGCGCTCAGCAGCGGTTCTTCCCAATTCCAAACCATTAGTATTAGTATCTTCAAGGGGAGGGAACGCCAAACCATCTTACATGGGAACAACACTGCCATGTCGAGGATCCGCTGGGAGTTTATAGCCCTCGGATGGCGTCCACTTGCCAGATTCGATATCTTCGGTCTCGAAAGGCACGTAGCCGCCGCCGTCCAAGTAGGCGTCGATCCAAAGATGCCACTGCAAGTAATACCATTAGACGATTAACTCCCACGTGGGAACATAGATTGTACATCTACTGCTGTCCGAATTTGAAGGTTGGAAAGACACGTGATGATTCCTCACCTTGTCAGGGTTCACGTTATTCCTGAAGATCAGTGGTCCCTCGCCAGCCTTCATCTTGTTTAGTCCGATTCGGTCCCCGAGTTTTGTCCAAGGGCCCTCGAGGCTATCCGCCGTACTGTGCTCTATGCCCTCGGCGGGCCCGTTCTTCGAAATAAAATAGTATTTTCCAGTATCATCTGCGTAGGCAATGGTGGCGTCCATGCCCCGATCCACGTATCGCTCACCGACCGTGAAGTTTTTAAAGTCCGTGGTGAAACTCCGCATGATATGCAAGGCGTCGGCGCCGTCCAACTTCGAAGTCCAAAACACTTGGTAGGCCTCTTTCTCAGGATGCCAGATGGCGTCGGGCGCCCACGTCATACCGGCATTCTCGGGCGACACGGTTGGGTAAGTTGGCCCGGTCCAGGTTATGAGATCTTCGGACTCCCAGATGACGATGCCGTGGGTGCCCTGACAGGTGAAGCAGAACCTGCTGCTCCAGCCGTAGTCGTAAACCTTGAGATCCTGCAGCCCGCATGTCGTCAGTTTGTTGGGTACACCCAAAGCCACCAAATATCCACCTCGGAATCAAAGTACAACGAACCGTGCTTATCACCCAGTACTTTGTGCGGTCATGGTTGGGAATTAAAACTGGATCTCGAATGCCTTTATAATAACCGACATCGGAAATCAAGATCGGTTTTCCGTTGTTTAACGTGGTCCAGGAACCTGGATCATTGTTGTTGCTGACGGCAATGTAGACCTGCTCCCCGTCGGGACGGCTTTCTCCCCTAAACTGTATCCCACAATCAGCTCCGGATTGAACTCAGTCTTGAGAGGTTCACTCACGTAGAAGTACGCATAGTCGGTGAAGTTCCATTTCGGTGCTTCTGCCTCCTGCCTTGGAGCTAACGCCTGGGGAACTGTAGAGCTAGCAAGGGCTAGGAATGGCGTACCTAGCGCTATAAGGGGCGTTAGAGAGCGCATTATGGTGAGAAGGAACCCAAGGATTGTTGGAACTTGAGCCACAGAGGTTTCGACGTGAGCCTGAGGATCTCTTCATCTTATGAAGCTGCGCGGAATGACTGCACCCTTTCTCATGCGGTTAGTTAATCAAAGGCTGAAGGTGACATTTTAGCCGAAAGGGACGTTGTTAAGAGCGCGAATCGCGAGATGGTATTGTTCGGTCCAATTTTTTGGTTTGCGGAATTACTTCGCCGTGTTTATTGAGCCAGAGATGACTTGCGTCCCGACTCCCGAATGCTCGGTCCGTGAGCCTACGCGTCCGTATTCCCCGGAAAGGGTCAAACTTTAACTACAATCGAGGCCAGGACTACACAAGCGATCTCCATATTCTATGGTCATTCTTGCATTTCCAAATCGATATGTTGGCATCGGGACTCCTGATTATGTATGCTTGGTGAACGCTTGCCACACCACATTTCTCACAAGTCGGTCCTGGGGAGGGATTGCATCGCGGCCTTGATGAGCAGCTCTGGTGGTGTCACTCCTCGATCTATGATGAGTATGGCTCCCCTCGTTGACACACATTCTCAGGATAGTTTAAGGTCACCGCCGTCTTCTTCATCCCTAATGGCGTGCATTTACTTTTTGCCTAACTGTGGTAGTAATAACTACCACGCCGGTAGTAATATTAATGCTTGCCTAAGTCTTCGCGCTCAACCTCTAGGCTATCAATACATGGACACATTTCACGGCTCGAAAAGTGTCCGAGCTCGTACAGTGCTCACCGAGAAAACGGTACAGAAGATCTCCAGAGAGTAATCCCTGAGACTTGTGAGTGGCTCCCGGACGTCCCAGGACACTCATCCTTAATCTTCACAGGATATCCGTCATATCTTCCCGACATTGCAGACCGTCTCAGTATGTCTCTGGGGCCGGAGTTATGTATTGGTAACTGCCTTTGTTGTCGTGGGGGTTCATCATTGTTGGATGGACGTGGCCTATGGGAACCGCGGGATAAACGTCGGGTTGCATTAAAGGAGGAGGTGCCAACTGAGTTTCTTGGGGCACGACAGCTCTGCCTGAGACGGTAAGAACGCAACCTTCACCCTTTCCAACAATTTCTACATTCGGAGGACGGCGCATATAGCCAGCTTTGGACGGCCTGCTACCCGTGAATGGCGCAGTATGTACCAAGTTTGCCAACAGCGTGCTAGACCAAGGCGCATCGGTAAAGAAGGTCACGCCAAGCCAGGAGATAACCGCAAGTACCAGAGCAAGGAGGCTCAAGAAGACTTGCAGAGGAGACACCGCCGCGATAAGTTTCTGCACGCTGATTTGGACCAGTGCTAAATCGACGCTCACGACGAAGCCTCTGGCAACCAGGAGATCCTCCATGACGGGGGCCGCTTTCGCTACCCAAGTAAAAACGGCGTCGTTGAGTGATTCTGAGCTACGATTTGATCTGCCTTTCCCGAGCCCGAATGCGATGAGGACAGCGGCGGTGTCCGTTTGGCCGAAGAACCTGTTATTATCGTATGTTTTCCTGCTGCCCACACAATCCGTCCGAGTAACCTTTCCGCCAAACGCCTCGTTCTGCCACGAGCCGAAGCCGCAATCTTCGAATGGCGTTGGCTCCTTGTCGATGGTCTCGGATCGTATTAGCGTGATGTTGGTCGATGTTATCCCGATAAGTGTGTACACTTCAATCGACGAGTTCGCCGAGTTCCTCGCTTCGAAGAGACCCCAGCTTGACTGGAGCACGGAGAAGTTATCGTTATCCGACACCGAGGCTCCTGAAAAGTAACTCATGTCTTGGTCCTGGGCACCCATCATGTCCTGTACAATCTGGCCTACCATCGGATGGTCTCTCGCGGTCTCGTTCGTGGGACTCCAAGTGCGCCGGACTAAATCCTCGACCTCCTTGTCGTCAAATGGAACGCCCGGATCTGATATCATGGTGGCACGCATTGTGGTTTCGACAAATGTGTGACGGCGGGTGCCTTTGGTCACGGTGAAAATTTGCATCATGGCGGTGGATCCACCACCCATGCCATACGACGCCCAGATGTTATTGATTCTGTTTGGGCTGATATATCGGGAGTCATCCATCTTGTCGGATTGGTCGTCCCAATGGATCTCGGGCTTCCCGACTGGGAGACAGATCTGAGAAAAGGTCGAACGAACTGAATTGTGGCAGCCTATTTCGAGAAAACAACTTTAACCTCGTAAAGACGTAGATGGCCCCCGCCCACGCGCTGCCATCGCTCACCAATCAAATGTCTACTTCTGTTCAAAAAAGGAAATTAATTGGGTAGACAAGCCCGCTCCGAGCACAAAAAATATCTGCCTCGTTAAGACACATGTGGCCCATCCCAAGGATTGGTTCCTTGACAAAAGGTCGTCGGGCATGGTTACTGGTACTGGGTGGGTGTCTTCACAGTGGCTGACCATCATGTTGGACTGGACGGGCCAAACCACCATTTCCTTACCATTTCCTCAAGCGTCTCGTCAAAGACGTTATTCTAAGGGAAGCGTTGCAGCCATGCACGGTCTGCATACTCCACGCCTGCTGATCATGGGCAGCTTGGATGCTCACAAACGTCGGCGAACCGGGTGCAACGTTCACCGGTCCAATACCTGCCTGTTACAATAGTTCGTATCTAGTGCTAGTTAGAGTATCATGGCCCGTACAACCGTTCTCGTGATTTTACCGCAGTCGCTCTGAATAATTTAGAGCGTGTAGTGCGGTAGACGCAAACAAGGACAAGATCTCGGTCATGACCAAAGATGCAGCCCTCAAGCTTGTCGAAGGCCCTGTCCGCTGCCCGGTGTACGATGTACTGCTTACCTTATGGGTCCTGTACAATTGTATGGCTCCCAGTAATCAAGATCGCGACTTCCTCAACGTCTGGCTTGGTCAGGTGGGCTGCCCTACCTATGCGGTACGTCCGCAATGTATCCCACACAAATATCGGAGTTGTGTTCAAGACACAATCTTGCAGGTTGATCTTGAGACTGTCCATTGAAGTCTTGCTCGTCCGCGGTTCTCTTGCTCCTTTCTGTCCAGACTTGAAGCCCACAATGCGCTCTAATAGGAAATTGCCAGCAAGCAGGGCGGATCCCGTTTGGGGCCGCCCTTGCTCGGCACGTTCAGCCCATTCCCACCAGAACGACCCCGTCGTGGAGCCTCAGCCATCCTCTCTCTACCGCATCACCGACTCGATCGTAGTCAGCCAGCAGGGCGGATCCCGTGTGGGACCGCCCTTGCTTGACAACGAGAACTCTAATAGTAAGCGAAGATAGATAATGGCATTAACATGTCGGGTAGCTAACAGATTCAGCCCATTCCCATCAGAACGACCCCACCGCCGAGCATCAGCCATCCTCTCCCTGCCGCGTCGCCGACTCAGCCATAGTCAGCCAGCAGGGCGGATCCCGCGAGGGGCCGCCCTTTCTTCGCAAGAAGAACTCTGATAGTAAGCGCAAGGTGGACAATGCCATGAACATCTCGGGTAGTTAACACAGCGCCTTAGCCACCACAAGGCGTCGAAGCACGGTCGCGAAGAAGGCGGATATCAAACTCCAGTCCGGTCTCGTCGACGTTGACCATCCTCGTGTCCCTATTTCCAAGCAAGAGAAACGCAAGCGCAGACAGTCCGAAGCTAGTGAAAGTGACGATATAATCCTTGATACAATTGTGGTAGCCACGGAGGCAGTGGACGTGATTGGATCAAGCTGTGAGTTCTAATTAGCGAATTTGGATTTGCCGCGTAGCTGTGCCAATCCTCACTCTGAGTTAGCGGCGATTCCCGGCAAGCAAGCGCCATCGACAGCTAAAAAGTCGACTCGGATGTCGCTGCGGACGCCTGTAACATTCGATTGTGTCCGTAGGCGCAGGGTTACTAGATCAATGGGAAAGAATACGATCAGTCACTGCGAGCCCACACCAAGCAAGCAAACAGAGAGCCACATCGGTGTCGCCGACCTCCCAGTCACTCCTTTAACACAAGGACCTGTAAAGAAGCCGCGCCTAGTTCGATGCGAATCTGAAGCTGCACACCTATGCACCGATGCTCCGGCCCGCCCGTCGTATAGCCAATCCTTTCCCCACGGGCATGAAACCATCCTAACACCTAGTAACGGCAACCTCTGTGGGTTTTATGCCTTCATCCTGAGCATGACAGCGCAACACCCGGAAAAGATAAAGCCAACTGTAGACGAACTCTGTCGGGTAGCGAAGAGCGACGAGATGAAAGAGATAATCGACCTCATTAAGCTTGGTAGCGATGACCCAGACCATGAAGAGACGACATCAAACTTCCGAGCAGACCACCTCGCGAGGATAATCCAGCTCTGGGGTCGCCAGCATGGTCTCGATATCCTTCTTGCCGTCTGGATGGATGCCCAGCCGCCTCTGATATTAGACTCTGGCGTGATCACTGCAGCCACTATCACCGTCTGGATACACCATGACAATGCGGCGGATGAAGTCAACAATGTCCTGGGCCACTACTCCGGGATGAGGCGTGCAGCCTGTAGGGTAATTGCCGACAGTCAATCGCCCGTCAGCGTGGCAAGTTACTTGCAGAGACGCATTCGCTCGACAAGCCCGACCGCCATCAGCCCATGTCCCCGCCGTATTGATAGGAGTTTGATTATCGCGGACAGCCAATCTCCCGTCAGTGTAACGAGCCCCGAGAGGAGCCTCATGCTTCCAGATTCGGCCGTTGAAGATTCCGCCCCTATCCATTGCTCTACGACAAGAGCTAAGGTAGTGGCAAGCACCCAGTCACCAGTCGTTAGGGCGGATCCCGCTAGGGACCGCCCTGATTCGACAAACCGGTCCCATCTCGGTCCGGATCTCTTCCACCCAAAGGGGTTCTGCGAGCGAGCAGTGGAGGAGGCCCTGAAAACGATCACTGTCAAGCGCAAGGCTAAGGCTAAGGCCACCCTCAGCACCGAGGCACCTGATGAAGACCCATTTACCTTCGTCTATAACCACCCCAAGCTGACCCTACACCCTGATCGAAACTACAAAGCCGATGTTAACTCGAGTAGGCGAGGTCGGAAAATAGCTTGGGAGTTGCGCGCCGAAAAGGGAGGCCAACATCGAAAATTTTGTCGCTTGTTCGCCACCCCCACCCGGAAGTACCTTGGGGCATCTACTGCGCATGTTACTTACACGCGTGATGAAGCCTTGGCAATCTGCCGCAAGCTGGTGGATGCCTTGAACCGGTGGCCAGACCAGGAGGCTATTTCTTGGAGTGGGCAAATGCCAGCTACACTTACTACAACTTTCGCAACTCTCTTTCTCGCCGCGCATTGCAGTGCCATTCCATATAAACCTTTGGAGCTACCTCTACCATCGGTCATGTTTGACCCTACAGGCAGGTGTCTTTTAACACAGGGATTCTACCGTCTCGATCCCGAGACGTTTACTGGAGTTCTAGGGCGACGCAGGTTACCGATTGACTGGATCCGTACCGATGCACCAGAGCCACAAGATGCAGTCTTTGTAACGCCTGTACATAGGGGACGGCAACCAAAAATAGTCAGGGAATTGGACGAAATAGAAAATCAGGACGTCCAGCGATGCCGACGATTCATGCGATACCTCTCCAGCCGATGGGCCAGGATGTGTCCACTCAAAACCTCGGCCGAGTCAAACATGACCTGGTACCACGAAACCGGAAAATTCAGGTCCGATGCCGGGAAATACAAGTGGGCTTATGATGGAGGAGCTATCGTGTACTGTGAAAGGATATATAGCTGCGACTGGACGAGGATAGAGCCTTCGAAATCGGTTCGACGAGATATTTCGGGGGAGTTGCCCAACCTTGGTCTCTGCTCTTGGGATATTGCTTGGAGAAACCAAGTCCTCAGTGTCAGTCTGGAAACCTGGAACGCAACGAGCGATATTCTTGCCACCTGGTTATCTCTCGCCAGAGCCGTTGATGGCGCCAACGCGCAGATCTTCGCCGGGGAGCTGCCGCCGAACCCCTGCAAGTGCACGCCAGAGATGACACAAATCGTTCAGCATCCTTGCAGCGCATGTGGTATTGATATGTCATGCAAATCCCTGGCCCTCGATCAAAACAATATTCGAGTATGCTCCCGATGTCTAGCCGGGGCCCATGGTAATCGGCCCCCGATATTGGAAGCGAGGGTAATACGAATATTCAAGGCGTTGATTAGTAGGGACCGGATAGCGATGGGGTTGCGGGGGTCGTTGGATAATACCCCTTACTCGAATGCTCTGCTATCATGGGTTAGGACTACCCTCGATCACCGGCGAGGAAAGGCATACATCAATCAGTATTCCGGAAAGCTCCTTGGCGCGCTCTCTTCACCCAAGTCGCAACGGCATCCCCTCAGTCTTAGCTGTGACGCTATTTTCCCATTCTCTCTCGACGACACAGGTAAGGCAGCCATCCACTGGGTGGATAATCTAGCCATGGTACCATGGGCCTTAAATGCCTGCAAGCACACGTACCTCCCGGTCGTTTTACAAGCGCTCGGTACATACCGTCGCAGTCTTTTGGCCCTGTCTGGGCCTATCAAGTCCCACGATCACGTCGTACCTGAAGAAGTTGCCCGTCTGCAATGCGCTCTGGTGGTGGACTGCGGGCGCTTCACTGATATCCGCCGCAAATTCCCCAAAAAAAGACGATCCCGGCTACAGCTGGAGGTTAGCCCGGAACAACTTCAGTACTTCAGAGAGGAATGGATTTCCGGCAGGTTCCACCTGGGAGCCCCAGCACCGATCGAGACTAGATGTGAAGTTAGGGTAATCCGGCACCCTCGGTGGCTGACAGCTCGTTCTCGCCTTGCTAAGCTTGCCGATGAAATGCAAAGGTGGGCAGGTGTACGACTTCCCCAACGCAATGGATGCCCGTATTTCGCACATCCCATGACGATGCCATACGACTGGAGCTGGACACTCGCCGAATCGATCTTCACGGAGCGGCTCTTCAGGATGAGACAACATTGCAATCGCCATTGGATCACAGAAGATACTCCAGAGACTCTCTTCCTAGAAGCCATTTTCCAGTGCTGTGTCCGTCACATGGCAGTCGCAAGCGTCGACCCAGAATCCAACATCAAGAAGGTGTTGCAGGTAAAATACGCTGAGTTTCTGGGCCTGCCCCTAACAGTCGAAAGGGGTAACCCACTTTGTTTTGCCATAGCTCACCGGGTACGCCTAGCTCAGTGGTCTCTAGTAGAGTGCTTTTGAGAATTCGTTTGTTTCTGATCTACTAACCTTTCCCCCCAGGTCCATGGTCAGCAAATGCGCACCGGGTGGGCGCTCGAACCAACTCGCCTGGGGGATCGTGTTGATGAAAGGAATAATATCCTCGTCGAAGCCGCCGTGTCTAATTACCTCAAGATGAACTTCGACGAGGCGTATTACCCGATGCTCCAAAATCTCATCGCCGAGATAAATATGCCACGGGAGATCGTAAACCCGGAGCTCGAGATTGGTCCGTATGATGCGGCATTGGATGTGGCTGCATCCACACATGGACGGGACGGTGAAGAGAGCTCGGACGATGACTGGGATCAGCTGAGTGATGAAGACGTTGTCGAAAGGGATAATATCGAAGAGGACGCAGACGAAGATAGCGCGTTGGGGCATTTGGACTAGAAGGACGGATATTTAGTTAGATACATATACAGGGGAGGAAAAGGGGTGTGGGGATACGAATATTTAGTGAAGGCCGTTGAAAGCTTTGGTACATTTCGCCCGACAGCGAGCAGAGCCATGTTTGGTAGCGTATATGTAAAAGAGAGGCAAATGAAAAGACCCATTATTGATCCATGTTCTGCGGCATGGCATGTCGTGCCATTCGTATCGAGTACAAGGGCACCGATTTGAAAGCAGGGAAAAGCTTGAGTTGAGTAGGAAGTCTCCCCGTCGTTGGTGTGTCTGAACGTCAAGGTGATGATGATGAAGAATGTTAGCACTCAATGACGAGACCACAACGGAGAAATGTTCATTAAACGGAGCGTAAATGTGGGTCATTGCTACCCTGTAGAAGCGTTCTTGCTTTTGTCAACATCATGGAGCTCCAGCGGAAACGACGGAGCAGTAGGCACCAAACCGAACTGCCAACCCAGCCACACATCCTAGAACCATTGATAAGTCACAAAACCACCTAATAAGAACGCTGGGATAGAGCAGTGTAGCGTACAGTGGGTCAAAGTGCAGTACAATTGTAAACTAGGAAAGGGCGCTCGACTCTTCGTGCGCTAATCACCATCATGACCGTGTGATCCAGTGCTGAGGTTGGTGGGCTATGCACCTGAACTGATAACGCGTACAGGACGCGTTCGCGTTTTAGTGAGTGGCACACAAATACCACTCCGCTGATGTAAGCGGAAATCTTGCGGCCCCCCCCAAACCCTCAAGACTAGAAAAAACACGCATCCACGGCAAACGCTTCTAACGAAGAGCCCGAGGACCTTCTGTTTCCTTTATTTGGGAGGATGCCACCGCCCCCCCGCCAATTTGGGACTCGCCTTGGTTGCGGCCTCAGGCGACTTCAGTCTAACGACAATGTATTACCTTGACATTCCAGACAGCGCTGCCGACAGTAATTCAGGACAGGCGGGCACTTTCTAACAGTGCCTACAATATCATGGTTCCTTCACCCATATCAAGCAATTCGTTATCTTAAATTCTATTTCCTAACACTCATTCATTCTTAGGTCTTCCACTGACACTTGAAGTGGCACCCGTACCGCCAAGAGGGGTAGGACAACCGGACTCATTGCCTACCAAGGCCCATTCTCGCAAGTGCCTCGAACACTAAATCGACCCTAACCCTTCCCAAATCAAGTCACTTGCTTTCTTCTCTTTAGACAATAACGATTCCCCCAAGGAGTCACGACCGGCTTCCCATACCAGCAGTGACTGCCGAAACTCCACATTGAAGTCCGTCTAGTCACTACCCAGTCACCCATAAAGGACCGACAAAGAGTTGGGAACCTAGGACCGGCCTCTCTCCCCTTTACTCCAACTCAGCCTTCGGCTCGGGGTCGGAAGTAGGTAGAAATTACCCTCGGTGTTTGTTCCTGCATACTCGCGGGTGGCTGGCCAAAAGTTCCATCCAATTTGATTTTCATTTTACATTGCACAAGTCACAGGTCTGTCTACCCGCGGGTGAGCAGTTTCTTCCTGTTTTCAGTATTCTTTCCTTATATTCTACCTCGAGCTACCCGCGGGTAGGCTTTTTCTGTGGTAAAAATTTTGAAGTTTATATATGAAAAGCCTACCCGCGGGTAGCCAGAGGCAGAATACAGAGGAACAAAACTGAGAATTGAAAGAAATTGCTTACTCGCGGGTAGACACCGGGAAGATTGGACAGCAGGATTTTCTCAAAAGAAGATAATAATAATAAAGGCGAATTTAAAATACAAAGACAAACGACGCTCTCCAAAGTTTCTGGATAGAAGAGCTCCATAGATTATTGTCTTCTTCCGCATTATGATCATTCAGCTCCGAGATATGGGAGGAAGGGGGGAGGGTACGACAGTGCGGGCCCATGAGGCTAATATAGGCGCCCAGCTCCACAAGATGGGAATCGCGTATGGATGGCATCTGCTCGGCAACAGTCTCGTCTCTCCCAACTAGTATTTTCTGGAGATTTTGCACTCTTCCCCGTGTTTCCTCGACTCCCGGCAGAATACGTGCTACCCGGTCGGACAAGATGGGAATAAGGCGGTCATGACATGCTTCAACGTCACCATCACCGACTTGCCGCCGACTCTGTCGAACAGGGGTGGTGGATTTTGCGGTGGAATTCACGCCCGTGGCAGTGCGTGTGCCAACATATTCACAATCCTCGAGGAAGAAGGTTGAGGCAGGAAAAGGGTAGTGGTCGGCCAGACCACTCCCCCAACCTTGGCTACGCCGTTTTGTCGCTACGCCCTTTTTGCTTTCTGTGAACGCTTTGGCATTTTGGGAACTAAAGAGCTGTCTAGACTCTCTACTGTGGACTGCACTCTCTACTATGGCCCGCCTCAAGCGCGTTGTCCTCTTCATCGTCATCTCCACATTGGTCATCTTCATCGTTCCCCTCTCCGCCGCCATTCCCATCTTCATTATCCGACCATCGCTGGACTCGTCTAAATGTCCTCACCGTCATCCTTCTGAATTTATGTCAAATTCCAACTCCAACTCGTGGTCCGCATAAATATTTTCTTTGGCAACCGCATTGGCTCATGGCAAACCGATTCCCGGTCGCCTGGATACATGGCATGGATGTTGGACAGTTCTCATCGTCGTGTTCATCCGAATCCCAACCGCCCGTGCGTCTCTCCTCCCTTTGTTGTTGAAGGTGGCCGAATATAGGGCTCTGTGTGGCACGACGGCCTGTAAACGGCATGATTATCTCTATCGGGGACGGCTTGGAGGTCCCCACATGTTACGGCTCTGTTGGCGGGTGATACCGCCATCATCGCCGCCTGATTCAGTACGGCGAGGCTCGAAGAATACATCTATCACTTTTCATCTACCGGCTTTTGTGCGGAGTCGGCAGAAGCGGGAAGGAGAGGAATAACAGAGCCGACCAATTTAGCCGGTAATTGTCGCGCATGCGCACTTGCGTGGGAGGATAAGTCCAAGGACCTCTTTGGACTCGGCGCGATGCGCCAAGTCTGACTTGTTTGAATAAGGAAACAACAGATCTAGTTCCCTCCAATTACGGACTTCCACAAAGAGTGACATGTTGCTCAATTTTTGCCCTAATCAAAGATGCAATTGTGTGGGAATGAGTGTTATTGAGCAGGAAGGGAATTTCCTGGGAATGAAACGAATGAATGACGCTGACTTGGTTCGGTGGCAGCTCCGAGGCAGCTGGCAGCCAGCCAGCCGGGCCGCCAACAAATTGTGGTCAATTCTTACATGACCAACAGCTGGTGCTTGTCACGCGTAGACTGCGTCACGACTCACGACCGGCAGGAGCACGAGGGTCCACGTGGCAAAAACCTAGCGCAGGAACCTGCTACGTTCATTAGTATTGGCACGCTCCGCCCTACCACGCTATAGTTTGCCAACCATTCCAAGTAATGTGAGAGTTGTAAAAGGCATGTTGTGTACTGCTCGTCGGCTGGGACCCCGGTGCGCATACGCCCTGCATAGAACAGGTCCGCGCACAGGAGTCGGCGGATTGTTGACGAGATATCATGATTCTAGTGACTGGTGCAGTCCGTGTAGCTTAGTGGAGACAAATCTTAAATACTGATGATGTGGACACTTGTTTTGAACGAATGAGACTAGGAGTGGTAATTCGTAGTGTTCGGGCGGGAGATGGCCAGCATGACGAAGGCTGCAAAATTTGTTGGTTGGACATCTCGGCAAAGTACTGAAGCTTCTCATGGGAAGTTGTGATGCTTCCACACTGCCTGACGCGTCGCGAACAGAAAAGCAAAATACAAATAATAATAATAGATGACTAATTAAAGTCATGATTTCAAAAGCTTAGGATAGCTCCTCATCCTTTTCTAGATGATCTTATACCAGGGTCGGTCCGCTCCGACCTGGGACAAGGTCGATGCACTGTTGGCAGCACCTTTGTATATGAGGGAGCTTTTTAGTATCGGAAGAGAGATTGGCGATGTAATGGCCAGTATTATGAACAGCTAGAGGTAGGATATATTTTTTTTTTCTCTTTTCCTTTTGTTTTTCCATAGAGCATGTAACAATAAATTCATAGATGGAGCTGCCCATGCTCACCAAGGCCATGAGATACACCCCTCCCCATCACACATCTCTACCTCTCATCACCTTCTTGTCGATCCTTTCTCCGAGCACACAATGCGGCAAAGTATTGCTCTTAATTTAGATGAAGCAGTTGCCGCTGCGCAGCCCTTCATGACGTTCCCAAATACGAAAGTTGTCGATGTTTCACAGCAGTTTAAGGAGAAACTCCAGGTTCTAGAGAGCCTCATGACCAAACTTCGTCGCTTGCGATCAACCTTTAACGTGTCGGAGAAACCGGATCAAGATCCTGGACAAAAGGCTACGTATTGGTTCAGTTGCCCACAGCTGGGACAAGTTGGGACGATTGTGCACAGGTAATTTCCTTTTTGGAATAGAAGCGGACATTTCATTGGTGGGCTGGTCGTATTGATCTTCGGGTTCTTCCGTCCCGCGGCTTGACCCACCCAAGCCATGGCAGCCCGGATGTGCCGCCACCAGTATCGCCGCCCATTTCTCACACCCAATTCCGGTATCATCGTAACTCCCAGGCAGTAAACCATACCTATCAAGCTACAGAGTATCACAGACCTCGTAGTTATTTGTAGATAGTTTTTCATACCACCCTGGTTGAATATCAACATCAAAAATTACAAAAGTTACCAAAACTTTGGCCGTAATCCATAAGGGAAGGAAGGAGCGAACCGAACCACAGTAGAACCCAGCATCCACGCAGAAACTTGTTCGTGTCAACTTCGCGTCCGCTCGTGTGCTATTTTCTCCTGCATTCTACCGAGGGCGCATGTTCCATATTTGAAAGCTCCCTCGTGCTCTTTTCCCTTTCTTCTCCTACATACAGGACACACGTTCGACCAGAAAAGACTTGTGCCGGCCGCTTCTCCATGAGATTGTTTCCTGCTCTCTTTTTTTCTTTCTTTTTTCTTTTCTCCAGACATCGTCTTCTATCGCAGACGCAATTCCCCCATAGGCTTTACAGAGTAAGGAACCAATCGACTTCCCTACGTCCCAGGTTTACTTTGCACATCACCATGCTAATCCACTTCCCAGCGCCCTCTTCCCAACATATTGGTGATCCCGTCGTGAATAAAGACGACTAGATCTCATTTGGGACTAGTCTTGTTCACTCTAGTTAGTCTATGGCTTATGTCCATCGTATTTCAGCCACTCTAATGCCATTCATAGCGTCCCCTGCCTCCTCTGCTTTCTTCGCCTCTCCCTCCGCAAATAACCTCGACCGGACCTCTTTCGAGGCCAGTCTTGTTATTCTGGTAAGTCTCTACCCTGAGTCCATTGTATTCTAGCCGGTCTAATGCCCTTCTCAGCTTGGACCAGATCTCGTTTGAGACTATTTGTCCTTCTCCCTCTCTTCACTCCCCCTCCTCTGCTTTCTTCGCCTCTCCCTCCGCAAATAACCTCGACCGGATCTCTTTCGAGGCCAGTCTTGTTATTCTGGTAAGTCTCTACCTGAGTCCATTGTATTCTGGCCAGTCTAATGCCTTTCTCAGCTTGATCCATCTCCTCTATCTCCGTTCACTCCCCCGCCACAGATAACGAGTGACCAGATCTCGTTTGAGACTAGTCCAGTTTATCTAAGGTAAGTCTATACATTGTGCTCACCGTAAATATTATTGTACTAACGCCTATACTTGCTTTGTCTAGTCAAAATGTCGAACCAGCAAAGCCAAGGCAAGACCAAGACGCAGGAATGCGCTCTGGTTTGTGAGGGCTCCTCCGGTATGCGTGTGATCGGTGGCCAAAAGATCGGATACCCTGCCAATCACCGAACCATGTTCTTCTGGTCAAGCCAGCCCAGCAAGCTCCCATGTGTCGGTATCCGAATCCTATTCCCCAGGTCCAGCAATCCCAACGTCTCCTTCTTCGGGTTGGACGGTCGTCCCAATGCTTACCTCGGAATTGAAGTGAGATTACACGTTGGCACGTGGACCTCAACTGCTGAGAAGCTTGACGGCGAGAGACTCGAGGCCCTTCCGAAACGAGCTGCTGAGAAGGCCGGTCCGATGTGCTTATTGAGATTTAAGCTGAAAGATGGCCAAAGCGCGTCGGTTGAGGGTATCGGTCTCCCCTTTGATGCCGCAAACGACGATGATGATCAGGTTGTCAACCATGGACAGCCTCTTGACGGAGTCCGCACGCTTCGGGACATTTGCACGCAGACAGAGTTCGTCGTGCTTTTCGGTGGCTGTATGATGATTCCTAGAGGAGAAACTTGTTTTCAGCAGGACTTCCCTAAGATCATCAAGCCCGTATTTCCATACAGCACTGGGTATGTATCATATTAACCCCCTTCCAGTGTTTAATTAATTTTAATTAGCTAACTTCAATGTTTCTAGCAATTGGTCCATGTCCCGCTACGGCCAGGAAATCCCAACCTCCGCTGGCAGCCGCAACTACGCTCTGACCTATAGGTTTGACGATCGTCACGACTACATGGTCAGCGTTTCCCAGGGGGTCGTGCAAGACGTCTTCCAGTTGGCTGAGGACGTAAGGGCTATCCGCCAGAGGCCTGTGGAAGTGATGTTCCTGCGCACCTGCGACAGAGCCGACAACGTGGCTCGCGAGTTTACGGTCCTCATCTGGCACGGATTTACTGTATGTGGTTTGCATTGATTGTACCCTTTCTATTAATCACTTTTGTTAACTATCCAATAGGAGCGCGATTCCTTCTCGCCTTCTCTCCCTCGCCTGCTCTCGAAGGACACACGCCTCGCCCTCGCCTTTGGTCTCCCGCCGCCGCACGTCATGCACGACGACTCAGAAGAAGGAACCAAGGATACCAACTTCTGGGAGGCAAGGCCTGTTGCCATGGAGAAGGAATGGTCCGATGCCGAATGCGACATCGCTGTCAGGATCCGGCGCCCGCGACAAAAGGATGTGAACTCCGCGACGATAAACTGCCCAATCCATGCGTACGATAGCTTCGCGGATGGCAAGAAGGTCGGGCTCGAACCAGGTAAACAACAATATTACCTGAAATTCGATGCTGGCCTTCACGTCGCTCGACGTCGGGTGGAGGCCGCCCACGCAGCCTTAGAGGAGGACGAGGACGAGGATGAGCTCTGCGAAAAGCAGATCAACCACATCCTAAAGAAGGACTTTCAGACTGGCTCAGGATTTCGATCCCTGTTAGGCAACACCACCCTGGGCTCCGCCAGCCATACCACAGCAGACGGCGTTGAGTCCCTAACGACCTCTCTCGACGCTATGGCCATAACTGCTCCCCAACCTCCAACACCTCCCAGTCCTCTAACGCTCCCTCATATCGACATCTTCGGCTCCGTTAATGGCCACATCTCTGCCGCAGTCACCAAGAGGGTTAGTGACGAAGCTCGCTTCAAGAAATACCTCGAAGTCACTCGCCTTGGCATCGTGGCCATAATTGGCTTCGCAGGCTCCGGCAAGACACAGCTGCTTGCCCTGACTGCTAGGCTGTACATGGGGCATCCGGACATTGGCAAGTTGGTGTGTAGTGCCCCGACTCACGTGGCTACTAACAACTTCGCCAATCGCCTGCATCGAATCTGTCAGGACATCGCGAAGGAGACCAGTTCCAGGTCCCCGCTGGTTGTCCGTGGCTACGCCGTCCGAACGGAGGTTGCAGCGTTCATCAAGATTGCTGCTGGCAACTCGAAGGGTGCAGAGGAGGATATTGTTGACCCCTACAAGACAGGAAGGTGGTCGCTAAACCTCTCGCCATGTGAGTGGCTTCTAAAAGTTGTTGCATCTCCTGGCTTTTCCCTCTCCGCCACCGACGCCGACTGCCTCCACACCCTCCACCACCACATCCAAGACAGCCGCAAGTTCGAAGGTCTTCGCCAGTTCGTAGCTGGCAATATCTCCTTTGGTGAAATTGAAAGTTACACCAAGGAGGCGAACACTGAGACACCGTTCGAGATGGTACGGGGTCTCATCGAAGACATCATCATGCTTGCAGATGCAGTCTGTGCAACCCCCTTTGGCCTAAGCCAAGCCCCTTATGCGAAATTCAACCGCACGGAGGCCAAGGGTGTTGTGCTGGATGAGGCTGGAGCGATGCTTCAGGCGGACGCTCTGCTTGTTTGGGGTCGGGGCTGCCGGCCTTGTATCATGGCTGGCGATCCGAGACAGTTGCCGCCCACTGTCATGACCCACGGCGAGACCCGCAATGGCAAAGTCGTGAACATGTTCTCTGAGTTTGCAAAGCTGTCTCAGCTAGAGCATGTGATGAGGATGGGGTGGCCCTGCTTCGTCCTGAACGTCCAGTTCCGGATTGTTGCGGGCTCCTTTGACGTCGCACGGAGCATCATCTACTCTGACGTCGAGGATTTTAAGTACGCGGCTAAAGCTGCAGTGTCCGCCAACCCCGTTGCCGCTAAAGTGGAGACGTGGGTAAAGTCGGCGTACCACGCCCCCGCATCCCCGGCAGACAAGATTTTGCCGCTGTTTTTCGATTGCGTCGGTTCGAAGTGCCTCCAAGACGAAGAGGCAAAGTCCCGCTACAACCCGCAGCAGAACGCAGCTGCAGTCCGCCTCGTCGAGGGCCTCCTCCGCGCCAACCTCGGCCTCAAGGGGTCTGATGTTATCATTATTACCCCTTACAGGGCGAATTTCGATCGACTTCAGACCGCCTTTAGCCAGCACCCACTCCCTGTCTGTCGAGACGTAGTCATTAACACTACAGACTCCTTCCAGGGTCGCGAAGGCATGGTCGTGGTCTTCGTCCTGGGCGTCACCGAGGAGACAGGCCCACTCTTTGTTGCCGACCACCACCGCATTTGTGTGGGCCTTACGAGGCAGATCGGTGCCTTGTTTGTCGTTGGCGACATTAATACCCTTCGGCCCCGAGGTAAAAACGAACCAACGAATCCGCGGAATAACACTATGAATGCGCTCCTAGGCTATTTCCGAGACACAAAACGGATTGTCCACGTGGATGCCTTGGGAAACAGGACCAACCCGCCTGCGCGTCCCGGTGGTGTTGGTGGTGTTGGTGGTTCCGGGGGTGTTGGTGGTCCTGGTGGTGTTGGGGGCGGAACTGCCCGCCCTCGTGAAGGTCGTGGTCGAGGTGCTCGTCCTGGTGGAGGCGGTGGGAAGGGAAAGGTTTCGGCTTCTGGGCAGGGCAGTGGGGGACATGCGCGAGGTGGTGGCAGGGGCCAGAGCAGAGGCCAGAATAGGGGTCACTGAAAATCGTGCCCGGGCTGATGGGTCAGATTGATTTCGGGTAATCATATTATGTCTCTTCGTCTTGCACATCGTGATCTTCCATTCTTCCCAGTAAGTTAAAGTGAGCTGTATGGTGTTTATCACCCCTCGAGTTTCAAAACTGCTTGGCCCGCCTCTCCATTGACGCCTTTCAACTTGCCATCGACTGGACGAAAAGTGGCGGACGACACTTCAACTTCTCATTCCTTCTGCACACAGAACCGTTGGTATATTGACAGGCCGGGCAATTGTAATGATGTTACCCGTCGGTAGCAACACGCCTAGATAACGATGGGCTTCTGCACATGGTCCCAAGCAAACGAGGGTTCGGAGTCTAGTCGCAGCATCCCTAGTGAGATTTCAGCTTAGACAGAGAACCCAGCGCCGTTCCCAAACTTCCTCCTTTATTTCCCAAATGCTTCACCGCATATTGGGCTACCGAAGGCCTATGCTCTAGTTGCGTGATTATCCCGCTCACACCCTCAGCTCATGTAGTGTTGTAGAGCTTGCCTTCCAGTCCTGTCGAAATCCTCTGCTGAGGTACTCCTGGCAGCACTCCTCCCGCCATTGTACTTCCTTGCTAGGTTGGGTCTGCCGTCGTGTGGCTGTGTATGCATTTCCTCTCCCAAATCCTTTTTCGTCATGCGCGGAAAGAAGTTTTTGTTTCTTCAAACGTGCATCCCACGTCGTGGGGCCGTTTTTCCGTGGAAATCTATTTAGTTGCTCGGCCATTCAGTAGATAGAGCGTTCCTTAGTTTTTGGAGAAGAGCGGAATAGAAAATTCGACGGCATCGCCCCAATATATCAACAGGCACGCATTTCCTCTTGCGTGTTTTCCCTCTCATCTTCAAGTCACAGGAGAAAATCCTACCGAAATCGAGTACGCGGGTCTTTCACTAGAGCACGCAGTTGCCAATCAACCGGAAATGGGTCGGAATTGTTGGCGGCCCGGCTGGCCCATGGCCACCTGGCCGAGAGGCCGTTTTCCCTACAAGTAGTTTTCCTCGGTATTGTTCCCAGAGGTAAACCAAAGCCACGTGACTGATCCCAGACAACTTGCATGCAGGCTGAGCAGAAAAGGAACGCGGTCTAGCTGTAGTAACCTTTCAAACGGTGTAAGATTTATTAAAGTCAATCTGGGCGATTGTGCCGAGTTTGGTGGTCCGTCTAACATCAATTCTCTGATCTACTGCATCAAGTGGCTGATTGGGTTGGATTGGGATCCGGTATTCCATACAGAACACGCGCCCATATTTGATTCTCGCCAGGAGGTCTCTGTTCTGTTGCACATCCACCCCCGAAACGCGGCTGGCACTCGCTTCTGCATGTGCAACGGCCTTTTTACAGTTGTATTTTGGGGAATCCCACCACAGCGAAGCAGACTTCCGTATGTGAACTCGTAGGAATATAAGTTTTCTCAATTTTTTTTATTTTATTTTATTTTGTTTTATTTTTTTTTTTTTTTTTTTGCCCTGTTCTATTCCGCGTTTCCTCCTAGCGGATCTCTGTAGAGGGTCTAGAATCTCACATATCAAGGGTAACCGGACGCGGTTCTGCTTAGTGATTCGGTTGAGGCTGCGGAAATCCACGCACAACCGCAGCTTGTCATTCTTCTTACGGACAAGCAATATATTGGGCACATGCAGAGCTGCTGCCTGGCTTGACCGACCCTAATCAATCGCGTTCCCCGGGCATTTTCACATTGCCTCGCGCTTCTTCTCTGCTAGGGGGTAGATTAGTCCCCAGCGAGGCGTCGCACCTCCATCGAGCTCGGGGTATACTAGGGCCGCTGGATGGCACGCAGAAGGCAGATAAAGGTCGTGGTAGTGTGCAGCGCCCCTTCCAACCCTTTCTTCTTTCCCCATCTTCGTGCGATGCATCCTGCCGTGTACCTGGTGACTGGTTGTCTCTGTCCGGGCCGCCTAGGGCCATAGGCTGTAGTCCCTGAACGCGTTATCTGGAGGTCCCTCCATTGCAGCGTAGCCGGTTGTACCGCATCTGCAGGGTCAGCAGCCATTGTAAAGATATGAGGCGCCTTATTAGCACTATATTTAATCTCCTATTTCTTCCTCATAGACGCTATTGCATCAAGAGTGAGGGAGTACACCCGTTTGCAACTTTAGATGAAAAGGTGGATGTCTCCAGTAGTAAGCTAACATATCCGAATTACACAATCGACCAAGCCTGGGTCGAATCTTAGTAGCGTATATCACAATGTTTTTGGCTCCAGTCGAATCGTAGCCCATGTCCTTGCAACTCCATTACTTGTCCAGTACGAAGTACATATGGCGTAATAACTATTAAATAATTGTGGAAGGAGCTATTGTTGTATTGACTAGATAGGAAGGAATTGGTCCTTCACTGCCTTCCGTTTTATATTGGAAAGAGTGGGCCAATTCCATGGAAATTATCCTAGTAATTTCTTCCTTGCCGAAACAGTTTCTACGTCACAAACCCTAGCCGAAACCAATTTCCATTCCCAAAACGTTTCCCTTTCTATGGTGCGACTTCGGAAGACCCTCTGCCGTCTAAAAAGGCCTGTTTTACAGTGGTATTTTGGGAATTTATATCCGACGGTACTTCGTATTGGATTGTCCGATCAGGTCCGAGCTAAGTTTTGTTTCCATATCCCTGCAAATATTCCAACAATAATGTTCAATTCCGCCCCCATGTCCCCCCAATTTTCACTCCACTCCCATTCCAAGCTTCACCTCCTCGACTGCAAATTTCTCTTTAACCGAGGTTCTGCCAGCCCACCAACTTCAGCTCCTTTAAATTTATTTACCACCACAATCCATCATCATAATCATCACATCACGTCATCGCCAAGCCGAGCCTGTTTCTGTCAAATGGAGCGTGTTTCCATCGCCATCAAGCAGTCTTTCATCAAATTCTACCATTGCAGCTACAACAACAGCTTCCATATGGTGGCTTTTATCCCTTTTCTATTCAACTTCTATTGAGAGTTGACCAGCGATATCTTGGCAATTCCTTCTACAATTCCATCCATCAATCTGGGTGGTTTTTTCCACATTTCTGTTTGACCTCTATTGAGAGTTAAACGACCGATATTTTCACAGACGCGGCGAGAGAAAATATTCCCAAATCTGCAAAATATTTGCCTGTTGGCAGAACCTTAAGATGTTGGCATATAATCCCCTAATTGATATCGATTTATTTGCGCTCATAAGACAAGCTGCTGATAATAAGTTCAGATCATAGCTGCTAGCAATTCACTAAGCACCTGCATCCCATCTGCCAGGAGATCGAAAAAGAGAGCAGCTCCAGGTCGCCGCCGGTTGTCTGAGCCTACGCAGTCTAAACCGAGGTTTCAATGTTCATCAAGATTGCCCACGGCAACTCCAACAATATAAAGGAATCTTTGAGCTCTACTAAGAGCTGACCAACAATATTTTGAAGTGCGACGAAAGGAGATTCTGTTTCTTACCGGTCGGCGGTCTTCGAGCTCTATTAAGAGCTGACCGACAATATTTTGAAGTACGGCGAAAGAAGATACTGTCTCTTGCCAGTCAGCAGTCTTTAAGCTCTACTAAGAGCTGACCAACGATATTTTGAAGTACGACGAAAGAAGAATCTGTTTCTTGCCGGGCAGTGGTCTTTGAGCTCTACTAAGAGCTGACCAACAATATTTTGAAGTACGACGAAAGAAGATACCGTCCCCTGCCGGCTGGCAGAACCCCAGAAGAGTCGACACAGAAGTCCCCCGGTTGAAACTGTGAGAACAAAGGTTGTTCACACGAAAGCAAACCAACGAATAGTGCCCTATTTGGTCCTAGGTTCGGCAGCTCACACCGGACTTCCTTTGACCTCATGAGACGACCTCCTGATGAGGCTTCTTGGATAAGGAATATGGGGAGCTAAAAGTGGCTCCAGGAGGGATCATCACGATGAAGGCTGGGCCAGAAGGTAAGATCAGCACGCACAACTCACTAGTTCGCTCTATCGCTCACACCATACAGGATCCCCTCCTATATTGCAGGCTATATCTAGTCACGCCACATCCAGGTCAGCCCCAGTTTTAAGGTCTCTGTATCTCGCACTATTCCTTTGGAGATGAGTACACTCAGCCGCTGCTAATAGCCCGAGGTCTCATTGACACATTATTCTGTCCGAGATCCGGTCTGTGCAACCCCCTTCGATCTAACTCAAGCCCCATATGCTACATAAACTATAACCGCGATGAGGTCAAGGGCATTGTGTTAGATGACGCTAGAAATATGCTTCGCAGCTAGGGCTGCTGTCATTTGCATCATGGCTGGCGATCCAACGCCACTGCCTGTCCTATCCTACTGCGAGACCCACAACAGCAATGGCATCGACATGTTCTCCGAGTTGGCGAATGTACTACAGCTTGTGCGCACGTGGTGAGCGTGTGGTGCCCCTGCTTCGCTCTAGACGCTGATGAAGCCGCAGTGTCGACTGAGTCTGACAGAGGCCGCCTTGTGGCAAGGGGGCAGCGTTGTGGGAGAGCTTTATAGGGCGCGTGGGGGCGTGGGCGGAGCCGTGTTGGGGTAATTCCAAGCTGCCGCGATAATTCATTGACTCCGGTTCATTGTACCATGGCTACGAGTCCCTGTGCTCTAAGTTCATCTTGATAATTGTTCTCTAAGATTACAATAACTCTTTTCAGCAGGAATTGGAGCTAAATCTACTTTGTGTAGGGACAAATATTCAATGTTAATAAGTCAGAGAGGAATGAGAATGGGTAAGAGTTGATGCAAGAGAAACTTGAGGGATGGAAAGGACCAAATGAAAGGAGCTTCGTGCTTTGCAGCAGACCTAGAGGACTGGTAAATAAGCCCTGCAAAGGCCTTGTTATTCCTCTACCCCTCAGCTCCTCTATCCTTGAGATGTCCTAGCTAGGTCAGGGAAAGTTGGCGGCAAGACAGGCAAGATGAAGCAGAAGGAGATATAAGAGTGAGGGCTTGGAGCATATCTAGTGCTAACAGCTGATGGACAGAGAGTGAAAGAGTGAATAATATCTTAGCTTCAACTTAAGGAGTATGTCAAAGAGCAAGTGAAGGAGCAAGTAGGGTAAATGTAAAGTAATAGAGTGAAAATGAAAATATCATATATCATACACATAATATGAACAAAGGCTGGTTAAGAGACGATTATATTGTAAGGTGAACAAGGGGAGAAGGAAGGACTGAGCAGAAAATGAAAGTATTATGTGTCCTATATTAGAATTTCCTATGGAGCTTGGAAAATATGGTATTTGAAATAGTGCAGCCTTTGGGAACCTATCTGATAGAAGCCAGCTACATGTTACTAATAAAACTGGTTCTTCTAATTAGAAATACTTGCTTTACACTTCTATGTCTCGTCTACCGTTTTTTTTTTTTTTTCTTCTTTTTATCTTTTTTTTTAATCTCTGAGAATTTTGTAAGCCTATCCGTTGTCGCGGACCAAGTTTCTTGAGCTCACGAGACTAGCTCCTGATAATCCGGAATCCAATGTAACTTTTATGGTCCAGTATTTCGGCGAAGTAAGCGCGTCGGCGAGGGATCGTCACGATGAAGTCGGGTTGATGTCATGAATCTTGCAGATCCGCACATGTACCGCATTAATTCGAACATGAACATGTTGATCGTAGTGTCGATGCCTATTTGGGTTGATTACAGTAACACTTGGTCCTGAATCTAGACACCTCCCTACGAAATGGACCTCCACCATTTCGTCACTGTGACCCTTCCTTGTTTCCTGTAGTCTGATAGGTAGCCACCTCAGATCCGTAAGCTTTTAAGGCAAGTGCCTTAGTAATTCCTTCCCATGATTCTCTCCCACCATATCCCGAATCCGCACTACCAGCCCCTCGTCTCGACATCGTCACATTTAACCACAAAACGCGTCGATGATCAATACCGCCGAGATGGCTACGTCTTTATTCGCAAAGCGAATATCTCCTGCCGTCTTCGGGCGGCGCATAGTTTTCCACCACCAACGCTATTTCGGCGCATCGGCCATCTTCATGGCCCGAATCTCGGACGCCATCAAGCAGGACCACCAAGCGCTGCAAGAGGCCCATGACAACATTATCGCGGCCAAGGACCCAGAAGAGAGGATTCGCTGGCGCAACCTATTTGCGTGGGAGCTGGCGCGTCACACCATCGCGGAGGAGCTATTAGTTTACCCTGCATTTGAGAAGCACCTCTCCGACGGAAAGGACTTAGCTGCAAAGGACCGCGAAGAACACCTCCTAGTAAGAAGGGGCTTACCCTTACAGCCCACGCCGCAGGCATACTAGTGGCTATACTAATAACTTTGCGCTTTCGTGTCAGATGAGAAAGGAGCTTCAGGAGTTACAAGCCATGACAGCCGATCACCCAGAGTTCATTGCCACCCTCAGCAACCTGTGGGGAAATTTCAGACAACACATCCAAGAAGAGGAGCATGAAGACATCGCCGCTCTCGAGAAAGCCATCTCAGCCGACGAGTCGGACGCATTGGTCAGGAGCTTCCAGCGCACCAAGATGCTGACGCCAACGAGGAGTCATTCAAGTTTACCCAGCAAGCCACCGTTCGAGAACATTGAGGCGTTGTTGGCGGCGCCTTTGGATAGGATCAGGGAGCTGTTTGCGCAATATCCAGAAGAGAAATCGGCAATGTGACAGTTTGGACAGTGCTGTGGGAAGCTAGGATGATGTATGACTGTGATGGTTATGACTGGAAACTCGTGCATCGATTAGGACATAGATAAGCCGCAGACCATGGAACAATATAAATTGAGCTACGTCTTTATTGGGGAGACGGCGAGGCACGTCCATGCCCATGTTTCTCTACGGATCACCTCCATGACGCATTCACTTGAGTTACCTTCATCCCTCCTCTAACATAACGCACTGCATCGCTCAGTAGTTTCTCAGGCTGGGTTTTTGGGAAATATCAAGCCTCGTTTAAACGGGGGCTCGTTTAAATCCACTTATGGCATAGCAGGTCAAGATGTAGGCTGGACACGTTCACTCACGAGCCAATCCAAACCCAATTCCTCCACTGTCTCGTCCGAAACGATAACAACCCGATTGCGGTTGGCTAGACTCCATCGGCCGTGAGGCTTTTCGATGTTTATCAGTTATGTCTTTGAAGACAAGTGTATTCTCCGAATCGACCATAGACAGGTTTGATATACATTCCAGGAGCCAGGTCGATGAATCTCTGTTGACTCTCTGACTTTCGCAATCGGTCCAGTTTTCTTGTTCTTCTTCTTTTCCAGGAGGCATGCGCTCCTCCTGTAACTTTCGCTTGAAGGCGGCGTCTCCGCGAATGCCCTCGTCCGGCCTTCGTAGTCCTCAGAAACTTGCTTCGGCTGCTCCTCATGCCTCGTCGGGACCTCCTTGGGGTCTCGTCCTTGGCGATTCTCCCTTGCGACTTGGTTCCCCTAGTGGTCTTATTCTTGGTGTCGAGTTTTGTCTTGGGCCTTAAGGTAGTCGTCGTATTGGTTCGCTTGTTGCGGGTTCGATTTTCTTGGTCCTAAGGACAAATGCCGCACTACCATAATCAGGCATGATGACTGCGTGCAAGCGAGTACAGGCCGGCCCCATGCCGGGGCTCTGTAGTCACCACCTTTTCGTTTTCGGAACGGCTGTTCAGCAGCGTCAAACAAAAGACATCGAGTGTTCATAGCTAGGTGCCCAGCGGCACCAAAATGAATCCTTGATGCGGAGAAAGAGCTTGACAGCCGTGTGCTTCGAAGCGCAGGAAGAATCCTTGAGCCCACCCCCAGACCATCTGTCTATGGGTATTTAGCAAGTCAACTCTGCAACTGGCTTGTTGCTATTTGGGGTTATCTAAACTCCCTGTGATTGGAAATGAATCGTAGAGTATCTGAAGTACATAGGATATCCGTCATCGTGAAACAGGACGATGGCCCACATTCCATGCCTATACATTGTCTACATTCCATAACTCTTCAGTGAGACTTTGTAACCGCTTAAAACCTTTGTTTAGCCTCTAGTAAGAGGGAGAGGGGATAGTAGGTAGAGGGGGAAGGGGGGTTGAAATGGCTTTTTAGGTTTCCAATGATCCTCTTGATAATCCATCGCCAGTCCTATTACGCGGCAGCGGCCGATATCACATAGAACGGAGAGGGGCAAGAGCCCGGTAAACACCTATGAATGACGGCTCAGGTGCTATCGCAAGCCGATACGAGTCTCTATTAGGTGATGTACTTGGAATGTTTTCCGAGGTAGGCTAGGTTGGCAGCCAGTATCGATCGGTAGTCTGATGGCGGAAGACAACGTCTCACTTAGGAGAGAAGGGCCATAGTGAACCCCTTGGGAATGCACCTCTGGTTGCGGAGAGCCGGCCTTGAGATCTACAACTGAGAACGGTGCTGTAAGGAACAAGCTGCGGGGAATGGAGGAATCTGCTGCAAGCCATGAATTAGAAAGTGAGAAAAGGGCGGTGTTCGATGTAAGCCAAGTAGAGAGGACGCGATGAGCAGATAAGTTGAGAAATTACATGTACCTCCTCATTTCTGGTAGAATTGCCACGGCCCAGGTCGTATAAGGCGCAGGCAATGAAATAGCGGTCTCGCCCACCCTAACCATGGTCGGCCAGTCCGGAGATATTTAATATGCCATTACTTGCGGTCGACATGTGGTCATTCCCTTCACATGACGGTCATCCTGATCTTCGGCCTGAAACAAGATCTAGTTACATGTTATTCCTGACAGATGAATGAAAAGTAGAGGAGATGCACGCAACTTACAGGGACATTAAGCAGCCACTTGCATAGGAACGGGTTGAAACCTCACCACTCATGGTGAATATTTCCGTTGACAACGGTAACCGGCACCCAGAAATCCTGCTCAGTGTACAGAGAAGACGCCAATCCACGGTGAATATTTCCGGTAACCGGCACCCAGAGATCCTGCTCAGTGTACAGAGAAGAAGCTAATCCACGGTGGCCAATTCGTGTTTAAAAACAGATTCGGCGAATGGATGGTACGAGGGAATCCATGATCAGCGCGATGGGGGACGTGACGGGCCTTCCCTTCAAAGGAGCTACCTTGATAAAAGCGCAAACCTCATCCTGCACTGCATCCCCCCACCCCTTCACAACAACTGAGGGAAGCCAGTTTCCTTGGCAATGGCCTGTTTTTCGAGGGTTGTTCCAGTACCGTCCCCAATGGAGATTCCGCTTGTTTCTGCATGTTGAGTTTGTTCATCTGGTTGGTGTCTCATTTGACGCCAATGCTACTGGAGCTATTATCGATGACGATTTTGATGTGGTTCCCGCTGCGGGCGGTCGTCCACATGTACTATAGTCGGCTCTTAAAGCTTCTTCATTTATCTTCGGGGCCGTCTCGGCATATCCTTTGGGATGGATATTGCGTCATATGTATATATGTGATGGAAAAGGTACACGGGCAAAAAGATATCGATTACAGGAAAACGATATCCTTCCCGCAGGTAAAAGGGTGCGCCCTATGTAGCGTCCGCTAGCTCTGGCCAGCCGGGACACCAAAAGCTTCCGAGGGGTCTTCCGAAGGGTTTTCGTAGCGCTCGACCGTTTCGAACTAGCTCTCGGGAATTGCCGATTAGGGACCAGGCTCTATGTTCGGGGAAAGGGTCAGATCGGAAAGAAGTTCTTTGAAGAAGAGGGTCGATGTGAGAGCTCACCTCGTCCTTCTTTCGAGTCTTGGGGGCAACCGAAGAAGTGACTTTAGCAATGTATGGGGATACCGCATGCGTGGTGGTCGAGGTGAGATAGCGGAAGTGCAAATCTTCGGGTTGGATGGGATCGAGAAGAAGGGTAGACAAGAAGGAGGTCTTGAACTGTACCATTTCGGTATCTTCTCCGTCGACAATGCTTGGTTTTGCTGCCTTCGGGGGCCGAGTCGTCCTTCTGTTTGGGGAGTCGCTCTCTATCTGCAGTTGTAATAACTGTAGGAACAAACGTTGTTGATCAGGAAAAGGAAATGTTGGAAGAAGTTGTGCGGAGCCAGGCCCAGCAGTGGAACGATATGGTGCCTGGCGCAGTCGATTCGACCGAATTTCCGTTGGCCCATCCCATTATTTTACCATATCACTTTATTTAGATAAGTAGTATAATCGAGAATGGTAATGAGAAGCTAGGCCATTGATATTTAGGGAAGCAAAGGCACAATCAATAAAGCAACAGAACGATACCAGTATACTTCCCTTAGAACCTGCTTTCTTTACGAAACTAGGGACTTAGGTCCCGTTCCAATTTCTATCAGGACGGTCAGAACGTTGGCGATAGCTCTCTGAGGGTTCTCGCCGTTGACAATTGGTCTCCCCGTTTCAATGCCACTTAGGTCAGACCCTGATTCGGGCAGAGGGGCCTCACTAATCGCCCATGGACGAGCCTTCAGTTATCACTTTACCTAGGCCCGCGAGAATGATCGACATCTCTTATGTGACTTGTGTAGATCAAGATTGTCGATTTGATATATCAGATTGCTGCTGAGTACATCGTATCCAACAATTACCGTCTTTCCTTCATGACTGAGGCTCATTGTATCAACAAGCTTGTAGTCGACACTCCCGATCTCCACTTCAGCGCCACGTTCCCAAAGTGGGCAGCTCAGCCCTTGCCTTTGCTAGCCTTCCAGTCCATGCAGACAGTATGAGTGCTAAGTTCCATGTCTCCGGCCCTCTTGATAACAGCGTAGAGCTGCGTATCTTTGTGTTGAATAAACACGAGGAGAATTTGGACTTGTTCCTTAGCAAGCTTGCTAAACGCCTCTGGATTCGACTTTACAAGCTGGAGTTGATGTGTTCGATGAAGACCTTAATGAGGCTGCGCGAAGGCGTGTCATCCATATGAAGGTCCCAATTTTATTGACATGGGCTCGGGATTCGTTAACAACCCCTATAATCTTCTCATCTTAAACCTGGAGGATGGCGACGCACCACCGGCGTGTTATGGATCTACCTGGAAAGGCAAACTTCAGACCGCTCATGTTGCAGGCGCCGAACGAGGGTTTACTGAAGAAGATCTTCTGGGTTAAAACAAGTTCCTCCCACTCATAGCGGCAATGTGTTGTTGTGTTTGTACGTGGTCACGTGGTGTTTGACGAATCGACGTTTGAAGCCCAGCTCAAGATTGTCGATTCTGACGTAAACATCGTTGTTGACTTGCTGGCTGTTGGGGGAGCCTCATTGCGTTAAAACACGCTCCTCACTCTTTTGGCCGTCTAGGGAAAGTATTGTCTTATGGGCAATATCGGGGCGATTGAGAGGGAAGGCGCGCCCACCTTTCTCTTTATCGCTATATTAGGATGTATTTAAGGAAAAATAAAAGAAGTGGCGAATCGGTGCGGGCCAGCTGAAAGGCCATTACCTCGTGCTCGACCAAGGTCAGAGGCAATAACAATTGCCCACAATTTCTTCCTCTTCTATTCCTACTCCGCCGTGGGGAGATACGGTTGTGCCGGGCCGAGGACCGAAACGAAGTACATCAATTGATATCAATGCTCAATGTCCACAAGCTTTCCGAGTTGTGGCTTCGTCAATGTTAGATGTCTTTCGGTATTGTGGCTAATCCTGGAGTGCGTTAGAACCTGTCTCCGGTATTCTGTTGTGACGTTGACGTACCTCGATTCAAAAAGAAACAAACAAGTAATCTCGGTTTGATGTGCCCTTGTAATAGCCACATGCCTGCCGCCACATCTTCAGCAGATGTTTTGTGCCTTCGGGCTCCGCGACGACCTTTTTCTTGTCATGTAGGGATGATCAAACTGATCGCTTCAGGGATCGCCATGCTCAGAGTTGGGAGTCCTGGTGCGAACTAGGTCAAAAAAATGACTACGTCCGCCTCATTTGACTGTGTCGGATCAACCGCTCGCACGTCGGCTCTTCCCTTAGCCGATTCGCCCAAATCGCGGACAAGGGGGCCGTGGCTGTTTAGAAGTGCCGTACAGGGCGACGATTATGATAGTACCAGGCTGGCTGGGCTCTTGCGGTCGACATATTCAACCCGGGATGTCCTGGTGCGAACTAGGTTAAGAATGACTGTGTCCGCCTCATTTCCTTGTGCTGTATCCGCCATTCGCACGTCAACTCGCAGAGGGTCACTTCTCCTTGACGCCGCTACCAAGACTGCTTCGAGGATGCGAGTTCAGAGTTGAGGTTAGAAAAATGACGAGAATCAGATACTTTCAAGTAAGCTTATCGTCCAAAAACCTTATCCTTCATGTCTCGCCATCCATTAACCCTTGGAGGCTAGATGTGTATAAGGCGACCACGACAATTGCATTCCTCCCACATCTTCAGCAGATACTTCGTGTTTTCAAGCTCTGTCCCCACCTTTCTCTTGATCATATGCGGATGCATCAGGATAATCTCTGCTTGTGGCACACCCTTGTGATCGCAACATTTAGCCTGTGTAGATCGTCTATGAAGCTGGGCGTCCTTGTACAAACGAGGTCGAGAATGACGACATCCGCCTTATTGCCCTGCGCTGTGTCGACTATTCGTACATCCACTCTCCCTTAGCCGATTCACTCAAGTTATGAACAAGTAAGCAGTAATTGTTGATGGTGGTTCGGTAGGGGGCGATTATCATGATTGTACCGGGCTTGTCGACTTTGTTGACCCATCGGAATTCAGTGTCGGCGAGGAGTTCCTTGGCCCGCTTCATTGCCCAGTTTGGAGTGTGAGCTTTTATAAGATTTGATTAGGTGAACGAGCATGTGAGGCTCCTAACCTTGCTGCGTGTTACCTGTGAACCCCTCGAGGAAATCTCGGAGATGCTGAAGGGATTTGGGGTACTGTTCATCGGCAGGGATCTCTGTGTGCATACGGCCAGCATAGAACAGCTCGGATGGCAAAACCTCAAGGCCACCGTAGGAGCGGTGATTAATGTAGAGATGATTTCGTAGCGCACCCACCCGATCGGCACGTTCCATTGTGCCAGTGGTCAACCGCTTGAAAAACGGTACGTCTGGGTGACACGTCCGAAGCTGAAAGGTCAGCCAATTATTGTGCGTGTACCTTTCTTCCTTTTAGTCGGTGTCGGGCTCACGCCTTTGTACGTGCCCAAGGCATGGCACATGGGTGAGAACTTAAAGATGGCCTCGATGGATCGACGCTTCCAGTCCGTGTTGGAGTCGAAGATTTGCTTGACGAAGCTCTCAACGAAAATAATTCGGTATCGGTTGGCGTTTTCTGTGGCCGTGGACCATGCTAAATAAGCGCTCCACCCACATCGGAAATGATCAGGAAAGGTTGATTTGTCATCAGTGGCCTCAGTGCCGAGTGCAGTTGTTAAGCTTGCGGCGACATGGCATCTTGGCCTGGCCACCGGTCGGAGCTCTGAGAAAACGAGAACCGCTCGAGTTGTTGAGAAAAAAAAAATTGAGGACTGAGTTGCTGGGCTCCAGAAGTTTGGGGAGACCACATCGAGTCACATGCTTCCATCTCAGATATCAGGAGCTGCACTTTCCCTGAAGGCAAATTAAATAATTTACAAAGTATTCGATTCATGTTTCTTTTGCAATTCTAGAGACAACTGCCTTTTCGGGCAAGAGACTCCTCTGGTAGGTTTAGAATTGGAACGAGCAGAGCCAAATGATGCTTCCAGAACCCACTCCTTGCGTCGAGATTCAGAGAACCGAATTGGAACGGCCTTGGATCACAACTCACGGTCGAGAAGGTATCACGACACAGCAGCTGAGGCACTAGTGGTTTAGTGGTAAAATTGGTCGTTGCCATCAAACGCAGCTTCGACTAGCCCCCGGTTCGATTCCGGGCTAGTGCATCTGATCGATCAATTGATCAATTGATCTTTCTTTTTGCCATTTCTTTGGCCGCCTCTTATTTTTTTTCCCCCCTTCTCCCTCAAACGCCCAACGTAGCGTAGTGACGGGAATGGTGGAGCTCCCAATTTGATATTTTTTACTTTGGCGCCGGTGGACACACGGCCCTGAACACGCGATGTCTCTTGCTTAGCGATCTGCTGAATAGCCCTTCCAAAAGCGAAAAGGTGGCGACGATAGGACCCTAGCCAGAACTGTCCTTTGTTATCATGAATGCTACTTGTATTGGTGAGGAGACGTAAATGGCACTGCTCTGTGGGGTAAGAACCTTTGAGTGGTTGCATTACTTTAGTGGGGTGACCTACCAGGGTGACTGCCTTGACAAATGAAACCCAATTTCCTGCCGAAGAGAAGCGACGGTGTGGGGAAATCGTCAATCTACAGCTCTAGCTCTACGGGGCAAATCTTAATATTATTACTGGCTCACTAAGTTTCCTGCTGGACGCTTGGGACTTTGTCTCGGAATGGAGCAAGAGGAATGAGTAACTCAAACTAGCGAGGCGCGACGACCGGCTCTCTTGCTCTTCCGACAGTCTTGCCGGGCTCCTCTGGAGGTCTGGAGATCGCTAAGTCAAGGGCTCAAGGCCCGAGAATTGAGGTGATGACCTTTCGTTTGAAAGATCCACGACTTCGAAGATGAAGACCAACTAAAAAGCTTGAACGATCGGACGAGGCCCAATCTGGCCTAGTAACACGCCCCCCCAGCCAAGCTTTAAGATAGACAAAGGAGAATCCCCCTGTCCAAGGAAGTGCCAAGGACGCGCCCATGCCTGGACTCGCTCGTTTCGCAAACCGACAGTCAGTACGAAGTAGTCCGCCATCCTATCTATCATCGCACTGATATTCGCGCCTGTCAGCACCATACTGATAAGTTAATGCCATATTACGTCTGGCAGATGCAAGTTGGTGCGAGGGGGAAAAGAAAATACACTAGTAACACCGCCTAACTGCGTGCAGAGACATATTTGGCATTATCGACTGGCTTCCTATTAGGAACGACTTTCGGATTGATTGGGCTCGCAGAACGTGGTGACTATTCTGCAAAAATGGCCTGTGGGTTCCGGAGAAGGAGGTATTGCTTAAGAACGATCTTGGGCACGGACCGCCCCCAACTTTTAAAAGAGATGCCGCTTGGAGGGTCGTGGTTTCACCTCCTTGGGAGGGTACGAAGTAGAGCCGTCGGGCTCCATTATGCGCATCTGGAACGCACGATAATAGTACTCTGAAATGGGTGTAGAGGGCCTGTTTTCGCCTCTCTTCGTTCGTGTTGGATTCTACTGTGACCAACTTTCTCAGCCATCATCGAGAATCGGAAGAAATGGCCACTCATGGAGAACAGCCAACGTCGTGATTTGACTGTTGATAGAGATTGTTCGCGACAACCCCGAGCAAATCTATGGTGTGTGTGCGTGCAGTCCGTGCCGATGCGGCCGTTGGTGCAGATCCGTGCGTGGCCTCAAATCCCCTCCAAATGGGCTGGTCATTCGGAGCTTGCAATCAAAGTGGCCTGGACAGAGATAATCTAGTAGTAACGTTCATCTATGGACTACCGAGGTGTGGAGTGTCTTAGCCTCAATGATCTTTCTCTCGCCACGGGCACGAAGCATTCTGAAAACCAATTGGTGAATTAGCCCCTGCACATGTTGAATTGCAAGAGGTTACATGGAAACATTTGCCGACAGAACCAGTCCCACACAAGGCTGTCCCTCTCACCGAGGACTGCAAGCGGACAATGCCCTCGTGCCAAGAGCTCGGAAGCTTGCAGAACTTTTGCTCTTAGTGTCCAGCTACCGACCTAAGCTCCGCTTCAGGTGCCATCAAGTCAAATTAATCTTCGTTAAAATTTGTTCAACGTGCCCGCTAACTGAGCTGGGGAAAGCGGTAGTAGTGTAGAGGAGGAAGCTTGTAGATCGATCGATGGAGACTGCCCAAGTCTCATCACCCTAATTTTGGCCTAGATAGCGTCATATAGGATTATTCTAGAAACAGAAGGCGTAAAGATCGCCGACAAATCGAAGACGTACCCTCTTCAGAATTGAGCCCTGGGCACTGCGATGCGTCAGGAATAATCCCCCGACTAAGGCCAACACTACCGGCCTTTCCTCGTCGAATCGAATCACTGCCATCCAACATGGTCGACCGAGCAAGCCACAGCTGAGCCATGCATCAGAAATCGTCTCGAAGAATCCTCTGCCTCAGGTGAAGGAGGGGGAAGTTCGCCATCAATTGGTGGTCTTCCTGTAACTGAGTGGAGAACAAGCCCAATTTAGGTTGTCAGAATATCAATATCCACAAGCGCTCCGGAGTGCATCAAAACGGGAAGGTGCACCGGTTTGGGGCTATACCCAGTTTAGCTTCATTGGAGAGTCAGGACTGAAGAGGGCCGATCATTTTCTTGAGTCGAGATTTCTGTGATGTTCGAGATGCAGCACTAGGTTGGTTTTAAGACCAGGCACTGATTGGGGAGCCCTGAGGTGTGCGTTGGGGGAATTCTCCAACCATCCCAACTGCAGGGCCATCTCCTCAAATCCCCTGTATTTTGATCCCTCGCTTAGCCCAGACTGTCGGATTCTATCATCGACTGTGGAATGGTACCATGCCTTTACACGTACTTGGAATAGGAACAGACCCATCGGACCCATAATTGAAGACATCAAGAGTCGCATCATCTCCGTCGATCGAACCCACATCTAAGGACAGTGGCCAATGGCTCCGTCATCCAAACGAACCGTTCGCAATCAATTTCCAGCTACGAAGCCCCCATCCACTGTATTAAGAATTTGGCCCTACCGGCCCTTGGCGACCCTCTGGTTTCCTTCCGGCTCGCTCCCACCCCCAGCTGCGTCAATTGCTCCAGTCTTGACCCTTCTTTTTGGGCCGACCATAAAATAGGTGTAAATTTTCGACGGCCGAATTGTACGGCTCTGCGAATGTAGCTTATCAGCCACGTCCACAACGGACATGAACTATCTTGTCTGGGCGTGATGATTGATCTTTCTAATTTCGGGTTGCAACACCTGAGACGAGCCAGTACGCAGACGTGACAGAGCCATTTCATCTCAGGAAACCGACTCACCCCCGCCGATGCTCTCGGAGACTCGACATTCTTCACTTCCTTAACCACGGACGATTGCGTCTGGTTCTTCTCCCTAAATGTCGAGAACGGCCTCACAAGAAAGTTCAGCTTGGTCTCAATGTCGCTTGGACGACTTGGCGTTAGCTCTCGACACCGGTGACCCAGTCTGGGGAATGGCAGAGGTCCGGCGTGTCCAGATTGATAGGCCGTGGGGCTGCATCGAAATCGACACCGAAGACAGGAGATACGGGTGGACCAATAGTGCGCTGGGAGGGCAAACTACTCGGGCAATTGTCGATGTTAGTTTTTGCGTGTGCAGCCCTTTCTTCGGCGAAACTTCCGGTTTGAGAGAAGGCGCCCCATATTCTATGCCTCGGTTTGTGCGCCACAATCCCACATCAGGGCGGAACACGACAGCTCAGTAAAGCCAGGCCGCATCCAGAGAAACGTATCCTGGCCGAACGCATGTGACGCAAGGCGGGCCCTGCGCTGACAAGAAACAGGGACATTTTGACATCGAGCGATGATAAAGGGAAAGTTCCTCCTCTCAACGTCGTGCACTGGCTTTCAAATAGTAATGTCAAGCCGTTGAATATTTTTATGCCACTTAATTCTCTCTTAAATCACGGACGTCTCGTCGTCTGAAACAACTAAGAACGTTCGAGGCCGCGAGGCACACTACTCCTCTGAGACCTCGATATGCACATCTTGACACCATGTACGACCGTGGGCCCCAACTTCAGGCGGTGTTCATCTTTCTGCTCGTCCTCTGCGTCGTGACGGTTGCACTCCGCTGTTACACCATGGCGTTCATTGTCAAAAGACTTGGCGTTGAGGATTGGCTGGCAATTGTGGCCCTGGTACGATCCCCCAAGCGAACGTCCCCGCCAACTTACTTGGCGCTTCATGTTGCATTCGATGCTCTTTTTTGAGATTGCCAACGGCTAATTCGAAGGCGGCCAGATCCTGTATGTCGTTTACACATCGTTTGCACTGCTCTCAGTCAAATATGGAACAGGACGGCACCTCGCCGCTGTTCCCCCAGAGGATCGGCCAGTAGCATTTATGTGGAGGCACTTCGCCACCATAGTTTATATCGTCATCTCGACTCTAACGAAATTCATCGTGGGCCTGCTGCTGCTCCGCATCTGCTCTCACATCCGATGGATGAAAATTTTCATTTGGGTGATGCTAGTAGTCGTTGGCGTCTACAATGCGTTTTATTTCTTCCTCGACATCTTCTCCGCGCAGCCCGTCGAGTACTACTGGCTACGTTTCGCCCCGAATCCGCCACCGGGGCATGTGAACGATACGAAATTCGCGATTATACCGACCTTCATCGCGTCAATTTTAAATATCATCGTCGACTGGGCCCTAGCTATCCTGCCCATGATCCTTCTCTGGAAAGCGAAAATGGATCGCCGGACCAAGATTTCGGTTATCATCGTTTTAACGATTGGTTCCATGTGCGTGCAATCCCATGATAGCAAGCTAAACGCACACTTGCCGCGTCCAAAAATCAAACGACTAACATTATACCCGCACAGAGCATCTGTTGCCACGATTGTTCGTCTTCCCTACGCAAGTCAACTCCTTCAGAATGATGAGTACTTGTACAACTTCACCGACTTCGCCATCTGGTCGACTGTTGAGATCGGCTTGGCACTCTCGGCCTCCTCTTTGGCTACGCTCAGGCCGCTCTTCCGCAAGCTAAAGATCTTGTCGAGCACCCAGGGCCATGGGATAAGCCACCAGAATGGTGATGGCAAACCCCATAGTTATGGCCGTCTCGGTCGCCAGAGCGCCCAGCTCGCGCCCCATGCCGATCTCGAGAGTCCCCAAGCAATACATGATGCGACGCCACACGCCATATATGGCCATAGGATCCAAGGGAGCGGTAGAAGAAAGTGGGAGGATCCAGAGAGCGCGTCTGAGAGCGAGATCTGCATGGTTAACCTTCGGACAAATTGAGTCTGAGGAGATGCGATTTTGATAGTTATTATAATGAGAATGCTAAACGATTGAAATGTCTAGGCGAAGAGATCAACGAGGGCTGGTGTCTCTTTGTAGATTATATGTATTACCTCTTGTTATTTTAGTGGCTGGGCCATATTTGTTGCCTATACATCCCAGAGAGGAGATCTTAATACATCCCCTGGAACGTGTATAGGAACGAATGAATGAAATTGTTGCAGAATTGGAACATAATGGACAGATATTTTACCGTATTTCTACTTGTAAATTCGGCCATATGTCCTCTTGTGTTCACCCTACTCTAACTGCTGTGTTTCCGGTCCCTTTTGATGCGTTAACACGTGGGTGTCCAAAGGAACAAGATACGACTGTGACTACTGGAAAAAAGCAAGTGGGAGCGGTTCATTCATGTACAAAGTTGGCGGGCCTGTGCCTTCACCTGTCCCGTGTACTCTACAATGATAGAATCTTCCATCTGTAGGGTCTTTGGGTTTCACTTCCCATGTCCTCGGCTGAGGCCAGTACTAATAAATAACCCACTTTCCGAGGACCCAACTCTAACGTTGCGGTAAGGCGAAGTAAGTAGCAAATGCATACACAGTCAATAGGGATCTCGTGAGGGGGTTGTTAACCGGGTGGAGCACGTACTGATCCTGGCAATGCTCTGAATGGAGGCAGCGGAGAGCGTGGGTCCCATGAGCAAATGGCGGACATAACGAATAGTTCTTAGGGGAATAGTATCAATTGACAATTTGGGAATTGGGAACCGTATGTTAGAGGAAATAGAAGTTTAGTTAGCACGCGAAGGTTGGGAAAAAGCATGTACAAACCTTCGGAAATGACCACCGCGAGGCCAGACACTATGGATCTTGATATAGAAACAGATAATAGAAATGCATCAGCTACACAATTTTTGGAAGAGATCTTGACTTCTTAAAGTCAAGCCAAAACACACGGCCAACGATGCTGCCATATATAGGTCGGTGTCAGTCCAGTCGATGCGCCCAGAGACCTGAGCGTGAAGGTTGGATGGGATGATGCACTTATGATATCGTATCTCACTTAAATTCAATAGTTAGGGCAAGAAGTTGACCGTTGAACTGGCTGCGGAAGCCGCTTAGTTTGACACTGAGCCTTACGTAGTGACTACAAAGAGGGTTCAAGGGCATCAGCCGTGAATAGTGGATGTTTAAAGGCTCCAATCCCGTCGTTATGCAGCAAGCACTGATGTCCCGACACCGTCTTCTAAAAATAGCATCCAAGGCTGTGTTAGTTGAGAACTATGTAGGTTAAGAAGATTCTAAGTCGATATATTGCTTGTATATTTCCAGTCAATTTCTGTTTCCTGGCCCACGTGTTATTTCCCGACGCTATTGCGAGACTAAGAATCAGATGCCACGGACATACGAGCGAAGATACAATAACGCTTGGCGCCATTTTACTAATGATATTGATACCCGGGCTGGACTAGCATATCGGCTCTCGGGTACCCTCAATAAGGTCGTGGGGAGAGACACTGATCGCCGAGAGAGAACCGCCTAAGACCATGGAGAAGCAAAATGAGATATTAAGGGCAAATAAAGCCGCACCAAGCCATTAGCTATTGCCTGTACTATGGGAAGCGTGACCATAAAACGTCAGGCAGTAGTCATTTGGGATTCCAGAGAGCCCGAGGCATTGGAAGAGCTGGATGACACCGGCTCCTCTGGTGTACGTGGTGAGCAGTGTCCAGGGAAGCAAGTTCGGGGGCAGTCGGGATGCCAAAGCTGGTACACTGCTACAGGCTGTGCATCGCCCAGTTTCTTCATCTTAAGGCAAGCGCCAAGGATTTTTTGGGCCTTGCTAGGTCAGCCCCAAGGATATTCAGATAAATTGTAAGAAAGGAGCTCCCTGCTCCGCTCTTAGAATTTCACAACTTGTAGACATCGTATGAAGGCCTCGGATTGTACACTAGTGCTATTAGTTGATGTGGAGAAGTCCGGTGGAATAAAAGTATTCAGTTGGTGTCGGTTTGGAGAAAACGGGGGATTCGATTAGGCCGTCCGGGAGGGCCTCGTCGCTTGCATTCCATTGGATGTGTGTATCCTTGAGGATTGAGGATGCCTGTATTGATCCTGGGGGCCGCCCGTAGGCAAACGTTGATGGGCACGTTCCTAAAATGGCGGCTCTCGGACATTTTCAACGCGTCTCGTCGTTGGTGGTGTTCAATATTAACTGTGGAGTTTCGTGGAGGCAGAGGCAGTCGAAGTCACGCGTTCCCGAGCTGAACCAAGGCGAAATCTCCTCGCCCCAGCTGAACCAATGTGGAGGGAACGATTGCCGCGCGTTTCGACATGAAGAAGGGCGTAGCCTGCATGATCTCCGTAACCTCCCGCAGGGCGATAGCTCGTAGGTCGTCTGGTATCATTTCCGCAAAAAGCCTGCGCCTCCCTTGCCAAACTTCACCCAGTCATGATTCTCCTTTTGCCCAGGCGCGTTCGGGACAGGCGGTCGCGACCTGCGAGATGTCGTGTGATCCTAGCCGAACGTTTCCGCTCCAGTCGCCCAGGGTTCCGCAGCTAAAAAGAGGTACGTCAGTTTGGGAGTTCAGACAACTAATCTCCCTTATCAAGCAGTGTGGCAGCTCTCCATTATCATTTCGGAAAGCACGGAGCACACCCCGGACGCTCAAGGCGGTCGGGGATCAATCAAAAATCGGACGGGGCCCTGGGCGGCTTTTTATTGACCTCTGGTTGAGGATACCAGGACCTCGTGTGTGAGTGGTGTTGTTTCATTGGCTAGCGCGGAACACCGCTGCGCCAGCTTCACGAACCACTTCGACATTTGGTCCAGCACGCCCTCCGTGTCAAAGGTGCAGTAGCGGGCTGGCCTGACCGTTTCCATCTCCCTGCATATTGCAAAGGATGCACCTCAAAATAAACTAGTTGACCTACCAGGGCACTGCCCAGTGCCAGGCATCGACATTTCCCCCCCTTTGCCCTCAGAGCTCCTCGACGCCTTTTGGTAAACGCCCTGTGAAGAATCTGCCTTTTCAGCCCCAGGGATGTCTCGGTGAATCCGTCATTAAGAGGATAACAGGTGCCTAGTTACCATGGGTGTTGGTCATAGCTATTTTTCTAGTTCAAGAGATCCTAGTGACACCCAAGTCTCGCGGCCTGGTAAGGGCGTATGTGGCTTGGCTTGTCTTATTTGATATGCGGACAGACCCAACGCCCGCGGCGCTAGAAGCCACATCGATGGAAGACCACGCGATACCCCTGCAGTGGTAATGTCGTGTACTGGCCCATGTGTCATCCATTGGCGGGGCGGTGGTAGTGACATTCAGGGTCTGGATGGCTCCCGACGGGAGGTGAGACGTTAATATCCCCAGGCTTATCACTTGGACTACGTGCAGCACCTCCTAGACTCCACCCTTCCATACAGTAGGGCATCCTACAGAGATCATACAATCCCCAGAGAGCCTCAGCTTTCAAAATCAGCAGTCCTTAGCAGAGACGCTAACTGGCTTGCGCCCCGATTCCTACTCTCCACGCTGCCCTGGTCCTTGACCGAGGTGTCCGCCAAGGTACAGAGCATGGGTTCAGATTCGAGGCTTGAGGTCCTTTGCTGGCAGACTGGAATGGAGGAAGCAGGCACATGGGTTCTATGATACCACCCAACTGCACTACACACGTCGTCGCAACATTGTCTCAATAAGGAATCGCTTCACACTTGGGTCTAGTTCGACTTGAAATGAGGGTCTGCTTCGCCTACTCGTGAGCTCATGACTCTCTATCGCCTCCCTGATCTCGTAGAAATTACTTTACAATAAATGCAGACATGATTTCCCCAATCGCTGGGTTCGAATAACCTTTCAAAATCATCGTCACAGGTTTTCCATCTATCAAGTATTTCAACCCTCTCCCACGGCCAAACTCATTAACACCACCGCCGCCTTATTGAGGCAGGTCTGCGGACTAATATCCCCTGTAAGATGTCCGCCAAAACATTCTTCGCTCTCGCTTTTGCGGCGGGGGCTCTAGCTGTTGACCTCAAGACCTGCAACAAGAACATCCAGGACCGTCTCGCGAACCAGTCACTGGCTTCGGATGCCTCCATCTTCTACTTCGACGGGACGAAATATCATTCCGACCCCCGCAATCTTGCGCTCACCATTCGCGGCTGCCAGGCCGAATGTCCGCAGCCCAACTTTGGCCTCTACGAAGACATGTGGCCGCGTTTGCTAACTTGGCTATTCCCGGTTCTATTGATGATTGGCAACATACATCTTCCCAAAGTCGGCGGCTTGAATCGCATCCTCGTCATATTTCATTACATCGGCGACCCTATCGATAGCATGTGGTCCTTGCTAACAAAAGCGGAAGCCTGGAATCGTTTCTACCACATTGCCCGTCGGCACGAAGACGCAACAAACCCGGGAAAATCGCCCACGGACAAGGACGTTCGTGCGCGATCCTATGCGGCACTGATGGCCGCGTTCCATGAGTTGACCGACAACATGCGCACGACGCAGGCCGAGCTCGATGCGATAATGCACGAGAATGCGGCTCAGCTATCCGACGAAGATATGACCTACATTCTCAAAGAAACAGCAGACGAGCTGGTAGACTCGCGAACCAACGAGATCATGCGGAGCGCGCTGGTCATCATCAACTACCTCTGGACCGTTATCGCGTCACTAGATCCTCACATTGGTGGCGAACAGTCGAGCCAGCCCGGCGGACGGATCGGCACCGCCATGTTTCTATCGTGGATCATGACGGCTGTTCTGTTGAGCAACACGCTGAGCGGGTTTTCTAGCCGGCGAACGTGTTTGCGCGTCATGGAGCGGTATCTGCGAACCATCAAGGGTCGAAAACGGGATATGCACTACTTCCCGAACTCGCCGCATCTCGTATCCCAGTCTCGATGGATAATGTCGAAGAAGCGACCCGACAGGTTGGGCGACTACTTTGATTCCCAGCCGTGGAACGGAAGTGTGTATTCATACAGAAGGGATAAGGATCTGGTACTTAGTAAAACCAAGAACGACAAATCGCCTTTATATCTTCTGTGCTTGGCCGCCCTCCCGCCCCTCGTCGCTATTGTCTCCGCGTTTGTCATTGTATACGAGACGCCCAATGTTGGCCTGGGGTGCCGGACTCTATGGGTTATGACTTTGGGAATCTCTCTGCTGCTGAGCCCAGTAATAACATACTTTCTGAACAAGCTCCCCAGCAAGAAGATTTCTTGGTATCTCGTCGTTCTCAAGGACATTTGCATTGCTGTTCCGGTCCTCGCCACTGTCATTCTCTCGTCCATCGGCATATTCAACACTTGCTGGTGTTGGTAAGATTTCCCGATTATCCACGCATGTCTGCAAGGTAGAGCGTAGAAAAGGAAAGCTAACAAGATCTTATCCATAGGTCCGCCATCTACTCCCGGGGCTTCGACCACGCTTTCGTCATCCTCGACCCCGTCGACGAACGAGAGCGCAACGGCAAGACAATCTATCCCGGACTCGTCGGTCTCTGCCTGGGTCTGCAAGTTGTCGTCTTCTTCGCTATGCATCGGATCATGAAGCCCGGTGGACGCCTCTTCCGTCTCGATGAGAAGGAGAAGGAAGCGTCATACAGGAACGCACATGGCGACGGAACTCCCAATATGGAACCCGAGACGAAGTCATATTATAATAGCTCGCCCCGGGGAGGGCGGAACTCTACATCCCCATTGCTCGCCCCTGGAACGACGGAAATGCAGGATCTAGAGCTACCGCCACCTGCAATGGAAAATGACGGTGGCTTTGCGAACCAGCGATGGACCCGCCCAAGTCCACGGGCATCCCCGTCCGCTGCTCACTTTAGCCCGGTCATGGGTATGGACTACAGCTCTAGTCAAAGCTCTCCTAACTTCACGCGGACTGCGGAGCAGCCTCTTCTTGGGAGCTCGAGTCCTCGTTGGCAATACCGACAGATAAGCGGATGAGCTCAGCTTCCAAGAGGTCCCAGCTTCCGATAGGACGTCAATTAATTCTATACCAACGTACCCAATGGTCTTAACCCTGCGTATGACCGGGTTCGATCGTGGGGGCAAATCAGCCGATTAAGAATGCTGCGTTACCCGAGTCCTTAGCTCTCAGGGCCATATATCAATGATATATAAGCGACTACCAATATTCACCCGTGAGTTATTCCTTCCTCGGGGCCGGCCTTGATCGTACTTTGTTACTAACATCTGCCATGATAGTGCAAACATGACCGCTCAGTTGACTCATCATAGGAATAGAGATAAGAGGTAAACTGATGAAGTGAAAGTCGACAGGGAGGTTGGCGGAGATGGAGATGAAGGATCCAATAGCCCTTCAAATGAACGTAATTAGCGACAGACAGGACCTACTGGAGGCGTGGACACTCGTTGATTTCTATCTCTGCTTCACTGTGCAGAAGAATGAAGATGGGACTCGTGATAATTTAACGTCCACATACTGATTATTCCAATTGTTTTCAAAGGCGAGATAGAAGTTAATAAGGTTAACATCTCTTTCCGCATCAATGTAATGTCCTCAGTAGGCCGCATTTTAAGTGGCGGTGACTGATTGTAACGTCCTTGCGCACGGTATAGAATGATGCTGGTTGGGATACGCTCATCACTCGAGCTTAGATCTGAGGGATTGCCGCGATGCTCCTCAACCAGCAAGGATGTCTTCTCTTGGCCCTTGGCATCCACTCGTCACTTGGCTGAAGTGCTTTCCATGCGCTCCTTATTTCTCGCTGTTTCACGGTGGCAGGAGAGGTGATGCTACATAGAAGGAACGAGCCAAGAAAGATATCTCGGAAAGCGGGGACTGGCCCCGGGATTTGGCAGAGCCACGCCGCAAGCGTCCGCATTATTGCGACCCTAGTCCGCATCCCTCCGCATTCGTGATGAGTCCCGATTCTAACTAATTATTATGACCGATCAAGAATTATTTAAGAGGGCAAGATTTCCTTAACTCTTGAGCTTCTAAAGACCAAAAGAATAAACATTTTGTCTGTGTTAAATTCCAAAATTCTCCCAAAGTAAGAAAATGGCCATCTCTTTGGGCCAACCTCTCTTCTATTTCGCTGTATCAGCAGCCTTCTATACGCAGGGTTCCTGTTCCCTTGACACGCCAGTGACACGGCCATGTGCCCCAGAAACCTTCTCCTTTCCGGTCCTGCATGGCTCCGAACTCGTTAGCATATCAGCGTCACCTGTTCGCAATTGGATGCAATACTCCAATTTCACTCCGGAAGCACTCAAAATCGGCAGCGAAGGCATTTCATTCTGTAACGTGACAGTCACCTACACGCACCCAGGCCAAGGGGACAGCGTCAACGTCCAAGCCTGGCTGCCTCTTACGTCCTGGAATGACCGGTTCGTCGGCGTCGGTGGTGGTGGTTTCGCGACCGGGGAATTCACTGGGGATATCATCGCCTCTTTGATAGCGGAAGGATATGCAGCCGCTGCAACGGACGGCGGTCATGATTACCGTGAGGCTCTTACAGCTCCATGGGCACTCGTGAGCCCTGGAAATATCAACTGGAACCTCTTGATCAACTTTTCCTACTTGGCGCTCCATGATATGACGGTCATCGGAAAGTCAATCACTGAGCAGTTCTATGGGCAGAAGCCCCGGTATTCTTATTGGAACGGCTGTTCGACCGGCGGTAGGCAGGGACTCATGGTAGCTCAGAGATATCCTAACGATTACGATGGAATTCTCGCTGGGTGCCCGGCCATCAATACTCCAGAACATGCGGTTGGAATTCTTTGGCCTCAAGTGGTCATGGGGTCGATGGGATATTTTCCTCCGTCGTGCGAGCTCGAGGCGATCGTGGCAGAAGCCATTGAGGCTTGCGATGAGCTTGATGGGTTGAAGGATGGTGTGATCGCAGCCCCTGATCGTTGCAAATTCGATCCAATGAATGTTGTGGGCAAGACCTTCGACTGTAACGGGATAAAAGCCACGATATCGACCGAAGCCGCACAGATTGCGAGGGCTGCTTGGCAAGGGCCGTTGACGGAGGGTGGAAAGTCATTTTGGCACGGATATCCGGTCGGAACCCCCCTGACAGGTCCCATTGCTGTGGCAAATACAGTCTGCGAGGAGAGCACGTGTAGCGGACTACCTATGCCCCTTGGCGTTGACTGGGTTCGCAACTTCGTTGTCAAAGACCCCAGCTACGACGTTCGGAAAATGACTCCCCAGGACTTCTAAGATGTTATGAAACGCTCTTGGCTTGAGTACAACGGAATCGTGGGAAGCAATGACCCAGACCTCTCGAGATTCAAGAAATCGGGTGGCAAAATCATCAGCTGGCATGGAGTCAATGACGAGCTTCTCACAGTTTACTCGACGCGCCAGTACTACCGAAAAGTAATGAAGCGCGACTCTGAGGTTCACAGCTATTATCGGCACTTTGAAGTTCCCGGAGTCAACCACTGCCATGCACCAGTTGGAGCGACCTACCCTCTTCATGCGCTTCAGGACCTCAGGCGCTGGGTAGAAGATGGTGTTGAACCTGAGGTCTTGCGAGGGGTGCGTCTTGGGGAAAATCGGCCTGATGAGAAGCGATTAACCTGTCCGTTCCCTCTCGTGGCAGACTACACGGCAGATGTAGAAACTGGCATCTGTCTCCGACAGGAGGAACAATGTAGGAGAAAAGTCGTTGGTGGAAAAGACGAGCTCTCAGTGTCACAGGCACTGAATACGATGGACCAAGCACAAATTTTTCATAATAACACACCAGATTGTGGCCATCTTCCATGTTTTACTCCCGAGGCGGCAGGCTCAAAGGACCTTTTTATATAATTATGTACGGGGACCACTCTGAAATGGTGTCTCGGGAGAATGGAAGATGCGAAGATCCCATTAGGTGATGAGAATTTCCGAACGCCCGACAGCAAAGTATAGGAGGCCTTATAGTCCACAGGGTGGCCGTGCATCTCAGAGCGACGTTCTAGATAATTACATTGGACATCTCACAGTTCCTCCCATGGGTGGCGCGGGCGTGCCTCAAAATGCATTTTGAGACTGACGTGATAGGGTTGATTGCTTTCCCATCATTTTTGGTAATCAGGTTTGATTCGCTAGGCCTCACCAGACCTGGCCCCGAGGTGGTGTGTAGCACGAAAATTGTGTATAAATATAGGCTGGGCCCCGCCTCATACCTAGTTCTTGATCTGAAGAGAGACACATCATTTTTCAACCAATAGTTTGCCTCACTCCTGGGACGACTTTGCACCATGAGCGATACGGCAGGATTGACACAATCTGGGTCCGATCCCGGGAAGAGTCCAAGCGGCATACCACCCGGCAATTCCCCTTTGAATCTCCCTCTTGGCTGGGACCAGGCTACGACTCCTGAGGGCCGAGTTTACTTTATCGACCATAATGCCAGGGTCACGACTTTCAATGACCCGAGAGTTATACCCGGCTTGGGAGTTCATATTGAGGCTCAAGTTGAGCTCGAAAGTCTCCCTGCCGGTTGGGATCAGCGCATCTCACAACCAGACGCAAGGCCCTACTTCATAAACCACATTTCGCAGACAAGCACTTGGTATGACCCTCGATCACCGCCAGTGAGTCTCCCTGGGGACCCCTTGCCGTCGTGATGGGAGGCGCTGGCAGATGGTGGCGGGAGGGTCGTCTTCAGGAATAATACCCTTGGTAGAATTCAGACACAAGACCCTCGGACGTCGGATAATAACAACAAGCCTCTCCCGCCTAGGTGGGAGCAGAGACTTACAGTTGGTGGGAGGGTCTACTTTGAGAATCATGAAATGAAGACAACTACTTTTCAGGATCCACGGGGCGAGGAAGCGAGTGAAACTTGAGGAAATACTGGACTAATGGTAAACTGCCCTGAGCTGTCGTATCTTAGACCGACCGATCCGGCAACAAGCTGACTAGGGGAAGTGACGGCAAGTCCGAGCTGATGCCATACGTTTGGGAAGCCGTCTAGGCAGCAAGGGCCTTTTACCAGACCGGGTGTTGGATGGATAGGTTAAAGAAGGGGGGTGTTGAGGGGCCTTAGCTTTTCCGATCGATTCTACCGACACCATTGGCCTAACTAAGACCTAAAGTCCCCAACATCAAAGCTGCTTCAAGGCGGGGTCTTCAAGTATCATTCAGTGGAGCTATGCGCAATATTGAGCGGGTTGTTATTGCAGGTGATACCCACCATCACGAGCATGTGTAATATCACGAATCACCATAGTTGATCCAAAATCAGGACAGATTGACCGAGTCCATCGCCCATATAATCTCATTCCTTCCCACACATGATAGAAACGACCTTAACTCTAGGCTGAGGGTCAAGAAACCCCCCAAGTGTATATACGCACACGAGTAAACGTTTCTTATTTTTTTTTTTTTTTTTAGATCTCGATCCGAGAACCTAACGTTACCCCGGTCACGGCACCTAGAGCAGCCGCAAAGCATCCCGAGGCAACTATAAATGGCAAGCCGATCCAGCCACCACCGATTCGCAGGCCCCAGCCAAAAATAACGGCGAAGAGTGGCCGCCCAATGACCATACCTGAGTAGGAAGTCACGGAGAGAGCCGTATACAAGGTGGCAAGATGCTGTTGTTCCACCATTCCCGTGATGAGACTGCGCATGGGAACCGGCAAAACGAGGCCGAGCGCATAAAATATCTGCCCTACACTCATGAGACCCCAGGTGGATGCGAGGGCCATCACGGCGGAACCAAATGCTAAGAATATGCCGGCAAATTGGGCGATTCTTTTGTCCTTGGAAACTTCATCCATCTTTTTCATTAAGAGTGAAGAAAATGCTGGCAAGACGAACGCCAATGCTGCCAGGTTGACTCCCGCGCGCAAAGAGAGGAAGAAAGATGCCTGTGGAAGGGGCGTTGTTAGGTTCTCCACGCTATGACAGGAAAAGAGAGTCTACGGGGAAAGAGGGAGGAGGGATTTTAAAAGAAAAGGAAAAATACGATGTCGTACCTTTGCAATTGTCCAGTGAAGCTTCTTTGAAACATATTGAAGGAAAACAGGGCCTTGCACCTGCTCGCCCAAATAGACAGCGAGGAACGCCAGTATCGTCAAGACAACGTGGGTGTTAATCATGCCGATAACCTTCGCGACGGCCTTCTTGATAGCGGTGGACTTGCCGTCTGCCGTGTGCGTACCGTTTTGTCTGGGAGAACTTCGATCGTCCATATCCTCTCTCTCCGTTATCAGGTCCGCTTCGTCCTCGGCCTTCTTCTTGGCTGGTAGTGTTTCAGGGAGGAAGGCAAGGGCCAATAATATGCCGAGGACCATTAGAGCAGAGGATATCATCATTGGCAGCCATTTGTTGACAGACATGAGAGCGGCACCTAACGGAATGAACACAAGCTGAGATATCATTTCGGCGGATTGCATTTGCGAGAAAGCCGTCGTCCTGTCCATTTCCTCATTTCAGCGCAAGCTCTCACACTCGTGGGAATGGTAAATATGCCCCATCGGAGAGTTTTCACTAACCTCTGCTCAGCAGGGCAGACGTCGGCTACCAAGACAAACACGATAGACGTCAGTGTAGTAGCCCCGCCACCAATGATTGCCCACGCGCCGAGAAACCAGACAGCCTTGGGAGGGAATAGATCGGAAAACCAGTCTACAGATCCCGTAGAGTTAGACGAGACGTCCTTACGTTAGCAATTTAAAAGATAACCTACAGACAACTCGGAGCCAAGAATCTTCTAGGAAGAGCCCGATAAGAGAAAGGATAAGGACTTTCTTCCTCCCAATCCGATCGGCAAGAGCACCATAAGGAACGGCTAGAATGATACCTGTGCGGGCAAACGTTGTCAGTCATTCGTAAGATAAAGCGGGAATGGTAGTGTATCTAAAAAGCATAAAAGAAGAAAGCAAGGAAGCCGTCGTACCAGGAGCGGCTTCGAATGTATCCTTCCACCCATTGATGAACGCTACCTCACTCTGGATCGGCTCAATCTTGCATTTGGACTCTGGATCCGAGAAAAATTCGCTACCATCGTCCGGGTGAGAGGCATAATATTTTTCACACACGATATCCTCGAGAATGGCCGTGAGCGGGGCGTCGCTAATGTGGCTGGAAATGCTCAGAATAAGAATCAGTGAGAAGGCGGCGATGATGGTGGTGAGGGCACGACGACTTCCCCGGGGATGACGCGACTCTGGTGCTATTTCGTCAGCGATCAGAGGAGTTGTTTCGTCCTCCTCCGCGGGCGGCATTGTAGCCGAAGGTGATGAGAAAATTGCTTGTTGACAGGATTGGTCTTCTCCCCTCCCTCCTTTTCTCGCGAACAGCGCGTAATATCTATCGGATCAGCTTAGCTTGTGAAGGCAGCTCCGGGACCGAGAAAAGAAGAAGAAAAGGTGAGGATGAGTTCGTTGGCGCACGGGAATTCTTGTACTACCTGAAAATTGGCCGGGCACTTACTTCAATGCCGTGTCTTGCGAAGGGAAGTAGGAGCTGATGCTACGGTGATGGGATCTGACACCGTTTGCCCCCGATACGACCCGCTCTGTTTTTGTGTGCCGCTCCTGCATTTACGAAGTACGAGTCACCAACCAACATCAATTTCACATGGAGCTTCCTCTTTCAAGTCCTTTCTCCGTTTCCTTACGTCTCAAGTGGAGCAGCATTGTTATCAAGTGGCTAGGTCCCGCAAAAGGCTTCCGTTGCAAGCTATGGACCACGCCAAGTCTGCTTTCTTATTATTCTTCAGATGGATAATGGGATGACGCAATCCGAGAAGACCCTGAACCACAAACAGCATCAGGAGGTCTCCATACTGACCGGCCAACGTCTTATGCTTAGATGCCTTAAACTGGGCATTTGTCGTGAGCAGGAGGGTTTATGCGTATGTATGCGTGCAGGTTGGGGTCCTCGGAGGTTTCCGAGCCTCAGCCAAGGTAAAGATCCAGACCGCTTCAGGTTCAGCAGGGATTCGTTCCAGGACCTGCCATAACAGCAAGGCTTTCCCGCACGAATACTCCCTACAGTGGTGCTGATGATTACTCCCTTTTCACAACTTTATGGAATACCTTTGTAGATGTCGAAATGCATTAAAATAGGCCAAACGGCATTCTGATTTGGCGACTCTCCGTACTCCGTCCATGCTTGGGCCGTTAAAAGACGAACCGTGGTTGGACGATGTACCGTATCGACGACCCGCAGCCCAGACAAAAGTCCCAATACGAGTGCGGGTGTGTGACACCGCATATCACCTACCCCACAGGATTTGGAACGGAGATTACACCCCCTGACTTGGACCAACAAGAGCCGTCACATTGAGTGGAAATCCATCCAGGTACTGGCTCAGAGTTCAGATAAGCTCAAGGAGGTGTACAGGTAAAGGCAACGCCCCGCGAAGTCGCCAACACCGCCCTGATCCAGAATCCAGAAAGTGGCCAGACGGGCCTCAGGGTGTTCCAATCCAGCAGCAATCAGCAATCCAGGAGCGGACGTTAGTGATGCCGCTAGATGTGGAGTCCATCGCCTTTTTTTCTCTTTTTTTTTTTTTGGGATAATATATCTAGGGTATAGGCTTGTCTTTGATAGAGATAGGTGTTTGGCTGCTCTCGCTGTACATTAATCAATGTCACTTGTTTCGACACTACGTTGGGGTGGCGAACGGTGGCCTGTTATGCATCGCCAGGGCCCTCTTGTGTGCTCTGGTGCACAGCTCCCCAGGTGAACTTTGCTTTCGAGAACCTGCAGCAGGATTCCGTCCCGCCTCCCTTCGATCCACTGATGGATTTGCAGTCCATCCCAATGTCCAACGAGAATGAGCCTAATCTGGCAGGTCTAGAACCGGATGAAATTACGTGATTGCCTTTCTAGAGCCGTTGACGTTGGGCATTCGCCACTGTTGGTTTTCCAAATGTCAAAAAGCAAACTCGCGCCAGAGGTCTGTCCCGGGCGTCGGTCAGACATCTCGACCATCACCACTGGTAGAATAGCTCGACGCCTATTCAATTAAGCTCGATTAACCTGCTACCGTCGCGATTTAAACCCGATTGCATCCTGGGGGTCCTTTAGAGAGCACTGGACCATTATACGTAGATTTCGACTTTCACCAGCACTTCCGGGGAGATGTCGTGCTCAGATGGAGCTGCTGATGGTCAATTCGGCCCTGTCATTCAAGGGTGCCGGTCACAGCCGGACTTCACATTGCTCTTCGAGGAATCCATACTTACCGTCTTGCCGTCAGGCATCCTCATCGCGTTGGCTGCTATTCGACTAGTTATTCTATTTCGCCGGCCTGCTGTTTGTCGCAGAGATGGGCTTAGTGTTATGAAACTGGTATGGCAGAAGAGCTTTTGACCGGCCCCCAAACTTCACAATGCAAGACATGACCCGTCGCTCATAGATCTTTCTCGATTATACTGATACTCGTCGTTACTGACCTGGCTATTACAACAAGATCACCGCCGGCCTTCATGTTGCGCTTCAGGTAGCGATTCTTATGGAACAGCAGCTCCTTCAAACAAGTACGCCCCTCTCCGTCGCCGCAGGAGCCCTATCGCTAGCTGCCTCCGTATTCCTGTGTGGGCTCGTGTATTATGAGAATAAAAGGTCTCGGTGCCCTTCCTCGCTGATTCTCGCTTACCTCTTCCTCGTCGTTTTGTTCTCGATCGCAAAGGCCCGAACATTCTGGCTCCTGGATGAAGTTGCTCTCGGCGCAACTTTCGCCGTTGACTGCTTCGTTCAGCTGGCTCTGTTCTGCCTTGAAAGTCGGAATAAGACTTCATCCTTTATCAACCTCACCAAGAGTGACTCGCTCGAGACCACCGCTGGCCCCATTAGCAAATCTTTCTTCCTATGGCTCACCACGCTTTTCCGGAGAGGATATTCCAGATCCTTTCAGCCGTCCGACCTTGGGCCGATAGACAGCGCTATGTATAGCGAGGAGTTGCGATCCGTGTTTAAGCGCATCCTGTCTCATCAATTTGGTATAGATTTTCTCCCGCCTTATACAGTCAAGTTTGATTTTCCACAAGTGCTTGGGGGTGCTAACAGATACGATCCCAGACTCTGACGAGAAAAGCCCCAATGATCTCATACTGCTCACCCTACGATCTGCGGGCTGGAAGGCATTAACTCCGATCATTCCGAGACTTGTGGTGGTCGCTTTCACCTTTTCCCAGTTTTTTCTAGTTTCTGCAGTCCTGGGGTATCTGGAATCACCTTCTTCTATATCCAAGGATGTCGGTTATGGGTTAATAGGAGCTTGTATATTTGTCTACGGCGGGCACGCGGTGAGAATTTATTTCCCACTTATCCTGTTATAATACGCTCATCGAGTGCCCTCATTTTCGAATATAAAAGACATGAACTGACATTGAACTTATTCTAGATTTCTACTGGATGGTACTGGTACCAAACATATCGATTCGTCTCAATTCTCAGGGGGGGTCTCATCGTCACCATCTTCGAAAAGGTCCTTCGACTCCCTGAGGATACAAGCATCGAGTCCAAGGCCATGACCCTTATGATATCGGATGTACAGAGAATTTCAAACGGACTTGCCTACGCCCATGAGATGTGGGCAGGACTTGTTGAGACAGCGGTGGCGGCATATCTACTCCAGAGAATGGTGGGATTGTCTGCATTGTCCATGGTTGGACTCGCAATTGGTAGGCGAAAAAGAAAAACCTTTATTCTACGATGGACTGCCCGCTCAAATATTCCACTCCATCCTTCAATCTCTAGCAGCGCTAATAAAGACGATAGTGTGTGGCATATCCTCCTTCTTCATTGCAAAGTCTTTGAGCCGCCAGCAGCAAACTTGGCTCGGTGCCATGCAAAAGAGGATCGAGGCTACGAGCCGCCTTCTCAATTCTCTCAAGCCCGTCAAGATGGCGGCTGCTGAGGCACGGATCGGCAATATTATCAAGACTCTAAGAACCTCCGAGATCCACGCGGCCAGGATCTTCCGCCGATTACTGGCCGCCACTGTTCTTCTATGTATGTTTTGGATCATCTCCGGGATAGCTTTCTGTTTCTAACTCCTGTCGTTGTCTCTAGCTTACGCTACCTTTACTCTTTCGCCTTTTCTCATATTCGCAACCTATATTGCCGCTTATGGAGGTAGTAATGCGGATATCGACGCCACGAGGATGTTCTCGTCGCTCGTTTTAGTCGCACTTCTCGGATCTCCACTTATTCACATTTTCCAGGCAATGCCCTCGCTCGGCGCGGCTTATGGCTGTTTCAAGAGGATCCGGCAATTCCTTTCGACCCCCGAGAGGTCTGATCCAAGGCAGACGTTACCCGACCCCGACGAGAAAAGTGCCAACACGGCCGCTCTCTCAGGATCTCTAGAATCAGACTTAGCGGTATCAATGACGAACGTTTCCCTAGCCTGGACTCAAGATACACCGATTCTTGAAAATGTCAATTTGACGGTGAAGAAAGGGCAGCATGTTGCTATCGTCGGACGCGTGGGAACCGGTAAGTCGCTCTTGCTCAAGTCGATTGCGGGCGAAGCCGAGCAGCTGGGCGGAGAGCTGCAAGTCCAGAAACTTGACGGTGTTGCATTTTGCTCCCAAATCCCATGGCTGGAGAATGTATCCGCCGAATGTAATTGGGTCCAATACTCTTCGGAACAGGAGCCAGACTGGCAGACTCGGGTCCACGAGGCATGCTCGCTTAAAGATATTGCCAGCCTGAACGATTACAGAACCGGCACAGTTGGAAGTGGTGGAGTGAGGCTCAGCGGAGGCCAACGGCAGAGGATAGTGAGTGCTAGTCGCCCCTTCGATCATGGATCTCTCGAATAAGTCTCACATTCAGTACTATTCTACTAATACCGACCGTTAACTTAGGCCCTGGCTCGAGCTGTGGCCTCTCGCAAACCGCTACTGCTTCTTGACGACGTATTTAGTGCGCTAGATCGCGCGACTCGAGATCACATTTCCTTGGAGCTGTTGGGCAAGAATGGGCTTTTGCGGAAGCTTGGTACAACGGCAATTTACTCGACCCACAATAGTGAGTATTCGCGCGTTATCCTGCGACCTTAGGAGCACTATTGCCTCACACACCCCGTTTATATAGGCCAAATCGCCCGCTTAGCCGATGTTATTCTCGAGATTACCGATGTAAATGGTCATCGGATTGTTCGGGAAGTCCAGCAACTTCCGGACGACCTTGACGACGATGTCAATGATGAAACCTCCGAAGCCCCTGAAGCCTGTGGACCCTCCACAGATGTAAAGAAGGAAAGTGACGCCACAAACGCCGCAGAAGTCAAGCGAGCAAGCGAAGGCGCGGACGACGCGGAGATAGTCCCATCGCTTAGTTCTCCGGTGAGAGACAGAGAGGTCTACATGCGCTACTTTCGGGCCATGGGTTTCGGAAATGCGGCTATATTCATGCTGTTCGCGGCGGCTTTTGCCATAACACTCAAGTTCCCTGGTAGGTGAAAGAACTGCTACGTCCTTCTCTCCTACGAGACTATGCAAAACGTGGCCAACTAACGTGCCAAAGATGTTTGGGTAAGCTGGTGGTCGGCTGCATCTTCATCGAACGATACAACGCACAGCATTCAGTACTGGCTGGGTATATATGGGATGCTCGTCATCCTCCCTCTTGTTACCATATCGCTCTGGGTTGCGTAAGATATTGCCCTAGCCCTATCGTGTTATACCGAAGCCGGCACTAATCATCGGATTGTAACGATTCAGACATCTCATGCTCCGTATCGTCCCGGCCTCGGCAACGTCATTGCACGCAGATCTTCTCAAAACGGCATTGAATGCTCCGTTCGCCTTCATGAGCGGCCAAGATTCTGGAAGCCTTATAAATCGCTTTAACCAGGATCTCATGTTCGTCGACAGTATGCTGCCGATCGATCTGCTAAATACGTGTTCCGAGATGTTTGTCGGTCTAATTCAAGTGATCCTGATCGCCATCGTGGCCAACCAAGCACTCGCAGTTCTCGGTCCCCTGCTCGCCGTTTTGTACGCCATTCAAAGGGTCTACCTAAGGACATCAAAGCAACTCCGTCTAATGGACCTGGAGTGGAAAGCCGATCTCCACACCAAGTTTGGCGAGACCTGCTCGGGACTCGCCATGGTTCGTGCGAATAACTGGTTGGACTCGATGAGAGCCAAGTTCTTCGAGAAGCTTGACCGATCGCAGGAGCCGTTCTACCTTTTATACATGGTCCAGAGATGGCTGCAGCTCGTGCTCAATCTGACCGTGGCAGGCCTTGCTGTCGTGATCGCGGGTATTTCCGTGGGTCTGAAGGACAAGATCGCCGCCGGCGCGGTTGGCGTCGCGTTCTTGAATGCCACTACCTTGGGCGAAACTTTAACCAATTTTATCGTGTCGTGGACATCGCTTGAGACATCTCTTGGAGCTATTGCCAGAATAGCCTCTTTCGAGAGGGATACTCCACGAGAAAAGGACGTGTCGATGGCCGTGGATCATCACCAGCCACTTCCCGATAACTGGCCATCGAAGGGGTCGATCAGTTTCGAGAACACTTGGTGTACCTATAGCGTTGATTCGAACTCGCCAGTGTGGAATATTCGTGGTTTAAATCTAGATATTCCTCCAGGGACTCGCGTCGCGGTTTGCGGACGGACAGGATCCGGAAAATCCACCATGATGCTCGCCTTGCTGAGAATGGTTGAGATGCCGATTGGTGTTATCTCGATTGATGGAGTTGACATATCGAAGATTCCGCTCACAGAGTTACGAAGTAGGCTTTACACCATTTCCCAAGATGCATTTGATGATCTTGAGCCGACAACGCTACGACAACAGCTTGACCCGCAACACCAATGTACGGATGATCAACTTGTCGACACCCTTGCCGGATGCGGGCTCTGGGATCGCGTTAACAACCTAGGCGGCCTTGACATGAAGTGTGATGAACTTAACCTGTCCAAGGGCGAGGGTCAAGTGTTAGCCATATGCAAGCTCATCGGGGAGAAAACCGTGAACCCGAACGTCAGCAAAATTGTATTGTTGGATGAAGCAACCAGCAGGTAAGTCAACAATCAGTGTCGAACGAGAATGCAGCTTGCTAACTTTTGTTTCTAATACCAAGTTTGGACGATGAGACCGAGGTAAAATTGGAGACTCTGTTGCTTGACAAGTTGCGGGGACACACTGTCATCTCTGTTCTCCACAGATTGGATGCCGCTGCGAGATACGATAAGATTGCGATTTTGGAGAATGGTGTTCTGGTCGACTACGGCGACGCGAAGGATGTTGTATCACGATCAGCGTTATTTCAACGGGGCCTATCTCAGTGACAAACCCGGCTAGTTTCCATTTCCCGAGTTTAGAGTTAACTAAGGTCTCGAGGGAGTTTCGGAAATAGTATAGTGTCCGATAACAAGAAACAATTTTGCACTTTCTATTAGCTTTGCCTCTGCGTCAACTAGGCTTGGAAGTCTCCGTAACTCAGCAGAAAGTACATCCCAGCTTACCAACGCTCTCCCAATTCTGCTCATTTTCAGCTACCTTCTAACAAATAGTTCAAAAGTTGATCGTGTCTTAATTTATTGCATCATACATCTAAGCACTATCGACTTTACCTCGTCAAAGCTTCGTGTTTCCAGCGGGCCGGCGGTTGGGGTTTACCTGCTCGGCCCATTGCTCATCTATCGTCGTCTGTTCTCGTCGAGTCTTTCTGTTCCAATACTCTTCGAATTCTTTCTTCTCTTGCGCCCATCGCTTCATCTCATCTCCAAGAAACGCCGCAATCGCATCCGCACATTCCGCGACTCTCTCCATAGCTACGAGATGGCCACAGTCAAGAACCACCTCCTTCACCCGACCGGCAGCAGCGCCACCACTACCCCCAACTCCCGTTCCCGTCCTCTCCATCTTCTTCTCGCGAAGCTCCGGTGTCGACAGTTCCGACTTCTCCCCGAAGACGTATAGAACACTGGGGCGTAGCTCGGGCAGGCGGCGGAACACTTGCAGCGGTTCGGGGCGGTAAAATGGATATCCTGGATATTCCTCGTCCGCGATTGGGTCCTTGTCGAGGTATTGTTCTGCTGGGACGCCCCGATATGTGGGCCGAAGGAAAGTAAATAATTCTTGGTGCTTCGAGGTTGTGAGTGTGACGCGCTTATCGTCTCCGTTCTCCGCGCCATCTGTAGGGTAGAGCTCCGTTGGAACTTCGCGGAGACCATACTCAATCCATCGGTCAAGAACCCGGGGGTCCCATGCGTGGAAGAACTTGCTTCCCTTGAACTGTTTAGCGGCCGCCTCCCTTGACGGCCAGATGTCGCGACGGGGAGTAGATGAGATAGCTGGAGGAACGCTGGCGTTTGGGACTTGTATGACGGGATCAAGGAGGACAAGAGACCTTAGTAGACGGGGATGCGCGAGAGACAAGAGAGATCTACTACCACGTCAGTGGGCGTGGAAGATCGCGGGAGATTGGTGATAGATGAACTCCTCACAGTTGATTGCCACCCATGCTATGGCCGATTCCAACGATTGGGTGCGGTATGAAGTCTTGCTTCTGGTTGATCAGGTTCATCAAATCCCTCGCGTGGTCAGACCAACTCGCTAGAGCCTAATTATTATACCCCGAACCGTCTTGAGAAGGGGATGGCTACTCACGGTCATTCCCGAGTATCTTTTCGTTTAAGACGCCAGATTGACCTTGGTTCCAAATGTCCGCTATCCAGATCGATCGGATACGGACGCCAGCTTTACCTACCCGTTTGCCAAGTTCTTCCCACAAAGGCTCATACATTTCCTGCCAAACTAGTTAGTAATTATCATCCTCAACTCCACGTTATTTTACTTGCTTTTGGGAAGCCATTGGCGTGAGCCGCAAGAATTGTGACGTCGCCCGGTTTCGGGTTGGGGTTGTCCAGAGGGATGTACTGCTTCACCGCGAGTTTTGGGATGTCGGCGTCGCCGTTTACAGTTGCCGCAATATGGTCTCTCGTATGGCAACCGTTAACAGTGTGCTGCACCACGCGAAACGAAGATGCCATTCTGACAGGGGTTCTTTGCGCTCCAAACTGAATGGGACCCCTTGAGCCAACCCTTGGTGAATGCTTGCTCAGAACTAAGCATACACGAGATGTTCGAGACATGGCCGCAAACGTGGTCGGAAACAAGGCTGGCCGCGATGCAGCAATGGAGGAAAGCGGACGCAAGACGTACTTATTTGAGACCTCGGCTGAGAGGTTTGAATGGAATCATGTCGGCTTTGCACAAATTCAAATTGCCGTCTCTACCGGCCGAGGGTGGAGAAGATCTTAGCCGGTGATTGGCTGTTACTTTTCAAGATTAAGTCTCGCTTAACCCTTTCTGGGAAAAGTCGACCAGGGTTATCTAGTTTTGTCGTCTCGACCGTCCACCACCTCTCTTGGACATTCCTAGGGGAAAGCTGCAAAGAACCTTCCTTAAAAAAAATAAAACAAAAAAATAAAAAATAAAAAAAATAAAAAAATAAATAAGAAAAAAAATAAAAAAATAAAATAAAATTAAAATAAAATAAAAATAAAATAAAAATAAAAAAATAAAAATAAAAATAAAAAGAGAGAGAGAGAGAAAACGAGAAGTCTTCCGCCTTGGGGACCTGGAAGAACATGTTCCTATTCCATGTGGCCCTTGTTCGGAATTGCCAGCGTCCGCTACGGGCGCCTGGGTGTTCTTTGACCAGATGACCTCGTCGAAGAGATGCGCTGGCCGAGTCAGAGCGACTCTTGACTTTGCGACGGACGGGCTTTGCGACGACCAAGCAGGTCGATGCCGCTCAACTTGCCATCATTTCTCTATCTGCTGCCAATGTTGAACGTGCGGCTCCGTTGACAAGCCCAACTTGAAGAAGAAGTTCAGGGTTGTGGGCTACGATCGGTATGAGACGTGGGCTACCACCACGTTACTCTGGAAAATACATAACAAACTGTACACAACCGGTCGGGTAGCTGGGATACTCAGCCCTATCTAGCTAGGAGCAAGTACGAGATGGCCGTTTTCGAGCTATTTTCGGTGAACTCCTCCCTGAGCTATTTGACACCACCTTCTTCGCGTTTTGCCGCTCGGTGAAAATTTAAGCTAGCGTAACAATGTGCCAGACCAGGGAATCTGAAAAAGGAAAAAAAAACCAGATTCGTTATTGCCAGCACATATAATACATTAGACCGCCTAACGACCATTGCTGAGCATAAATTTGTCCCAAAAGAGCACAACGACCACCATAACGCCAGCCGCTTGTTCCATGTCAAACTGTAATTCAAAAACCGGCAATTTAATAACAAAATTCAATCTAACGGAAAACCGCATTAGGCCGTGGGCTGCAGGGGTTCAGCTTGCTCGTGGACGTGGCTGTCTTCTGGTTTTCGTCCATAAACCACAAAACTGACAAGGACAAGAGGTCAGTCTAACTGAGGCCTACAGTCATTTTAAAAGGAAAAGAAGATCCCACTTACTAGGGAACGTAGCTGTGCATATTTCGATCAAGCACCTCCTGCCTCGCCCTCGCAAGCAACACCTCAAGATACACCGGATCCCCACCAAGAATCTCCGTATACCCCCTGGCAAAAACATTCGAAATCGTCTCCCGGAAATGCAACAGCTCGAAAGCGCCAACTTTCTTTAGCCTCGGATCCTTGGGCCAAGGGTTCGTCGGAATCTTGTACATCTTCTCCACGACGTCGACGAATCCCGCGTCTATAAGCTGTTGCTTCCACTCGAGCAAATCCCGCCCCGAGACGCCAACTTTCTCAGACATTTCAAAATAGATCTGCCCCAGCTCAACATATGCAAGATCCGCCGGCAAGGTATCATCGTCGGAACGAAACTCCGGATACGATCCCGCCAGCTGAAGATATCCCCCCGGTTTAAGCGCCGCGTAGGCCTGCGCTATAAGACGGGGCCAATCGCGGATAGCGAGGATCAGTTCGCGCCCGTGGATGAAGTCGAAGCTGTTTTGCTCCCAGAGCCAATCGGCCTCGGCGTCGTCGACTTCGAAGTGGAGGTTCGGCGGCACGAAGGACGGCTGCACGGGGGCGATGTCAAAGCCGATGACGGTGGCGGCGGGGAATTTGTCGGCCATGTCCATGGCCCAGATTCCAGTGCCCGTGCCGATGTCGAGGATTTTTTGGGGGTCGGGGGTGATGGGGGCGAGGTAGAGTTCGTCGTTCATGAGGAGCATGAATTTACAGTGCTGCAATTCGTTTCGATCCATCTGCGCGCAAGCAGGAGTTGAACAGGATATCCTCACGCAATTATTTCGTGTTCAGGAGGAAATGCGTACCTCTGCCTCGTCGACCGGGGTCCACGACTTGTGGATTCCGTAGGCCGCGTAGACCCGTCCATTCTCTATTACGCCTCTTCGAATATCGGATGCGATGGAAGTCACGTAGCTGCTCGATGTCGATTCCGAAAATCCCTCGTCGTCTTGGCTGTAATCAGGCTCGATGTCCGCAGTCGCGGCTTCGGCCTCGGCGTCGGTTTCTCGTGGACTTCTTTCCTCCTCCGCGTGTGCTGACGGCGACGGCATCTTCGGAAACTGGGATACGACGGATAGAGAGTCGGGCTGTAATTAATACCAGGAAGGGGTTTTTGTTTTTTGGTAGGGCGACCAACGGGTAGATCGAAGTAGGTTGTGATTAGGATTACCCCCTGCCCTGTCTGCAATGCTGGTGATCTGCAGATTGTCACATTGGAAAAAGCAACCTGGCAGGAGGAAACGTGGTGAGTGCGCACTTTTGAGGCTGAGCCACACGTTGTCCGACAACGAACCATGGGCCTGGATCCAGCCATCAATGCGCTCAACTCTTCAAGCCATGAAGAATCAATAGTGTTACGTAAGGAGCTGATTCCTCTCCAAGTGGCCTCATAAAACGAACGTCGGTTGGCTGTCCCGTGTTCTAGAGTCGTTGGCGTCCCCAGTTCGGGATAGCGTGCTGAGGGGTTAGACAAGGATTGGGGCGAGAGCCGTGGAGGGCGAACTAAACTGGTGGAGTCCTTTTCAACTTCGGGCGCTTGATGAAGTCCGAGGGCAACAGCTTGAGCTCGTGCGGAGCTTTCCTCCGTCCTCCCACAACCTCTCCACCTTACTTCCCGAGACGCTGCTTCACCTTGTAATTAATCTCTCGCCCTATCGCCTCGTATCTCGCTCTAACGGTCGAAATGTCTCTCCCTACACCCGAAGAGGTTCAAGCCCTCGTGGCTGACCTCTCGACGGCTGCCCAGGCCTACAGCACCGCCCCAGATCTAGAGGGCTACATGTCCCGCGTCCAGCTTATCGCGAAGGCGAGACAGCTCAGCCGAGCTCTGATTACCCCCGACCAAGCTCCCAACTACCACGGCTTAAATGTTTGTTAAGAATTCATTTATCTCTCGGATATGAGCTGCTCTCGGGATTTGGGCTGATCGGACGGTGTTCTGGGAGGGGATGCGTACAGATGGCCGAATTAATTGGGATCCGCAGCTTTATGAAGCACAAGGTTCTTGACGCGATTCCATCGGAGGGAAGTATATCACTTGAAGATCTCTCCAAGGCCACCGGCGTCCAAGATTCTTTACTCGGTGTGTTGCCAATCCTTTTTTTTTTTTTTTTTTTTTTTTTTTTTTTTTCAAAGAGAAAAAGTCAATTGCATTGAAACCTACACTCTAACGCGAAATGAGGATAACCGTAGAGCGCATGGGGCGTGTCCTAGGTAAATGATAACCCTTTCCGTGTTTCTCGCATGGCTCAAGCCACTCCCCTACCAATCCATTGGGAAGGGGAGGATTGGACTTGTTGTCACTAACATCGCCGTTTTCGATAAGTTGCCGCCGGCTTTCTCGACCAGACCCGGCCAGATGGCGGCGATTATAAACACACTAAATTCTCTCAAGCCTACATCACGGCGAATCCTTCTCCAGGCCACTTGTTCCTCGCCATGTAAGCAGCAACGGCCGCATACATAACCCATCTAATCAGAAACAGACCTTGACTGAATGCCTTCTCATGTTCCCGCCAGGTACGACGAGTGGTTCCGAAACATGCACAGCTTTGACGAATACCTCCTAAAGTACGGCCTCCACGAACCAAACGACCCTCTCCGAAACCCTTACACGCGGACCCATAACCAAGAAGGCACGCCAGTATGGGCTATTATGGCCCAGGATCCAGAGAGAATTCAGGCCTTCCAGACCGGCATGGCCGGAATCGACGTGGCTATCCCCGTTGTAGGCCACTTCGACTTCAGCACCCTCAAGAACACGCCCGAGGAGAACGAGAAGGGCGTCGTCGAGTTAGTGGACGTCGGCGGTGGCCACGGCGTCGTGCTCAACAAAATTTTAACCACTCACCCGGAACTGACGCCTAAGAACTGCGCGCTACAAGATCGCCCGGACGTCATCGAGATGGCCAAGGCCAACGCCGTGCTCCCCGCTGACGTCCAGCTCGTACCGCATGATTTCATGACCGAACAGCCGATCAAGGGGGCGAAGTCGTACTTTATGCGCATGATCCTTCACGACTATTCCGACGAGGTTGGCATCGAGATATTAAAGAACCTTGCCGGGGCCATGTCGAAGGACTCTAGGGTCCTTATTTGTGAGATGGTTTTGCCCTCTCGGGTCGGGGAAGCGGACTTTGCTTCGGCTGTGCTTGATCAGGCAGTCATGACTATGGGCGGGAAGGAGAGGACGGAGGACGGTTTCGGAAAAATGTTGGAGGCTGCTGGGCTTCAGCTAGTTAACGTCTGGAGGGTTCCTGGGGTTCCTGGGGCGTGTGTTGAGGGGAGACTTAAGGAGTGAGGCTGAAAGTGCCCAGGCAAAGTGCCTTTGGGCTGCGCAGTTGGGCTGAACTTGTTGGCTTGAACGATCTATGGTGCGCGTAGTTCGGTCCTAGATTTTATGTTCTAATGTCTTGATGCAGCGGTGTTAATTAGTTCACGTGGATTAGTGTCTAGTCCATCCTCTAGGTCCGGCCTCTTGAATTTGTTGTGCGGACTGTGGAGCGTCATGATTTAATGCGAAGCCATGATCAAGGAACTCGGCCCCGGGCAATTCATCTTGTCTACCTGATCGAGTGAACATGTCTAGTATGGACCGAGTTGTATTTGTCCTTTCTAACAAAAGTAGCTCCGCGGACCCTCCATATTTGACGATTAACAACTTGTGATGAATATTGCTCAAAGGTTTGGCACATAATCTTGGTTTTTGATGCTACAGAAGTTTAATCCCCCGTATATGACGGTCATTAAATCTATGGAAGAGAGAAGTCTTGACGGCAAATACAGCGCCTCGTTCCATTGTAAAACTGTGAAGTCGTTCTTGTGGAACGTGTAACTCAACCGCTCGACATCCATTTTTCGTTTCAATCCACCTCTTACCCCCATCAGCCACCTATATAGAGGGCATAGAGCCTCGGGGACTTACGGGTATTCTCAAGACGACTAGGGCTGCGGTGGACGGTCACATTAATTCACATCAATGGGGGCATAGGAGGATATGATCTATCTTCATACTGAATATGGACTCTTCGCCCGAAGCTTGGGGCCGTATTTCCAAAAAATTAGCGGCGCCGGCGTTAAACCCACCGCTATGCAACCTAGCAGCGTCAAAGTCCAATGAACGCCGATTCCCTGATACATCGGCCTCGCTGCAACCACCATTGTGCCCGATATCAGATACCGCACCATGGTGATACTCGCCAGCGCAATAGCGGAATGCTCTCGATAGCTGTCAATTATATACTCGTAGGTGCTAACGTAGATGCTCATCAGGACCATGCCGAACACAAAACAAGCAGTCAATCCGGACCATATGGAGACGCTAGGGTAGTTGCTCCAACCAAGCCAGAAGAGAGAAATAGGCAGTAAAGGAGCCGTTACGGCGGCCGGCCATAGTCTATACTCGGGTTCGAGCCGGGATCTGCGCACATGGTTCGTGTGCTTGCGTGCCAACTTGTATAAAACGGGAGAAAAGACAAGAAATGCCGTCGAACCCGCCGCGACGGCCGCGAAGCAGGAGCCCGTGAGTCCTGTGGATAATTGGTAGGTTTCTCTGAAGATGTAGTCGAAGCCGGACTGGAAAGTGAAGAGGAGGATGTAAAGTAGGACGAGGTAGCTCCCGAGAACTATGATTGCCGGCTCTGTTCTGGCGAAAACGAGGGTCAGAGGGAGATTTCTTTTGAGGGTTTTGAAATAGCCTTTCGACTTGGCGTGCTCGGAAGTGTAGCGCGTGTCTCCGGTGGCGTGGCGAAGTTCCTTTGCTTTCCAGTCCAAGAGAAGTGGGAGGTATGTTTCCGGCAGGAAGAGTAGCGCAATTATGAAGGCGAAGCTCGATATGATCAGGGTTATCCACTCGGTCCAGCGCCAACCCAGTCGGGGGTTCGAGACTATCCAGCCGCCGGCCACGGGGGCTAGAACAGGCGCTATGAGGTCGGAAGCGCGTCAGTCAATTTGCCTTTACTTTCGTGAAATTTGGCGAAGCAGGGGTACTCTTACATGCAACATTTGCCCATGCTATCTTGGGAAATACCCATGCCCTCTTCACGGGGTAGAACTGATCCCTCACACTTGCGCCGTTGATGCTCAACGTAGCGCTCGCGAAGAGACCGACAAAATACCGACATGCCAGCTGGCCTCCGAACGTAGGCGTCAAGGCGGACCCCAGAACAAAGCCCAGGTAGCAAAAGGTCGACCCAAGGTACGTCGGGTTCCTCCCAAACGTTTCCGAAAAGGGACCGGCAAATACCGCCCCGCTGCCCACGCCGAGCAGGTACATGGCTGTCGACAGATTCTCGGCGACCTGGCTAACGCCAAATTCTCGACTCGCCTGTGCGTTGGCCATCGAATCGGCCGCACCGGCCCAGCCCTGGACGAAGATCAGGAGCGAGAGGATGAAGATGTTCTTGCATCTTGCTACCAGGGACCAGTTGCGCGGATCGAGGGGGTCTTCCCGTCCGGAAGCCCGCACTATTATCACGTCGCTCTCCTTTTCGTCTGGAGGTGCATTTGTTTCTCTCTGTCTTTCTAGATCGGTGGGCGATCGATCGTGCGTCGATGGGGGCGCGGATATGGTATTCTTCGGTGAGGATGGAGCGTTGCGATCGGGGGCACGTAGAGGCAGTGTTGTTCTCCCGGGCTTTTCTGAAGCTTCTGTCCTCTGGAGGAGCTCATCTCGGACAATTCGGCGGATATGTCGACGCTGCACGTAGGACCACATACTAGGGGGGTTAGAGGGGAGAGGGCTGTGGGCTTCGCAGGAGACAATCAGGAACGTGGAAAACCCGAAGTCCCTTCGAACAAACAGTATTTAAAAGGATAGAGCCTAGAACAGCTCAGATCGTCGGATTTCTAGAATCATGAAGCAATGGAATATTTCTGCTCCCTGGCACCAAAGGGGTCAGAATTAAGCCAGAGCACGCGACCTCTTGCCCTTTACAATTCCCTCGGTCCAGGGCACAAGGCGGACCCTGAGGTTTGGCTTTCAATTGGCTGTGCAAATCTCCCGACACTCCTGATAGATGCTTAAAATGATCAGTCGTGGCGACAAGCCTTTTCTGTATGACGACATAGTTTCGTCGGTGGCAGAGTTGGTGGGTGGGTTTAAAGAGGCGCTAAGCACGAGGTGGTGGCCGGATTGGAATGGACAGGATCGTACTCGCACCCGGGCCCGCAGAGGGACGATTTTTTGGGACCTGTTCATACGAATTGGGCAATTTTAGAGGCGAACTGTGAAGCAATTGTGAAGCAATAGCTTATGGGACTGAGACTCAGCCTGAAGCGAATGCGGGGACTCGGTGGGCTGGTCTCGGTCGGTGAGTGACTTGAGGCTTGATGGGGAATAATATGGTGGAGAAAAACCTAGAGATAGTGAGATAGAGAGAGTGAGACATGCGACGCAATTGGCGGCAAATAAAAAAGAATCAACGATCAGATTTCTCTTGTATAGATAGATGTGTGGATCTTATTGCGTATATTGATTGGGGTGTTTAAGCTCAATTACGAGATGGATTGTTTCTCGACAAGGACACCAACTCTTGCATGCGCATCTTCTGTTGCCAGATAGCTCAGCCATAAGTGGGCTAATTTTAATAGCCATCGTCCTCGCCATCATCCTCGTTATCCTCTGTGCCAGAGACATAAACGGGACCATCTTTAAACAGTAGAGACATCGGAGGCAATGGTCAAAGTAGATGCGGCGATGACATTAGCCTCAACCTCGTCCCAGCGCTCGTCTGAATCGCCGTCGCCCAGGTCCATGATGGGCGAGCGTGCGGCGGAGCTCTTGCTATCCTCTTTTGAGCGGTGACCGATCCTCCTGGCCACATTCGAGAGAGCTGAAGTTCGGAGATGCTCCCCGTGCGAGGCCCACCTGTACCGAAGCATTTCATTGAAGCGATCTTCCCACCAGCCCGGAGCTTCGTGTCTCTCCCTCCGCAAGATGCTCGTGCATAAGGCAAAGTAGAGATAGCAGCGCGACGGTCGAAACTCGTTACGGAACTCCTGGCGTCTGCCGTCGAGTTTACCGTCCAAGTAGTCCCGGACAAACTCATCCTGCTCAAGGGTTTTGTCCAACTAGACTATCTTCAAATGCCGCTCCTTGCTCGGGGACAGTAACCAACCAGCCCTCGCCGAACCATTTCTCAAATACATAGGTCATGGGAATGGAGTTTGTGGCCGACATCAAATGGCCATCTTTAGAGATTGGAGTGCCGAAGAGGCCTTGTGCAGCGACCTCTCCCAGTTGCGACACCGCGGCCCTCGCTAGCCACACGTCCGTCGGCGGATAAGTCTTAGAGGAAGAGGAAAAGTTCGTTTGCATCTTTGATCTCGTGGCGATCGAAGCCTGGTGCGTATCCGAAAATGACTTGGGCGTTATCTCCGTCTGTGCCGCCGTATGGAAGGGGAAGGGCTCGGGCCGCTTGGTGAAGCCAATCAAGCACACCGCTGCGGGTACCATTGCCCCGAAACAACGCACCGCGCTGTCTTGCCACTCTTACTCTTAACCGCATCGTACCGGGCCATCACTGTTTTCCTAAACCGTTCCTGATCCTTCGGCGTCTCCTTCTTGAAAAGGCCCAAGGTCGCATGGACGGGTGACCTATATCGGGCGACGAGGCCATCGATATAGGCCCAGTCATCGGTATGGACTTTACTCGTTCGTAACTCGGTATCTTGCATCCGGCCCGATATCTGTCTGGGCGATGTTTGGAGTACTGCAATGTCTCCCTGAACGTGGGTCATGAGTCTGGATAATCGTTTAACCTCTTTGATGTAAAGAGGTTGGGAACATCAAGTTTGCCGGCATACCACTTGGTACGGATCACCTTGAGGGCACCGTTCCACGCTCCCAGAAGCACCATCCTCACTTCAAGAGCAGCTCGACCAGACGCGTTGCCCTCGCTTCGATATCTTTGGGTTTGAGCCGGGCACCTTCTTGTGGAGATTTCAGAAAAGGTTCTTTTCGCAGATGTGACATTCTCGTCGAGCTCGCGGATCTGATCCGCGGCGTCTTTCGGGAGCTTCGTTAGGATTTGGCTTTCGAGAGTCGGCTCGCCGATGGCGACTTCGGGCCCAAAAGGCGTCAATCTTTTCTTCGGAATTTTTGTGCTTTCGTATACAGCTGATGAAAATACCAAAGGGATTAAAAGCAATAAGAGGCCGAGTGCGATGGCAACGGCACTGGAATTCCGTTTTGGGTGGTGAATAAATATTACAAGGTAAGGTTTCAAGCCAAGGGAGCAGTTTCCCTTTTTGGACGCACTTTCACTCCGTTTCCCTTTTTTTTTCTGAAGGCAAGAGCAAGTCAGGCTCGACTAGGAAGTATCACGTGCAAATTAACGGCGACTTCTCATGATTCCATGTGATATTTTTGGACACCGTTTATGGAAGGAATGAATGAGTCTTCCCCCTCCACGATCACAGATTTCATGAAGCCGGAATAAACTGTAAATCATCGAGGATAATTCCCAGGGGCTTGATACTTTCATAGAAACAGCGCGAAGCTCTACAGCATCCTAAATCAGCCCTCGTCAACTCATACTCGCAGGTCACCTAATCTCCCGGCCTCGCTGAGTTCAAGAACTCCCAAACTCCCAAGCGACTGATACCAAGGTCAACAAGATCGGTGATTTCCTCTACCCCGACATATTCTCCAAGTGAAAAGGTGGCGACTACAGAAGGGCTTAAACACTTGTACAATCCGGAGCCTCATTCAACCCTGACCTTCCTCACTTCCACGCGACGATACTGACATTTATTCAAGGGCGAGGTCCGACGGCTACGTCCTTGATAGTTAGCAATACTCTCTCTAACCTACTACCTCTCCCTACATAAATAAGGACCTACTTTCCCCCCTAAAATGGTGGATGGATGCGTGTCTACAAACGTGAAGCCCCCATGTTACCTTTGACCTTGGCGCCTAGTATTCCGGTGCGGTCTTTTAGACACCCTGCTTGGTTTCTCAGAACCCGAGGACGGCTTCAACCTCCTCTTCTTCGGCTTTGGCGTGGACGCCCTGGGCAATGAGTCCGCTGAATTATCGGCCGCGGTGGGATTAGGCGCCGCCGCCGTTTTCTCTTTCTTCTCTTGCAACCGTTTGCTTCTCCGCAGCGGTGCAGGAGCAGCGGAAGTTACGGGTGACGGCGAAGGAGGTTCCAAGTCTACAGGATTGGGTTGGGGTATATTGGAAGAAAGTAACTCGGAGACCTTTCCCCCTCGCCAAGACAGACCTCGCTTCCGTCCGGATGATGCCTTGGATACCTTCATTGGGCGGACTGGCCTTAGAGTCGTGTCAGGTACCTGTCGATCCCGTCCGTCGTTCGGACGCCGTACTGTTCCTTCCTGTCGGGGCTTCTGACTGACTGGAGACCGAGTACATTGTCTCCCTCGTGTTGGAGGGGATGGTGGATTTGACATGGGGGAAGAGGAATGGATCTTATAAGACCGAAATGATACCGGGCTACGACTGAAGCCGGAGGGGGAGACAGCCTCAAATGCCCTCTCGCCAGAGCCAGCATCAGCAGGGTTAGGAGTTGATTCTCTCAGTCTGGGGTTGATATTCTCCTCTGCGAGAGGCCTCTCTTGGGGAGCTGGATCGAGCCCCATTTCCTCGGCCAACATCTCGTCGATCGGTTGCTCATGCTTCCACGACATCCCAGGCATAACGCCCCACTTCCGGTTCCAAATCCCCCTACCCATCCAAATTTTCTTCACAACCTCGTAAGCCCTTGTATTTATCTCCGGCGGGACTTTGCTCGATGTGGCAGTGGCTTCTTCGGACCCCGACTCGCCTTGAATTCGTTCACGTTGTTGCGAAACCTGATAAACGAACTGGTAGAACGGTCGGGATGCTTCGCGCTCGCGTTCGCGCCTAACACGTCTTGCTTGGATCAGGCGCAACTCTTCAGCACTCTTCGGTCGTCTTGGTTTCTCCTCTCCTATCTTCGGAGGGGAGGGGGGATCATTGCCTTCGGATTCAGATTCGATCTCAAGCAGTTCTTCGTGCTTCCAGAGTCCACATGGAATGTCCTGCTCACGTTGGTTCATCTCCTTCCACCGTTCGTTCCAGATACCCTGCTCGACCCAGCATTTCTTGACATTCTCCATCGCTCGCTTTATGGTATCCCAGTCCGCCATTGGGAGCTGGTCGTCCCGAAAGGTGATTCCCATATCCAACGTACTTTGTCTCGCAATTCGCCGCGTTTCTTCGCGTACTTGCTGGTCGAATTGCTCAGAGGGATATGACGCCCTCCGTTCCTCGATGAGTTGATATTTCTTTTTCTCGCGGAGCCGCTCTTCTTCGGTCATGGTTTCGGAAGCCTGGGATGCTGTGGCGGTCCCCGACAGCGAATATATGTACATTGGCGTGGAGTGGCTCCACCGTCTGCTCCGCATACGCTCAAGAAGCTCAGGGTTGTTGGCCAAGGGATCAAGGGCTCTATGGAGCAAGTCCAGCCCATGGCCTCTAATTGACTCGGCCATGATGAGGGTGTATCGTCAAACGGTTAAAAAAAAGAGAAAAGAAGAGAAAGGAAAGGAAATGGAAAAGGCCTGGTCTGCGATGGAGAGAGGCGAGAAGAGGAGAGGTAAAGGAAGCCGAATGCAAGGGAATCTTGGAGATGATGAACAGACTCTTCTTTCTTTCTTTTCTTTCCCTGTTCTTTCTTCTTTCCCTTGCCAAATCACGGACAGCAGAAAAACAAGATACTGGACATATTTTTACAGGCAAACTGGGAAAGTAAGAAGGATAGAAGAAAGGAACGAGTCCACCTCACACGGACAGCTGCATAGTTACAGTCACAAGGTAAAACAATGAATTAGAAAAGTGGTAAGAAAAGAAAAGAAAGAAAGAAAGAAAGAAAGAAGAGAAAAGAGAAAAGAGAAGAAGAAAAAAAAATAGGGAGAGAGAATCCACAGAAGACATAGAAGAAGACAAAACTTACCACGGAAAGAACATAGAATCCTGCCACGGTCGCTGTGGAATCAAAATTCCACTGGATCCTTTCCGCTTTCGCATCCCAACCATTCCTGATCAGGCCAGGTCCTTTGTTTGTATTCTTCTCTTCTCTCCACCAATTCCAGCCGCAATTTCCAGCTGTTGGTTCAGCCAACCAGTTGTTTCCTGCCGTTTCCGACTGTTCCAGTCTCATTCCCTCCGGTTCTTACCTGTGGCATATCCGACCGAACAAAGAATATCCGGGGCGATAATATGAGCCCTTTCGATTGTATTCCAACGGATTGGCTCGTTCCTTTCCTTTGTGGAGCCGCATCTCTCGTTCCTGTGCGCCATGCTGTGCCTATGTCGTCGTGTTCTTCGCTTCTTTGGGCACCCTGCTTTACCCTTTCCGTCCCATTCCCCAGTTATCTCGCGAGCCTCTTCGATTGTTTTCGCGACCGTTCTCCTGGCAGTCCGGGGCCCCATGCCTCCTCGGAGTTGTGGATGGATGGGCGGTATGTAAACGAGAGAGCGTCCGACATCACAATTGTCTTTCAGCATTGTAATATTCATTATCGATTCTAGCAGCAACACAATTGCCTGGTTGAAGATAGCAATAACTAGTAGGTAATGACAGCACATAGATCTTTCCCCTCGAAGCCAGAAGTGGTGAGAATCAGGGAGAAGAAAATAAGCGATGTTGTCTACATATATATATATCAGGCGTATCACCCTGCGTAGTTGATAAAAGTATACCATGTCAAAGAGTTCAACAAACCACACTCCTCTCTCATCTTTACCATCAATCCACCAACCCATCTGCCGTAATTACGCTCCCCCCTTATCATTTCACGATATCCCACCATGGCGCCACCCGACAACCACCATCCCTCGACACGATTTAGCCTTGTGCCTTTGAACGACCGGGCAAAGGCGGCAACGGCGCACCCAAACAACGCCTACATTGCGCGAAAATCGGACGACGGAAAAATTGTCCTGGATATCTGGCGTGTTCTCTCGACGTCCGGTGATACCACTCTTGCGACATTAGGACGTACCGGAGATGTGTTTGTGGAAGGCAGCAACATATCGAGAATACAGTGCTCTTTTGAAGTTCACCCGGACACCGGTCTCGTCATGTTTCAAGACCGGTCGCGGAGTCACACCACTCAAGTTTTCGGTGAAAATGTTATCCAATTTGCACATGGCCGCCCGCGGAAGGTCGTTTTGTTTAACGACACTCAGACGATTATTGGATTCGGTGGCGAGCATCAGGACTCGGTGCAATTTGAGGTAAAATGGCTCCATGAGGCGCCCCAGAGAGAGATGGCTCTGGCCGAGGAGCGGGAGCAAAATCCCAGACAGGCCCAGACTATTGACCAAGATAACACGGCCTTGCCCTCGCAACGCCAAACCAGAATCCACGCGAGCCGGCTCTCGGAGCCCAAGTTGAGATGGCGATCCGCTGGAGAGGAACTCGGTAGGGGAAGGTCGAGCGTTGTCTTCAAGGCTGTTAACTGTGACACCGGAAATTTCTTGGCGGTGAAGGAGTTTAATCATGTCGCTTCCGCTGAACAGCGGGACAGGTTGAAGAGAGAAGTGGAGATTCTCTCCTCGATGAGCCATGTAAGTGAGACGTCTTTATTCTTTCCAGTCCCACACACTAATATCAAGTTCTAGGCTCACGTCGTGGACTATATGGGGATAGAGGACTGCAATGGATTCCGACCGAAAATCTTCATGGGCCTCAAGGATGGGTGTTTGGTATCACTGGCTAAGGAAGAGTGTTCCTCCCAACTAGCCTTGGACGTTTTTCGCCAGATGTTGGACGCCCTTGACTTTCTAAAGAAAAAGGACATCATCCACCGTGACCTCAAGCCCCAGAATATCCTTTACGTTCGCCGATCGCCATCTGACCCAAGCGGTGGGTATCGCTTTGAGTTGGGCGATTTCGGTTTTGCCATCCGTGCCACGACGGCCCGGGGGGATGCAGGTACCCCCATCTATATGGCGCCAGAGATAGTTCGAGGAGAGCCGCAGTCGCATAAAGTGGATGTTTGGTCACTTTTCGTGACCATGTTATGGTTGTGGGATTTCGATGGGTTTCGAAACAAGTCGTGGGAGTTAATGACACGTAACATGGTTCTGGATCACATTCTCGGCATCTCGGAGAAGCCTCTTCCCATGGCTATTTCCGCAATGGCCGCCGAAAACCCAGCGGAGCGTGTCTCTGCCGCGGATATGCTTCGCATGCTTCCAACTCTCACCAAGAATGTGGCACAGACCGACTCAGACCCTCCGGCCTCCCGGCCGGGTTGAGAAAGGTCAGGGACGGAGCAGAGAAACCGGGAAAGCGACAGGTGGTATTGCGTTGCTGGAAATGCTTTCACAAGTGTTCGGAACCAGGTTGCGGGTGATGAGATAGTTTCGAGAATGTAGCTAGTGTTGAGGCGGAGGACTCATAGAAAATCCAGGACGAATACGAGTTTGATTGACGTGCCTGCCACTCTCGACATGCTGTAGGCTTTCCATCCCTTTTGCGTGATCGGTTGTCCAGTGGAACAGAACAACTATTATTATCACGGCGGCCGCAGTATTCTAACTTATAATGCGATCCCAAAAAGCAAACGCGGCATCTCGTGAAAAAAAAAAAAAAAAAAAAAATGTACACTAAACTATTCACTGATACATATATCCTTCCTCTTCCTGGATTCCGTATTCCGGGATTGGAGAAGCCATAGATGGCTGGATACGAGCAGGCCTCTCGGCAACCATTTCCCTCAATAGGGTCCGCTTCAATACCGTGGCATTCTCACCTTGTTCCCTCATGCTCTAGAAACAGATTAGGTATCATACAGCCGAGCTGCGGGTGACTTTCTTCAAGGTCTCTCGGGAATAGTTTCGTTTGGGTGAGGCGTAGGATCGGAACGGTTCCTCATCAGGAGCTTTTCACGTTGGACCAGTCACATGACTCGTAATACGGAATCTTACAAGCCAATTAAATTCGAGTTTAAATGTTGCAGAAAATCTTGACGTTTCCTCTGCTTGCCGCTTCCTTTTTTGGACATTAATTTCTCCCAGTACTCTCACCGTTTCCTCTCCGTGAATCACTTAGACCTCACCCTCCATCCATACTTTCCTCCATCACCACCGAAACCCATCAAATTTAATACGTTTCCCCGACAAGAAGCAACAAACTGAGATCCTTCCTCTACCGGCCCACCCGTCATGCCTTTGCCACTTCCCTCCACGTTCGTGACAAGCACGATCCCGGTCGTGTTTAACAATGCCTACATTATCGGCGCAACATCACCAAACATAAGAACTGGCCACCCATGCGAGGACGGATGGCTTCTAGCAGATTTCTATGCCTTCAATTACCTACTCAAGGACTTGGGGACTTCACAGATATGGCTGACTGTTGAGGTAAGTTCCCACTGCCCAGGAACCCCAAGTCGGTGGCTTCCTGCCAGCCAGCGACCTGGCCCAGCCTGGCCCAGCTGAGTGATGCTAATCCTCAATTAATAACTTAGGACCCGAGGAAGTACTTGAGCGCCTATCCAGACATCAAGTTCTTGCTACACGGAAACCCGTACAAGGAGCGGAAGATAGCGCTCAGCGATGACCTTCTCGACCAAGCCTCCTTCACGCCCGTAACCGTAGTGGACAATACAGACATAGTCGAGACGTTCCTCTCACATGTCACGGGTACGTCCCAGGACGCCAGGGGCGACGCGACACACTTGATCATCTTTCTATTTTGTCACGGGGGTAATGAAGCTCGATTCATCCTCGACCATAGTGATACGGCAGGCGGCGTGACTCTCTCCCAAATTAGGGAAGCCATAGAGCCTGGTTGTCAAGTTACGCTTATCAGTTCATCAAGCTTTTCGGGAGGATGGATCGCACGAGAGCTACACCTCGAGTCCACTGGGCCTGCGTGGAAGATCATTCCGTCGGCTGCAGGCCCTGACTCGGAGTCAAACCCTTGGGCCCAGTCAGGAAGTCTCAGCCGTTTCAGTGGTGCCGTCTTCGCAAGATCCCTCAGTGAATCCCTGAACCAAGAGACCACGACCAGCCTCGTCAATAGGCCCGACGAACGAGCGGAGGGAACCCTTATCCAACCTTCAGGTGCGACTGCCGAGCAAATAATGACCTACAATGCCTTCTGCCGCTCCATCCTTGACATTTGTGGTACCTCGGAGCACGGTTTTTCATTCAAAGCTCAGGACGATCCCTGGGACTACCCGTCGACAGGGCGGCTCGGGGTTCCCCTCGATCACTTCCAGCAGAGGTGGCAGGCCTTGCCAAGCGTCCCCTGTACCAGATCCGCGCATGAGCAACCCAACAAAGACCCTAGCTCTTCGAAGGTGAATTGCCCTACCGATCCACAAGCTTTCCAAACCGGCTCTGCATCGGTCCTAGATGATGACTTAGCGAAGCTCATTCGCGACAATCAAGTGGCCCAGATGGCCGCCATGTTTCTGGAAACGTGCCCAAATGACTGGACAAGAGGCTGGGGCCCTGGGTTTTACACGGAGCTCAAGCGCGCATCAAACAAAGAGGACGCGCTCGATGAAGACCTCGACATCGTGGCCGCAATCCAGTTCCGTTGGGAGCTAGGCCTCCTAGCAGACCAAATCGTCGAGATGTTCAAGCTTCCTGTTCCGAACTCCGAGAGATGCCTCTGGTGGGACGACGTTGCATGGAAGCGTAGTCTCTGGAACGGGAGGATTCCCGGGGCCAGCCACCTAAAGACGGTAGTTTTTTTGGCGCTGGGCCGCGGTGGTTTCGAGCCGTCTCCATGTCCATTCCAAGGGCCTCCCTTCCCACGCTTTACACTCTACGTTTCAGCCGCCGTTGTCGAAGCTCAACTGGGCGAGGAGAAGGCGTTGGAGCTAGTCGAGGAGCTCCTCCAGTTCATGCGAGATGTCAAGGCGTTCTACAAGCAGAAGGTGCAGGCCAGCGAGGCGGTTATGGAAAAGAAGAATAATTGGGTGAAGTCCCTGCTATCTCGTGCTCGGTAGGGTCGAGCGAAGAAGGAGTCGTCTTCCCGGTCTGGGCCTGCGCAGATGCCAGAGTTCTTGCCCTCGAGCGCCGTAGGAAAGTAGGATCTCTTTAATTCCCACGTGACTACCCTCCACCTCTGCTCTGTCGCTTGGCGAGGCTCACGGGTCACAATGGTTGCGATATTTCTTGGAGGTAGGTTTAAGATCACTTCCTTTCTCTACCCCTTACCTATGGACTAATGATGCCTCTCCGCAAGTCTAGGCCAGATGACAGGGTCATATCGTCGCTCCTTTAGAAGCCGCTCCCGCTTGGCGCTCCGGAGTAATCGCGGAGAACGTGGCGATTCAGGATAACATCGTCCAAGGGCTACGACTTACTCTCCCCGCCGTCCAATTGATCAAAATCGCATAAAAACGAGAAAATCGATACTTAACCCCATCATGCACAAGGGGAGCCCATATCGACGAGTCGAGGTGCCCTGATTCTTCGACTGGAGGCGACTGGAGGAGGTCATAGCCGAGGGAGGTCTCGCGATCTCGACAGAATGGTTAGACCGAATAACATGAGTTTCTAAACATAAAGAACAATAATCGCTCGTGCCTCCCTGTTCCGTGTAGGCCCTCTCTCTAAGTTCCTTGGCTTGTTTAGACGCGAGCGTTAAAGGTAGTGCTTCCTCCTCCCTCGTAACGCGTCCGCATTGTCAGTTGATCTAGATTCCGAACTCAGATTTTAGGATGAATTCGCTTGTGTTGCTTGCACCTTGTATAAAAACTACATCATCTACGGCTTGTTCCCCTACTCTTTTTCCAAAACATATCCTACTCCAGTGAAGCTCCCACGCCTAACGCCAGAATATATTTCTACCTTCCATGTTGCCACCATTTGTCTGGCTGGTAACCCACTTTGTTCATCATCACCACATTCCAGGAACAAGAGGCCGCGAGAGCGTCAATATGCAAGATGCAATTGCTATCTATTATATTTAAGACAAATAAAAGAAAAAAATGAATCTGTGCGAAGTGGATAAGAGAGGCCCTAGACTCCACAAAAAAAGAGCGTTGCATGATAGTCCAGGGTCGGGTATAAGGATGGATTGATTGATTGATGGTATCTTGTCAGCAAAGTCTTCTCCCAGCAAAACACTTTTTATCCGAAAAAGTTCATGTTCAAACTAAAGCGTGCGCAAACTGGGGCACATTAATACTAATAATAAAAAAAGAAAAAGAAAAAAGAGTAAGGTCCTCCCGCCTCGTCAAGTCTAACCATTGAAAGTCATCACCTCATGCGGATTGGGATGGAGAGAGTGTGAGAGTGAGGGTGAGAGAGAGAGAGGGGGGATCGATCCCAAGGGGGCGGAGAGGAGACTGCTCTTAGACACCGGAGTAACCCCAGCGAGGAGCGTTGACGATAATACCAGTCAAGCAACCCGAGATGATACCTGCGACGGGGAGGGTAATGATCCAACCACCGTAGATCCAGGCAACCATGCGCCAGTTGATGGAGCGCCAGGTACCGGCACAGAGACCGACACCGACAGTGGCACCAGTAATGCACTGAGTGGTGGAGACGGGGAGCTCTGTAAGTGGATGTGTTAGCTGGCTGTCATGTGGTATGGACAATTGGGATAGACTTACTCAAGCGGGTGGCCATGATGACGGTAATGGCAGAGCCCAACTCCATGGAGAAACCACGAGAAGGAGAGTGAAGCGTGAGGCGGTTACCAAGGTTGCGCATGATGTTGTAGCCGTACGTCCAAATACTGTAGAAAGCTGTTAGTACGATAATAATAGTACGAGCCGGAATTGTCTACTTACCCGATGCCGATAGCAACACCACCGAAGGCGCTATATAGTTGATGTAGTCAGTAATAAAGTTCGAGAGAACCGTTATCCTGGCGCTTTGAGGGGAGTCAATTTAAACTCACAGAATCCAAATGGGAACGGGAGACTTGCTGCCCTCGATCTCGCCGGTATCCCAGATCTTGTAAATGGTGGCATATGGTCCGATGGCGTTGGAGACATCATTGGCACCATGGGTGAAGGACGCGGTACTGGCGGTCAAAACCTGGAGGAAGGAGTAGAGGAACTCGGCCTTGTTGTCGTAATGCTTGACATGAGCGTGCATCTCCTCGAGATCGCCAGTGAGCATGCTCTGCTTCTTCTGCTGGTTGAGGATATCCTGGTCAACACCTCGGAGGAAGATCCACTTGAATCCCCACCAGAGGAAGGAGGCGTCGTACCAAGGGCCGTCAGGCTTGGGGCCAACGATGGACTTGTGGGGAATGGTGGTTCGCGGGACGTCAATGTCGGACCCGTTCTGGTCAATAGCCTTGGCCTCGGAGTCGTCAGCACCCTTCGCCTCGACATCGCTGTGTCTGTTGGTTCGGCCACGAAGAGCGTCGAGCTCCTCCTTGGTGAGATGACCCTCGTAGAAATCCTTGATACCGCCGGCGGCACCCTCAGGCTGCTCCGGGGGCTCACCACGCTTGAGGAGCAGAGGACCGAGAGGAATATGGTACCAGCGGAGCTGCCAGTCATCCTTGACAACGATGCGGTACAGCCAGGGGATGAGGAAGATGGAAATGACGAGAGCGAAGGCGGCGCCAACACCAATAATGAGGCCGGCAGTCTCGCCATCGGTGAAGTCGAGCGTAATGGAGCCACCCTTCCAGACGATAAGCATAGTAAGGAGGGAGGCAGTGATGCCGAAGTAGACGGGAACAAACATGAGACCGCGCATGACCGGGTTGCTTCGGAGCATGACACCATACTTAGTAATGGTAAAGATGATTGCAGCGAAAGCACCAGAAATACCGGGAGCAATGATCCAAGCGAGGAAGACCTGGACGACACCAGAGTTGATGCCACCCTTCTTGTCGACCCAGTGGATGTTATCCGCACCGACGAGCGCAATACCCATACCGATCACACCGCCCATGATAGAGTGGGTAGTGGAAACAGGAAGACCGATCTTAGTAGCCATGGTGAGATAGAGGGAAGAAGCAACAACAGCACAAACCATACCCAACATGAGCAGGGTAGGTTCATCCTCGAACAGGTCAATGTCCACGATCTTGGTACGAATGGTATCGGCGACACGGGCACCGACACCGATGGAACCGGCGAACTCTAGAATAGAGGCCAAAGACATGGCCTGAATGTACCCGACGGATCGGGACGAAACCGACGTCGCCCAAGAGTTGGCGACATCGTTGGCACCTATCAGAAACAGAGTCAGCAGTTAGCGTCGGGGAGGTCTACACATCGCGGGGTTGAGACGCGTTGACGTTTGTGTTGTCCCGCCATCCCCGTTGCGGGCGACAAGGTGGTGGAGGACAGGAAAGGAATCGGCCAAATGGGCTGGCAGAAGATAGGATGCCAGAAGGCTTACCAATGTTCCAAGCGTCCAGGAACGCAAAGATGGTACCAATAGCGAAAAGGTAATCGAATTGGTGGAGAGGCATCTTGACGGTGGATGCCCGGGTCTTCGGCACAATGATCGTGTGTCTATTCTCGGTTTGGGGGTTGGTCGATCCAAAGTGGGGGACGGATCTAATCGATCGGGGGAATCAGGGACTGCTCTGGCGAGCAGTGGATATTCCTGTCTAGAGAGGCGACAAAGAATATGAACGCGAGAGGAAGGGCAAGCGAGGAATCGCTGTCGAGAGTAAGTTGACTGCCTGGTTGGCTTCTCGATGACAGGGAGGCTGGAGGAGGATGGAACACGATATAAATGAATCGCCGCAGTTTTGCCAAGCCTTTTCTTTCATGAATATAGATCAAGGATTCCCATGAATCTCTCGCTTCGCCGGTAAGCAATCGGGGAATTGGGCGACCGGGGGGGCGAGCAAAAGGCAAGCATGAGCGGACATGAGCGCAACATCGACGTTGGGAGGATTGGGGGTGGGGTGTGGTGTGCAGAGAGCCCCATGTGCTCTGAGGACCAGCTTCTGATGGATGGACTCGCCGTGAATGGAGTGCCATTGAGCAGGAGGGAATATCGGGTCGATGACCTTTTCGAGCGAGGCGTTCTGTTAGTTGACCTGTTATTCCGCCCAACGTACATGAGCTTGAAAGAAATTGATCCGAAACGGTGACCGAGAGTCGAGCATGGTTGATGAGGAAGGATGGGGGAGGTCGTTGAGGCTGACCAATCAGGAGCTTCAATCCCATCACGTTTTTGCCTTTTTGGTCGAGAAGTGTGGACAGGAACGACCGTGGCAGTTCCGAGCCAGGGACCCCACTTTTTTTGTCTTGCGTCTCCTCCAATCTTTTCGAGATCTGGCTCAGCTCCTCGATGTCTGTGTGATACAAGGGTACCTTTTGAGGTACGGAGTAAGCGTACGATTCATTGTCGTGATTCGTGAGCACGAATGACAAAGTCCAAGTACGAAGTACCTCGTACAAACACGGCATCTTTCTTGCCACGCATTGATACTAGCATTCCGACGCAAGAAAGATATCTCTGGTGTACTTCTACCTCGGACGTACCCCCGTATCGACCCCATGTGATGTGGATATCCATCTGTATCGGTACATACCTGATCTGCTCTACGATTGTACTGGTCAACCATAGAGTCAAAGTAATTTTTGGCAGCACCCCTTCCCCTTCCTGCCCCTTCCCCTTCGCCCCAGATCCCGCAAGTGGCGTTGCCCTACTAAGCTAGTACCAAGGCAGTTCCAGGCAGATGAACATTTCTCTCTCGAGGCTTGGCAAAGAGCTCCCCTCGACCACGGACGATACGGGAGATAGAGCACGTGTGTTAAACTCGCTGCCCATGGAGTAAGCTTCGACCAGCAAACAAGAAGACACCCCCACCTTGCCCACCTCACCTTCCTCGACTCTGATGCGCGCCGCCTAGACGGGACACCGAAGTCGATAAAACTGGTTAGGAGCTGGTCGCCGTAGCGAACTCGTTCCAGTTTCCCTTCAAATTTATCGAGTAAATGCATATTTTCTATTCGTTCCGCCCAATATGCTTAGTTCAAACTCGAGGAGCTTCGCTTCTGCTTGGGGCGGAAAAAGGCCCTCGCTGCCTTTGACAAGCACGCACCCTCAATATCGCTTCATTTATCGTTCCACGGCCCTGGACCGTCTCGTACCCTTCGTACAGTTGAGCCTCTGAACCCCAATAAGCCAACACGTGCTCCAGAATTTTCCTCTCTTCTAATCCTTCTGTTGGCCCTTCCATTCTTTCCATCTTCCACCACCCCACATTTCTTATTTTCATATGTTAAGACATGGATCTTCGATTTGTCCCTTCCCACTCCATCTTACCTGCCGCCACGAATCGGGTCATCGACTCGCACTCTAGTTTTTTTAGACACTCAAGGACATCTCCGTGGGCACTTTCCCTTTCTGACGATGACTCTTGGCTCGGTCCTCGGTGAAGCCCTGGTTACGATTTGCCCAGCTCCGTTGTCGCAGTCTGCCAAGCCGCCTCAAAATAGATGCAACGAGATACCACATTTTCAATGTTCTAGAATCGCTCCCTCCAATTATCCCCTCGGATGAACTGTGTTTTCTCCTATTTTTTTTTTCGCGTAGCTTTCCGCTCCCGTTTCCTCCTTCCTCGGGAGGACATTGCCACGACACGATGCGATGTGGTGCGGTGCGGTGTTATACCGAAACCTATCCGGGATCATAGCTCGGTTTCCCAATCCGCTGGGTCAGGATCACCCTCGTTCCGCACTCCATCTTGTAACAACTCGTGCGTCGTCGGACCAGCCTGTCAGGCAGTGATCGGATCAAGATGCACAGGACAACCCCGTACGAGATCTGCAAAATGGAATTCCTTTGTCGTTTTCTAGCGCCCACGCACCTCCTGGGAAGTGGAGCACGAGGGGCAAATCATGAAATGTTTTCTCACCTCTAAATTGTACGAAGTACTCGTAGTGGACTCGAGTGGGCTTATTAAGTGGAGGCGATCAATGATTCTCTTCTCGTGAGGCGGGGAATCCCCAGAATATTCTTTGAACCTCACATATTCCGTCTTCATCGTTGTAAGCTTCACGCAAACAAGCAAACAATTTCGTTAGAAGTTTTCGGACCAACAACTCTACGCGACCAAGCTCTGCGCCTTAGTGCTTCGGACAGCGCGACCGGAAGCAAGGCAGCTTGGCATCTTGGCATCTTGCTCAAAAACGTTCACAAAATCTGTACAAACCCGAGCCGGCTGGATGCAGACATACATCACGCTAGGATATTTAAGGTTAATGCATGCTGAAGGAGTCTTCCTTGGGGGACCACGGGCACGGTTGAAGTCGAGCGGCTGGCCAAGCACATGCACGATAAGTGCACCACACGACGTTACCGTCGACCGAAGGTCCCTCGTAATGCCATTGGTAAGCCTTGGCGACGCAAAGAAGAGGAAGAGACAAGGGGGGTGTGAAGTGCCAAGAGCACACCATCGATGACCACGGTGCTATTTGAGGAAGTGACGCGATTAACATGGGAGCACTGCCCTATTTGGTTACCGAGCGGCACCACGCACCCTTGTCGTCTATGTGCCGGACTTTCGTCAGATCTGTACGAAGGTACTTTGCTACCTTCCCGAAAGGAGATAAGTCTTACCTGGAACGAACCTTTATTGGCTCTCTTCTGGTTATGAAGCCATCACCAATCATCAAACAGAAACATCAACTCACAAGAACTCATGTCTCACATCGTTGGAGCCAACCTTGCGCCTCGTCATCTCGTTACAGGCTTCTGCTTGCTTCGCTGAGGCAGACCTCTTCGACTTTCGACACGATAACTGATTCAGGGCGAGCTCCTTCGACAGTGAGCTAGATATTTCATATTATTAACTCACTTGACCCCCTAATGCACCCAACTATGCATCCAACGATGCACCCCTCATTGCGTTGCATGTTGTCGTAAGGACCCTGGGGGCGGACTGCCTACCCCCTGGCTTCCGTCGGTTGTACGAAGTACAGATGAAGGTATACTTCCCCCTGCTAGTTAACGTTGCCCGTCCCAGGGTCATGCAAGTTGAATTTAAGTGGGGAATCGCATTGTTCACGACGTAGGCCTCATTTCGCGTCCAGGATTCGCGATTTGCGCAACAGGGGTAGGCAACCTTCGCAAAACCTCGTGGCTTGACTTGTAGGAGGGGAATAGGAGAAAATCTGGAAGGAGTTGCTTCACCGGATGCCCCCAATATTCTTTCAAGTGTAAAACAACTGCGCATGGTCTGTCTCGTTTATCACAAAAAATGCCCCGGAGGTTCCTTTCTCTCTCTTGTGTTGCGTTGCTAGCGTTACTCATCAGAAGCGAAACTTCAGAGCATCCTCAAGTCTTTTCTTTGATTTATACTTTCTCAGGTAATATATGCACGTAGTAATAGTAGGGTTAGCTGAAGGACACTCGCAGCCCAAACGATATACGACTATACAAATGTGAGTTTATCCACTTCAATACCCCATTCAAGCCATTGAGCTTTCTGCCTTCTTTCTGGCAGTTTTGATCATTCGCGGTTATTACTGCTTTCACGCGTCGCTCCTCGCTAACCAACTCCCCTTCTTTCTCACACAAGGAAACGATCAATTTACCCTCATGCAGCGCCCTGGCACTCGCCAAACTCCGAGCGGCAAGCGCCCGTACAATAATCGGCACCAGAACCGCAAAACCAATAAAACGAGCAACATCCACCAAACGTGGACCCAGCGCACGTCGTCCCGTTGCCACACATACCGTTGGTAGAGATCTCCAATGTAGGAGTCTCCGGTGTCCCAGGCGCCTCTTGCTCGCAGTTGCCGAAGCCCTCTCGGCATCCCTGGCCGCAGTATGCTTCCCCGGAACCGCAAAAGTAGAACTCTGAGCAGCAGTTGCCAAAGGTAGAGCCTGCGCAGGTGGTGGCGTTGCCGCACATTCCCGACTCGGAGATTGTGAGCTCGGGGACGCCGGTTTCGCCAGTAGCTGGTGAGCTTCCTGTGGGTGTGCCCTCGGTTTCAGATGTCGTGGGTTCGGCGGTGGCTTCTGTTGTGGAAGCAGGAGGCTCCGAAGCCGAGGTAGAGGAAGCCGCAGCTGAAGTGGAGGATGCAGAAGGCTCAGGGGCTGACGTAGAGGAGGCGGAAGGCGCAGAGGAGGAAGAAGGCAGTGCAGAAGAAGAGGCGGGGGGCGCAGAGGCCGATGTAGAATAAGCAGGAGGTTCGGATGATTCGACCGATGTGGCGGACGTGGGCTCCGCAGAGCTCGTAGGTTCGGCCGTGGTTGTGGGTTCTGGTGGGGGGATGGGTTGACCTTCGCACCAGCCAAAGTCGGGCTGACAGCTGAAGCGGTTACAGTATTCACGACCCTCACCGCCTGGATCTTGGTAAGTAACCAGCTCAAATCTCAATGGGGCTCTCCCATGTGGTCTTGGTTGCACTAACAATATCCATACATGGAGCAACACCTCTGGCCTGAGCATTTGGCGTTGTCGTTATCGGGACCGCAGAGATTATCGACCGCTTGACGACCGAAAAGGGCAGCCTTGGAATCGGAGGCGAATCGGACATGCAGGCCCCCGTCAATCTTGCCGACGCTAGCTAGTGCGCCCGTGAGGCATAACGTCGCCGTGGCCGTGATCGTAGCCCACCTCATCCTTGCGTCACGACAGAACTTAATAACGACTAAAGAAATCAAAGGATACTCGTAAAGGGGGTAGAGAATGGCAGATATCGTGGCGCTCGCCTGTGGCTTGACCTGCTAAGAATATCCGAAAGCGAGACCGGGAATCCCTGGCAAAGTTGCAAGCCATCCCATCGACGAACAAGCAAGCAAAGGAGACCCGGTTTCTTAAATATGCAGGACAGGTAAGTTTAGGGCATCGAATACTAGCCGGTCTTCCGGTCGCCGTATGGAACGAAAAGCTGGACAGGCCAGATAACAGTAGATTGCCCCATATGAAGGCTATATTGTTCGTGCTCGCAAAGGCGAGTAATCAGTCGTTGGCGGGAGAAATGGGGAAGGCTAAATTCCTAAAGCGCCAGTTCCATTCCCATGAGCAGAATTTCCAGCGTTACGGTGAGCCTTCCATCTATTTCGGTGCATAATTCCTATTTTCCCGAACTTATTAACAACCGGGGAAAGCCACCAGCCGAGTCCTATACGTATTCTCATACGGACTCTGTATGAATCCTGGAGTCTTGGACGATATTTCTTTTTAACCAAGTTCATCGCCTTGCCGTTCTTGATTCCCGAGCCCGCCTTTTAGCTCGTGAAGCAAGACTCTGTTCCTGAGGGACCATCGTCGGTCCTTGCATTAACGTCAGCGGCAAGATATAGCGGCATGACGCGAAGTAGATCCTATTCAGCCATGCCGCCCGAAGCCCGGTTCTCCCGCGCAGTCTGTTCTCTCCCGGTAATTTTCCACCTATGCCCCTGTCTCCTTGCAGCTGTCCCGGTGGAGCTTACTCCAGGGTCCTGGGCCGTGGACCGAGCCCTACATATTCCCAGATGATCCTCAGGTGGTTCCCTGTGGGGCTCATTTCGAATCGTGAAATAGTTTGAGCATGCCATTACCGTGAAAGATTTGGTGAATACTCACTACTTAGTATCGTGTTGATTTATGTGTGATCAGTTAGTCAGGCCGATGCCTGTATGAAGCAATAATCACAGGGCCGTGCCGCAATAAGAGCGAATCGACCTCGTTGTTGTGAGAGATCCAAAGTGGTATCCCGACAGCGCTGGGGAAAACAAGGCGCAGATAAGAAATAGCAGGATGGGCAAATAACATGGGGAAAATACCACGGCAAATCGCCTTCGGTGCCACAAAACTATTTACCCCTCCTCCCCACCCCCCATTCCGCCCCAACGAACGAATTCCCGGGGCCCATCCATTTCCGCATTTTACGTGATCTCTTCCGAGTCTCCGACCCTCCACGGCCTCTTCTCTCTCGTCTACCTATCTTGGCGAAAGGTAAGACCTTGGAGGGTGTGAGAGTCATGTTCCTGCATATGTATCTGCCGATGGAGCATGCCGTGGAAAGATGGGATGATATGCGCAAGTATGAGCATCGGACGTATCCAATGCATGTATGTATGTAGTATCCAACGACGAAAGGTGCACGGCATTTTGGATAGCATAGGTGCCTGTTTTCAGGGTTCTTCGTCTCCTTGCATCAGGCCCTATGTACCGAACCCCTTGTGCTCCGTTTCCCTACATCTCGCGCGATGTCCGTAGAATACCTTTCTTTAATTCCCCATCGCTAGATAGATCATGGGTCATGGCTATCGTAACTTATCGCAGGCTCACCTTGAAAACGCTGAGATTATCTGATTTGGCAGACCGGCACCAGCGTCATCTGGTGGTCTTGCAAAATCTGATCCACTCTCGACCCGAGCCTTCATTGTGTGAAGCAAAATTCGCTGCTGAATCCAATAACCATCAACCGCAGATGATTCTCGCAAAGCTATTATGCTCGGCGGCGATCATCACGGAGGAGAATGCTATCCTTCAGCATGGCGGTGATGATGTTACTGGGAAATGGCATGCTACTTGACTTGGTCCAAAGCCAAAGGCTTTTAAACAGTTTTTAGAGTCGCACCCGATTATGACAACGAAAAGCTCTGATGCAATGGGTCGAACGAGCGTTATTTAACATGGGTTTCGAAATAGATTTTCTATTCTAATAGGCGGTGTACCGAGGTATTTTGAGAGGAGTTCAGATACTCATTCGTGCGATGCATTTCTATTTTTCGCGTACACCTTCTAGACTCTCGAAACGATTGCGTTCGCCGTGTGAGTAGGTTCCCGTCACGGCTTGAGATGGGCGCACCCTTGATCGAACGTTCAAAAGAATAGAACCTAAAAATAAACGGAGCACTCTCCAATAAACCCATCTGCCTACCATCAAGTCAAGACAACCAACCGTATTCAGCGTTTGGAAATATACGGTGAATTCGCGTTGGCAAGGCTCTTAGACGGCTCCGTAAATAGGTTTGCCCAGCATCCCCCGCCTCATTTTCTGCAGAGCGCGCAAGTAGGCATTGTTCTGGTGCCCTGTAGTCTGTCATTGGTTCCTGGATCAGCTGTTGGGCGTCAAGGCAGCCTCACGACTGTCGATATTCGACCAACTGAATCACTCACCCCGCTCACTTGCCGAGAACCTTCCCCCCTTAAGTTTACCGAGAACGACGAATCATTAGGGCTATTCCAATAAATACCATGGCGGAGGCTCTTAGTTTAGCGGCAAATATTCTCTAAGTCTTCGACTACTCGAAAAAGTTCGTTGCCGCCGCCTGGGCGATTCACCAGTCGGGGCCGGAGGGCGTTGAATACCTGTCAGCTCTCCAAAACGTTTCCGATGATTTCAAGATCGTCCTTGCTACCCTTCAAAATGGCCATGAAGCCCCGAGCTCGAATGTCCTGGCCGGCGGCGATGGTATGGCCTTGTTGGCTAGGAGGTGCGCCGTCGATCTGGACAGGATGCTGAAGACGCTGGACAAGCAGGGCGGGGACAAAGGCAAAAGGCTTAGTGCCGCGAGTTCTGCCCTCAGGTGGATATGGAGTCAAAGTGATATCGAGGCTCTTAGAGTTCGGTTGGACCAGTATCGGGATGAGTTGACCCTCCATTTGGTCTTCTCTCTCAGGTGAGATTGTCAATGTTCTGAAATCCTCTATCCATGAGATTCCTAAGACACTGATACCAGTTCCAAGGTCTACGGTATTACTGAGTCTCGACAAACAGGACAAAATACTCGGCGAGCTCCAAATAGTTAAGGGTCATCTTCAAACAAATGACAGCGTGCACGGCAGACAGAACGCCCTTGACGATGGGTTCGGATCCATAGCAATTGATTATCTCACCCGCGGACTCGAGGATCCAGACACACAAAAGCCCATCTTCTCAGCGCTCTAGTCGATGCCATACATGGCCGGTCGAAACAGTCGGAAGATCCTTCGGCAGCTTCAGAGATACACCTCTCTAAGTCTCGAAAACACATGCTACAGCAGAAGTTCATCGGGCGCCTGCGTTACCCCAACATGGATAGTAGAGAATATGGAATTGATCCTGCCCACGAGACTACGTATCACTGGCTATTTAAAGATGAGGCAAGTCCGCCTACGTCTCGCCATAGCCTAAAGGGGTGGCTCCAGACAAATGATCCTGTCTACTGGATCACAGGAAAGGCTGGCTCGGGCAAGTCAACCCTGATGAGATATATATCAGGGCCGGTTCTCGATTCTCATGAACCAGCCATCCCAGGGTTGGGCGGAAAACAGCGGCGATGTGAGCAGTATTTACAGAAGTGGGGTGACACTGCAAGTCCACTCATCATTGCCACGTTTTACTTTTGGGCTGCAGGAGCATCTGAAATGCACACTTCTTTCGTCGGCTTATTTAGAACTCTCTTACATCAACTTCTCAAGATGTCTCCAGGGTCCGTTCCCGCCGTTTCCCCGACACGATGGGAGGCATTGTCACTCTTCAACAAAGACCCGAAAGACTTTACGGAGGGTAAACTACACGGCACTCTGTATCGAACCGTGGAGCATTTATCAACAAAGTTCAGAGTTTCCCTCTTCGTGGACGGCCTGGATGAATTTAATGGGGATCTGAAGTCTCTAATAGGCCTTTTCCACATGCTAGTTTCGAAGTTTCCCATTAAAGTATGCCTATCGAGTCGCCCTTGGGTCGAGTTTGAGGCTGCTTTCATGGCGAAGCCGCAGCTCAAGGTGGAAGAGCTCACGCGATCCGATATCATGGCGTACGTAACGGTTAAGTTCTGTGAGAATCCATACTTCTCTGAACTTCAACTCCGACAGCAAGAGAACGCGAATAAGTTGATCACGTCTATTGTCAGCAAAGCGTCTGGTGTCTTCTTGTCGGTCAAACTGGCCGTTTCCTCGCTCCTGGCCGGTCTTAACTACGGAGATCGGATGGAAGACTTGGAGAGACGACTGGATCTTCTCCCCGAAGAGTTGGAACAGCTCTACGAAAGGATGCTAGACACCATAGATCCGTTTTACAAAGAACATGCCGCGCAATACTCCCAGTTGTTTCGGGCTTCCCTAGAACCATTACTGATCCACTTCTCTATTGCCGACGAGACTGCCGACGAGACTGCCTTGACCGATTTTGCATTGCGCATTTCTCCTCGATTTTGGCTGGTGGAAAATATTTCGTCCCGGGAGAGGGACATGCAGCGCCGCATAAATAGTCGGTGTAAGGGACTTCTGGAGGTTCGTCGCCGTCCCGAGGGCAGGGTGGCGACAGTCCAGTATCTACACAAGACAGTCATGGAATTTCTCGAACGCGTCGATATTAGACGTAAGTTGGAAAGTTATTTGAAAACCCCATACGACCCCAAGGTCAGACTTCTAGCTGCCATTGCAGCCATATCGATAGGCGACTCTCTACATAACGAAAGGTTTTCAGTGTCACATATGCAGAGGTGCCTTCTCTACGCATCTAGATGCCATCCTCGTTCAGCTGAGAACGTCACCAGGCTTCTTGATCGCTTGGACTCTCATTGGCCTGAGAAAACCCAAGCTATGTTTCAAGCATTCAATTTCATTCAACCCATGTACAAAACATCTAGATGGTATAGGGCCGACGGCGCTGCATCTTATGCACACACAGGCCATGAGAACTTTATGCTAGTTCTTGCCGTCCAGTTCATGGTTGTAGGATATGTGAAGACAAAAGCCGGGCGGGAAGGCTGTATTTAAGTTACCGTGACAAGCCTGGGCCCTTCCTTGCAGTTTCCCATGATGTTACTTCGATCTCATCTCCTGAGGGTGAAAACCGGGCAATTTTCTCTTCTCTCAATAGTACACTTGGATGATCCTCGAGGTCCAGAGATGCTAGAAACACTCTTCAACAAAGGGGCAGACCCAAATCGGCGTCTGAGGGAGTCGCTCCTATGGCCAAAATCCCTGACTCCATGGGAAACAGCGCTCGTGAGAATCACCGTTGCGTTTTCGGACGGATCTGGATACGACCGAGATCAACTGTCCAATATCTCAAAATGCGCTCGTTTAATGATTGATCATGGAGCCAAGGTCGATTGGCCTTCTGTCAATTCGGCGATGTCCGTATTCCAACCGTCCTTGGAATCAAGGGTGAAAGAAGGCATCTATAAGGCCATGAAACGGATGAGGGACAGCAAGAGTGAAATTCTTCGCATTGGATTCCCCTATTTTATTCAAGATCAATCATAGCCTGAACTTCTGCATCTTGATAAAGGTATAGGAGCCGTTATAAGGTTATCATGAGGATAGGACCTAGTTATCATTTACCCCACGCCATTCCCGTCTAGCAATATGAATTCTACTCACTAGCCCTGTATTTTCTAAGGGGAGTAGACGTTTATTACGATCGTTGGCCTGCTTCTGAACGAAGATAGCTTCGCTGAAGTGTACAGACTCGCCACAGGGCACGCTCATTATATGATTGGTGAAGAGACCGTAGACTTAATACGGAATAGGCTTAAAGCGAAGGCGGGGGTACAGCTGGGCTAATTAGTAACCTCTCGGACCTTTAAATACATACGGGAAACGGCGATTTTTGCGTAGTTGAAAGCTACGATTCTCATCTAGTAATATTATAGTATTTGCCATGCCTATCGAGGTGGTAACGTAGTCTCGAGGACTCCATGATTTCTTTGGCTGACTAGAAACGGGAGATGGGTGTTCGCGGCGTAAAAGCCGAAAAGAACTGCGGGCTTTGTCCACGTTGTTTTCACGCCGTGAAAAAAGGAGGCTTGCGTTCGCCTCGGCTCAACGCAGCTCAGTTGCCCCCACAATATACTGCGGCCAGACAACAGGGGAAAGGAAGTTGTCAAGTCTTACCGAAGGATCTAACGAAAAGGGGAAGAAAAAGAAAGAGATCTACGTCAAGATCAAGGGGCGTCCGCACTCGGCATCTCAAGAACGACCTCGCACTTTTGAAGTAATCTTTCCGAACCCCTGGAGTACCTTTCCTGCGAAATTCATGCAGTGATTGACGGAGTTCCGACGAAAGCATGAACGACAGACGAGAGGCGTGGAGTTCTAAAAGATGGCCCTCAAGGTCACAGACGAAAACAATGTTGATTCAGAGCTTTTCCAAGCATCTGCCGCTCTGTTGTTTCGAGGAGGAGATAAATGGGCCCAGTCTTGTTTCAGCAATCACAACGGGTCCTCAGCCCCGGGACTTTGCTCCTCCTTGGCGGTCCAGTGGCGCGATGTTCGTGGGGTTTACTCCGTTGAGCGGGTTCAAGGGCGGCCCCTTGAGGCTCCCTTGCGACCATCTTGTGGATCCATGTGGATCCTTACGCCCAGCGGTCGGACCCCTCGATGCAACCTGGATGCTTGCGGGTGAATTTTCCGAAATGTGTTAGCGAGTGGCAGGGGAACAGATTTCATTCGTCAAGAACTGCCAAGCCTCCGACTCGGATCGGCCGGGGATCGGCATTGGCAGCGGCTGGAATGACAATGATCACTATCAATCGACGTCGACCACCAGATCTATCCGAACGACGAGGACAGAAATCCGGAGATACAATGTTATGAGAAGGCAAACTTCGACTTCAATATCGCTCCCATTTCCCGTCGTCTCCCACTCATCAGATCTTAACAATAACCATGTCGATTCTCTCTCAGTTTTCTTCTCGGGGGACTCGGGATGAAACTTGACTAACCAGATCTCGATGAAGACCCATTGAACTGGGATGTGCGACGCATTCGTCTCAGGGTGAAGTCTGGACGAGGCCGCGACCAGGCCTGACTTGAATTGATATCCACTAATGTGTGCACACCGCCGGCATTCAGAGTAGTACCCTGTTGACCCACCTACACCTAGGTGCCATAGAGAGACAGAGCTCATTCCAGAAGTTCCATCCCCTTAAACATTGAATCAGACATCGCGAAGGATGGAACGAAACTTGTTCCAGAGCTCTTCGAGTTGCCTCTTACGAAAACCCACCCAAACGACCTAATATCTGCTCACAAGTGGTGTCGATGATGACGCCGGACGACTTCTGTATAAAGACGGAGCACCTGACATGCCCCGAGTCTCGTTCGGTGGCTCTCTCTTCCAAGCCATCATTCCAGTACCTCGAGCGGGCTCCGTATACTACTGTTTTCTTTCCTTTCCCTTCTTGTTTTATATTCTTTTCCCCTATTATTTTGCCTTTGTCACCCTTCGCTTCGTTACTGCTAGTTCAGTAGGTCTTTGATAGACATTATGGTTTCCTTCACCGAACTCGCCGTTGTGTCAACGGTGCTGGCTGTTGCCTATGGCCACGGAGTCATCCTCAACGCCCAGGGCCTAAGCGGCTCACCTGCAAGCGTAGCATTCAAGGGTAAGTCTTGAAAGTCGGAGCCGCCTCCTCACAAGCGAATCCAATCTCGCTAACCTATTTCTCGCAGTTAACCCCGAGATTGCTCGCAACTGCACGACCATAAACCCATGCCAGCAAGATTCCACCATTATCTGTGAGGCCGAGATCCAGGCCAACCTCGTCAACGAGTGCGGCCGAACAGAACTCACCGGCAATATTGACATCGGCGAGGAGACGGAGAACGCGCTGGCTGCTGGTGCCGTCACCCAAGTGAAGCGTGGTACCAACTTGGAGGTTTGTACCAGCCGCCTACCAATTTTCTGTGTCTACCCCGCATCTAATGTACCATAAATTTAGGTTACCATCCATCAAGTCAATGCGGATGGCGCCGGTCCGTATTCGTGCGATCTCGACGTCACCAGCAACGCAGGTCGCCTTAGTGGACAGATCCCCTTAGTCGTCACCAACAACGTTCCTGGAGTGAACGGCTTTTCTCAGGCCAAAGCCCAGGACTTCGTCATCAACGTTCAGATGCCCGATGAGTTCCAATGCGTCGGAGGTAAGAAGATAAACTACACCTTGCTGCTACCCCCTCTCCACCTCCACCCAGAAGTGCTACTCGCTCGAGGGACAATTTGGTGCTAATAAGGAACTACGTAGGTTCAACTGGAAACATTTGCACAGTTCGGTGCCGTAACAACGCTGTCGCCGGTCCCTTTGGCGGCTGCTTTCCCGTCCAGCAAACTGACGTCGACCCCACCGCCAACACACCGCAGAACATCAAGACGGCCCAAGGTATCGATGCCACCCTGGCGCAGGTCCTGTCCAATCAAAAGGATCTCCCGGCCGCCGTCCAGGCTAACGCCAATGCGGGAGCCGATGGGGCTCAGCAGAACCTCGCCGCCGTTGAGGCCCTCCTCGGCATTAGCGTTACCACTTCAGTCTTCCCACAGCAGACCTTGGCTCTTCCTGATGTTTCCACCGATTCAAGCGCCCCCTCGGCTACTAGCGAAACTGGAAACGGTAACACCAATAATCGAGGCCAAGGACGTACGGGAACTGGCGGTAACAGGGGTGGAAACAACAATAACAACAACGGCAACAGTAACAATAACAACAGCAACGGAAACAATAGAAATAACAACAACAGCAACAACAATAGGAACAACAATAACAATAACGGCGGCAATGCCAACAAGCGTTCTAACCTAAGGTGGGCATGGAGGATGAACTAGACGGCAACGGCGAAGGTGCGGTCCTTCAGGAGACGCCACACCACCGAGGATAGAGGTGGCCCGGATCCATTGGTGGTGATATCTATGACGGAGGGGAGTGGAGTGGTTATCAACAGGTTGACGGCATTTTCCTCGACTATAGTTGGGTTTTGTAAATTCGTTCACTTTTTCCCCCTTCTTCTGTACTTCGCATTCCTCAATGAGTAACAGGGAGCCACAACCCTTCCATGCATCCATCTAGGTATTGTAAACTGGGTAACACCAGATTATGATGGCTGAACTTCTCAGTGGCATATTTGGGGCTAGAGAGAAATAATATGCCGTGCTGGAGAGCGTATGCTGGGAAGACGCCTCGAGGCTGTCAGTGGGTTTCCACCTGGAGTTGGGAGAGCCATACTTACTCTAGACCCTAATAGAGAATTGCACCTCCTCGTCTTTTAATGAGAGCTTGCATCACGCAAATCATTTTCGTCCCCATTCCAGTAAAAAACCCTCCCCGTAACCTCGATCCCATCCTCCATTTGGATTAGGCAAGCTATATCCCGATAATTCTCGGTCTCGTACCGAGCGAGTCGGATCCGACCTTCACGCCCCTGAACGTCGTACGCCACGCCGTGCACAACAGCGTCAGCCGGCCCATCCACTAAAGCGGGGTATGGGCCCCAAGCCTTGACACGATAGCCGGTAATCTTCGCGGGAGTCAAATGCGGCTGCTCCTTCAGGTTCAGTACGCTCTGGAGCTTGGCCGGGTCCATAAGGGTTCCATAGAAGAAGTATGTTGTTGGGCAGCTCTCCTCGACATCACGTCCCTTGGCCAACTTCCATCCGTCGGCTTCGGCGAGGAGGAACTTGCGCGCCATCGGGGATAATGTATCTGATTGCAGGATGGCGGCCCGGGTCGGGTGGGCAGGATTGTCCGAATCTTGTCCGCTCGTGGAAGGCATCTTGAGTAGCCGTGAGGTGATGTTGAGGCTCCGTTTGAGTTTGTTTTGTTTTGCACCAGGAGATGAAGCGATGGTAAAGGAATGCCAGCTTTAAATATTTTTTTCAGGCCCGACGATAACCATTGCGTCTCGTCACCTGATCTTTGTCTCACAGGGTGGGAATACGCAGGGAGGGTGAGGCGTGGAATATGAATACAACACAACTTCAATGTTCTTATTTGCCTATACAAACCCCCCAAAACGATATCATGACACTTCGCCGACGAATATCCAGCTCAATGAAGTATACATATTCATAAGATATCTCCTATCATAGAGGCTTGTCACAAGTCTTTCCCATTTCACAATGGTGACTATGTTTTATGGAGTTGTCGTTGAGATATAAGAATTGGAAATGAGAGGCTCTGCATTTTCTTACCTCGTACTATTCTAAAGACCGTCTATCATGTACTCTTCAGGTTTGGGTTAACTTTACATGAAATCAGCTTTATTCGAATAAATACAATAATGACAATAAAAATACGAATACCCTTTGTTACCTTGGGTTCATATCTAAGAGAATCTTTATAATTTCATTTCTATCATTAGCATTATAGCGTATTAATAGAGAGGGTAAGTTAGTATATGAAAATGATGATTTGTGAATGCAGCGCTGGCTCTGCAAGGGTGCAACGAAGCTCCATTTTGCTGACAGCCTCATGTCCCAGTCGTTCAACTTCGTAAATAATAGAAGCCCGACAATGAGTCGAAATAAGTATTGACGTGACGATGCAGCACCTTAAATACATGAGTGATGTTCTCGTTTTCTACCATTGGGTTGGCCCGCTGCGCAACACCAACATCAATCTCAAGTTCTCAACCATTTTATCGATGAGCTAGCCATTTGGCCTTTTTGGAAGGATGGAAAGAAGAAGAGACATAGTTTATAACTACGGGGTTGAGATCGAGACGGTCCTAGTTCCGAAGGGGGGCTCCCCGAGCTTCACAACCAACGAGTTCTTCCTCTACCTCCGGGATTTCTATAATCAGTCTAAGGATGACGGCAGCATGGAAGCGCATACAGACATCTGCGGCAACGTCTTCTTATAACATTTCAGATCCGGGATATACCGCGTGGACCTTCACGACCGATATTACGATTGATCCAAGGGACGAATTGCTAGGGACGGACCACCGTAAAGCATCCCCTCAAATATATTTGCTGTTCTTTAGTACCCAAGTTAATCTAATGGTTTTCCCCAGATCCAATCGAAATTGTGTCTCCGGTCCTATTCTCAGATCCCAGGCAATCATCTCATTTAGACCTAGGACTCATGTTCCAAATTATCGAACGTAGAGCCGACTTTGAACCAAATGATAACTGCAGCACCCACGTTCACATTTCCCCAGATGACGGAGGCTGGACCTTCGACCACTTGAAACAGCTCTCCAAAGCCATCATCTATTTCGACCACGCGTTCGCTGCCCTAGTCCCACCCACCCGGCGTAGGAGCGGCTGGGCAGTAAGAAACCGCTATCAAAGCGGACGGGCGACGCTTTCGGTCGATGAGTGGTTTAACCTCATCGAGGGCTGCTGGAATCAGGAAGAGCTAACCGACCTCATGAGCCCAATTCGCACCCATGCCTGGAATTTCCAGAACCTGAACCGGTCCAAAGGCACAGTCGAATTCCGCCAGCCTCCACCCGTCACCACGCAGTATCAGTGCATTGGCTGGATTGAGCTGACTGTAGGGTTCGTCGACTCGTCTCGGATTATTGACGCCGAGGGGCTATTCGGCTTCTCGCCTGACGTGGAGGGACTCTGGGATTTCGTAACTTACGCCAGGGAACTGCAATACTTTGAACTCGATTGTCTCAATCTCATCTTTAAGGACAAGTCGGGCAGCATAGGTTGGACGAGTGTGACAGCGGTCGACCCGGAACTCGAGGAGAAGAAGAGTCAGGAGGCTAGAAAGCCGTATACCCTACCAGACAAATTCGACAAGGCTAAAAACTAGAGAGGTGAGGTCTCAGCCGAAAACGAGCCGGGTCCTGGAAACCTTGCCGTCCGAGACGTATCGGTTCCTCGAGTGACTCTAATCGCGCACGCTATATATTTAAAATTAATACGATAAAATATCTCTTAAGAAACCTGACCGAACTGGCCTCTCAGATGTATATTTCGGTCAGTACATAACTTAAAGTTAGGGGTGTATATATATAACCTAAGAAGTACTGCCTACGCTGGAGTGGACAGCCCACAGGTAAAACCCGAACGAGCTACTAACATACACCACACGCACTCCGGCGTCCAAGCCGTATTATCCATTCGTCTCGCCGTTAAAGTCAGTCACCATCCTCAACAATTTTCCTTCACCCCACACGCATCCCCGTGTCGCTGACTCTATCCAGTTGAGCGGGTTGTCCTATGAATAGGACATCGAACGTCAATATTTTCAGCTTGTGTGGCAGTTTCGAGACCTTGGCGAATCCCACTGGAATGCTGATGTTTGTCTTCCTCGTATTTACAGGTTCTCTTTGGATGGTGGAGATGACGTCAATCTATTCGTAGATGGCGGATCTTTTCTGCCGATCATTTTGGCTTCTGACCAGGGAGGGATCACCATCATGTACTGGCGCTTCTCACCGCGCCTATTTGGGCCTGACGATGGAGCCCGATGAAATCTTCAAGGTAGCGATGAATTTGTCGTTGGGCATGCCGGAGCATGCGGCTCTCATGTCCTCGGATTCTACTTCATTAAGCTCAAACACTAGAGGCCGTCAGAAATAAACGCGAATTCGGTTGGTGGTTCGGGGGCAATATTACCCGTAAAAGCCGTGATTGCTTGGCTAATGTAAGACGAGTCTGACAGTGGAGAAGGCGAATACGAGACGATCGTCGTATACGTACATGACACGCAATCATTGATATATATTTAAGGACCACGGTGCTCTACCCGACCTGCTAGTGTTCACCGACTTATCCCCATCAACTATTACTGTTCAGTCCCTATTCAGCAATAGTCCAATCTAAAAATGCAGCTCAAAACCGTCCTCATTGCGTCCCTAGCGACCACTGTCAGCGCACGCATTCACGGCATCGGCTTCCCGAAGACAATCAAAGCTGGAGATGAGGTGACGGCTATCATTGGGAGCGCCAACTACATCCAGTCCGTCTACGATGTTGCTATCGCTTTCGGCATCAACAGGGAGGCCGCAGCATTTCCCGACACGCTTGGTCCCGTTCTAGGTTCCTTCTACCTTGGGCCTGGTAAGTTTTGAGGCATCGAAAATCCCCTCATGAATCGAGTGGAATTGCTCACTGTTATCCAATTCAAGAGAGGTCAAACCAACTGCATAACTTTCCTCAGCCTGTATCTATCCCCGAAAATCTAGAGGATGGTAGATATGTCATTGGCGCTGCTCTGCTGAGTTTGTATGGGGCAAGCGTGAACCCCGTACTTGTTGGGTACAACGTCACGGTTACCATTGGGGAAGAGACGAGCGAGGATTACGTGAATAGCTGGGATGAGGAGTAGCGATTGAAACGGCCCTTTCCTTTTGGAGAAAGAACTTTCGGAGTTGATTTAGCCTTGATAGATTGCATGTATCCTATAAGGTATGAACCTCTGGCTTCAGATTTTCTGCAATACAGCTTAATATTGCGGCCGATAGGTTTCATTGGTATATGCGAGACTCGAAGGTTTCATACAAGGTATCGAGGGGCTGGGTATCAGTAATTGTCGATCTGGAAAGTCTACTCCAACTCCTTTGACTTGTGGGCACCTTGTTAGCTGCTATCGTCCTACGCCTTGGTTTGAGGTCGCATCTGTCTGCGAAGCAGATAATCTTGCCTGCTTTTTTCTAAAAGGGGGATTATAGTCGGTTCCTGATATTTGAGTGGGACGTATATTGGAACTAAAGGCCGTGTCTTTGTCGGCTAGGTTTTGCCATGTTGTTAGTGAGCGGTTCTTAGTGGCGAGAGTGCCCCCACTGCTATTGCGGCTCAAAGTTTGCAGAGGAATTGCGAGAGTCTTCTGGACTAGAAGGGGATTACGAAAGACACATGCTACTGACTAGATTTCTAAAACTTTAGGGCTCGTTACTAGTTGCTTTGAACACGTTCGTAGAGCCAGCTTTTATCAGTGTTTTAGGAGACACCTGTTTTAGGAGACACCTGTTTTAGGAGACAAGACACCATGACCCACGAACCCCCCCGAGGCCGATGAACCGAGCACCCACTATGTTAATGTCTCGAGTCTCTCGACTGCGCCAGGTATAAATGGCGGGTATATCACGCTATGGACTATCTATGTCGCCTCCCCTGTGCTTCTAGCTTCTTCATACAGTCTTAACGAAATGCTGGTTGTCAAATCAATACTGAATAGCAGACCATGTTTCTAGCCTTTTATGCTGTCCATGCCACGGGGTCCATTGATTGATCGATAATTTTCGAGTCCCTCCACCAACTCGTCGAGTTTTTCTATGGATACTTGTTCGGAAATATCGAGTCTTCGTTAAATCTGATTCTTCCACTCTGGTATCCTCCTGCGCACCGTAAGTTCTCGTCCTCCCTCCCAGAAACATGCATCAAACACGACGATCATAAACATGAAACACCTCGCGGCCCTGCACGCTCGACTATTAGCACAGACTCTGCCGTTTCTACCCATCATGTTTTCCCTATTTTCTTCTTGTGGAGAGCACTTACAAAAAGGCAATAGAGACCTTGGCAACATCATTATACATTTTCGTAAACGAATGTGATCCGCTGTCCGCTATATTGTAATACAGCTCGTTGTGGGGGGATCTGTATCCGAAAACCATACCGAACACCTGGCATAGAATATTGAGGAATTCATGGGTGAGGAGGACGCCGGGGCGAGCTCGAGTTCGAACAGGGCCTGAAAGCGCAATGATCTCCCAGGTATCGAAACCAGCAGCGAAAGTGGCCTACGACGGATAGGTTAGTCCTATTTCTATACTTCCCGGTCTAAGGAACGGAGAAAACCCAAGAGGGGAAATGACATACGCAGACCAATGGGATTCCAAACCACAAATTCACGTCCCTAAGAGCCCGGGCGTCCAGATAACTTTCTCTTGCGCCATCGGGGTCGTCCCATTTGACGGCGACGAAGATCCAGAGGGCGATGATGCCGTAGCTGAGGATGAGAGTGAGGACACGGATGACGAGCTGGATGCGCTCGAAGATGATGATTGCCTTCGACATGGTCGCCGACTCGTTGGTGCTATGAAACGATCGAGTTCGAATGGTGCCTGATTCCCGGCAGGAAGATTTTATCGTAGAGTAAACATGGGCGATGTTGGGAAGAAAATCACCTCCGTGAGGTTTGACCAACTCGCTGCGTTTCATCTGGGGAATCGTCCCATGGTATATGTCGGCCGATGCGGGTAAATTAGCTGACGGTGGCTGTGAAAACCAGGCCCGCTATTATCCGGGGGATCCCAATCACCTAATGCCTCTAGTGGTTCCAATCCTGTCTGGGGGTTCCGGGACTTTTGAGGAGGCATGGGCCGATGTTACATTCCGGGTGTTTGAATCGTGTTTGTGTTACCAGAAATGGAACGGGAGGATTCAGACCTTCCCCAAACGACCTAGACAAAAGCACTAGAGTGTGAGCAGGTCGTGTCGAAAGTTCCAAAAGATCGGATATGATGTGTGCGTCAAAAGGTCTTTGCTTCTCCGTAGGATTATCTCGCTATGTTCATTTCAATCAGAACAAGATTATAAATGTCAAAAGGACCCAGCTACCTAATTCGAACGCAAACCTCGACATAGAGCCCGTGCCTTGGCAGTTTTTTTCCATTCGAATATTAGCATGCACCTTCCTACATATTGGACCTATAATAGGCTTTCTCCACACAGGCACGCGGCACTAAGCTGTCTGTTAATGAGGGGCGACGAGTGATATTCCCTCACATAAACTTCTCCATATGTAGGGCCTATTAGTGAAGACTTTTCGTCGCCCGTCAGAGGGACGAAAATAACAGAACGGCACATATTTGCCATGTGGGAGCATTCGGGAACTATAGCTCACACCATCTCACGACGGATCTCTTGTGACATACGGGCTGAGTAATAGCTCACCAGAGACCGCTACTGTTTTGACATGGTGCCCACCAACGGCGCACCGGAGTGGTGTCAGAACGAAGCGAGGACGAGGCAGGATTGTCATATAAAGCACGGCGGGAACAAACCTATAAAGGTGTCCTTGAGATCGAGCCAGGATCCTACCAAGATTCTCTTGGCGTGACATCCATCCGAAGTCATATCTAAACCACACCTGCTTGCCATGTGGCCCGGGATCGTTCTGTACTAGAGGAGGGGGGCCCACTTAAACTACTTAGAACTTCTTATCCTGCCCAACATCTCATCCAGGCTTTCCCTCCACCAACTTCACAGTAGGAGATGTCTAATCTGACCAAGCTCAAGCGCATACCAATGATCTGCCCAAAACAAAGCTCTGACATTGGCAACTCCGACCACCATTCTTCCGCCATTTTCACCGACAGGTTACAGGATACATCTCTGAGGGTTAGTTGATAACAGAGGTACACACAGTGGACAAGATGAGGTTTCACGATGGAATATGCGGCTGGCAACCAGTGGACAGACAGCTCTACGAATCACAGAAGCCTATTACTCGTCCCAGGAAATGATCGAAAAAGTAGGGGAAAAAATGATAAGGATTCGTAGCAGTGATGAATAAGCACTATAATGGCTAATATACACGGGGGCAGCATGTCACGTTTGGGGTCGTCGTGTCGAGGCTGTCATGTCGACAAAGTGTTGGCCATCCGCTTCTCAACAGCCACCATGGTCTGCGCTGCTAGGACAGCAACCTGGCGAATCTCCTCGCTCAATCCGAGGGACTCGTCCTTCCCCAGCGCTTCGAAGCGCTCGATCCAGAAGCCCCATCGTTGCAAACATACAGCGGGTGGCCCGTGGTACAACGGCCCACCTTCTATGTATTGTAAGCCGTCCTCTGGCGTGAGATCGGTGTGGCCAACGTTCTCCAGCGCCCATCCTAGAAGACACACAGAGGCGTGGGGGATCCAGTCGCAGGCGACCTGCAGCCTCCATTCCCTGATGGATACGTCGTTGTGTGCGCGCAGGTCCTCTTCGAGGGCATGTCGTAGGGCATCTGTGGCTCGAAGATACGCCCCTAGTAAATTTACCCTAAGGCACCGAGCCCCAAAGAGATTCAAATTTCGCCAGATCTGTGCAGATTTGGGGGTATAGGTTCCCTCTAGGAGGGGATCTTTGTGAGAGAAGTTAGCATCATAATTTTCCTGCTATTCCGAAGTAATCAGAAGAGTACATAGAGTACATGGAGTACATAGAACACATACCTTGAAAGTACAATTCCATGTACTGCGGGAATAGAGGTAAGTCGGCCCATACACGTTTCTCGATCTGTGGTTTCAGTTGACATCGTTAGTGTGTTTCTGGTAATGGAAATGGTAGTGATGGTACTCACGCCCCAGACGATCATATCTCCCTTTGCCTGCTGCTCCAGACTGCGGAGAATAAGCACGAGGTATTCCTGGATCTCATCTGTAACACCAGGGCTACGAGCGATATCGACAATAATCCCCCAGAGCCGCCAGAAATAGTATTCGGCCTCCTTCTTCTCTTCGAGTAGAGGGCAAAGCCAGTCGAGTTGGTAAGCGATGTCCCACGGTGTGGTATTTGGTGCCCCGCAAAGTGCGTCGAGAATGGCTCTGTCCTGATCTGAAAGTCTTCTCTCTTTGATCAACTCGAGGTCGAAGAGGCTCGTTGGGCCTTGTGGCGTTGCGTCTTCGGGCGCCGTGCTTTCAATCGCTGCTCCTTCGGCTGCTGTGGTTCCGGCCGTCGCCTTTTCGGCCATTGCGTGTGGCTGCAGGATCCACAGGGTTCGTGGTGGGGAGGGCAACTCGGCGCCGTAAGGATATTTCGAGTCGATATTACGTACAGCACTTCCAGCGACTGAACGAGGAGACAAGCCTGGAGGGGTTTCAAGAAAAATTATAATGCTGGTAATTGATGATGGAAACCTCGCAGGGGAGCTCCATCGACGTTGGCGGTTTGCCACGCCACTTCTAGGCATCGCTGGGCGCAGTCGGCGGCCACTGCCCTCAGGCCCAGGTGAGCCACGTGACGCGAGATCTGAATCCATTGAAGTTGTTGAGCCAATGAATTCTTGATTTCTCGGGTGAAGGGGGGAGGCTGTGACACTCTTCTCGGTTCCTTGCAGGTTGTTTCCGATATCTATGGATGCCGTGTTACTCGTGGAGAGTCGAGGCAGCAGTGTCTACTCTGACTATTGAATAAGGGAGGCTTTCAGGGAATAAGCAGAATGCAGGATATTGGGGTTCATCTTGTCCCTTTAGGGCGGAATCCGGAAGAGGCATCGATAGGTGTTTGAGTAGATCTATTATTCGAATTGAACCTTTTTATAGCCTAAATCCTAGCGCGGGATGATCACCTTTTCAGATAAGTACCACATTCTGGTGAGCGAACCGCTGAAAGTATCCCAGACCGCCAACGCCAACAGGGAACGACACGAACACGCCGACCCGGACGAACCGACCGTCGTGGCGGGGCGCCGGGTGGAGGAGCAACCCAATCGCCACCCTCATACTGTCATGTTCCCATCCCTTCTCGCACTCTTTGCATAGACAAATCTTTTCGCCCCTTTTAGGGGCATCGGACAACTCCTCGTCATCATAGCTGGACTCTTCCTCCTCTGTTTCAAAGCCACTCTCCAAGTCAAACTCGAAGTCGTCTTCCTCTTCTTCCTCTTCTTCCTCTTCTTCCTCTTCTCCCTCTTCTTCACCTCTATCGGAAAGCTTGCTCCCCCGAGTACTTTCAATTGAATGTTTCTCTCTTACTAGTTGCTCCGAGGCGCTTGACTCGTCCGAGAGGTCAATAGGAGAGCTGCTCTCTTTACATAGTCTCTTCCCGGTCTGGACGCCAGAACTGCGAGATACTACGGAACTCCCAACGCTATAGTCCCGCTCCCGCTTGGCCTTTCCGGTATCTGTCTCTGTAGTAGTAGCGGCTAGGTTTCCACATAGAGGGAGTCCCCGTCTAAAAAGAGGATTCCTTTTCAGTTTCACACTCCCAAGGAGCATCATCTGGATACCAGTGTCTTTTTCATGTGATGGAGTAACCATGTCCGCAGGGGGATTCCAGTCCAGCCAGCAGTCCGCCAGGTACGAGCCATTGTCCCGTATCTCTCGGCGGCCAGGGGCAGTACTCCGAATTTTCACCAGAGTGCTCGGATAGAAACTGGATAAAGGCACGGGACACACCCTCACGCCCACACTCAACTCAGCCCACAGTACCTCGCCGTAAGGATTCGCCCCCTTGAGCGTCGAAATGGGATGAATGGCCTCTTCATGTTCGTCGCGCCACTTCTTAGACCAGGGATCAACGCCTCGTATCCGGTCCCGGACATTTTCGAGGAGCGCGTAGTCTATCTCGCCGCGGTCGATCCAACTCCACGACGGCGCAATGTACTCGTCAGCTCGGGCGGGATCTATTCGACTTAGCAAGCCAGCGAGGTTCGTGGGTCGTCTTGGGCCGTTCTCGCGGACAAGCCACAGCAATCCTCGAGTCATATTTCCGCTCCACAGCCCCGCATGGTAAGAATCGTCCCCCAATACACGAGAAAGAGTCGCAGCGATGCCAGAAAGCGCAGGAAGGGCATCACTTGCCTTCGTGAGGGTTCTCGTCGAAAACAAAACGGCATGCCACTCCCAGTCGCTGTACACTCTACGGCGACTCGCGTGCATGACCTGGCGCTGGATCGATGTGTCCCAGCCCAACTGTCGGGCCGCCATCCCCTCGGTGTACACAGCCCTATCACAGAGGAAGTGGATCCTCGACGTCCCGAACCAAATCTTCCTAGTCGACATGGCTTTCTCCTGGTACGTCCAGCCCCTCAATGACCAGTGGCTATCCTGCTGGTCCGGGAACGGCTCGGGCCTCTGACATGAGCACCGCCCTTCGGCGTCTTGCACACCGCAGTACCTGAGCCGCAGCACGCCGGAGATGTCCGGCGAGACGCGCGACCTAAAGGGGAGGGCGGCTGTGGGCGGCCAGTGTGGGGCTCCGTCACGCGGACCCAGGAACCCTTGGGTGCACGAACGTGATGCCAGGGAACAAAGGGTGACGTGGGCATTGCCGTATATGTCTCCCATCCTCGCGGACTCGGTGTTCCAGTCATCGAGGCTATCCTGCTTAATGCAGAGCGCATCGATCCAGATGTAGCCGATACCTAGGGCTCGGGTCGCCACGACGGCGTCCTTGAGCACCTCGGTCAAGTCGTCGAGACTTACTCCAGCCTTGAGCCTGGCGGCCGTCATATCAGTGAGCTTGGGCTGTTTTAAGCTTTCGGGGGCCGGACCCCAGCAGTAGCTGAGCGCGGTATATTTGGCCTCCTCCGGCGACAAGCCGTGGTCCCGCACATTGATCAGCCTTACACCGGCGTCGAAGAGTTGCAGCAGGCGTGTGGGGAGGATCGGAGATGGAGATCGGGGGTGTCTATGGGACTCGAGGCATTCCTGGAGCGTTTCTCGTAGCCATCTGATGTTGGCGTCGCTGAGAACTTCCCGGCTCGGAGCCGGTTTCACTCTGAGCCACTCGGCGCATGGTTCTAGCGACAGGTTAGCAGATTTCTGTGCGTTGGGTTCTCGTGGGGGCACCCATCGTTACTTACTAGGCTCCGCTTCGATGGTGAAGCAAAGCGTCGACTCTGACCCGTTCTCTTAACCCAATGGAATGGGCGATTGTTAGGATAGATCTTCCATACATGAGGCCGATTTGACGCTCCATACCAAAGATAGCAGATACCAGGAGCCTGGACAAGCCCATAACAGACACCAAGCCGGGTTTCAGCATCCTCCAGGGGTATCTATATCGTAACGAGATGGGCCCCGGAGCCTGCTTCTCCCCACCAGCTCGGGCGACGATATCTGGTCGCGATAGAGCGCTTACGAGAAGTCGACACACGGGGCACCCTGCGTTAGCAGTCAGTACTAGGCCGGGCAGCAGCGGAAAATGGTCCTGGCGGGGGGTTCCCAGCTGAAACACGCGGGCTTCGTCGCCGGTTTCCTCGCCGGAGAATTCGAGATGGGTGGTTGGTACATCAGCGGGATACACTGTCTTTGTGGAGCTGTGGCCGTCGGAGTCGTCAAATAAGAGACATTCACAATGGCTGCAGAGGGACTCCATAGTTGCAGAACTCTCACACCTAGGCAGAACGGAAAGAGAACCGATAACGATGCGGCTTGATTGATTGATTGATTGATTGATTGATTTCTATTTAATGTCAAGGTTCGCATTGCCGCAGGCGGCCACGTGACACAGAGCCCGGCACGATAAAGTAGTCTGGAGTGATGGCGCCAGGGTCACCAGACTATATGCACTCACGTACACGGCTGGCACGACCTTAATCGCAGCAGGAACTGCAGCTGGTTGATGCCACGCCAGCATGCCGTGTGGTTCTCTTCGGTGCTAGGTCACAAACCGGTGACACTGTAGAAGTTGAGGACGGCTTGTTCGTCGGAAGCGTCCCATTCGACCCCGTCCCGGCCTATCCTGTCGCTGTCGGAAGATGGCATGGTACCGACTGGGCATGAGAAAGGTGCCGAGCTGCATGCCAAGCAGAATGGGGCGGCGCAGAACGAAGTGGTCTCGAGGAACCCCCCACCCCTTCTGTATCACCTGGGAATGAAACACCTCCACCGCGATGGCGAAGAACACGGAAAACCAATTGTGGTCGGTCACGTTGTGGGCTGAGCCGCGGGAGAGGCTGGATGCGAATAGCTGGTGCCCTACGCCGCAGCGTCGTCGCTGGATGCGGGAGTTTGTTATAGGGACGAAATGGTCCCGAGGTTGTGCTGGAGAAAGGGAAACGAACTCGTCTCGATGAGAGGTCCTGGATGATTCCTGGTTTGAGACAACCGAGGGAAGGTCTCATATCGACTTATATATCTGCCCTCAGGTTGAAACACTTCTCGTATCTCTCATTCTCATAGCTGCAGCTGTTGAACAAATACTCTTTATATTTATCCTGCCGTCTGGTTCAGCCAGCCTACCGCTCCTGCATCGAAAACACCATGATACTCTCATTCAGCTTTCCCGCTAGACTAAATGCTCCCCCTACGATAAAGATAAATGCAGCAATGGTACGTAACTAATAGATTGTGAATCCTATTATGCAGTTTAACACGGAAGAAGAAGAACTGTTGGAACTTCATGCCATGCGTTTCTATTTTTAGTGACTGCGCCGCTTTCCGCCTCGAACCCCGCATATATATCTGAAGACAAGCATCTCGACATGTCGTCCAACAAACACGGACGCATCGTGACCCGGCCACCCTTTAGGCATCCTAAGTGCTTCTTAGCCATCGCTGCCATCCTTCTACTTAACGTAAAATACATTCTGAATATCTAGAAAACCATGCACCTTTTGGATCTTCCTCCCGAGCTCGTTTATATGGTAGTTCACGCTTCCATCCTGGCACGAAGCTTCAAACGGGCCATGAGACTGAGGCTCGTGAGCCGTAAGCTATCAACTCCCCCTCCCCAGCACTAACAACTCAGCTCTAGTCGCGAGCTGATAAGATGCGCCCACCAAAGGCACCTTCCGCGACCTCGTCGATGACGCCATCGTGAACTTCCGTATGCTGCACGATGTGACCGAACCCCACGATTTTCGCTGGGAGTTCCATCCCCGCCACCAGGCCTGGAGAGCGTACGCCCAGCGCTACCTTGCCGAGTGCATCATCCGCCGCCCTAGTCGGCATCCTCCATTATACGAGGAATCCCGCCTGCGGTATGTCGTTGATCGGGTCGCCAAGCTCACCGGTGAAGTGGATGCCCCAGCGAAACGGCGCCTGATACACTCTCTCATGGGCATGTGGTGCTTCTTCGGCCAAAGGCACACGAGCCCGGACTACATCCGAGACCGGCTTTCCCGACTATACTCGGAGTGCCGCTTCTCTAAGGAGTCCTCGCCCGCGGCCTCCTTCGACGAGACAGACCTTCATTGCCTCACACTCGAGGCCGCCATCTACCTCGGTCGCATCGAGCTCGTACGCCAGCTGCTCGCCGTCGACGACCTGTCGGCTTGCATGCGTAGGATCGGTCATGCGTCGAGGAGGCCGGAACTGGCATATTACCCTGCACGGAGGAGGTTGGAACTGGCCGCCTACTCTGGTAGTGTTGAGATTCTCAAGCTTCTCCTCTCAGCTGACCTTGGCGTCCTCGAGACAGAGTTAGACAGCGAAGGGAGGATGAAGGGGCACATGCCCGCAGTATCCGCAAACCTGGCCTCAAAGCAGGGCCACCATCACTTTTTCAACTACATTCTCGACATCAGCGAGCCTTTCCCGGGCCTACGCCGCCACCTAGGGCTTGTGCACACAGCACAATCCGAGCATTATCGCGAAGCTATGCGGAGTACAGCCTTTCCGGAGGACCTTGAGCGGATGACTGCTATATTTCGACGCGCGCTCCTGGAACCAGGCCCCCCAATAAATCAGTCCCCAGTCTTTTTCGGCAACCAATGGCACCAGCTGGCGTACAGTGCCTCTCTGGGGCGTGCAGAAGTGGTGCGGTACCTCCTCGAGCAAGGCGTACGCATAGATGCGGAGGCCGTTGTTAGTCTACGCGGTGTAAGCAATTGCCGCAGCCCCATAATATGCACTATCACAAAATCCGGGAGTGTGGAGCTACTAAGGCTCCTGCTTGATCACGGCGCGGATCCCAACGGCAGTATTCCAGAAAATGCGCCCTTGCTAGCTGCCATTCGCTGGGGCACTCCTGCCATGGTTCAAGTATTGATCGAGTACGGGGCCGATGTCAACAAAACTATCCCGCCGGCAATCATCGCAGCCTTGTTTGTGGAAAGCGAGGAGATATTCCGCCTTCTCAGGGGAGCTGGAGCCGTCCTCGATAACTCACCGCAGATTGGGGGACGCGCTATGTCATTAGTGAGAGCGCATGGGTTGGAAACAATGGAAGCACTCCTCATCAGTGAAGGCGTCAGCACAAGCAGCATATTAAATTATGATCCAGGAAAAGAAGATTTATTAGGCGGGTCCGGATTTTTCTTTAGATTGAAAGACTTTGGATTGGATGAACAGGCAGTATACGATGCGAGAAGAGCAGCATTCGAGTTGACAAGAGCGAAGAAGAGGAAGAGAAGAAGATAACTAGAAGCTAAACGAGAGCCAAGATCTACCTATACCAGGCTTAAGAGAATACCTCAAGATCAATCCCTCGTTTCAATCATCATGTCATACCGCAAACTCGCATTGTCCTCCGAGATCTGAATCGTCACTCGGCTGACATGGACAGTGTCGCCACCTAAACTGCCTGACTCTGCGAGCTTGGTAGGGCCCTCCAGCATGGGATTTTGAAAGCTAAGTTCTTGCCATCCCAAACCGCCCGGTGAGATGGTGTATGTCCCGGTGTTGCTGGGGTCCTTGCCCGCTCTTCTTAGCGCCCCCTCAATGGCAGCTCTCCCCGATGGGTTCGAGACCTTGCTGCGGCCGAAGTAACGCAGGTTACTGGCGTCCCCATTGTTCTCATATCGTCCACACTATTGTGCACGCACACACGTCCTACCACGAACAGACGGTTTTGCTGCCTCACGATAAGTGTCATCACGAGCTTGTCGTCAGCAAGCTGTCGAGCCACAGCGCAAAGGTGGTGTGCGAAAGTTCCAGTTCATGGGGTCCCGACTTCATCTCCATAGTAGACGGCTACTACTGCGACATGTGCGAGCACGCCCTGTGGAAGCTGTGCTTGAATCGCTTTGATCTCGATTGCTGGGATATGCACAAGATGGAGTTGCGAATGACCAGGCGAACGATCGCTTCCAGGTCTGAGGCTGGCTCGCTTAGCAAAAAGGTCCATAAGCGTATCGAATACTGGGACTAGGATATCTGAACTTGTACAGGTAAAGAATCGTGTATTGGAATGTACTCGGGGAAATTTGTTTGTCGTTGAAACTGGAGTTGGGCTATTGTTTATTAAACTTGCTTCATTTTAACTTGTCTGCAGTGCCTCCGTCGGTTGTGTTTCCTAGAGGTTGGCAGGAACGCCACCCGGACCAGTTAGGGAAAGTCGTTGATGTAGGACTTATAATATCACACCTCAGCTCTTTCATATTGAGCTTCTCCGCTGCTCATATCACCAGTGATAGGGGGAATACTTGGGTGTTGGCTCTCTTAGACAAGCCCGATCCAGCTTGGGCAAACATTGTGAGATGTCACAGAAGTGGATGCTAAGAGAATATAGAGGGTATATTGAGCTACGTATCATTGAATATTGATCGCTTTACCAGTCAAAACTCTCCTCCACCAAACGAACAGCCACACCGCTATGCCGACCCAAAGCAGCCACAGTACATCTCACCTCATCGGCCATAGCAGCAGGACCACACACCACGACCGTCGTGCCACCAACTTTCCTCTCATTAATCTCCGCCTCGAGGATCGAGCGCACATCCATCCTCTCTCCGATGCTGAGCTGCACATCGGCAACACCCCAGCGAATTCCCCCATCGGGTCCAACAGAGCGAGATGTTATGGAGGAAGAGACGGCGTCGACGAGGGCTTGGCTCCTGGATCCCCAGTATAACTTGACGTCACCAATAGGCTTGCCGAGCGATTGGGCATCCTCAAGGATGGGTAGAACGGCTGTGACACCAACGCCGCCGGCGATGCATACGATATGGGGGTAGGATGCGTCCGCGCGGACCTGGTTGTGCGGGAAGAGATTTCGTGACTCGACGCCGTAGGAACCTTCGACCAGGACGGGAATGGGACTCTTACCCGCGCGAGCTGCGAGAGATGCCGTGGCGCCATCTTGGATGCGCATGTACAGTGTGATTCCTGGCCGGGATTGACTCGCAGGGGCGATGGACGAAGAAGATGGGACTTTGGAGGCGGTCGTGTCTTTCTCGACATCACTTCCGCTAGTAGGCAGGCCCTTCTCCTGGGGGTCAGACGATTCGTCGCCATCCAGGGAGTGACTCATGGCACCTGCTACGGAAAACGGATGATTCTCCCAGACACGCCATGTCAGTGTGGGGAAGTACATGTAGATGTGGCCGCGGCTGTCGACGCCGGGGATATCGATGCGGTAGTACTCGGAATCGACGGCGGTGACGTAGGCTTTCTTGACGCCGTATCGAAGAACTCGGATGATCCTGGCAACGTAGTCGAAGGACATGATAGCTATGGCCATGTAGATCCATGTCTCGTAGCCCCACTGGTGACCGTATCGGTAGATGATGTGGTACCAGCATCCGATGATGCTTATGGCGGAGAGAAGAACGTGGCTCGATAGGAAAAGCTCGTAGAACTTGCGCCGGATGGGAAGAATGGACAGAGGAATAATGATGCTGAGGGCGAGTGTAGCGACGATACCGGTATACCAGTACGGAAGCTTACTTTCCTCAGCGTGGGTGCCTTCCTCCAGGAACTCTTGCAAGTAGATGGCGGAGTGAAGTACAGCCTGCAACATACACAAGAATCCTATCCAACGATGAACAAGGAGGAAAGTCACATGCGACCAGTTGGTCAACCTAAGCAGGACATTGTTCCGGCTGCCGTAGAGAATGGCGAGGGCCAGGTTCGCGAAGCTGAGAACACCCACGCGGTTGGAGATATATGCTCGTATCTGGGCCTTAGAGCTGGCGAACCAGGTGTTGTCTCCGTTAGCGCGGTAGCCGACGGCGGAGAAGATGACGTTCACGGCGATGATGTAGAAGATGAAGAGGGCTTGGCCGCGAGTGGGGACGATGGCGAGACCGAAGGCGGGAACGGCGTGGCGGGTTCCGAAGGCTGGGGGATCGATCACGTAGGCGTAGAAGGTGCTGACCCAGGATTTGGGGAAGGGGATGAAGCGGAAGAAGGAGAAGCCGATGGGGATTACGACGCAAGTAATGAAGATGACAAGGCTGGGTTGGAGTTTCGGTTAGTTCGTAGATTTTATATTGGTAGGTAAGATCTGACGAGTCTGTTACTTACCCGAATCGCGAGTGCCCCTTCTCGATGTCTTCAAACACGGTCAAAGTGTGATACTGACTCCAGTAAGCGTCATCCTCAACAGCCGTAGTAGTATTTAGCAGCACATCAGACGGCACGACCTCAGTCGGTGGCTGCTTGACTTCTGCCAGGGCCTCCTGGTAAGACAGCCTAGGAAGCGGCTGCACCCTTCCCCGACCGGGAAGATTGAGCTCCCAATAATTTTCAAGGTCGGACGCCAGAACTCCCTCGCAACGTTGATACATGCAGTATGCCATGGAGTGAAGGAAGTGCTCGTTCGTGGCATAGCACTCGGCCGAAGGGCCCATGGACATGTGCGAGGATTCGGCGTCGCCTGTGTGCGAGGCGTGGTCCATGGGACATTCAAGGGGATTGGAGATGCAAGCGCGGCAGGCATGTGCGCAAGTTGGGTCGTACATGGAGATGCCGTAGCCGATGAAGCCGTAACCATAGCGGCCGTCAACCGTGTGGCTTGAGGCTGGAACGGTTAGAGCGGCCAAGAGGCCCAGGGCGGCCGTTTGGATTCGGGGCAGCATGGTCACGGCCACTGATGGATGGAAGAGACGACAGTAGTTTGGCTTGAACTAGATGCAACTGGACGCCAAAGAATGGGTTGAGGTAGGGGTATATATGGGACTAGCTTTCACGATCTGCGAAAGAAGCTTATATTAAGCCAAGAAACGGTGACGATCACCAGTAGAGGCCACTTCACTCGCCCACATCAAGCAATGACCCATCGCGACCTGCAATGCAAGCCAGTGGGCCAATCCGGCACTTAATATATAAAATCAAGAGTTCCCATATCTCATCAGTTAATCAATCCCGACCAGGATTGGGCACGGATCAAAGTGAGGCAGTTTTGAGTGCATTATTCCCTTGTCCGGCACGCACATTTGAGCAAGTTTTTTTTTCGGGCGGTATTATTCCCCTGATGGCTCCTCCCACATCTTGGCAATATATTTGCCATGGGATGCACGCGAGAACCCACCAACCAAGATCGGCAGAGAGGATGACGACTTGGGTAACAAGTCCCGGGGCTAAAGCTCTCTCGCATCTCGCGACGACTGGGAAACACCCGATTTGAAGAGTTTGAAGGGACGAGGCAAGTGACCCCCGCTGGCGGATGGAGTCGAGATGGTTCCGTTTGCATGGGGGGTTTTTCCAGGTCGTTGGGTCGTTAGGTCGCAGGGGATGTGGGGACGGCGCAGGAGGGAAGAAGCTTGGCTATAGCCCATTTTTTTTATTGGGGGGAAACCTGCTCATTCCGGCATGCTCTGGGTGCAGCGCGACTGAAAACGGGGTTAGTCCGGGTGTAACAACGTGATGAAGAGTGGGAGGGCAACGGAATTAGGTAACGAGATTAGATGGTTTCGAACCAGATATCAATCTTGGACCGGGAGTCGAGGTGGACCTTTGCGCTAAATACAGCCCTAGGGAGATCGAAACTCTTCGGAGCCGCACAAGTGGTGATGATGTGCGCATCTGAGGCGAGGTCCGCCTCAGAAGAGCGGCAGGTAGAGGGAATCACGTAGCGCACAGGTTCCGCCTACGGCTCGAGATGAGCAAGTTTTGTGATGAATCGGGGTTAGCAAACCCTTTTAGTGCTCCAAGAGACGTGGGATCTTGCATTCGATGAGTTACGAAATAGGATTCTAGATATTGGGTGCATATTTGGGATGGTCCATCTCCCGGAGCCACCATCGTCGGGCCGGGGCTGACGAGAGAGTCAGTCTTCGGAGGTCTCCGGGGTGAAGCGTCGGACCATCTCCGGATCCCCTCGAGATACAGCGACAATTGGGTCGAAGTAGTCAGGTAATTTTGCCTGAGAGTAGCTTGGTCTTTTGTTTTTCATTTCTTTCCCCGGTTTTTTCGGTCTTTCAATTTCTTTTTATTTTATCCACATCCTCGTCAAAACGTATTGCACCGCTCCCCAAAAGTTCGACCCCGGCTAAGCCCAACCCATTCCTCGTTCGACCGACACGAGCACCCCAATCAAGCAGAACATACAAGGCATTTCACAAGGCACAGCGGTCAATAGCCTCAATATGTTCACGCAAAATTATTTGAGAAGTGGGCGATTCGCAGCAGCTATTAGTTACTGTACACTGGCTCTCTCATTCACCATCAGAATCAGCGCGGCGTTCCCCATTTTCTCACTACCCATTCTGACTAGGTTGTATCACTCATTTCTTATGCATCTTCTCCTTCGCTTTCTCTTTCGCTTTCTCAAACATCGACTTGTTTTTCTGTTCGGGGCTGGAGCCTAGGCTAGACGGCTCGCCCTGTTCCGCCTTTATACGTCTTTATGTCAGCCGAAAGCCCACCTCGGGCGCTCTCCCCGCCTCCGCTCGCAGCAAGGGAGGGAGCAATATTAACCAGTAATGTCCAAAAGCTTGGAAATAAACTTACCAGTTCCCTGTCATGTTCGGCATGCTCCATGAAGTCATGTGCAGCCAGGACAGACTTATCAGGGAGGCCGTGGCCTTGTTCTTTTTCAATATGTGAGCTGTGTTCCATGTTGGACTGGTTTCTGGTTTTACTTCTATTTGGTCGACAATGAGATCTAAAAAATTAAAAGGTAGTATTTAAATTTCGGACCTGAAGATCGGACATGGCATCTTTATATGTCGAGATTTCCGGATTCTTGACGTCAATATCATGATACTTGAACGAGGGGATATGACATCGTGTGGCGAAGCTCGTGTGGCCAACCCGCCAGCACTTACGTCAATGATCTACAGTATTTATTCGGGGCATGAGCTTATACTAGAGACCGAGGGGTTGGATCTGAGAAATGGCGTCGAGACGGCGTAGATGGTGGGTCTAACCATGCGGCGTCTGGGAACGCTTTCTCGGGCTGATTGGCCTCCTCACTGGGGGCAAAGACAGGTTTAAAATTCTATTCCAAGGTCGTCGCGAGGACCTTTTCCTGTTTTGTCGCCCTGCTGAAGATGCTTGCCCAATGATCGTGGATAGGTCGGACGGATAGCCAGAGAACAGCTAGTCCTCCGGATTCCTCAATAGCATTCTTCCGATCTTGAACTGTAAACACAAGCTTAGCATCTCGTACGTCTCTCGTAGTCCCTTGTGCCTCAGTGTAAACTATGGAAATAAAATGAAACCTCTCAGCGACCAAGGGCTGATCTATACAATTCAACTTCATACTAATAATAACTCTCGCACATTATTGTTCGAAAGAACCACTTGATTCAGGATCTGATCATCAGGGCCTCCGCGTAAATCATGGCGAAATAACCCAATCCGACGGAATGCACCCTGGCTCGGTTCACGAGCCACTAGCAATCCTGAAGAAAGCGGGGGCTCGAAGTTGAGACGTGTCTCGAGCAAGAAAACCTCCCCTGCCTTGCGTTGTGCATTTTCAATCAAGATTGTGTCTTGTTTCGTATCCGGATACAAGGTCACACGCCATTCCCCAGGAGGCACAGGAGCCCGACCCGAATCCCAGGGCGATTCCTCTATGTCAACGCGAACACCTTCAAAGTCATGCAGCGCCCAAATCAAGCCTTTGATCTTAAGATACCCCCCAGTGACTGACCCATAAGGGGCCGCGGGGACAGTAAGATCCACGCCATAATCTAAAACTTGGAATCGATGTTTAACTCTGCCTAGACGGGATCGATCAGTCCGTGTTACGAGCGATGTGTTGGGCTCGATCACCCCGTCAATGCATGCCCATGACCAAGATGGAGCACAGAAATATATAGCTCGAGTAGCTGTGGGTTGCACTGCCATCCAACTTAGGGCGCCGCTAAAACTGTCACTCGCGACTTGGCCATTCTTAAGCTCTGTTAATAGTCCGGCGAGATAGACACTGCTCCGCCGGTCACGATTAAGGTCCATCGCGTGAATGACTGAGGCAACGGCAGCCACGGCTAGGAGTTTATCGCCTTGGTTGGTGAGACCCCTTCTTGTATAGTTTTCGACGACCTTTTCCCACTGCACGCGAGCTGGCATGTCTTCTAGGACTTCCAACGGATAGATATCTCTGGATAATGACGGGGGATCGCCCATATTTCTCCGGCTCAGTGTTCCAAACGGACCGCCGCAGCTTGCGTTACCCCTGAGACAGCACCATGCTAGATAGCCCGGACTGAATATCAGGAGGCGACGTGACAGGAGAGATTCTTGGAGAGTCCAAGCACGGAAAGTGGTAGGAGTCGAGACCTCAAGAGTGTCGTATAATAAGACAGCGCCGATCCCATCTGACGTCTTTATTGAAATTTCGAACGGACCTGCTCTGAATGGAAACGCGAATTCTCTCCCCAAAAACCCGACATCACATGCTTCGGCGGAAGCTGCACACAACGTGGCTGTGTTCTTGCGGTAGTAGAGAGGCATCCGCGAGATTTCGACCTCTTTTTCGTAGCCATCATCCTGGGGGATACAAAGAGCATCTATCCAAATGTACTTCATATCAAGGATGGAAGTATATTTGATAGCGTCTCGAAGGGTTTTTGGCAGAATTTCTACGGAAAATCCCTCTTCAAGCGTCTGGGCAGTGTCTTCGGTCAACTTTACTGGTTGGTCCCCTCCCCAGCAATATGACAAGGCCAAGAACCCGCTTTTGGAGATATTGTCCTGCTCCTGGCTCCCGAGAGCTGCTACCTTGATGACTCGAGCGTAACTTGCCTTTTTGTCTGAAATCTCGACTAGCCGCGTGGGAAGATCAGTCACGGAAAGAACCTCGTCTCCAGAACAAGATTGTCTCGGGTCAAGGCGACACTCCATATGAGCCGTTAAACACTCTTTTAGTTGATCGCGTGCGAATTTTACAGATAACGGTGACTCGAAATCTCGCTCGTGCGGTCGATATGGCACTATCGAAGCAGCCGAATTATCTACTATATGTTAGAACCTTCACTAATTGTGTGAAGTAGATGAGCTTCGACTACTTACCATACCTCGAGCAGACAAAGATATGTCCCCAAATACCCCTCGGGGAGTAGGGGACAGGACCGGTCCTTCCAAGCCGCCCTATGGCTAAGAGAGCATAATCTGCCTCAGCAGTCCGAGGCAACTCGGGGTTAATGTTAGGAAGCCAGATCCATAAAGGTTCCTCCAAGTACTCCCAGGCTCCATTCTTCGTAAAGTAGTCTTTGCCGAAATCCACAATCCACTGGTAGAAATCGCAGCCGTCGAGTGCCGCGGTTACGGCATCTAAGGTAGAGCGCCCCAACGGCAAGTACATTCCCTCTTTTATCCATATCGGCTCGCCCATAATTTCGTTGCAGCGAGAACAGAGATGAGGATTGTCGAAGGTGAATTGTCTTCTAGGGGCTTTGTCGGGATATGACTGGATTATTATCTCCTTCCTTTCGCTGAGGAACTTGGCAAGCGCCTCTCGCATCCCAAGAGGAGCCATCGCGAGCTAGAATTCGATTAAGGTCCGGGTATGCGATTTGGAAATCTAAGGCGAGCGGGAACATTAAGGGCAAGGGCGAGTTTCAAGGCAGTCCTGGGAATAGAAGCGGGGCAGAATTGGGCTGGAGGTTTCCTTTCAAACCTATCAAGCCTGAAGCTACACTTTGCAGAATCTGTGGGCTTGAAGACTGGCCAATGATACTAATGGTACTGCAAGCCAACGGATTCCCATTTTCCAGACAAGGCGGCTACATACTTGGAGACGCTAGAGCTGCCTAAACATAGTGGCAGTGCCAGTGCCGCAGGGAACCCGATGACCTCGGCGTGGGACACGAAGACTGAGTTCCTCATGTATCCACGTAGTGAACCCAACTAGTTGATGTTTGGGCTGTCGCTACGTCAAGGAGAGTAGTGATATACTAGGGACATAGGTGTGAAAGGAAAGGACTATTCATATGCTTCTGAATCGGGGTTTTCCGTGTCAATGCCTCCTAGTCCGCTTGGCTTCCTTGATTGTTCACTCATAGGGACATGAATCCTAGTCTGCACAAAATCCATTCATTTCCCAGAGGATTATAAGCATCTAGAGGGTCCTCCGTGCCTTCACACTCTATGGACTAAAACTTGAAAATACACCCGATAATAAACTCCCTTACGCCCACCGAACCTTCTTCCCCGTCCTCCCCTTCCCCCTTCTCACTTCGCCCAGCCCAAGGACCTCCGGCCCAAGAGTCACCCTCACTGACCGATTCGCCCCATCCTCTATCCTCCACTCCCACCTGCAAGCCTCCACCGTGTCCCCAGCAACAGTGAGCCGACTTCTCCAGCCCTTAACCCACATCCAGGCCAGCCGATAAGCACTGTCCGATTCCGGCTCAGGTGGTGGCTCCGTGATAGTGCTGCTGGCCCAGCTTCCAATACTCGCCCGTGAAGACGAGAATGTATATGGTCCCGTGATATTGGTGGATATCGTCGTGGTAGATGACAACGTTGTTCGTCGGCTCTCTGGCCCTTCTGAAACCTCGTTGGGGATCTCTTCTTCAATCGTCTCCATGATATTCACATTGCCGATGGCAGAACTCCCCGCACGTCTTCTCGTAACGCTTGCCATTGCATTATCCCTAAAATCCTCGTGAAATATCGCTAAAATCAAATTGACCCCCGTCTCTCCCGAGCGTGGTCAGTTCTCGTCCAGTCCGCCAGTGGCAGTCCGTAACAGCGCGCTCCGTTCGTCAATCTCGTCTTCGGCTTCATTTAGAAACCCTCCTTTCCGAGGCTCTCCTGGTATGTCGTATCCCGGACTAACTGGGCCGGCAGTCCTGGCTCTCCGTAGTGGCATGTTGAAGATTCCCGACGACGGCCGAGAACGGGAAGGGCTAGAGGCTGCAGAATCAACCCCACTGCCCCCGGAAGGAGTCTCGAAGATGCTTCTCATTTTCTGAATGAGACTGCTGGGTGGCGACGGTGAAGCGGTGGGAGAGTTTCGAGCGAGTACGTTATGGGGCATTTGAGTGGCGATCGGCGTGGGAAGGTTCTCCTCGGAGAACGACTTCGGGGTGTCGTGGTATTGCAAGGGAGACGGAACGTGCGCGTCGTGTCTGTCACCGAACTGTCCCATGGGCGCGGGCCAGGAATCTCGAATCACGGGCTCGTGGTTGTCAATTGGCAGCGCTGCGTGTATGGGAGATTCCGAGGCTGTGGAGATTGTGCTCTGACTCACAAGAGACATTGGTGTGGAATCAATCTGACCGGACGCATCCCATGGTACGTCCGGGGTATTTACGCCGTAGTTATCGGGACGTCCCATCTGTCCTGGTGGCGTCACGGGCCTTTCGGGATTGTGCCTGCTAAATGCCAAGCCTCGGGAGAGAGAAGAGGAGGCAGGAGCAGGAGCCGCCTCGCGGAGTGACATGGGGCTGATGTCGCTGTTATCTTCGACCAGGCTGTCCATTGAAGTGGAATTCTCTGGCGTGTACTCTACCGGACGCATTTCCTCATAGCTCTGGAGTTCAGCATCCAGTACGGCGGCGGTTGGCGTGACGGTGGGTTCTGTGGAGTAGGCATCATAATTTGATGACTGGGGAGGGAGACTTAATTGGGTAGCATGGCGGTTTTCGTCTTCCTCGTAGCCGGTCTGGGACTGATATTCTGATTCGTCGTCCGAATCGAAGAGTTCGTCTTGGCCATGGACCGTGGCAGCAACTTCTTCTGTGTAGGCATACTCGTCCGGGCTATGGAAATTGTCGGGATGCTCCTGGAATTGGGATGGAGTGTGAATTCCAGCTGATTGCATCGGAGTCACGAAGGCTTGGGATTCCGTATCCGTCGTAACTTCGCCAGCAACAGCGAGGTTGTCGCTGTAAGAGTGTGAACCCTGCGTGTCGTGGTATACTTCGCCATAATAGCTATGATAGGCAGATCCCTGGTCCTCCATGATGACTGCCGGGGCCATTAGCTGAGGCTGGGCAGGCTCGTAGAGTCTTCTGTCGTAGGTTTCATAGTACTGGTTCTCTGCCGGAGCCACGTCGGGGATCGTCGCCGGGTCGCTGTGGAAAGGAGACATCGGAAGCGTTGGCGCCTTCTCAACCACCGGTTCCACCTCCCCATACTCTGGCTCCGGTTGCATTTGATGATACTCATACCCATCAGCAACGGCTGGCTGAGAAGCTAGCTCGACCTTGTCGGGAGTAGCAACTTGCTCAGTAGATGGAGTCTTAGTGATTGAAGCCGGAGATTCCAGGCCAGGGGTTTCATGGGCCGATGAACTGTTTTCTGAGAAGTCCCGATGGACATCGCCTTCTGCAGCCTCATCCACGAGTGCCGCGTCCTGTTCTTCATGCATCGCAGCCGCAGCATTCGCAACGGCAAACGACATATCATACTCATCCTCTGCAGGGTCCATGACCCAGGAACCATTCGCAAGTTGGGCTGCAACGGGCTGCTGTTCTACGGCGATATTCGGGATAGAGGTCCCAAGAGTGGCCAAGTCTTCCAGAGCCTGCGGTGCGGGCGGCTGGGAGAATCGCCGTTCAATAGAAGGAGCGACCGCTTTCCTAAATCTCGCAAAAGTCTCTCTGAACCGCGCTAGGACGATCTCTTGATCTGATTCACTAGGATCAATGGCCCATGTCCCGTTAGGAAGTTGCGCTGCTACAGGCTGCACTTCGTGGGCAAGGTTCACGTATTCAACGTTAGCAGATTCGTCCTGCTGCGGTTCACCTTGTAGAACCGCGCTTTCTTGAGAGTCGGGGAGGACTACAGCAGGCTCTTGGGAGCGCTCAATCTCGGAATGTGAGAGCCCGTCCTCAGCTTCTTCCAATAGTCCCTTCTCGGCAGGGGGATCATGGGAGATGGAGCGACCCTCTTCCTGAAGTTCAATGGTGTCTCCGAAATGACTTCCTCCGCCGACCACAATTTCCTCTTCGGTGATTGGACTAGGTAGTGGAGACACTTGGCGAGTTTCGTCAACTTCCGAGACCTCGACGCCTGCGGAGTGTTCCTCGGCGTCGTGGGCTACAGGTCCCTGTTCTGCGTAGGCAAGGGGGTGTGCAAAACCTTCCGTCTCTTCCGGAAGTATAGAAGATCTGACTTCGACCTCCGGGTCTTCGTAAAATTTCTCAGCAGAAGTAGAATTTGCAAGAACCTCACGGTCTAGCTCAGACTCACGAGTACCAACTGCATAGCTAGGCCCGCCAAGCATAGTGCCCTTCCCCTTCATCATGGAAGCCGCGCTGGGGAGCTCTTCTTGGCCATGCCCTGTTTCCGAGTCCTCAATATCATAACGGTATTCCTCAAATTGGCCTACCCCAACCGGCTGTTCGTAAGACAGAGCAGGAAGAGTGGAGACTTCCGAATTCTCTTCGGTCTCAGATATGACGCGTTCACTCCCAGGTTCTTCGTGGCTAACCTCCCTTTCGACGTGCGGGCTGGGAAGAGCAGGGACCTCTCGAGTTTCTTCAGTTGAGAGAATCTCAGCTGTGAAGTCTTTAGGCCCCTCAATGGTCTCACGGAGGTATGTGATAGGTGCGAGATATTCAACAGCCATTGACTGATATACCGTCTCATTAATTGGACCAACAGACCATGTCCCATTGGGAAGCTGTACATTATCCAGTGCGAGTCCATAGTCCATCTTGTAGTCAGAAACGTCAACATTGAATGACTCGACGTGTTGGTTGGGGCTACCCTCAAGAAGCACTGGAGTCTCGTCGCAGGAGTCATGATCGTCAATATGGCCATTGTGTCCTGGCGCGTGAGGTTCGCCTGCCTCATCGACAACGCGAGCAATTGGGAGTGCTGGCTCGTGCATTGCGGTGTCTTGCGCCCCGTAAGCCACTTCATTCGCCACAGGATGCTCGAATTCTACTTCCGCTTTCACAAGCGAGTGGGCGTCCATGGATGTCGCCTCTACAGGCGCAATATGGGGATATTGATCTTCTTCATACTCGGCGTGGTGAACGCTCTGATCATACTCCCCATTGTGGAATAATTCTACTTCCCTGGCGGAATGAGGAGGTACCTCAGGCTCAGGATAGTTTTCAGGCTCCATCCCGTCGTGAACGATAGCGACTTGGGCATCTGGAATGTTCTCAGCCTGTTCAACCAATGTCGGCGTCATTTGCGATGGTTGTCTCACCACTGAAGGCTCAACATCTTGAGGTATTATCCCCTTGTAGTTAAAGCCACGCTCAGACTGGGCAAGCGAATTCGTGTATTGATACCCGTTGGACAAACCTTCTTTGTTTGAAGGAGGCGCATCGAAGTAAGTAACTGGAGAGAGCGGGATCGAGTCCTCATCGGGCACTCGGAGGTCGAAAGGGGGTGACTGGGGTTCAAGGTATTCCTCCACATGGTAATCTTCGGCGTCCAGTCTGGGGGTTTCATGAACTACCTGGATGGGCGCTTGCCCCAGAGTCTGCCCAGCATAGTACGGCGCTTGTTCTTCGACATGAGGATGATAATATTCCTGGTGCACGGCAAGGTTGTCCTCGTGTTCCTCAAAAGATTCCAACCCCTCGGCTCGAACAAACTGCTGTCCAACAGGCACGTTCTCCACCATACTAGGTTCATCCAGGGGTGAGAGCTGAGAGTCGTATTCGTGATTCATCCCAATGTGGTGTTCCCGAGGCGCATAGGCCCTCTCGATCAATTCCTCATCGCCTTGAACAATATCGGGGCGGGGCGCGGCGATCTTTGGAGATGGGAGGGGTGTCTCGGCAGCCGCTTCTTCGTAATTTAGGCTGTGCCTCTCCGAGGAAATCGAGGAAGACCCCGATACAGAGATGGCGTAGTTGCCCATCGACTCGTGGACGTTGACCTCCGGTTCAGCATCAACATTGGTTTCGGCGCGAATGGGTGTCTCGAGCCTCCCGTCAGAAGTGAGCGCCAGTCCAATCTCCTCCTGCCCTATTTCAAGAGTTTGTTCTACCAACGGAGCTTCTGTAGGTGTGGGTTCGTTTTCTGGAAGCTGAACTTGCTCTTCCACAGCCGCTGAGCGAGTCGGGGAGCCTGGCCCGTCCACTGGAATTGGTCCTGAGTCTCGAGCAAGGTGCTCTTCAAATGCCTGCTCCGCCGGTGCGGCTTCTTCTGGAGGCAGCCCGGCCATTGGCTGAGATGTTGGAACCATTGTCTGAATCGGTTCCTTCTGGATAAAAGCTGACTCCGGTGTGGCCATATGCCGGGATACCTCCGGGAACGACCTCGCAATAACATCAGACTGGAGAGGAGGAGTCTCTCCACGATCACCAAGCCCAATCTTCCCCGCAAACCAACCAAACGCGCTCCTTCTATTGCCCTTGTGCTCCGCCGGAGAATCACTCGGATCAACCTCTTTCGCCAGTTCCCGAGGCTCGGACTCTCCTCTCCCTCTCTCAGCCAGCTGAGGAGGTTCCGCGACAGCCCCATTCCTCTCCGCCTCGGCCGAGACGACCCGAATGGGGCGTGACTCGGGCTCCTCATTAGTAGCCTTCACACTGTTATTGACTGGCTCTCCCAATGAGGCCTGGGTTGTCTCCGGCGGCTTACTAGTGATGGCCGTTTCCATCGTCCTGTTCGTTCGCGAACGGCGTCTGGTAGGGACGGACGGCAACGGGACTTTGAGTTGCTCGTCAATCAAGCGGTTCAGCTCCTGTTATGCGGCGAGTTCATGTTAGCAAATGTATGGAAGATCAATAAAACGGGAGCCGGGGACAGTAAGGAGGATAATAATACCCTTCGCCTCTCCTCCAACCGCGCAAGCTTATCCCTCCCCTCATCCAAAGCGGCCTGCGCCTCCACCTCCACAATCTCCATCAACCCGTCCATCTCGTCCTCAACATCGTCAGTCTCGCTGGCGAACCTCCTCTGCCTCTCCTCATCTTCCCGCTCATCTTTGGCTGCGAGCTCCTCGTCTTCCCTAGCCCGGCGGGCAAGTATCTCTTCGTCTTCTCTTCTTCGACGCTCGGCGATTTCATCGCGCGCTTTGCGGCGCTTGGCAGAGAGGTCGTCCCCTTCGCGCTCGAAATTAGCACGAAGGGCCGCTAGCGTGCTGTCCCGTTGGTGTTCGAGCTGGTCGAGGCGGGAGTGGTGGTCTGTGGTGGAGAGAGCGTCGATGGTGGAACGGATGGCTGAGAGGGTGTCGCTCATTTCCGCCACGAGGGCTGCGACCTCCATTGCGGAAGCCATGATGTGGAGGATATGTATTATTACGAGTTACGGAATAAGTGACGTGAAAATGAGAAAGCAGTGTACTGAAGGCGGAGGGGAGTTGAGGTTGCGTCTCTTTCGGCTTACTCGGTTTACGCAAGCCTCGTTGATCCAAGATCGATGTCTTAAGACCTATTCCTAGGAACGGAAAGTAGAAATAGCAGACGAGGTGAAGATTTATGATACCCCAAGCCGAGGAGCTCTCAAAATCTAAGGAAGGGAGCTACTAGCGAAGGGGCCAACTTTCGAAGCAGGTTGAAGAAGAAGCTGCGTCGGGAGATCGAACATCCAGGGCGTTCATGCAAGGGGATTCAAGGGTGCCAGACACTGACACTCGTCTGTGGATCTTGTCAAGCTTGGAAGGTAAATCATGCCTCCGTGGTGGGAACTCTAGGCCACGGGAGAGCCAACTAGCGATTGAGTTTTTCATCTCAAACCCGAAGCTCAATTGAGAAATGATTAAACAACTGTGTGTCGAATCCACGACGAAGTCCAACACGTTTCCTCCAAAGGCATTGATTGATGTGCGAATGTGCCATCACCACTTAAGAAAATGCGCAGACTTAGGTTGAGGGGTAGCTTCACAGCTTTTCAGAGCACCGAATCTTCATCGAAATCATAGAAGGGCCTTCCTTGCTTCTAACGCCAGGAATTGAGGGAGGTCGGTGGCGATCAGGGACATGCCGTAGCGCAAAGTCTGCCGGGATCTTCTTACTGTCCAAGAAGACCGATGTGGCCAAATCTCTCAATTAGATAGACCGAGGTGGGAAATTTTGTATCTTTTCACTAGAGTTTAGTGGTGTGGTACTTTTGGGAGTGATGCGCACTAACGCATGAAGCTCAGTGTGAAACGGGGATTTCGTTGTGTGACAGCCTGTTTCATCTTGGATTGGACGCAAATGACTAAAAGCCCAGACGGTTTTAGAAGGGAGACGGAGTGGAACCTCCAAGCAATAACTGAGAGAAAGAAAGACGGCGATTGGGAGTGGTTTGGGGTTAGTGAGTCCGAGGCGGCTGGAGAGCAATGAAAGCAAGCGTAGCAGTACTGCGTGTAGAGTACAGGTACAGAGCCAGGGGAGGAGAAGCATACAAAATCACGAAAGGTAAATGTAGCCGAAAGCCCTGACGTCTGAACCTCCGTCCACGACCAATGAGCGAGGCTATCCAGACGTCTGACCTACTAGGAATCCGCGATCACTAGATCGGATCTCCAGGACATCCCACGACTTTTACAGGGCCCCGATGATCCGAACACGTTCGCCATAGAGATCATCATCAAATTCCAAGAAGGCACGTAGGTAGTTACTCGACACGAAATGAAAGAGAGAAGCACAACCTCCACCATCCCTTGCAGGTTCTCATCACAACCCGGTCTCAAGGCGAGGTCCGGAGTCTTGACAGAAAGGAGAACTTGCAAAACAATGAGCTGTCGCCATCTCGCAAACCAGCCTTAAAAACATATCAAATTGGCAAAATGACGATGCTGTCTAACTTTCACGAAGTAATATCGGCCCTTTAGCACTGCGAGGCACATGCTTGTGTATCAAGCTTGAGCTGGAGCTCTAGTCTTGTCCCCACGTTACGGACGCAGCAGCTAGGAGCCAAAGCCATTTAGGGAACACCAATTTGACTCACTCCAGGCACTAAAGGTCCGGGGCCAGTCGATAGTTGAGGCATGTTACTGGAAAGAGTCCACGCGACGGAATAGTGCAACGCAGAAGAGAGGTACAGGTGTGCTGTCCCTGGGCAGAGAAAGACGCACCGTCCCGCAAGGTCTTGAAACGACAACAAGCAAAACAACAAAATGAAGCAATCGCCTCAAATGACCTCAGTTAGGCCTATCACTGCCGCCCACGCATCTCAACGTGTAAACGCCGAGCCTGTGCCACAAAGGCCACGAAGGCCTGTCACCACAAACATCGCGCCCTGTTTGGAATGATGTGATTCTGAGGTCGACGGGCCCATACCGTCCTTTCAGCAACGTTACCCATTTCCCAGCCTCACAACCGTGGCTGATGACGTGCGGTGCTCTGGACAGCAGTCCGACACTTCGTGTTGAGCAAGAGGGTTTCGAGATTAGACCTGGTCGTACGGAGATAAGTGTGAGATTGTCGTGGCCCGCCGCGTGTGTGTTCTCGTCGGGCGAGGCGATCCGAAGCACCGTGGTGCCTTGTGCCTTACCTGGGCCTTTTTGGTGTTCTATGGCCGATAATCTTGCGTTCATGAGATGTGGGAGTCCGATCTATAAAAGACCCAATTGATTCCTCTTTCGATGGCAGTTTCTTTTCTCAACAACAACAACCACAATCATCACAGATCAAACACTGAGGAAAACAATCAAGCAAGACGCTTAACTTAACTCCATCCATCCATTATAATGACTAAGGAAGTCCACGCCGAGGAGGGCGCACACCCCGCTACCCCCAGCTTCAAGCCTTTGGGGACCTTTAAGCACGAAGATTCTCATCCCAGCATCTCCACTTCGAGCGAGGCCCCCAAGGTCGGCGACATTCTCATCGAAGCCAAGTTCGCCAAGGTTAGTTAGGAATGAAAACATGCACTACCCACGATATAACCATCAACTAACAAGCATCCAGGGTGAGGTCCCGATCCTTCTGACCAAGGAATCCCACGATGACCTGTCCTATATCCTCAAGGCAATAGACTCGACGGGGCATGTGATTATCCTCCAGCCCAAGGAGGTAAGCTCTCCACTCGGGGCCACTTGATTCTCTCAACCGGAAACATGAACTGACAGATTCCCCAAATCAGGACGACGTCGCGTATGCATACGCTACCCACCCCTTTGAAAACCAGCGCCTCGTCGAGTCGCACCCTTATCTCCGTGTCATCGACCTCACCGACGACGCTGGTGATGTCGCTCTCGGCAATCGCGTGACGAGCCTCATCTCGCCGACGGAGATTCAGCTCGTCATTGACGAAGTCTATCGAGTGCTTAAGCCCGGTGGCCGTATTGCCCTGAGCGACCTTCTCCTCCGGAGGGAGCTCGACGAAGAAGCCAAGGGTGCTGTCCCAAGCCGTGAGTCGGGCCTTCGGAATGGAGTTTTAGTGAATCAGTTTGAGTCGGCTCTCCGGGCTGCTGGGTTCGAGGGTAAGTTTTTAAATAGAGGATCCTTGCCTCCCGATCCCATGAAAATGCATGGGAACTGACCAAGCTCGGTAGACATTTCAATTATCGATAAGAAGTCGGACGTCAACAAGATCCTGAGTGATGATGTCCCCGTAGTCAAGCCTGAGAGCAAGCATAGCAGGGACGATGACAAGGGCGGGCCGGGCCACCGCAAGGCCGGCAGGTTTACCAGGTCCCTCGCTATTCATGATGAGCCGGAAGAGAAGGCTGGCCCCGAGATTGACTGGAATGAGTGGGTTGGTTTCTTCCACATTTTTGCGAAGAAACCTAAGGCATAGACGACGATGTCAGTCTGGGACGACGGAGAGTTCTAGCAGATTGAAACAAAAAGGCAAGAAGATGGCACGGTCGGAGGAGAATTGAATTGAGGATGAAACGTGAGGGCAGTGGAAGAAATGAATTTAAAAAGAGAAAAATTAAACAGAAAGAAGAAGTCGAGTTCATTACCAAGAGACGCAAGAAAAAAAAAAAGTGATACGAAGTGAGAAAAAAGAAGGTTTTCTTCTGACCTAGGCAGGGATCGAACCTGCAATCTTTTGATTCGTAGTCAAACGCCTTGCCATTGGGCCACTAGGCCATTTCCTGTGTGGGAAGTTGCTTTTGCTTGTCCAACTCGGGTCTAAATGTCTACTGTACTCGATTAGTCACATTCACGAAGTACCCAAGTACCAGAATACCGGCTCTCTTTTGATCTGCCCCTGCCATCCTCAAGCATCACCAAGAATTCGACATAAACATCTTGATTCGTAAAGATTACAATAAAAGAACCCTCGCTGCCTTCCCCCAGATCTACATAACAGTAACCGTATACACATATCTCACACTCCCACCTACCACCCTAATCTCATGACTATCCGGCCACGGCCCCAACGAGTCGAACTGGCATAAAACATCCACCGATCCCAACACCTCATCAATCACGTACCTCCTCATCCCATTCTCCTTAGAGCTCCCGCCCCTCGGCAACGTCCCGCCGCAAGGATTCACCCTCATCGACCCCTCTACCCTCTCACACTCCGTGCCCCAGGGGATCTGATCCGCCGCCTTCGCATCCGTCCACATGTCCAAATACAAGTCTCCAACCTCCTTCAGCTTATCGCGGCCCACGCGATCCGCCTCAGGCACCTCGCTCCAGTCATGACCACTGATGTATTCCAGCGTCGTAGCCGCGTTGAAGAACAAATCCCCAGTCGTGGCAGCAATCGTGTCGATCTTGGAAATGCTTCCCGCCTCCCCTTCGCTCGCGTGCCAGATCTGCGTGGCAATGACGTACGGCCCCTTCGTCGAGATGAGCTGCGTGAAGCTGGCGCACTGCGTCGTGTCGACCGTCGTGCGGTTGTATTCTAGCGCGAGGGCCTTGCTGAGGAGGCCTGATGCGATGGAGCCGTCCTTGTTGTTCTCGACGTATGTGAAATCGTCGGCGAGTGCGAGTCCCGATGCGTCACCGGCGATTTGCGCCTCGATGTAGGTTTCCGCGGCGGCGAAGAGGGCTTCGCGGGTGCATTCGGCCGAGACAAGAGGGCGGAAGCCGGCGAGGGCCAAGACGCCGAGAGAAGCGGCGCTGAGCCTTGGCATCTTGAAATTGATGAACGTCCTTGGTAAGTCTGAGAAATCTCTCGCCAGTCCGGAACTGCACAGAGGAAGATCTACGCCACCATAGAAGAAGAGACGCAGTCCAACCCGATTTTGCAATGGCTTTTACGGTGGATATATACGACTAGGCACAAGCAGAGGAGCTGTGCGTGAGGGGTCACGGCGATACGCAAATGAATTCGCTATGGCAGAAATCGGTTCAATTATTCCAATTTTGCGGCAACGAACCCCGGATGTTGGTGCCGAAGCCATTGACCGGCGGCACTTAATACGTTTCCCTCCTCAATAGCCCTGTCCCTTATTATACCTGGACGTGATGAATATCCCACAGCTAAATTGCTTGCTCCCAGAAATAGAGAAAGGTGAGGGATGCAGGGTCCCAGGTGCCAGATGAGCTTTGAGCGTTTGTCGCGGTCTCCCGAGATGTCACTCCCAGCACTCACCAACATCACAATCTCTTCCCAGGACTGTTTAATCGGCTGTAAATTACTTTAAAAATCGACTAAGGAACGAATGTCTAAGCTCCAATCTGACAATGTAAACCAGACGCACGCAAGATGAATCAATCCCCTCTCCCAGTAACACTCCACATTTCTCACCAACCAAAGACACCCGAGCTCTCTATCGGTTGTTCTTCATCCTCATCTTCCACGAGTAATGCTCAAGTGTACTCTTCGCCAAAATTCTCATAGCAATAACATCATTCGAATCCGGTCCATCCTCAATAATGCCCGCCTGCACCGCCAAGTTCGCATACTTGACAGCCCTCTTCTGGTATCCCAAAGCGTTATAATTCAAAGCAAGAAGTTCATACATGTCGGAATACCGCACATTCAGCCCTTCCTCCTCGTACAACGAGAGCAGTCTCGCAAGCATTCCCGTCGTCACGCTTCGACTCTCGTAATCCCTCAACTTCTTCTCAATCTGCTCAATCTCAGCCAACCGTGCATCCGAGGCCGCAACATTAGCGAGATCCCCGTGACCCGTGCAACGCGAGCACGTGCAGGGCTTCCCGAGCCAGTCCTCGACGAGCCTCTGACGCTCGGCACGCTGCATGAGTGGGCTAAAGTACGCGATGGTGATTTCCTCACCCGGCTGGATTTTGCGAACGGCGGAAATGTGGTGGACGTAGGCCGCATCGATATGGAAGGCCGAGTTGGGCCCGCAGTGGTGGTGGACGTGGGCTAGGTCGGGGTAGCTGAAGAGGTTCTTTTCGTTGTCGTAGCCCTGGGGGCCGACCCAGTTGAGGCCGAGGTTATCCTCGAATGGTCGGCTCCTGACGAGCTCGATGAGGTTCTTAACCTCGCCGCCCTCCTCGAGCCGGCTGAGGAGCTGCTTCTTCGTCTCTTCGGGAAGAAGCTTCACAGCAGCCTCGAGAAGCCGCTCCTGATCCTCCTCGTCGACTTCTTCGTCGTCCATAAACTTTCTATGGACAATGAGCACGGGCTGGCTGACCAAGAGCTTCGTGCCCCTCTTAATCGTCGTGTTGGCGACGAGAACCTGACCACGTCCCGGAACCTCCTTTATCTCGTACGGAGGCGGAAACGCCGCGGGCTTCTCGTTAGGTGCAATGACGCCCAAAGCCCTGTCCATCTTCTTCAACCTTTCGAAGCTGGCGGGGGTGGTCACGGCCGCCACGCCCCTGCCGCCGCCGGCTCGGTGGCTCGCGTACACGCAGTAGTTTCCGTAGCATTCTTCCGGGGCGTACCAGCCGCCGGGGAGGTTGTCGGCCGGGAAGGTGTTTTTGACAATGTTGTTGACGGCGTCATTGCCTTCGAACTTGTACTGAGCTTCGTCAGCGGAGACGAAGTTGAAGGCGAGCTGTGACGCCGCCGTGAGGAGAAGGGTGGAGAAGAGGCGTGTCATTGTTTTTGGTGAGGGAAAGCTCCCTCTGACTACAATGGCGCACACAAGAGAGAGGGATTTGCGGGTAGTGGTGAGCTACCACCAAGGATTAAAGACTCCCAATCAACAATCCAGCCACGACCAGAGGCTTGGAAGTAAGAAGCCAATTGGAATCAAATCACCAGTCCTACACCTATAGAGATAGGTGAAGAGGAAGGCAAGGAGATGATGAGCTCAAGAAAGACAATTGAAAAAAATATTGACGGCTCGCGTCATAGAAAACAAAGCTCCGGGAGCTTCAGCATCGCCAATGCTTCATCCTGCAACGTGGCCTGTGGTAGCGACCATTTAATGCCTTTATCTATATTTTCTCTGTATTAATCGGCAGCGGGCTCGCTGGAGTCTTTTATTCGATACGTTCGATCTCTCTTTCAACTGCCTAAAATCTTTTGTTAGGTGTTTACTTCGGAGAACTCTGGGGTTCGGAACGGCAAACGAGTGTTAATATAAAAACCGGAATATACTCTAACACATCGTCAAACTTAAGCTTGTCACGGGTCAGGTCTCTTGACATGCCATTAAGGCCAGCTTTGCTTTCCCCGCGGTATCCCTCGCGGGGAAGGAGAGTATGAAGGGCGGTAACGAGTATAAATTGTGGCGAGCCCATGAGATGGCTGGTGGGCGACAGCGTTGGCCTCCGGGACGTACAGGCTATTTCGGATAAAATCCCCGGAGGCAGCTCTGGCCTTTTTGTTCAGGGAGCTGCATGGTACGCCCAGTAAGTGGTCAAGTCTGACGTTTACCAAAAAGACTACAGTGGCTTCAGCTTGGTTCAATTGAACAGTGAATGCCTCGAGTCATTGCAGTTGTGGCTTCTCGAGGCTACTTCAAGTAAGCGCGAGGTGGAAGGCGGGTGTAAGTGGAAACTCATCGGTCCATCGAGTTTTTTATGATGTTGATGGGCCGGTTTGAGACAATTCGATAGAACTGATTAATGATCGACTGATTTTCAAGTCTTTTGTTCCTTGATCCATTTAGATAAGGCCAAATCTAACTGTCAATTGAAGCTACCTCGATTCAAACACACAATCGAGTGGACCAGGCAAAGAGCAGCGGCCTCAATGAGCCGTCACATGGGTCAGCATGGAGGTCAAGGTCTAGGTGATCGCCTCACCGGCCCATTCCTCAATAGCATGGACTCTCTACCTATGGCCAAATGATCCGGCATCAACTATGCAAGTCGATCACTCCTAAATTCCTCGTCGAGGCCCCCAAGCCCAGTACTCCTCGTCTAAGCGTCGGGGATCATCTCCGTGCGTCGTCAAGTGAACTGCCTACGGCCATCTCAGAGAAAAAAAAGAGAGAGGGCTTGAAAATTTTTAAAATAGAATAACATAAAATCCGCCAAATTAAATTAAAATAAATCGGGATAGAATAAACTATAGTAGAGAGGCAACGGAGCTTCTTCAACAGTAGGGTCACAAAACATGCTGTAATTTTTTTTTCCCCTCTTCAGTAGTCTTGTCACATAAAATGAAATATCTTCTGCTGGTATAAATCTTGATTACCGACATCTACAGAATCTGTACGTCCGTCATGATAGTTTGATCGCTAGTGATCAGATGTAATAGTAGATATGCTTCCCAATGCTCCCAAAACGCAAACGCCGCCCTTATCCTCGACAAGGTTCAGGGAGGCTTCTCCTCCTAAGCATGAGAATCATCGCATGTCCCTGATACATACCAAGAAGAGACTTAAAAATTCAAACGAAAGAAAAAAGGGTATAATCCGTATCACAGATCCTCCTCATATCAAATACAGCCTCGCCAAGGAAAAAAAAATACACCTAGCACCGCCAAGTGAGATGTCTAATGCGTTGAAGAAAAGAAAAATTGTGTGTTTATAATAGGAGGGCGAGGCCGCACGCGACTCCCGCCGCCAGCGCCCCGGCGAATCCGGTCCCGTGGCGCGGTGAGGGCGGCGAGTCGCTGATGAGAGAAGAATCGATGCCGGCGGGTAGAGTAGGCGCTACGGCCTTGATGCGGACGTTGTTGACGACGGCGTCGCTTTTGTCTGTGAATACTTGTTCGGCGAATTGACATTGATCCATGATCACACCCATGGCTGAATTTCAAAATTAGTTTCAATCTTGAGGAAAGCAAGCAGAAAGGAAACCGGATGAAGAAAGCGAAACGACAGAAGAAGAAGAGGAACTTACACTCTGGCGCCCATCCGGCTTGTTGTATACAGCTCGTACACAGCCCAGAAACGAGGGCCACATCAAAACTCTTGTTATTGCAAACACAATCCCTCTCAGCATCCTCCACTTCCGTCTCTTGTTCCGCATATTCGTAAACATCCCCCATGTCAATCCCATCCGCCGCATTCCCTACCGCCAAAGGTGTAGACGTCGTCGTCGGAAACGCTAACCTCACACCCGTATCGTCGGCAGGCAACTCCAAATCACCACCGTCGGTGTCGTCCTCTGGTAAAACCATGGTCATCGTCGTCGTCATAACTTGTGAAGAGGGGTTATTACTCCCCGCCGCCGGCGTCGTTATTGCACTACCCGGGTTCACTGCTTGTGAAGGAGTCGCCGTGAGCGTAACTACCGTCGTGACAGTAACGACTCTCCCTCCCGTCGGCGTCCGTTCCGGCGCGGGCACCACAAGTCCGAATGCGTTCGTGACAAATTGCCGCTTCTCAATCTTTCGCCTCTTCAGTCTCCGCCGGAAACCTGGATGGGAGCCAACGTGGCAGATGTCTGTCAACTCGACTATGGGTCCGCATATCGTAGCGCATCCAAAAGGGATGTCGTCGGGCTCGACTTTGACCATTGGGTCTTGTGCGGTGGCCAGGGCGGCGAGGCCGGAGAGGAGGAGGGCGGTCTTTACGCTGCACATTCTTGTCGGAGAGGGGAGGAGAGCGAGAATGGGTGGTCGCTGCATGTAGAGATGGCGTCCAGGGAGATGGAGGCAGGAGAGGGGGAGAGGGACGAGGCGCGAAAGACCTGACGAGAAGAGGAGAGAAGGAAAAAAGAGAGGGGAAGGGAGAGAAAGGGAGAAAAGGAAGGAGGTGAGCCGCAACAGATACTCCCTCGTTTGCGGATCACAGATTTTCTTTCCCTTTGGCGAGAAAGTGGAAATGAGCGAGAGTAGGAGAAAAAAGAGCGGGTGATCGAAGACAGATCAAAGTGATCGTTCCCTTGGACCAGCTACGATCGTCTTCTCCATGAAGAGAGTGGAAGATCGACGAGCTAATGTGTAGAGGGAGATGATAATTAAGCAGGATACTCAGGAATGGGAAGATTTGCGAGGAGTGAGCGAGGACCTGCAGTGGATCAGCTCGCTCTCCACTGTTGTCTGGTTCGTGCTCTCACGCTCTCCCTCTCTCTGTCTCCTTTCGCCAAGATTGACCAAAGGAGGGGTTGCAGGTGGATGAGAATGTTCGGCGAAGGGGGTGTTTTGCTCTCTCAATCGTGGGCCGATTACCCTCATGAGCTACGACGATGTGGACGAGCCAGTCGGATCCAATGGGCAATACCACGCTCCCTTTTCCCCTTCTCCCCTACTCTTTTCCCATTTTCTCTTTGCTACTTTGCATTTTCGTCTAAGCTTGCCATCCGGGTCCACAAGGGGACAGAACTGATGCTGGTTTTGCTTTAACGCATTGGGATCCTGATCACCCTTTACCCTGGGCGCACACAGAGATGTGAAACACGATCATAGCCGGGAAGGGGACGAACTGTCTGGGCGCACCATTTGTGGCTAGTCTTGAGAGCGAAAAAAAGACGAAGCAAGGCAACGCGAGACGACGAGAGTAATAAAAATTGTGAGAGAGATTAGAAGTAATAGGATGTTCTCAAGGTGCACAAAACTAAAGCTGGAGAAGGCTAGAAATGGCCATCATGAGGCCGATCGGCTTACACGGATTTCTCGGAGTGGTCGCGATCTAGAGGCCCCGACCTAACCGGCGCAGCGGAAAGGCACAAAGACAAGGGGAGGCGGCATCGTCATCGCACAGCCCCCTGCCTCCGGGGCACAGTCCATCGAATCGGTATTAATGCAAGCACTTTCCAACTAGCAAAAAGGGCTTCACCACTGATGCTCGTCTAGGTTGCCTCTGGGGGCGTGTTCAATCTTCCCTGCGACGATGAAACGAAGGGGGACCGTGGGTGACTTCAATGGCTGGTTGCATGAGTAACCTGATCATACAAGTACTAACACTCGACAGGCATGTAGGAGTCTTCAGATGGCAAGAGAGCAAATAATGATTACCAGTGTTGCTAATGAAAATCCCGAAAATCTTCCTCGCGGCATGTTAATTAAGGAGCCCGATCTGAGGAAGTTTTTGCCCGCTTTTTTGTCGGAAATGACGAGAATTTCGGAAAGCCTAACCCTTTTCCGCAGGGCATCTGCATCCAGCTGTCAGCCACCTGATGTCCTGTGCTGGCTGGAAAGAGGTGAGGTTTTCCAGACATCATCAAGGCATGGTGAATATCAACAATTCCAAGTGTATTCAGTCCTATTATATATGAGTACGAGTCTACGGACTCTATAAAGCAAATGCGCGTCTAACCATCCAAGATGTAAATTCCGAAAGATTCAAAAGACCAAAACAATACCGTCCCAATGCACCCCTCCATCCCTCATCCCATCCCCCCATCCCCCAACCCTCATGAGCCTATCCCAGCCCTCTCGTTTACCCACATCACACGATCCTGCCCTAGAACGTCGCCCCCTCGGTTTCACTCCACCGGCCCTGCCTTCCAACACCCTCAACCCTCACTCCGAACTTAGCCAAGTGCCCGGCATCCACGACACCTCTGCCGTCGAAAACCCACTTCGGCTTCTTGAGGTGATACGAAATCTTAGCCCAGTCCAGCCTCTCCTTCGGACGGTATTCTCCCATATTCACGTTCCCAACTGCTGCTGCCCCTCCCTCTTGTTGCTGTTGGCGTGCGCAATCGGGACAGGTAGTGTCGCACGAGGGCTCGGCGTAAAACCTTCCGAGCGGGTCATCTTCAATGGCCGTGCCAGATTTGGCGAGGAACCATTGCAGAGTGAGGAGGTCGTTCTCCGAGACCTCGAGACATTCAAAGGGACGGGGGTCTTCCTTTTCCCTCTTGGCCTTGTTGGTCGCGGAATGGGAAGCGTGCCCAACTCGTCCGATCGGTAGACCTCGCGGAGAGGGTGTGGCCGAGGGGGGAGGAGGAGGAGTCGGTGTCTTGAACTCATCAAACTCCGTCGTGATGACGACGGCGTCGGCAAGGTAGCACGCCTCGTAGGCGTTTCCGTACACGGTAACGGGACCACCATTCTCCGCAAGCGTCTCGGGACCCAAGAGCTGCGTCATCTCATCTTTGATGACGAGCGGATTACAGGCCGGATCAAACACAGCGATCTCCCTAGGCCCTTCCTCGACGAGCGTCTTGATAATCTGCAATGCCGGACTCTCCCTCGTATCCGACGTATTCTTCTTAAAAGCGTAGCCCAAAATCGTAACCTTCTTCCCCCGTAACGTATTGCTCAAGCACCGAATGACTCTCCTCGCGAACCGATCCCTCTGGTACTCGTTCATCTTGACCACCTGCCTCCAATACTCGCCGACTTCGGGCAGACCCAACGATTCAGCGAGGTACACGAGGCTGAGGATGTCCTTCTTGAAGCAGCTGCCGCCGAACCCGATCCCCGCCCGGAGGAACTTGTCGCCTATCCTCCGATCCATGCCGATGCACTCGGCCACCTCGTCGACGTCGGCTCCCGTCCTCTCGCAGATGGCGCTGATGGAGTTGATGCTACTGATGCGCTGAGCCAACATAGAATTGGCCGCGAGCTTCGCCAGTTCGGAGGAGTATACGTTCGTCGTGACGATCTTGGATCGCGGGACCCAGGCCGCATAGATTTGGGCTAGCGCGTCGGCGGCGCAGCGACCTGAGGCGGTGGTCGAGGAGCCAATGATGACGCGGTCGGGGAAGAGGAGGTCTTTGACTGCCGTACCGGCGGCGAGGAATTCGGGGTTGGATAGGATTTCGAAATGCACGCCTGGTCGATGAGCGGCCATCTGGTTTTAAGTCAGTATTTGTCCTATGTCGCTATTTCCTTATGTCTTTTTCTTTTTCTCTTCTTTATTTTTTTTTCTTTTCAACTTACCGTCTCTTTAACGAGCTGCGCCGTCCTGCACGGCACAGTAGACTTCTCAACAATAATAGCCCCAGCCTTAGCATACCTCGCCACCTCCGCCGTAACTGCCTCAAAGGAAGCCATATCAGTCGCGCTCCCCGCCCCAATACCTCTCGACTTAGTCGGCGTATTCACGGCAATCATGACGAGATCAGCCTCGCCAATGGCGCCCGCCACGTCCGTCGAAAAGAAGAGGTTCGCGCTTCTCGCCGCCGCTGTCATGACGTCGGCGACGTGGTCGCACTGGCTCCCGCACTCGGACATATCTGTCGTCGTGATCGACACTTCGTCCGACAGGTCATCGTCGGAGCTGCCGTGGGAGACGGGGAGGTTGGAGAAGGCGATGTCGCGGGCACCGTCGCGCGCGACGCGGAGGATTTGTCGGAGGTTCGGCTCGTAAATGGGTGGGTGGCTGGAGTTCCAGCGTCGGATGCGGCCGGCGTCTTTGTCGACTACAGTAACGCGGATGCTGGGGTTTTGGAGGGCGATGACGGCGGCAGTTGGGCCTCCTACAGTTTCAGTGTAAGTTAGGTTGGCCCTTTCTCACAACATTGGCGTGGTGAGGGGTTGATGAGGGGAAATGCTACAACTTCGTGGTGAAAAGGGGTGTGGGCATACCAACGTATCCGGCACCAACGCAGCAAACGTTGCGGATCTGAATGGGTCGAATGTCTGCCTCGCGGACTCCGCGAGTATTGCGGCCAGAGTTCTGTTGCGAAACACTCAAAGATGCCATTGCGTCAACCTCGACCGTGTCCATGGCTCGAATCGCCTGGAGAACAGGGCTAAAGGTAAGACTTCCATCTGGCGTCGTCGGAGCAGTGGACTCATATTGGAGGAGACTCTCCTCAGAGTCTGCTGTAGATGTTGGCACACGATTCATCTTGTTATCTTGCGATCTAGAATATACCAAAAAGAGGGGAAGGAAAAAAGGAAAGAAAAAAAGAAGTTGCTCTTGTGCTCCTCCGTTGTGAGGGGAACAACCATGCAGCGATGAAAGGGGCTGTCTATAAACGAACGCACTTCTTCCGGGGAAACCTCGTTTCCCTATGCAAGGCTTCTTAATCAAGCAGTACAAAGAGGAGAGAGAGTAATGACTCGAAGAACTTTCGGAAAAGTCTACTTTCAACGGGCAACCCAGGTGACCGAGGTTACTGGTTATTCTTCACCGTAACTCTCCAAAAAGAATCACTTGCTTATCCAACAAGATAAAACAAGACGCGACCAGTTCCTCCACTTCTTGTTCCCCAGTCGCCACTGGCAAACACGTACAGGGGCCTATATAATTCCCCATGTGCACCAATGCCGGGGGAGTATTCGGCGGAGGAACCCGTGGGGACCAAGACAAAGCAGAAAAATAGGCGCTTGACCCGTGATAGTCACCGGGCTAGGTTGGGGCCGACATGTTTTTCCAAGGAAGTTAATCTCGTTGATATCTTACACTACGCTGCCCTCTTTTGGGGATCGGAGGGGGGAGACAACGTTGGCCTATCGTCGCTGCCCGTGGGGAGCAGCGTATCGGGACTGCGGTTTTATGACGTGCGAGGACCGGGGGCGCTTCGGCCGAGGTCGCTGTGTACAAAGATAGAGCACAGGAGCACAGGAGGATTGTGCCCTGCTCTGGAGAGGTGGGTAAGGGTTTCTTCTGTCGACCGGGCTAGATGTGGACTTGCACCAAGGGGCTCCCTGCCTGCATCCGACCTTGGATCTTGATTGTGCTACGAGGACCCTTACGTCTTATGCCTCGTAATAGATGGTCATGATGACACACCATCATCGAACCCAGACTGCCATCGTGACGGACGATGGCTGACGCCTCTTCAACACCAAACCCATCGTGGCGTTCTTATCTCCCAGTGTCAAGGGAGATAAAGTAGAGTACAAACCCGGAAGTCATACGCGATCCGCATGTACGAAGTAGACGTAGTGCTTCCCAGAACGTGAGAGATCGCCTGCGGAAAGAAAAGGATAAAAGAGATAAAAACGACAAAAAAAAAAAAGAAAAGAAAAGAAAAGAGAGGAAGAAAGTGAAGTCCATTTACCCAACCCCGCATCCACGAGGTCCAAACGATAAAAGCTTATTCGATAAACCCTGCGTTGCGACCTCCAACAGAGCTCCCCCAGGTTAAAAAGACCAACAGCGTGGGCCGAAGCGCAGGCCGGATTCGTCGGCGGGGAATTTCCGAATCCAGTAATTGGAGGACGAAGTGTGCCGCTGGCACCGTCTCTGATTCGTCCAACCGCACGACATCCCCAATGGCACGATCTGGTTTCTTTGTTCTTTTTTTCGCACGCGTGAGACAAAAGGGAAGAGATCAAGTGACGAGAGTTTCCCGATTTTTTCTTTCAAGATCAACTAATTAGTGGGACTTACGGCACTGGGACCATGTCCAGAGTCCTGCAAGGGTGCGATATGGAGATGATTCGATTGGATAGCCGAGTCGCCGGCCGGGCTATTCTTGGACAGACCAGGGTTCGGCGAGGCTTTCGTTATGGGCGCTAGGCGCGGCGGAACAAGGCCATGGGGCTGTTTGCGAGGGAAAAAAGAGGAAAGAGGAAAAAGAGAACGCGAAGAGCCCCGACGACCTCGAAGGTGGCGTTGCGTCACCGAGGATCGGAGGACCCCTCCCGCATTTTCATATCTCCGACCCCTCCTACATGCCCAGCCCCTCTTACCGCTTGAAGTTTGCGAATCCCCTCATAACTCTTGGTTGGAGATGTTTCGATAGCAAGAAAGGACAAAGCCTCAGAAGAGTGAGATCCTTCAACAGCAATCTTCACGCGGGCTGGGAACCAATTTACATCCATGTCAGAGACGATGATAGTCACCCGCGGGGAGGAACAACCACTCCTCCCCCACGACCTCAGCATGTTTCCTGAGTCCCTCAAGGGCAAGCGCATCCTTCTCTGCACAGAGTCCTTTGGGCCGGTCAACGGCGTCAGCAGAACGACGCTGATGCTGGTCAACCACCTACGCTCTCACGGCGCGCACGTCGCCGTGGTGGCTCCCCATAACCACACGAAGCACAACACGTTCGTCGCAAACAAATACGATGACGAGTCGCATATCGAGCTACGAATCCACGGATACCCCTTACCATTTAACCCGGAACTCTCCATCGTCTACCCAGTCCGGGTGTCGGCGCTCATCGCGAGGACCTTCGGCACAGATTCCCCGCCAGATCTGATATACCTGGCGTCGCCGGCGTCTCTAGGCTTCCAAATCATGCTGCAGATGAGGCAGCAGCCGACTGAGAGGCGTATCCCCATCATCTGCAACTTTCAGACGGATCTCGCGGGCTACTGCGCCATCCTCTTCCCGCGACCGCTGAGCGACGTTGCCGTCTACACCTTCGCGGCGGTGCAGAGCTATCTGTTCCGCCACCCTTCGGTCAGATCCATCCTGTACCCGTCGCGCTTCGTCCGCCGATACCTCGAAGCCCAGGGCGTGCAAAACGAAAAGCTCGACGTCCTCAGAAGAGGTGTCAACACCGAGCTCTTCGATCCCAGCCGAAGAAGCGAAACCCTTCGCCGCGAGATCGCGCCGGACGGGGAAATTATTCTCATCTGCGTATCGCGACTCGCCGGCGAAAAGGGCTTCGACTTCCTCGCACGCGCCGCCAAGTCGCTCGACGAGCGCGGTCTCAAATTCAAGCTTTACATCGTCGGCGGCAACCGAAACGTCGAGGTGGAGAAGGAAATCCACGGCATGTTTGAGCCGTTGGTGGAGAAGAATAAGGTCATCTTTGCGGGGTTCAAAGTCGGCGAGGAACTGGCGACGGCGTACGCGTCCGGTGACATTTTTCTCCACTGCTCCGTCACTGAAACCTTTGGACTCGTGGTGCTCGAGTCCATGGCTAGCGGGGTCCCAGTCATTGCGCGAGACGAGGGTGGGCCCAGCGACATCATCGAGCATGGCAAGTCCGGCTATCTCGTGCCACCCGCGGACCTGGAGCAGTTTGTGGACCGCGTCATGGAGGTTGCCAGCGGCGAGGGGCTTCGGCGGAGGCTGAGCGCGGAGAGTCGCAGGTTGGCGTGCGAAGCTACGTGGGAGAAGATCAACAACAAAGTGGCCTGGAAAATGGCCGACGCCATCCAGGAGCGACGGCGATTGTATACTGGCCTGAGACCCGCTCAGCTGGGCTTTGACGCGTGGAAGTCGTGGGTGGTTGATGCTCGCATCGGCGCAGGACTGTTGGTGATTCTCGTCTTTTGGTTCTTTACGGGTTTGTATGTGCTTTTCACGGAGGCTGGCATGTGGGTGCGGTCGTTGTCGGGGTTCGTCGTCAGCATAGCGAAGCGTCGTCTGTGATTTGGTGATTTGGCGGTGTGGGCTCTGCGCGATGGGGGGGTAATGATAGAATGATAATACCATTTTCTTTAGCTATGAAATCGCACATGGATTGTTTCTCTTCTCGACTGGCATATTCCGATTTCGTTGCTGCGTCATAATTGCGAAGCATCACAATAGCATAACTATTCATAAATATACTTGTACATTATATTGTACAGTTAAGATGAACAATTCTGATGCATAATTGTTTGTGAAGTTGCTGATTCATCAGTGTGGCAGTTTCTGTGGGCACAAACAATAAAATGTGGCTCGTTGTGGCTCGTGTTCCCAGCATGGGGCAGGTGCGAGTGGGCCAGGAGAAAAGAAACCGTCGGATCTGCGACAAGACTTGACCCAATCTGCGACAGAGGACGCCATGAAGTTTCATCCCCTCACTCGCCGTTGCAAAGCCTCAGGACTCTTGGAGACAACGAGCCCCGCGGCCTCGAATTTTTTCTTGAAGAAAAAAAAAAAAAAAAAAAAAAAGGCCAATTCATCGTCCGATTGTCTGCTCGATGGCTATCACGCGACGCTCGTCAATTTGATTATCTCTGGTCAAGCTGACTTCGCGAGCAGCGAATCGCCATTCATACCGCCAGGTCTGGTCGTTTAGGCCAGCGGCTCTACCCCAAAAGAAGTTTATCAAAAGATCTTTCACAGGCTGGTGGAGATTCCTTCGTAAAAGAGACGTGGAGTTGGTCTCCGCTCTCAAGACCCCTGAGCCAGTCGAATGAATTGTGTGTGGAATTATGGACCGGTTCCCTGCATGCTCAAAGCTTCTCGGCACGACCCCCTGAGGAGACGACCAATCAGCTCTGTCGCCTGGACCTCCCTGTTCGACGACCCGGACGCATCTCCAACACCGCTCGTTGCATCGCATGGCGATCCGACAGGGCCCTGTCCTCGCATTGAGGTTCTTCGAGGAGCAGTGGCCTGTTGCTGGTCGCCCGCCATCAACCCCTTGCTTCCTTGAGCCTCCCTTCGATTAGGTTTGCGCTAGGAGAATAGAGGGAGAATACCTTAATGCTAGGTACGAAATAGGTAAAAATTCCCCCTGACGGGTCCGATATCCCCAGATAATCTGTGAAGAATTCACTCGGCCCTCATCTCGGGCCTCCAAGATGGGACCAGGCCCACTGGTCTTTGCCTTCAGGCTTGCTTTCGTATCGCAAAGTAGTACGAAGGAGACATTCCCTTGTCCAACTTGAAGCACCCACAGCGCTTCGCCCTTGCATTTCGCAACATTCTCCCTGCTTACGTCTGCTCGACAAGGGCATTGTTAGAGTTTCTTCCTAGTTTATATGGAGACCCAGAATCCATCTGTATCATAACAGCAACTGCGTATAACCCCGGGTGGGTCCATGATTGTACGATTTTCCTCGCGTCACCTCGACATGAGATCTCCCTTGACCTAGACCACATTCGGGACCTGCTCTCCCCTTGTGTCTGGCGTCTCCCTTCCAAACTACCCCCCAATCTTCGTTTCTCTCCCGCATCTCGATTCTTCTTCCTCTCTTCCCTCCCCTCCATCTTCCATATGCCGAACCGTCGGTGAAGACATCTCCAACCCTTAGGTCCAAGCCTATCCTCCCTTCCACGGGCAGGTCCCACGACTCTCTTTTTCAATTCTAGATTCCTCCCTTGCGTATTTTCCTAGTTTGTTCGACGACGTATCTCCCGGGTCTTCGCCGGCCTGTCTTTCTTTCTCTCTTTCCCTATTTGTCTCCTAGACTTGCGATACCCCGAGATCTTCTCTCACGAAAGAAAAAGAGTCAAAGAGGAGGAGGAAGTGGTCCGGCATTTTACCTGTCTCCCCGAGGAGTTCGACTTCGATCATCTCTACTCGCGTTGCTATAATCGATTCGCCGCCGGACGGAAACGCCTTGCTTTCTCTGTAAATCTACCACCTGCATCTTTTCTTCGAACATTTTATCCATTTTTCTTTCGTCTTTCATCTCCAACCTAATATCCACAATGTTCTGGAACCTCGCCCTCACAACAGGCCTCCTGGCCTCCACAGCCTCCGCCTCCGCCGCCATGGGCGTCATGGCCATCACAAACGACGTCATCGCCCTCAGCTCGCGGGACGTCCTCGAGCGCAGTTACCTGGACGTCACCTCGGGCCACGGGCTCGTCAAGCGCCAGAACCAGCAGTTCGAGTCCAACGTCACCCTCCGGCCCGACGGCACCATCGACCTCGAGGCCTGGGACAAGGACACCGAGCGGGCGTGCCAGGATTCCCTCAAGAAGCTCCAGATCGCCACGAACCCCTCCGGTACCTGCATCTGCTATAACTTGCCCAGCCTCGACACGAACTCGGGCGTCTTCGAGGCCGATTTGAGGGTGTACAAGTTCAACGAGCCCAATGGTGCGTTTCAAGGCATTTCTCCGCAGCAGATTGGCGTTGGCTTAATGTATCTCGGGGCTTCGGTTTCGAGAGTGAATGCCGAGACGATGCAGAATTTGGCGAATGGTACAGGTCAGGCCGCGAACCGTAAGAGGCAGGATATTGTGTCACAGCCAGAGAATGCTCCTGATTTGGAGCTGCTTCAGCAGTATCTTCTTGTTGGTCAGATTGACAACGACAAGATGCGCAATGACCTCTCAATGTAGGTTATTTATTTTCTCACTTCTTTTTTGGACTATATTTGTTTACTAACAAGTCTAACAGGGCCGAACTCGAGGCGCTCGTCATGCCCATCCTTACCCTCACGGCCACAAACTCTTCGGGCCAAACTGTCTCCACAAACGTGTCCTCCAACGAAGCCGTCTTCGTCACGGGCGTCTTCTCCCGCGAGATCGTCATGTCCGACTTCGCCCTCGCCTCCCTTGCCGTCGAGATCAAGCGCGAGCAGCTCGCCAACAAGACCGTCGCCTTCGTCCTCCCAGGCGTCCAGCTCATGATTTACCCCATCGGCCTCATCATCACGTCTATTTGGCTTGTGCTCGGCGTAATTGCTTACGGTATTGGAACTTATGATCGGATACGCTATGCGGAGGCTTATAAGAGGAGGTCTGCAAGGGCGAACGGCGGTAGGCCTGGCATATAAGTGTTGTGGGTTGTCCGTGGGATGGTTCATGTGTTCTACGTCTGGGTGGAGGTGTTCAGACAGATTGACGAGAGAGATCCACCTGTTTCCTTTTCCAAACAGGATGGAAGGTTTTCGATGAGGAGAGGCAGGGAGTGAGCAGGGAAATCACTTCGCAAACGAGTATTCGCTTCTATTGATTGGAAGTAGAACCAGCAGAAAGTGTGGAACTTGTTCCCTTGAAGCTCCTCGGTGAGAGTAGCTTCACTTCTGTTCGCTTCCAGTTCGTACATAGTCCTATCCGATCCGTATTTTGCGCTATTTTATTTCTTTTCTTTCCTTATTCTTTTCATATTCCACCAGACCCTATTATTTGTAGCATAGAGAGCGAAAATCAAAACCAGCTTATGTCCGAATCTATCTCGGTGATATTCTTTCCTTGCCAAATGGCCCACCACGTGTGATAAAATAGCCTGACTTTTGCGTAGGGGTACAGAGCTTAAAAGCGCGTCATTTAATATTTTCGATATCAACACTCGGACGATCCGCCTTATCGGGCGAATTCAGATCTCAGATCTGAATGGGGGTCACTCGTCACCTTCTCTATTGAACATCGGTTCACACCACAAAGGGAAACAAAAAAGCTCACCAGAGCCTCACTCAGCCCACCGACATATCCTCACCGACATTCCACGATCCCACTTAAACTACACCGTCATTAGATCATCGTCGGAACACATTCCCTTTTCTATTAATCCTTTCTGCTTTCCCCTCAGCCGTAGCTATTCAGGAATGGGTAAATGGAGAAAAGTCGGATGATCGAGTGTCGCCATGAAACACTTCAATCCTCGGCCCAGTCGGCAGACCATCAGCACTAGGAAGACGGACGGCTAGTAGATTTGAAGGAGATTTGTTTACAAGAAACAAACTCCACTTTTTCGGTCCTTCGTAATAAATCGTGGAATAGTTACAAGAGTTTGAGGAAGGAAAGCCATGCACTTCCGCAACGGTCTCTTTATGAGAACGCTGTCCCAGCGCGGTGGTACGGTACCTTCACAGTGTCTGGATCCGGAATCGGCGTCTCAGGGCTAATCTTAGCCCGGACCTCTCGGCAGTATCATGCTACCGTCGCCCATTCCCACGGCATCAAAAGGGAAAGAAACCCATCAATGCGTTCTGAATACTACTACAGAGCATGAATCTAGCTTGGCGAGAGCATCAATTCAGTCCCAGAAACCTTGCTAGCCTAACAAGGCAGTAAAGGAGTGAACCATGCAGAAACCTAAAAGTTCCCCCCGCCTTTTATGCTTCTTTTCCTGTACAAGAGGGTGGGGGGAAACTGCCAAGGCGGACAGAAGGGAGGACCGACCGCCGGCATCTGCCAAGTAAAAAACGTTGAAATAGAACCAGTATTCGTTGGTTCTTGAAATGGAGGACTTGTAGTTCTCTGCGGCGGTTACCTGAGGTCTGGAAGAACAATAGAAAGACGCCATCAGTCTTGGAGTCTTGGTATTGGACTCACGTGGTGATGAGGTGATGCTACTACGAATGTATATCAGCGATTCTTACGCAAGATGGGGAAGCTAAATCGCCCGATAGCTCTCAAGGGATCTGCTCAGAGTGGGCAGGGATGGTCGAGCCCCCTCTTAACCTTCCTCACCCCCACCTCACCATCACCAACTTGAACTGGAAGCAACATACGAAGTACAAAAGCCCAACGTCATCATTCTTCGTTCGCGGATTTTTGCAATAAAAGGCCATTCTCGATGGCCCCTTGCACGAGCAAGACATCCAAGTTTCGGTCAAACAAGACGATATCAAAGCACAGCGAACATGGCTAGTAGTACTAGTAACCCCACACTAACGCGCTTCAAGGATGCGATGAAACATGTCTACGGGCCGTTCGAGGGCCTGTCGGTGGAGGAAGCTGGCAATTGGACCCCTCCCGATAAGCCTGGCGCCGGGGGTCATCGTGGACGGTATCTCTGGACCGATGCGTTCGGAGTCGTCAACTTTTTGACGCTGCATAAGGAGACGCAGGAAGCTGTCTACCTTGAGCTAGCTAAGTCACTTGTCCGCACTGTCCATGACGTTCTCGGTCGGACTCGCGACGGAACAGCCAGGCTCCCCGGTGCCACTGACGAGGCGCCTCTGAAAGGAGGATTGAGGATTGGGAAAATCGATGCTGGGGGTAGCGATGGAGATGGACAGTACCATCACTATCTGACTTTGTGGATGTTTGCGCTGAACAGACTTGCTGTTTGCACGAATGACGAGAAGTACAATAATCTCGCCATCCAATTGGCAAAGGCCATCCACCCGCATTTCGTGTACACGACGGTTTCGCGATCCCTCGCCATGGTGTGGAAGGTATCAATGGATCTCAAACACGTTCTCGTCGGCTCAGAGGGCCACCTGGACGCCGCCACAGGATATGTCGTCTACACTCTCCTCGACCAAACAGCGTCGCGGCTCAACCACTCTTTCGTCAACCATCAATTGGCGCAAGAGATCGAAGACTACCACCAGATCATGAATCGGAACGACAAGCGGACAATGTCGCCGAGCTCCGATACACTGGACCTAGGAATGGGCTTGTGGATGTGCCAGGTCGCCAGCAACGAGGAGTGGGCTAGGACCCTCGGCGAAGAGAGCCTGGCAATAGCTCATAGGCTGATGAACCCTGAGAGAGGATTCATCACCCGCAGTCCTAGGCGAAGGTTGGCATTTAGGGAGTTTGGCTTCTGCCTTGGAGTCCAATGTTTCGGTCGAGATAGACCTCTGCTGCAAAAAGTGGAGGAGCTGATTCAGTTTTGGACCGACAATGCCGACGAGTTCGCTGGAGGGGATCATAGTCCGATCTCGTGGGTCATGTATGCAGCTGCTTTGCAGCCCGGTGGTAAGTCATCGCCTCCCCTTGTCAAAGTAGCGGCGATACAGTGGTGCTAAACTTCTTTAGTCTTCTATGTGAAGCCTCCAGGCAGTCGGAGGGGCTCTTAGAGATATCCTTTACAAGTTGGGATACTTTCTCTAACGAGCTCGAAGCTATATCCATCCACTGTCCCAACTCCCGTTGTCAAGCAATATGTGAAAACCCCGGTATATCCGGCGTCACTATGGAATATGGTGGACGGCTCACGGAAAGGACGGCTCCCTTTGGGCCGTAAACCGTTCGATTTCTTCTCTTCCGGGCTCGGTCTTAGGATATTAAGGTGTCGGTGTACTCCGGTTGCTTACGTCTATTTTGATTCCGATTCTTCTGATTTGACAACGCTCTTTTCATCAGTCGCTGTTCGCGGTCGCTCTCTCTGAGGCTGATCACGACGAGGAGGCCGAACGGCTCTTGGTTTGATCTCTCTGTTCTCTCATGAGATTACTCGTTTTTAATGACTTCGCCCAGGTTATTGGATTGGGTGTATGTACGATAATTCTGTACGGATTTGCAAGAAAAGTTGGTAGTCTAATGGTCTCTCTGATAGCCTCTCTGGTATGGCCAATACAGTTGAGTTTCATGGTATTGATGGTTTTTGTCGGCCGATCAATTGAAGCTACCGAGCTGTGTGGTGTTCTATTGCTTTGTGATCGTGACTGCTACTGGGCACTGCTCGGTACAGATCCGATGCGGATCTCTCCTTCCGTCTGAGGCACAGGGCCACGAAGCAGGTACGTCCCTTTTCACGAGGAAAGTGCACTCGGGCATTTTGATCAGCTACCAAAAGTGTTCACTCTACTAGGGAAGGAACAACCCATTCCCTTGGAAAAGCCTTTGAATGTTTCGAAATCCCAAGCCGTGATACAGCAGCCCAATCAGATCTCATCCGATGTAAGCACCCTTCCTAGAGCTGATGGTATACACTCAACTATTCTTCTTCCTCTTCCGCCAATATCCCAAGCCAGATGACATCAATCGATCGCGCGTTCCGGCGATATCAAAGTGGTACGATGATTTGACCAAAATCCAAGTCTCGTCCTTCGCCCCAGAGTATTCGGAATCACTAATAACCTCCTTCCAATCGGGAATGGCCCCCTGAAATAAGTGGCGAGACAATTGAACAAGAACCTCAAACCACGCGGTAATAAAACAGGGACATGGCAGCTGCGCTGTATATTCTTTCAGATTGCGCACGCTTACGATTCCACTGGTACCCGGATATTGATGCCAAATTGACAGGTTTGTAACCTTCTTTGTACTCGACTCGTTTCGCTTTGATATCGGAATCGCGGCTCCACACCACCTCTTCTTACACCTCTTCTTATTATTCTCTTTCTTTCTCCCGGAGAAGTTTCCTCCTATTCTCGGCAACCGGCACACGCCAGATTTGAAGGCGGGACGGCCGCCCACTTTTGTCAAGCCTCGGAGGTGTATGACTGGGGGTTCGGACGGAAGAGATCGAGGCGGCCAGATGGCACCCGAGCTTGTCCCTTGTTGAAGATTAACAATCTCCGTGAAAAAGAGAGTCTTGGGACTTACCTCCGAGCCCTTGTAAGCTACAAAGAGATCATTGGAAACTGCCACTACCGCAGTCATACTACGAAGCTGTCTTCCTACGACTCTCGGGCTTCTTTCTCTGTGGATTGTATACCCAAGTACATCCCCCAGCTCCCAATTTCAGCGCCCGAAGTGCGGTGCCTGGAGGACATTCCGAACAACGCTATTGGACACGGCATCCTATTTGAATCGTCATGTTGCACCCATGCCCTACAATCCGGGGTGTGCAGGTGACGTCCCACAACCTTTTCTCCCCTCCCCCCCTCTTCCATCGCTGAGGGGCAAGGATGGACGCAAGTGACGCAGAGTTGGAGATTCTGCGGAGAAACGAGGCCAGACGGAAGTCTTCCATTACATATTCCCTCTTAACGGCAGGTGTGCGTCTCCCACGACTGCCGGCACGAACAACCAGCAATCTGGGTAAAGCGGGTGAATGACACCGACTTGATCGGCTCTTGATTGGGGCCATCCCCCCTAGATTTAACCGCCGCCAATCTTTAACCTTGTTTCCCCACAAACGAGGACGACTACGCGTTCATCTTCACTTGACATAGATTAAACTTGATATCAGAAAATTTGCAAGTTGGATTCTGATTCCTCGCTCCCAAGACCTCGACCCACGGGAGCATGGCACGAAACAGTGCCTGCAAAGTGGCAATAGCTATCAAGGATGAACGCACTTCAATATTCTCTACGGTCATATCTACACCCCGAAACTCATATTCGGCTGAGGCCTTAGCTCTTTGTACAGGACGCCACCACGCGAGAAGTTCGTTCCTTCTTGCCTTCAGCCAATAAGCCGGGAATGAATCGACGACGATGTACACTGCACTATAGGCGTCTTGTGTTATTTTGGATCTCGGGTTCTCGCTCTTTACAACCGCCGGACCTTTTGGGAGTATTGTTCCTAAAAGTCGCCCCAGCTCTCAGGCCCGTTCGGGTCCGGGTAATGAATGGAGAGTGAATAGTAAGAGACCAGGAGAAAGAGAGAGGTACACAAATGAACATGCGTCTGCCTCTTGGAAAGAGATGGTAGAATATGTAGAATATCCGAGAATATAGAAAGGCTCTCTGCGCCCAGAAAATTATATTCCCTCCCCTTTTAATCCTCCGTCTCCTTTCCAGTTCTTCACGGGCTGCTTTTGTTTCGTCGTATCAGTTTGTCGAGCGAACAAGTTTCTCTCTTTAACAGATATCGCGCACTGGTCTTCTCGCCTGTTTCCTCCCCCAGAAAGATGGAACTCAAGGCCATCCTTGCCGGTCTCCTGGCGACCGCTCCTCTGGCTTCGGCGCATCCCGGCCACGAGCGAGTCCACGCCCACGCTGCGAGGCCCCTGTTCGGTCGAGATCTCAACCATTGCAACAAGAGGTTCAAGGAGCCCGATTTCCACAAGCGATATGTTGAGAAGAACGGCGAGGAGTTTTTGAGACTCCGCCGTTCTCTCGGCATCGAGCCCTCGGACAGGTACGCGAAAATCAAACCCGGGGGAAACCGCGCCCGGCTTATGGCGGGCCAGTCTTTAGGGAAAACGGCATCCGGGGCTATAAGTAGAAGAAGGAAAATAAAAGCTAACATGATCGGGTACTCAGCCCCCCGATCCATAAGCGAGACTACCTCTCGGTCTCTCAAATCGATCACAAGCAGGACAAGACGGTGACGCTCGATATGGAGCCTGCTTCCCTCTTCGCCGATGCGGGAGCTTGCATTCTCATGCCGTCTGTTGACCAGGGCCCTCTATGTAAGTCCAGAATTTCAAAGTCCAGAGTTTGAAGCTATCCACGCAGCATCAATTTTGCCCCTCACTCCCGAGAAAAACAATTGATTCATCGTGTAATTTGGCCATAATTGAAAAACTGTGAGGCTAACAATAGTGTTTCCCCCATCTACTAGACGTTCTTGGCGAGGAGGTCCGAAAAGACATCACTGAAGGCCAGGCCGGTCTTAAGATGACCCTTGCCATTCAAGTCGTTGATGTCGATACTTGCGAGCCGGTTCCCAAGGCGTATCTCGACATTTGGAGCTCGAATTCCACTGTATGTCATGGATCAATTCGACGGCTGTTAGGTATCCCCATCAAGACTAACATCTGTACGCAACTCAGGGTACCTATGTCGGTGTCCAGGGCTACCCCGGAATGGGTGATCCCAACGATGCTGGCATGCTGAAGGGCACCACTCTCCGTGGTCTTCAGCTTACTGATGAAGACGGTATCGCCACTTTCAACACCCTTATGCCCGGTCACTACGAGGGCCGTGCTACCCATATTCATAGTAAGTTTCCAGGCTACAGGGAACCCTCGCAATCTTCCTTTCCTTTTTTTTATTTTTATTTTATTTATTTATTTATTTTTTTTTTTTAATTTGTCTCAAATATTAACATGCAAAACTCAGCCATCGTCTACCTCGACGCCGTGCTGCAGCCCAACAACACCATCACCGGAGGCCGCGCCGCCCACATCGGCCAACTCTACTTCGACCAGAGCCTCATCGCTGATGTTGAGGGCCTCACGCCCTACAACCAAAATACCATGCAAATCCTCCCTAACACCCGCGACACCCTCTTCATGATGGGCGCCAACGGCGACGACCCAATCCTGCGCTACGCCCTCGTCGGCGACAAGCTCGAGGACGGCCTCTACGCCTGGATTCGCTACGGTGTCAGGACTAGCAACGCCCTCCGCGTCAACCCCGCGGCCTACTGGACCGAGAACGGAGGTGTGATGAACCCTACTGGTCCCGTTGCCCTTTTGACTGGTGGTGGTGGCGGTTTCTTCGGCGGCGGCGGCGGCGGCGGCGGCGGCGGCTTCCCTGGATTCCCTGGATTCGGTGGTGGTGCTTTCCCGCGTATGGTGAGGAGGCTTTTTGGCCGTGGTGAGTAAGTTGGCGATGTTTGAGTGATGAGGACGGAGATGCCCAATACTGGAATATCGTTAGTGTCCTAAACTTGAGTCGATCTTTATTTTTACATTATTATTTGTCAAGATCCGGTTTTCTACTTTCTTGTGGATGTATTCAACTGTCATGGTGGGAGGGAACCGAGCATATATATATGTGCAAATTTGAATGATTGAATATTACACCAATTGAGTGATTGAGGGAGGATAGGGTAGGCTAGGATTGGATCGTGATGAAGCTTTATTCTCATGTAGAAATGCCCCCGGATTCGGTGCTTTGGACGTTGGATACTTAGATTGTCCTCAGCTTCCTCGTCAAGAGCATCTCCGCCACTCTCGAGGAACGAATCCCATGCTTCATGCCTCACCTTTATGACGAACTGCAGTAAAAGAGATTTTTAAAAAGAATTATTTAAAATTACCACTCGCTATTTCGATCATATAAAAAGAAGACATTTCTCAAATGGTATCCCCTACCGCATCACCCACATCAAAGTTCGTCCTTATCCGCGCGCTGCGCCTGCATGAGCTGCCTCTTCCCCTGCCTCTCCTCCCTCACCTTCTTCCTCTCCGCCCTCCTACCCATAGCATAGGCCCTCTCCCAAAACTGCCGCACCTGGCGTCCCTCCGCCGACTCGATGACGAAGCGGGCGTCGATCTCAAAAGACACGTCGCGCTTGCCGATGTCGCGGTCGGGGCGGGTGAGGGTTTGGGCCCATCCGAGGATGCCATCGCCGTCTACTTGCATGACGTACTTGGAAATATCTGTGAGTCTCTCTGTGAGAGTAGCGAGCTCCTCGTTAGCATCTCACACTATTTTCCTTTCTCTCCTTTCCTTTTTATTCCCTTCAGGTCTCATTCACTTACCTTCACACTTATGACCCTTGGCACCCTTCGCCACCCAAAGCGGCAAGAAGTCATAAATCTCCGCCGGCGCAAACATGAACAACTTATCCTCAACCTTCAACCCATCCAACTCCGCCTGCGGGGGAACCTTCCCCTCAGCGTTCCGCTTCCCCAGAACAGCCATGAACCGCTTCGCCATCATCTTTGGATCCTTCAGCTGCTCCTCGATCCAATTCCTCGCGAGCTCAGGAACGTCCTTGTACTCCATGAAGACGATCTCGCGCTCATCGCCCTTGAAGTTGACGCCCTGCCACGTGCCCGGGTAGGCCCTACTCGTGAAGAGGTGGCGGATAGTGCCGGCCCAGGGGGCCACGCCGGCCGGGGGAGCTTCGCCGAGGTCGGTGTATCTGTACTGTGTGGCGTTGAAGATGGCTTTTTCTTCGCAGGCGGTAGTGTAGCCGGTGAGCGGGGAGCCGTCGCCCGGGAAGGGGGAGGACCATTTGAAGGAGTCGACTGTGCCGGCGCGGACTACATCCCAGTGGTAGTGGCCTACGGAGACGGCGGCGGTGGCGAGAGAGGGGGTGAAGAAGGCAAAGAGGGTGGTGAGCTTCATTTTTTTTTTTCTTTCTGGACAGGGCTTTTTGGGACTAGAAAGGGTGATTTGTGTTATATATGAGATTTGGTGCTTGAATGGTATGTTCAGGATGGGGAGAGCCCTCGCTGGAGAAGAGGAATCGCCATCAAGATCTCAAGAATCCGCGAGGGAATGATCTCCGACGTGCTCCGAGGAGTCTTGAGATCCCCAAGTTTCAAAATCGAGAAAAGTGGCTTGAAAGGCGCGATGATTTATTTACTACTACGCCAAAGAATAAAATGGACAAGGAGACAGCCGTCTTCTGGTTTACGGGAGGAGGGGGGCAAGAGGGAGAAGCGAGCGACACAGGTGCCACTCGTAGCATTTAATCAATATATAACTCTCCGGGGTACGTCAATGAATGAACGAGGTCTATTCGGCTAAGGCGGGCTGGGGTTCGATATAGGGTACAGTCGAGAAGATTCGAAGGCTTTCATTGTTACTTGATGTTCTTCTGGCAGCGGCAGTTAATATAGGCTAATCGTGAGGAGAGCGAAACTCGACCAGAGCGGAACACGTGTTAAGTTTCTCGGAGGGGTGAGTGAGGGAGGCGAAATATTTGGATAGAGATGGATATATTTTATTATAGCTTATTGATTTATTCGGCGTTGCACAGTAATTCTGATTCTTCGGGGTGGTTTGAAGTGATGGTGATGTTGTCGGCGTAATGTCAAGGCGTGTAAGTTGATAACAAGAGGAGACCGACCCTGACTCGGGGAAGTGTAATACAACATCGTGCCATATGGGCATTACAAGGCTCGGAGAATAAATAGGGAAGCTCTGATTTTTACAAGACGCGAATGATATTTCTCGCCCTGTCCCGCTTGCTCGTGGAGCAGGGCGCTTGCAAGTTAGATCGAGTCGTAGAACTGAGTGACGGATGTATACGCAAGTGCCAGTGGCTAAAATGTAAATCAGATAAGGAGGAGGATGTATTCTATGATTTGCCGGCCGTGATCGTGTTCAATGCACATATTCTATATGCGTTGAAGGCCTTGAGGTCCACCAGGAGAATCCATCGGAGTCGACCCCGTTAAGCTGCGCCGATCACGGCTCTTCCTCCGCAGGCTGTTCTTCTTCAACCGGCGGCGCTTCCTCTCCTTCCTCCTCCTCTACTACCTCCTCCGGCGTATCAGGCTCGGCAGGCTCATCCACCACCCCCTCCTCATCCACAACACACTCATCATCTTCCTTGCTTCCTTCAGCAGGGGCCTCTTCCCCCGAGCCCTCTTCGATAGGAGCCTCCTCCTCAGGGGCTTCCTCGACGGGAGTCTCACCCTCTACCTCGCAAGGCTCAACGTCGAGCCTCAAAGCTGTGGCTAATACACTGCACACTCCGGATCCCTCATCATTCTCTCTCTCCAATAACACATCCACATGGATGTTCAGCTCGACCGACGAGTCACCGCACTTGCTAGCTTGCTCGGCGAAGGCCCCGCCTGCCTGGAACTCGAGCGGGAATTCGATGCCGACGGCGCTGCCGAGAAGGACTTGGTCCTCTGATAACTGTTTTTACATCCCCCAGAATGTTAACTTCCAGATACCCTTAAGTTGCGATTTATTTCCAGGGAAGAAGAGAAACAGAAGAGGAAAGTGGAAAATAAAATCCCTACCTCACTACCCTCTTCGCCAGTCCAGGAAGTACTCGTCCGTATCGTAGCCTGCACACCCTCGTCCATCCCCGCCCTCCCACCAACATTCACCTGCCTCAGCACAACCCTATGGCCCTTCTGAACTTCATTAAGCTCAATCGCGAGATTGCAATCCAAATGCGGCCTCTCGTCCTCGAGACCGATCGTCGCGTTGAACTCGATGAAGCCGAACTCGCCCGCCTCGACGAAAAGACCCCAGGAGTCCTCGGGACAGCCGGATCCGGTGCCGGAGATGTTGCCGATGGAGAAGGCGAGGCCTTGTTCTTGGAGGAGGGCCGGGGTGGCGAATAGGGCTGTTAGGAGGATAGGTCTGCGCATTTTTCGGTAATTTCCTTTCGGTGGACGAGTGGTATACTTGAGCTGGACTCGTGAGCCTCGAGAGATGGTTTCTCGGAGGAACTCCTGGATGCGCGAAGGTGATGGAGAGAAGACAAAAAAACGAATGACTGTAGCTTAATCCCTCGAGGAAGTAAAGAAAATCTACGGCTCTGTCTCTGGGCACAAGATCACCCTATAAGTGATATTCACCCTTCCATGGTCCATCTTCGGGTCCTTCTTCTGGGTCCCCCTTCGTCTAAGTGGGTTGGTCGCAATTTCGGGGAGCGGGCGGACGAGTGGGATATGTTCTACGAGGAGAAGATGGCAATATACTAGAGTTCCATTTCACCCGGATGAGATTGTTAGTGTGGAAAAAACTCAAAGTCTTGGTAGATATTGTCCTCGCTGTGGTCCTTGATGGGGAGAGCGGATGTTGGACTTTCCCCCAGCCTATTATTATATCCGGAAAGGCGTGGATAAAACCCCCGGAGGGAGATCCACTGCGGTTGCGATCTCGATATTTTGGAAAGGTAGCTTTTGTATAAAAAGTCTTGGCTGTGGATTGGAGAAGACGGCAGATATATTTATGAATGGATGGAAACGGGGAGACGACCGGTGTTTGATGCATGCGCTGATGAGGCTCGCCGGTTGTACCTGACTCTAAGTGATAACATGAATTTGATAGCAATCGATCTATTTTGGGTCAGGGAGCCTGGGTTATTGCCATTTTTGGTGTAGTGAATATCAATCTTGTCTTTTTCTTGTTCATTCCAGCTCCCATCTCGATCCAGTGTTCCCCGAAATTAAGTAGACTCCTCAGAATCTCGCTCCCACAGCTTCTTAACAAGATTCGTAAACCTCTCGGACACATCCTGAAGACTAACCCTCCTCTTCTCCTTCTCCTTCCCCTTCTTCATTTTAATCTCCTCACTCTCCCCCTCCTCCTCCTCATCAACAAACGGAGTCTTATCCCTATCCTCCACCTGCACACACTTTGGCCGCTCACAATCTATATCGGACCACCCCGACCTCGGCGCCAAAGTCAACTCCCTAGGGGGGCTCCAAGAAGCACGATTAAACCGCCTGTGGATTCCAGAGGAAAACGGGAAAACGTAGCTAGGAGCCTGAAGCTCCTGAGGGAGGTATTGGTGAAGACTCCTGGGAATGAAGGAGCGGTAGAGGGCTGTGTTTTCGGATCCGAGGGGGTCGCCGAAGGATGAGGAGGAGGGTACGCAGATGTGGCCTCTCGCCGCGCAGCTGTGGCAGGTCGTGAAGGAGTAGTCCGCTTTAAGGACTTGCGATTTCTTTAGCTTGGGCATGAAGAGGGGTTCTTCCTCCTTGGGAGGGCTGGACCCTCGGCGATGTTTGGTCCATTTTGGGTCTGGAGACATTTTGGGATTTATTTCTTCTTCTTTTAGAAACCGCTGTGGTTATGGTGCATGATACGAGAGATTATGGAAAGAGGTGATGATGGACATCTTGGGGGCACACGATGATGGTAATTAATGGGGTTGATGGCTACTCGAGTCTGGCTAACAAGCTGTTGCACATGCAATCCTCGACACCAGAGACTCACCAGGGTAGCTGGCCAACTGGTCATCGTGAAGACTTCATACCAACTATTCTAGAAGTTTATGAACTTGACAAAGGCTTCAGGGACCGAACAATGAACTAACACGGGCTAAGGGGACAAAGCAGACGGCTTGTATGAAACTCACACATTTACACATGCAGCTTAGAACAATACCAAACTAGTATCTTGTGAAAGTGCCTTCGCTGATTAAGCTGCAAGTTGGAAGAAATCCAAACATTGATGGTTACAAAGGCTGTAGCGATACTGGACTGTATCTGATTCTTGGAGTGTGTGCTCCCGGCTTGGGATTCTGCTGGATAGAGGGTGTTCCCTGGCGGGCTGCTACTGCGGTTGCCTTGCAGCCGCCGCCGTGTGCTCCTCTCCACGGGGCTTCTCGAGGACTCGACGGCTTTTTGCTGACGCTTGTCCTTCGCCTTTCTGGCCTGTGAATTGGGATTGTGGCGCCAAGTCATAGAATGTCCGTCTTTAGTCCATGTTGCCATTTCGAAGCCAGCCTTCACCAGAAGTGAACAAGATCACGGTAGACCTAACACGGAGTTGCTGGGAAGACAGACTGTGGTCTACACGGTCAATTTTGGTGTTTGTGTTCATCTTCATCCCGAGTACTTGACTGGACGGGAAGGCTTGATATTACAAGATATTGGCCTTCTTAAGGGAATCTTGGTTGTCCCTCTTGGTATCACACCTGGAAATCTCTTGGGGTGATCGTTATAGCTATCAATAATCCATAAAACGTGTCGCTTGGAAAGGAGCCCGGTCTCGAGTCTAATATTTGGGATTTATTCGGAATTAATGGTGATGGTGGTTTAGATGATCGATGGGGGGGGGGGGGGGGGGGGGGGGGGGGAAGGGAGTGTTATCTATCTTATTCTCCACGAATGGCACCAGGTCGCGGTGCGGTGAGAGAGTGGCGCGGGGGGAGGAATTCATTCCACTCGGCGGGCTCGTCACGCCCTAAAGTTTGTCAATTCCAGGAGAGGCTTCAGGAACTAAGGTGCTGATGCTTGTTTAGGAAGGAGAAAACACATTCTGGCTGATGAGAGCGTTCAAGAAAATAAATAAAAGCAAAGTTTTGTAACGCCGTCTATATGTCAATTATATTGTACAATGTTACATGTATGTGAACTAGGCTAGCATTTCCATAGAGATCTGGACTGGGAGAGTGGCGGACCGGTATGTCGGCTGGGGAGGTAAATGTAGAGCTTCTGGCCTGAGTGTAAGGCGGAGGAGTGAAAGACAAAGGAAACCATCTTGACCCGCGCATTGAAAATGCACGAAACCCAATTGGAGTCGTAGTGCAAACGAAAGCGGTGGAGACCCAGGAGATCCTCAATGCCGCACCTGTGTGGCAGCTTTCTGCCACCCAACTCCACCCGCAGGGCGCATCGTAGGGCGATTTGACAACTTCGACCTGGATACCCCACTTGGTTGGCTCCGCGTCTTATTAAAAGTAAAGAAGCGGACTCGCTCCTCAATCGAGCAAAAGGCCTTCCAGCAATCGCACGCATCCAAACAAAATGGAATCCGCAGGAGAACCATACACGGCCCATGCCCGGCGCGAAGGTTCGTTCCCTCGGACTCTGGCAAAAACGATAGTCGGACCCGAAAACTAATATCGCATAAAACACAGACGTCGGTATAATCCTCAGCCTCATTCAAGAACTCGCCGACTACGAGCACGAGTCCGACAGCGTCCTCGCCACCGAAGAGACGCTCCTCAACACCATCGCCTGGGCGCCATCGGGCGAAGTTACCAAGGGCCAGTCGACGGCAATCCTGCCCGAGACGGAGCCGGTGACCCCCGCGCGGCCGGCGAGATGCATCCTCGTGTACAGCCCCGAGGGCGTCGCCATGGGCATGGCGTTGTATTTCTACAACTACAGCACGTGGAGGTCGAAACCAGGCATTTACCTCGAGGACCTGTATGTGAGGCTGTCGGAGAGGAAGAAGGGGTATGGATCGATTCTGCTCAAGCGCTTGGCGAAGGAGGTCGTGGCTATGAACGGAGGGAGGTTGGAGTGGAGCGTCCTCAAGTGGAACGAGCCTAGCATCAAGTTTTATGAGTCGATTGGGGCTAAGAGGATGGATGAATGGGTTGGTATGCGAGTGGACGGAGATGCGCTGGTCAAGTTGGCGGAATAGTCGAAATCAAAAACAAGATCAAAAGACGCAAGACTTAATATGGGGGAAGGGGTAGTAGCTTCAGTCGTGATGGAATGGTCCGCTCGTGGAGGGGTTGTAGTCCTCTGCTTGCATGGGCGCCTGTTAATTTACCCCCATCTGCTTCAACATCTTGAAAGAAACTAGACAGCTCAGGAGACGCAACTGGGAGATCCGGCGTCAACTGCCCCCATTTCACACGGTCTTTAATGGCGTCTCCGGGCCGTCCGGTGAGAACAGGCGAGCTCTCAAAAATCCACCCACAAAGACGGCGCAGCCTTCGATTGGATACTCGCTTCGGTTTAGTAGGTTGTGGCTCATACGGCAGGCCTCTCGCCGAAGTTTTAAATCCCTGCCGTCGTTCTCTTTCGATACGTGATACGGGCATGCTAGCGTAGGGCTGCAGATAGGACCAAGACAGTTTCGGTATTTCTTCGTTGTGGGCAGATGCAACGGGTACGGCAACCGGGCGTCGAGGTGGTATTTGCAAGAGCGGGCCAATCTCGCTGTTGACGGCAATGCTGCGCAAAGTGTTCCATTCGCCGGCGCCGGTTGGCGGCATCACCTTGTCGGCGTTGCTCAGCCACCACGATTTAAGTCTCGACCTAAGCTCCCTCAAGGGCAACGGACGCCCCCAGATATTTTCCTTGGGTAATCCGCTCGTCGGCTCCCTCTTCGAGAAGGGGGGTTTACACCAAACCCTAGGACACGTGGCTTCGAACTGAGCAGCCTGGGTGCGCATGAAGGCTTGCAGGCTGACCATGTCCCAGCGATTGAGGAAGTTCTTCTTGTACTTCGTATCCATCCTGGCCCTATCGTATACCTCCCTGACCCTGGCTAGTGGATCGTGCTTTTTCTTCAAAGCCGCCGTCTCAGGCCCTGTGGGTGTAGGGCTGGCCAGAAAGCCCGGTTGCACAAGCCGGCTGAAGAGAGCCCGGCGAAGCTCTCCCTTTCTGCCAAAGGTACGGAGAAGCACGTTGTGCATTTGCTTCCGGTCTCCTGAGTTGGCCGCCTGGAGCTGTCGAAGCTGACGGCGTCCTTTGGTGATGTGATCCTGGGCACGAAGGTCCTCGAGCATATGCGCTCGGAACTGTTGCTTGATGCGGGCTGAAACGTATGAAGCACATATCGGCGGGAGATAGGAGGCTTCTCGGAGGAGATGCCTGTAGAGGTGCCTCGGTGACACGGAGTGTCTGGGCAAGTGTATCTGAGTAGCCGACATTATAGTAGATCTCGGGGCGTGGCAAGGAGGTCAACTCCGGCGGGCGTAATGGTTAGAAAATTTGTCGAGGTCAGTAGAGGGAGGCTATGTTCATCGTTCTGTGGGGAGGAGTGTTGACCTAATTGCATGCCTCAGAGAGTACCATGGAAACAGGAGGTGGAGACGTGTAGGGCGACGACGACGATGATCTCCCGCACTGAAACCGCAGAACGTTGTCGCCAACTCTGATATGCCTCAAGTCGGAAGATGCGAATGAGCTCTCCAAGTTCAAAGAGCTCCGACGACGAGAGTTGCTGACGTAAAGTTGAGGGAAGTACGGAGGTACCTTTAATTGTGCTTCGTGCTGGAGGCTTAAGACCCAAGATTAAGCGGACGCAGCCAATTTGTACAGGTACATTGTTTTCTAGATGCAATGTCGTGGACCTGGTAGCGGAAAAGCCTACTATAAAGTATTTGTACCTCATACGCGTCCATTCGCGCGGACCTGCCACGACCAGGCCTCAAAGCGAAAACGAAAACTGGGTCCATTGAGCGAAAATACTCGTACTAGTAGAGGATTCTCGCTTGGCGATTATTTTTGACATTTATTTTTCGACGCCTAGGAACTGGAAACAGGCTATCCATGGACCAGTTTTGAGCAAGTGGACAGAGTCTCAAGCCAGTGGAAGGAGAAGAGTTAATGCAGAATCTGAGGAAGGGTCACTGCACCTGCCGGCATATTGCTTCGTACTCCGTACTTGGGGTGGGGTGACGACTTGTCTACGGAGGTGAATTGTAGTGTACATTGCACGAAGTACTTCATGTTTGCAGGAAAGGACGACTGTCGTGAGGCCTCTGCAATCGAAGTGCAGCTGCCACTGTAAATCTGCCAGACTACTTCGCTGGTGGTGACTGCCCCAGCCAGTCAACTCCATGTCAATCAGTCAATCGCTCCTGCCGCTTAGCCCGCATCTCCAATCCACACACGGTCAAAGCTCAAAAGTCTCACGCGTCACGCCCTCAACACGTAAATCACGAAACGAACACGTCCTTGGTCAAAATCAATTAAACCCTTGATAACCCGTCTTTCCAGGTCTTGAGCTTGTCCAAAGCCTTGATCTCCACCTGCGAGGCTTTTTATCCCTGCAATTCCGAGAATCCTCGTGGTTCCATCTCATCACCAGGCCGACAGACTCTCTCTCCCACGTCTGCTGCCCCATCGTGAAGCGTTTTTCTTCTTCTGGGGCTGTTTCCTGTTCCTGCTCTCTCCCCCACTCTTTCACGGTAATTGTGCCATTTGCGAGACACGACCAAGCCGACGCTGCAGCTTCCGCAGCGCAAATTGGCCTTACGGCTCCGGGCTTCCTTCACCAAAACCCCCCCCCTTCGTTCTTGGTCTTGGGTTCTTCTTGATCTCGGTTCCATTCGAACATCGCCAGCAGTTCCTCTCAGCTCTTCTTCGCTCCTTTTTCCGCTGCCCTAACCACCACAAGCAACTCGGTGGCCCGTCGTTGCTTTGCTTTATCCTTTGTCGGCCTCGGATCCTGCCGGAACATCCCATTTCGATTTCCAGGAATTCGAACGGTTCGATCCATTCTTGCCTTAATTCTTCCGCATCCCATTTCACCCCGAACCAAACCAACAGAGGACCTTTGTCGCCGGGCATGAGCATGACACTCAAGAGGAACTAGTCGCCCACGAACCAAGAACCTTGCCGCCGACCAAAAAAGTCACCAATCTCGGGGAGCAACTCCCGACTTCTGGTTCCCCTGATTCTGCTCCCCGCCCCGATTCTTCACAGCTTCACCGTCACCATTCGCAATGGCGACAGCGTCTCAATCGCAACCGTCGTCGCAACAATCTTTCACTATGAGCCAGCAGTCGCAAGGTGCTGGCATGTACCGCTCATTTAATGATGCCAATTCCATGCTTGCGAACGATGCGCCGCAGATTTACTCGGTATGTTTTCGCCTGATTTTCCTGTTCCTCCATTCCCCGTTCCCCTTTTTTATTTTGCATTTAGCTACCGATCCTGAGAGAGCACGGCTACTCTGGCAGTAACAAATCGCCCTTATTTTCGTCGCTTTTGAATTGTCATTGACCATCTTACCATCTCCTTATTATAGGCCGTGTACTCGGGCGTCGATGTCTACGAGATGGAAGTCAACAACATCGCCGTTATGCGGCGCCGAAACGACAGCTGGTTGAACGCTACTCAGATTCTCAAAGTTGCCGGCGTCGACAAGGGAAAGCGCACCAAGATCCTCGAAAAGGAGATTCAAGCTACTGGCGAACATGAAAAGGTTCAGGGAGGTTACGGCAAATACCAGGGCACCTGGGTAAAGTTTGAGCGTGGTGTCGAGGTCTGCAAGCAGTATGGCGTGGAGGATCTGCTTCGGCCACTCCTTACTTATGACATGGGCCAGGATGGCGGTGTTGCCGGTCGTGGTGACCTCAATACCCCAACGAAGGAGCAAGCGATGGCGGCCATGAGGAAACGCATGTATAACGCGAATGCGAATGCGGAGAATCGAAACAACACCCTGCCCGGAACCTTCTTCAAGAACATTTCTAGCACCGCTTCGCATGCCGTCGCTGCTTTGAGCAAGGCCCGCTTCGAGTCACCCGGTGCTAAGAATAGGAACGGAGTACCGAGAGCGCCCAGTTTCAGCCGACAGACCTCGATGTCCCAAAACCCCGACGACGGCTTCCCGGGAAATTCGCAGCAGAGCTATACCTCCGAATACGGCCATGCTGTCGACTCGGCTTACTCTACCCAACAATCCGCTCACATGCTCGACCAGCCCGAGCCTCCTCGCAAGAGGCAGAGAGTAACTATGACACCTGCTGATAGCTTCGCCTACAACGGAAACGCCGATGCCCTTGCCAGCGCATTTCCCGGGTCCCCTACCGAGCCGAACGAGTCGTTCATCTACTCTCACGCTGGCATCCACGAACAGCCACACGACGGATTTAGCCCCCTTCCGCCACTGCCTTACGAGCTCTCGCCAGAGGCCGACCAGTGTAAGAGCACGTTATTAAGTCTCTTCTTAGACTCTGGCTCTTCCGAGCATACCAAATTCGACGATATTATCAAGGGCATGACCCCCCGCCAGCTGGATATGCCCATTGACAATCACAGCCATACTGTACTGCATTGGGCCGCCGCCCTATCGCGTCTCCCGCTTCTTCGAGCCCTCATCGCCGCTGGCGCGAGTCCCTACCGTGTGAACGCATCCGGCCATACCGCTCTTATGAGGGCCGTGACGGTTACCAACTCCATGGAACTCAACTCGTTCCCCGACCTCCTAGATGTTCTCGGCGGAACCTTGGAGATTCGCGACAACAAGGGCCGTACAGTTCTCCACCACATCGCGGTGACTAGTGCCGTGAAGGGTCGCAATGCGGCCAGCCGGTACTACCTGGAGAGTTTGCTAGAGTGGATTGTTCGACAGGGCAGCGTGCCTAGTAGCCAGCAGCCCGCAGCAACCAACGGTCTCAATGGTCTCAACGGCCATTCTAGCAGCGCCCCCCCGAGCTCGCAGCAACAGGCCCCCCCTAAGATGGGATTGGCGAGGTTCATGGCGGAAATCGTAAACACCAAGGATAACGCCGGTGATACCGCGCTCAACATTGCGGCCAAGAACGGAAACCGCAGCGTCATTTCGCAATTACTCGAGATCGGTGCTGATAACAAGATTGCCAACCGCTCGGGACTCTGCCCGCTTGATTTCGGCGTCGGCGTCGACGGTCCGACTGAGAATGGCATAAACGGTGATTCGGCCAATGATAATAGTAGGTTCATTGGCAGTTCTCAGAGGAGTAAGGAGAGTCGTGATGAAATTATTCATTGTGAGTACCCCCCCCCCCCCCCCCCCAAAAAAAAAAAAAAAAAAAAAAAAAAAAAACCACAGACACACACACACAAAGATCGGTTGATTTAGTGAATATTAACCATTGCCGTTCACAGCCATCTCACTTCTCCTGGATCAAACATCGGCCGAGTTCCAAAAAGGACTCAAGACGAAGCAAACCACACTCGACGGGCTCTACTCGTCCATACGTGCCACATCCAGCCAGCTCAGCGACACCCGAAAGAGGCTCGAAGCGCTGCGCGAGGCAGTGAGGCGACAACAACTCGCGAGGCAACAAGTCATCAACCTATCGCACGCCCGAGAAGACGAGCAAGGCCGGTTCGATCCCCGGTTAAAGGGCGCCGACGCTGTCTCCGCCTGGGAAACCGAACTCGGCGCCGCCCTCGAGACAGCCGCCGACAACACCTCGGCGAGCTACTTCCCGTCCGCGAATTTACTCCGCGCTAGGATCAAGGCCGTTTCCGGACGTAACGAGGCTACGCGCAAGATGGTCCAGGCCCTCAAGGGACGCAGTCGCGAAGTGGAGTTCAAGTATCGTCGCATCGTGTGTCTGTGCACGTCGGTGCCGGAGAACGATATTGACGCCGTTATTGACGGCCTGCTGAGAGCAGTTGAGAGTGAGAAGGGCGAGTTGGAGATTGGACGGGTGAGGCGGTTCCTCGGTGGTGTCGAGACCGGCCCGCTGAGGTGAAACAACCTCTCCAGTCCTTGATGAAATCAAAAGTTGTTCTTTCCATGCATGACGTGTGGAATGTTCCCACGAGATCGCCGTTGAGTTTCTTTCTCTGTTGTATTACCTTTTTTTTTTTTTCTTTTTTTTTTCTTGTTCTGGCGAGATACCATGGTGATGAGGGTGCGAGAGCTCCACAGCAATTGTGTGAGTGTTCTTTTTCTTCTTACATTTCGAGCATCATAAGGGGGGGACACTGGCGGCTATTTGATGTTTTATGTCTTTTTTTTCTTTTTCTTCCTCTTGGGTTTTGTTTATCGGCGCATCGCAAGATGTTTTAGTCTACCGCAGACGTCACCAGCATCACTGGGTTGTTTAGTTTTTCTTTCCCTTTGTCACGGCAAGTGCCACTTTTGTTGAAAGTTTTCTTTTCCTGTACGAGCATAATAAAGTCGAGGGAGACGGAGGGAAACTTGTTTTCTTGTTCGGAGACAGCTCATGTTGAGGCAAGTCGAGTACATAGAAGGATGGAGGTTAGGCTGAAAACTGTGAATAGCATGTCATGATTGACCTTTCAGTGCGTGTACCAAGATGTGAGAAGAATGCCGATGTGATGCCAGAAATTGCCAGGTAGGCAAGAAGCTTTTCGCTTTGAGGTAAAATGATAGATATGATTGATATGTTATACATGGTCTATACAATATGCCGTTGGATGTTGCTATGCCATACTAGTGATTCCCCTTTCGAGCCATGATGCCATGCGCCAATACGCCGATTATCCATAAAAAAAGCAGAAGAAAAGAAATAATTAATGCGGACAGAAAAGGCAAACTCGCCTCCATGTTATCTTCAACACCACAAAGTCAAACGTATAAAGTCCCTCCCTCCCCCAAACTTCAAGACACACTCCCCGAAGCATACAACCCCTGCCACCTCTCCTCGACAACCCCCACCAACCCGCCCACCCTCTCAATCTCTTCCTCCAACTCCTCCACATTCCTCGAAAGCGCCGCAACCTCCTCGAACCGCCTCGCGTCCCGCGCGGCATCCACCATGCGCCGCACCATGAACCGCTGCTCCTCGAGGACGATGAGGCGTTCGCGGAGGTCCTTCTCCTCGACCTCGAGGGCGGAGACGACGGTGCTCGTTTCGCTGATTTGGCTGGCCGTTTCGTGGTTGTTTTCGAGGGAGGGGGGTGGTGGTGCGCCGTTGCGGAGGGGGGAGGGGGAGAGGGTTTGTTGGGAGGAGGAGGAGGTGGAGGATTGTAGGAGGAGACGGGATTGGAGTTGGTGTCGGGGGGAGGATTGGTGACGCTGCTGGTGGTTGCGGAGCATCTGGGGGACGGATTTGAGGGGGAGCATGTTGGCGTGGAGAAAGGCGGAGGCGGATGCGTATACTGCTTTTTGCAGGCGGAGTTGTTGCTCCGAGGTTGTTTTTAGGTCTCGCATGCGGCGGGAGGCGAGGTCGTATTTCGCAAAGGAGTCGATGAGGCGTTTGCGGATCTTGGAGGCTTCTTTGATTTGTGCGTGGGTGGGCGGTTGTCGCGCGAGGGCGGAAGAGGAGGAGGAGTCTTCGGGTTGGAGGGTGAGGAGGACGCGTTGGAAGGCTTCCATGAGTTGTTGGATGCCGCGCTCGAATTGGCGGAGGGTCTCGTAGGCGCGTTGGTCGGGGGGTTTTATGGCGAGGGAGGCGGCGAAGTCGCGTTTGGTGAAGATGGTGCGGTTGCAGTCGCGGCAGAGGCGGATGTCTATGCTGAGTTGGCCTGGGGTGGCTTGCTTCTCGGTTGGGTTGTTCGAGGCTGTGAGGTCTCTTTGTTAGTGGTTGTGTGTACTCTGCGGACAATGAGAAGCCAAGGTGGGAGAGGAGGAGAAGAGTAATAAAACGTACGGGTTGATACATTCAGCCCTACTTCAGTCGAACAACCCGTCTGCGGATCCGCGCACACAACCCGGCCACACGTCCTGCAGTGATGTCTCCGGAACGTCCACGACCCAAAGTCCTGCTTGCAAAACGGACATTTCGCGACGGAAGCATCGTCCTCCCACGTCACCACGGACTGCTCCAGTAATTTCCGCGTTGAGTTCTGACCAGTAAGAGCAGTGACCGGCGACAAGAGTGTGTTGTTCCCGGCCGTGACGTTCTCCGGAGGGTTGGCTAGCAGGCGAGTCAACTTTGTTAGCCGCTTCTCTAGACGCGCCATTTCCAAGTTCTGCCGCTCCACCCTCTGCCTCCTCAGATCCGTAAACGCCCGGGTATGATCTATCAATGCACCGTCATGATCGTTATACCCTTCGCGGGACTTATAGCACGTTTCGCAAACCCGCGCCCAGAATCCCCTGACAGGTTCATGTTGCGCCGACCGAGACAGCTTCATCTGGTACATGGTATGCTCCTCGCAAAACAACCGGCCACATTTCCGGCAGTTTATGCTCCCATTCACGGCGCCGAGCCTGCGCCCGCACGTGGGGTCCGTACATAGATCGTCGATGGTCTGGTGCTGCCAGTGCTGCCTTGTGATGAGCTCGTCAGGGTCGACGGGGGAGGAGTCGGAGGGTCGTGGGCCGGAGTTGGAACCAGAGGGGATAGGTTCGGAGTCGTTGGATTCGAAGACGTCGAGGCCGCGCAGCTTTTGGTTTATTATGGATAGGGGCTGGAATTTTTTCGCTTTTCGGACTTGTTTGTCAAACCAGGTTTTTACTTCGTCTTGCTCGACTTCGGGGAGCTCTTGGTGGGAATCGTCGAGGTGTCTAGTGGTGGGGATCAGCCGTTAGTCTGAACAAATTCTGTCGTCTCAGAGGGTTTCTAAGCAGGGGAGCCGTACTGGTTGAGTTGTAGGAGTGTCACCTAATCGTCTAATGGTTAGTGTATCGTGCTACAGCCCCATGTTTCGCAAATGCCTAGATCAAGCAAGGACATACCATTTCCTCATTGCAGATGGGACATAGAAGCTTCTGAGAGCTCGACTCCGCAGTTCCCTGCCTACCAATACTTATATGCGTAGCGAGATCCTGGGAAAAGTCCGGAAGGCCGGTCGAGGGAGCAGGCGAGTTGTCGGAGGAATTATGGTCGAAGCTAGTATCAGAAGGGAGAGGACTCCCGACTCGTTGGAGCGAAGAGGCGGCCGAGGGGGCGTTCGCAGGCCTCGGTGGCGCCAGGCCCTTTCCGGAGCCAAGAATCCTCCCTCCACCTAGCCTGCGCCCAGACATGATGGAGACGTGAGGGGAGACGTTACGGAGAGGAGGGGGCCCGTGGTTGCCTGGTTCAGGTGATACCGGATGTGCTGGAGGCGAGTGGTTGAAGGGGAGGCGAAGGAAGAGAAAATCGGCTCCTAGGCGAGGAAAGGAAGAGCGAGCAGATGTTGCTCGTATGCGATCGTGGCGCGCAACATTGAGGGCTGCGAGGCAGACTGGTCGGAGGCTGACGGGCGGCAATGGACGGGGGTAGTACTGAGGGAGCAGACGAGGGAGGTCGTTACGTCGTGATCCAATGAATGTCGTCGGTGTGGCAGGGATCATGAGGTATTCCAGGCGTAACGGCATAACCCCGTTTGGAAGCTTTAATTAATGTGTAGTAACATATTTATCATTATACACGGGTAGTGAGCGTATTATTCAGCAAGACGAGCTTTCAGCCAAACGGGACAATCCTCACAGTGTCTAGGAGATGAGCTTGGACATGTCGCGTGCCCTTTACTAGGCCTAACCAGGAAATTTTGTCAAACGGCAGGTCGTCCCGCGTTTATTGCATTGAAGTGTTAAAATCGACAGCATAACAGCATAATTCTAGTCCTAGTGTAAAGAGCAATTTGTTTCTCTGAAGAGCATTCTTCTTTGTTGGTAACGGCTATAAAAGGTATGTCACAAAATATAGAGGCCTATAGTCTATCACACGCGGCTGGCTTGAGGCTGCAGCTCTTCCATCGCCATCTTCTCGCCCATGATCTGGTTGTCCCTCTCTTCTGCATCCTTGTTACCATGAAGCCCAATCCGATACCACGGCAGCTCGAAGAGTCGGTTCATACTCTCAAGGGAGCGGCCACTAGTCTCGGGCACGAAGAACCACACCCAAAGGCCTCCCACGAAGGTAACAGCAGCGAAACACCAAAAGGTTCCCTTGGGCGATATGCCACCGTCGTGGGGAGGGAGAAGCATGTTGGGGACGGCACGGGAGTTGCCGTACTGGTTGGCGAAATGCAGCGTCATGGCCCAGGACGTGGCCAAGGCACGGACTCGCAGAGGGAACAATTCCGCAGTGAGCAGATACTGCATTGAGTTCCAGCCGAGAGCCCAGCCGAAGCCAGAGATGTAGATCATGGCGATCGCGCCTTTGCTGGGGCCTTCAAACGAATGCGGCATTTCGTACTCATCGTCGACGCCGAGCCTAGGAGCGCTGGTGAAGAAGCTCGCAACGTAGACCATGGATATGGTCTGGAGGGTGATGCCTAGGAGTAGGGATCGCTTACGACCGATGACGTCGACGAGGAAGAGGGCGCAAGAAACAGCAGCGACGAGCTTGACGATGCCGAAGACAGCGGTAATCAGGAGACCTTCCTCCTCGCCCTCAACGCCTACTAGCGCGAAGAGGTCAGGGGCGTAGAGGGTGATGGAGCCGGCGCCGGACCATTGAGAAAGGAACTGGATGGAGGTGGTAAGGTAGAGGCGGTAGAGATTGCTCTTGTCGAGGAGCAGCTCCTTTAGTACGGCCGACCAGCTGGTTCCCCTGGTGGCCTCGAGCTCCTCGTCGAGCGCCGCCTGCATGACGGCAATGTTTCTAGTGATGTACTCCCCGTGGGGGTCTTGCTGGCGAAGGTAGCCTAGGACTCGCGCGGCCTCCTCCGGCTTACCCTGCTTGACGAAGAATCGAGGGGATTCGCACTGAAAGAAGCTGAGGATGAAGATAATGCCGGAGAACATTAGGTGCAGGCTACTAGGCACCATCCATGTGTCGTACGAGTCTGCACTTATGTGTCGAGAAGCTCCGTAGTTGGCGAAGAAGGCGAGGACGATACCCAGGTAGACGGCTCCAGTGAAGATGCAGGTGCAGAGGCCTCGAATGGCCGCTGGAGCAACCTCGGCGATGTATACCGGTCTGGAGAAAGTACGAGCAGAGAGAGGTTAGCTCGCATCGTGGCATGGGAGTGCGCGACGCAGGACAGGAAAGAGGCCAACGCACCCAACAACAGGCGTCTGGCCGACACCTATGCCGGCGATGAATCGGCCGGCATAGATGGCACCGAGACTGCCGCGAGCAGCACCGCCCATGAAGATGGCGATGCCAGCCGCCCAAGTCGCGCAAAGGATGCGGGTAGCCCAAAGACGACCGATGCGGTCACATATCGCGAAGGCGCTAGCTGTCGGTTAGCATACATGCCGACTGCGAATAGGGGGCATTGGAATCCCCTCACATCAGAGCACCAGCAACAGAGCCGATTTGGACCATGGCCGAGACGTTGGCCTTGATGTCGGCCCTCTCAGCATCCGAGTAGGAGTCATAGTTGATCCTGCTTTTGAAATCCTTAGTGTTGAATGCACCCGTGATAAGGCCCTCGTCGACACCTCTGGCCGCGCCGAGGATGCCGAAGGATACCACGGCGAACCAGAGACGCCAGTTAAAGCAGCCCTCCGGCTCGCCCAGGTTCTTCAACTTGAATACGTTGACGGGTTTCTTGACGCCGCCTGCCATGATGCTCAAGCGTCTGCCACTCGACGGTGGGAATTCGGGCGATATTTCGGGGTGGTTAAGAAACTGAATCTAAGAAAGGCGTACCGGGGCAGCATATACAAGTCACGGACGACGGGGTAAACAGACAGGTGATCAACAGATGAAGACCAAGGCGGGAAAACACCACAGCTCTCACAGCACCACCACCAGTTCTAGCCTTTATATACGCAGACGGGTGGCAGATCGTGACACTCTGGTGAGATGCGGAGAGCCTCCTTCTGCCCCAAGGAAACTACAAAGATCACCCTATGATTGCGGGGAAGTGCGGAGGCATCTCCATGTCAACTGTCGACTGTCGACTCCCATCCGGGTCACCGCAAAAGCAGCCACGGACGGGATCCCCACGATTGCGGCACGTGTCCGGGGAAGGGTAAGCTGTAAAAGGGCCGATTTAGCACACGCCCAAAGGGGGTCTGGGCTACTCACGCTCGGAGATCGAACGCCAGAGGTGCAGATGATTCGGAGAATGTGCAACATTCGGAGATACAGGTTCCCAGGAGACCAGGAGGAAGCAGAGGAGCCCGCTCCAAGGGGATATCCTTAACGTGATAAACCTGTTCATCGAGTCCGCCGGCGGTTTCAGCCACATCACGATGCTGCTAGGAGATATTGCGTAGCATCGCTCTGTCGGGATTGGCGTCCGAGTCGGGCGAAGGCAACCCGATCACATACTCTGATCTACGCATAAGCAGCAGGAAGATCCTGATCAGCATTACTCCGTACTTTTCCATTGGGCGTCGGGAACCATGCATCGGAGCATTTGGTTCCAACCAGTTCAAGAAGGTCACATTTCTGTCGGCGAGGCCCAGAAACCACCCCGTCGTTCACAGACATTTCGCAGCGCGTCGCATTTTGCCTGCATTCCCCCGCGCTTGACCTGTAAAGGTAGCTGGCAGTGTCCGCTGCAACCCTACATCGTCTGTTGGATGCAGCAGAGGGAAGGGATCGGCAATTTATATCATTAGCCGCCCCAATCTTGTCGACGACCCCAGGTTTACGGCGTATGCGGGCGGTAAAGTTCTCATCCGGTAGAAGCTGATTCGGTGAGCATGAGAAACACAGGATTATCTCCGATATTCCGCGACAGCCCGATATCGAATTGCTCGTCTCTCGGAGACCGCAGTGCCGGGAATAATCTTCTTTACTTGATCCGAAGTTACCTCAGTCTAGCCTCAGCAATTCGACATCTTGAATTTCTGTAGCTTTTAGCTAAGGAACGTTACTCGGCATGCTCGTCGCCGCCTGGGGAAAAACACCTGCTTCGCACTACAAGAAAGCAAGAACAGGGGAAATCCCGTGTCTCGCGGGGGCGTCACGGACCTCTATTCCCTATGCCCGAAGAGGATAGGGCCCCCCTCCAAGATTGTCCGATCGAAGGCCCCACAAGGACATTCTCCACACGCCGATATTTAAGGCTGATCCAGTGCGCTACTTCGTATTCCTTGGACGCTTTAAGCTCAACGGCAAGGAGAAGATGTTGGGAAATATTTCTTGTTGCTCGACACATTTTAAGGGCTGATTACCTGTGTATAAAAAGTTGCATTAGATCAGGCGCTTGAAAACACAAAGTTAAAAAGAATCGCAGCACAGAAACCTGAAAATGCCGGACGACACAGACCGCGACTCCAAAATCTACGTGGACGCCTCTGAAGCCCGCCGCTTCGTGGAATCTGTTCTCCAAGGCAACGGAGTTCGAGCCGAAAATGCGGCCATTGTAGCTCGGTGCTTGGTGGCAGCCGACCTCCGCGGTGTCGACACGCATGGGTAACTTACGCCCCCCCAGACTCTGTGCCAACCCCGGATAGGGCCTCCTCTAATGAATGGCAGGATGAACCGGATTCCCTCCTACATGGAGCGCGTTCGCCAAGGTGTCCTGGATGCCAAGGCTGAGCCAACAGTCCGCCAAATCACGCCAGTGGTTGCCCACGTTGATGGCTGCAATGGCTTCGGCTTCCTGGCAGCCCAGAAAGGAATGGAGGCGGCGATAGAGTCTGCTCGCACTTACGGGATTGGCATGGCTAGTGTGGCCCATTCAAACCACTTTGGCATGAGTGCGTGGGTCGTCCAACAAGCTCTCGACGCCGGCATGCTGAGTCTCGTGTTTACCAACTCGAGCCCAGCGCTTCCCGTTTGGGGCGGCAAGAGTAAGCTTATGGGTGTTTCGCCGATTGCTTGTGGCGCCCCCGGAGGTTCTGGCGAGGGAGATAAGCCTTTCATTCTCGACATGGCTCCATCTGTCGCGGCAAGAGGGAAGATCTACAAGGCTCTTCGCCGTGGCGAGAAGATTCCCATGGACTGGGCGCTCGATGCCGAGGGCCGGCCCACAGATGATCCAGCTGCTGCGCTGGGCGGCGTAATGCTTCCGATGGGTGGCCCGAAGGGGTCAGCGTTGAGTATCATGATGGACGTGTTCTCGGGCGTGCTCTCCGGATCAGCGTACGCTGGGCATGTCACAAACCCGTATGACCCATCCAAGCCGGCAGATGTAGGCCACATGGTCGTTGCTATCCGACCTGACCTCTTCATGTCTGCCGATGAGTTCAGACAAAGGATGCAGTATCTTTACGAACGCGTGACCGATTCGGAGAAGGCGGCGGGAGTTGACCGAATCTACTTCCCGGGAGAAATCGAGCAACTAACGGAGATGGAGCGGAAAAGGACAGGAATTCCACTTGTACAGGCCGAGATTGACTCTTTGAACGCCGAGGCAGCCAAGGTGGGTGTGAAGGAGATAACCACCGGGGTCGGTTCAGCGACAAAGTAGCACATGCAACAGCAATCTTAAGGAATTTAAGTATATAAAATAGTCTATACTATATAATTTTTTAGATCTCCCACATTCTTTAGCTCCTCAGTAAGTTTAAGCAATTATACGGGTCTCTATAATACCCCATTTCTCCATCAGGAAGGCAAGCAGTTGAGAACGGACTGTGGTCTCGCCATCACCGAACAAGACAAAATGACATCTCCTGGCTGAAGAAGATCTTCTCTTCTCCCCAAAGAGCCACGAAACGATGAGCCTGGCAGGGCTTCGGCCTGCTGTCCCGTCTGCCTAGGCTCCTTATTCTTAATGAAAGTCTCTTTGATGCATACCCGGACCTTGTACTTCGTACTAGTGTGGCTTACCGTTCACACGCCACACCCGAGACAGCCACCAGTTAAAGACCTGGGAGACCGTGGCGATCCGATCATAAATAGGCAGTGTCAAAGGGTGGGGTGCTTCCAGCTGGCTGGGAACCTCGCTTTTATGAAGCGGGCGGACCAAGTTTATCTATGCGTCGGGGAGGGACCCGAGTGAGCATAATAATAGTGAAGAGGGCGCCAAATCACACAATTCGTGAATGATGAGATGTTCTAGACCAAGGACAGGACGTGATCGCAGCCCCTTCCAACCGCCACGAAGCGCTCCTTCCCCCAGAAGCACAGTCAGGAGCACTGTATTGCACTAACTATACACTGTAAATTTACAGTGTTAAGTGTGCATTTACACAGTCAAGAGCTTGCCAATCTCGAATTTCAGGAATCGGGCATCTCAACCACCTTTTTAAGCCCTCAAGCTCCATGCTCACGCGATACCCCCTATCTGCTTCATTTCATCCCATAGAGATTTGACCCTTTTATCTAATTTTTTTTAATATTCCTGGATCGTTCGTTATATTACGACGCCAATATACTCGTCGATCTCGCAAAACACAATCCAAATCCTCCTCGCACGTCGTTCATACCTGAACAGAATTGACTCAACTGGAACTTGTTCGAGCTCGGCCCAGCTCTTTGTTGTATCATTCTTCATCTCCTACATAGTGCGTTCAAATCCTTGGACGCAAGGTTCTATTTCTTTATCTCCCGAACCCCATGGCATCCCGAAAGTCTCAGTTCCCCCAAGTGCAGCCAGGAGGTAGCCTCATCCTTGCCTGGCAAGCCAAAGGCAAGCACATTCTGGTTGTTGGCGGTGGAGAGGTAAGCAAACGACAGAGCTGCATGCGACGCATGCGGCCTCCAATTCATAACGTGTCTCTGCTTAAAACTTGCCCAGAGTCTAAACGTGTTCCCCAGGTAGCCGCTGGACGTATCCTACACTGCCTCAACGCCGACGCCATCGTAACGGTTGTATGTCCCAGCGCTGGACTCAACGCGGAAGTGGCATTCCGCGTAGCGGAGGGCCAGGTTAAGCACGTAGGACGGAACTTTGAGCCCTCGGACCTGGACAGCGTGGACATGGTGCTCGTGGCAATCGATGATCCGGCAGCGTCCACGGCCATCTGGAAGTTATGCAAGGAGCGTCGCATCCCAGCAAACATTGCCGACGTTCCTCCAGAGTGTGACTTCTTCTTCGGGAGTGTTCATCGTGACGGCCCTCTACAGATCATGGTTAGCACCAATGGTAGGGGCCCAAGGCTAGCGGCTTTGATACGGAGATTGATCGCCAAATCTCTCCCCGACAATGCTGGAAATGCTATCGAGGCCATCGGTGTGCTTCGGACAAAGCTTCGATCCATTGCACCTGCGCCTGCAGAAAGTCAGAAGAGAATGGCTTGGTTAGTTCGCCGAGTTCCTAGCCCCCTGGCCCCGTTTACTAACGCTCCTTGTGTGTATCCAGGATGACGAAAGTCAGTGACACCTACTCGTGGGAAGAAATGTGCCAACTTACAGAGGACGACATGGATGTCCTCTTGCGGTATTACCCCGAGAACAAGGTGCCCACCTTTGACGAAATCAGAGCCGCCCAAGGGTTCCCTGAACAACAAAGACTCGACCTCTTCGACGGCTCGTTCGGCTTCAGTGTCGGGGCATGAACGACGCTCCTCCATGTGCGCTTGCGGTAAGATCTGGTATGCCGGCTTCAGTCGCTCTCGTCCTCGGGAGACAAAGGGCCCCCGAACACCCAATTCCCCGGTCTTTTCACAGCACTACGGGCCCATCAATGAAACTATGGTAGTCCCAATGCCATGTCCACAATCCCCTTCATCGTCACCCTCAATCTCCTTTACCCTCTAGAAAGAAACATTTCTCCTCTTACTCTTACTGCCTCACACGAAGATAAGCTCGGGTATTTGTGCTTTTGTCCCTATCAATCCTCGGGGGGCGTTATCGTTATTCATGTACGCAAATTCATTCATATAGATTGTCCTCTCATGATATCCTAGTGCACAGCAGAATAGATCCGCGAGTCTGACACTACGCTGCATTCCATTTCCCTCTTTTCCATCGATCTATCTACGCCTCCGCCGAAATCAGCCGGTTTTGCTTCATTTCTTTTTTTTTTTTTTTTTTTTTTTTTTTTTCATAGTTCTTATTAACCCCCTAGTTAAATTTGTCTCTCAAAACGAGGAGGGGATTCTCCTTGGTTTTATCCTTGATTCCCGCGGACACCACCATCTTGGACATTGCCGTCCATTATCCTCGTCCGAACTGCCGACGAATACTCAGGACTCGGCCTTTCTAAAGTGTACCAAAAATTGGGAGCACGATGGGGACTCCTCAGCAGAATATTCTTGACAATTCCACCGTCCTTGGGGAAAGATTCGGCATTGGCGAGAATGTAATATACGACGAGGAGCTCTGTGACGTGCCGTATGAACCTTCGGCGACTTTTCGTAATATATGCTGGGCTCCCACGGGGACTGACACAGATCCCCTAGCATACTCTTACGGGCCCGAGAGAGAGTACCTGATCCCTAAACCCGGAAGACCCAAAGGGCTTCTCGGCCTACTGCCTGATCAGTACACAACTAAGTGGCCTAAGCCAGGTCATCTCTTTCGAGGTGTCGGCGAGAATGACCTCAAGAATAAGCCCTTCGCGGCTGACAACTTCACGCCGAACAATGCCCCGATCGATCACTACAAGACTCCCTTCGAACATGTTGTCACGAACGTGAATCAGTGGTATATTTCCATGAGGGAGATGACTCGCGGTCGTTTAATGGCCATGAAAGATGCCATCGAGAACCTCCCCACCGAGCAAACAACCGCCCAAGATCGTCAGGGGCCCGAGTCCGAAACTACCCTCCATGAGCTGTTGACTGCCTCCTGGACTGAAACGATGAAGACAGCAGCCGATTTCAAGAGAAAAAACCCGCCACCTATGCCTAGAGATGCAGTAGCTGATGTCCACCATTTCGAGACTGAATTTCGGAAAATAGATCCGTTTCCACCCGAGAATCCTGCTCACCCTGACCTCAGTCCGTTGTCCCTCCATGACAAGGTTCACCTCTTCCACCAAAGACTAGGCGACCAAGAAGGCCGCATCCTCCGATCAGGACAGCCTCTAATCCCAAGGTTGGATCCAAAGAAACATCACATCGATTACGACAAGTGGACGGAGGATGTTGCTCATCTCTACCTTGTGCCTCACATTAACTTGCAAGAGCTCAGTGACCCAACTCGGCTCATGCAGTTCATATACAGCCGGACCACCGTCGCTCCAATACATTTCATGCAGCAGGACTTCCAGTCGACGCATCTCGGCCGAGCCTTGCGTATCCTTACGGGCCCTTTCTCCCTCCATTGTGTCCATTGGGAGGTACCCCAGGATGGTGACCTCGCCGATCATACAGACGTCAAGTTGAACTTTATGAACTACGGGTTCGGGAATGTCACAAAGCTGAAGCTCAAGGGCGAATCTCCCAACATGCTCTACGTCGGGGATGCCTGGGTTACGCTCAAGGCGCAGGAGGTGACGTATAGGTTTCTTCGCAAATTCTGCATAAAGCTGCTAGGGCAAATGAAAGTCGGGGTGAGGGGGTTCAAAGTCCTCAAGCAACCAGAAATCGCTATCAAAGACAAAAAAACACTCTTAGAAGATTCCAGAGCGGCAAAAGCGGAGTTTTCTTTGGGCGCAAAGGATCCCAGCCCGACTGCCATGCTCGCTTCGGCACCATTCCATAATCATCTGCAGAGGGTTGAGGATGCCGGCCACGACCCGACGAAGATTCTTCGCGAATCGCTGTCCTCGCAGCTCGATAGCGCTACAGATCATCTGGTATCCCTCATCAAAGAGCCAGAATACTTCCACATGCGTATGCAGGAGGAGTACGACCAGAACTATCTGCATCTTTATCCGCCCTATTTGCATGGCGATGAGATGAGATGGGATGTCTTCATCGACCTCTTGAGGAACGTCTTCCGGAGGCCACTGACGGAAATGACTCTGCTTGACTACGTCGATGATGCGCGAAAGGACCTGGAGGAATCCGAGAGGCAATACCGAAAGTATAATTTGCCAACGAGGATAAGCATGGAAACCGCGTTTCGTGTAAGAAAGCAGACAGAGGATAAGATCCCAGAAAGAGTGTACAAGTCCGGGATTTCCCACCGGCTTGAAGACTTCTTATGCGAAATCGAAGCAGGGCGGTTACCAGAGCAATTAAGAGACTTAGACTTCATTCCAGATTTTTGGGAATGGGAAAAAGCCCAGCATCAGCCGGAATACTACTTGTCTGGAGCGAGAAAGAGCAGGTCACTCAGAGTGCAGGTCAGAGGAATGCTCGCCTGCATGCACTACATCATCATGATAACTAGGAAGTGCCCCGTAGCGTCGACGCCCGCGATGAGAAGGTACTATAAGAAGCAACCGAATCTGAAGAAGCACACTGGCCCAATGGGAAGCGTAATCACTCCGCGACTGCGACGTGCGCTGCGACGCTTTCCTCCGCTGGATCCACGGCTCAATTCTCGGGGCAGAAGAGAGATCGTAACGGACCAGAGAATCAGGTCACTACACAAGCTTCTTGTCGAGTTCCTGGCGTCGGAGGAAATCACCGAAGTCATCACTCTCGGAAAGCTGTTACGGAGAATCGCCGCGGTGAAGGATTCGCTGGAAACGGCAGATGACCGATTCCATGCAATTCGGCAAAACATATCTGAGCTCCTGGATAGCGTGGCAGCCATATACTTGTTCGTAGAACAGGAGAGCGTCCTAAATCCTACTCCAATTGTTCCACTATCTCGAGGGCTGGTGGAAATGAGATTCGCAAGGGCCATGCGAGCCAGCCAGTATCAAGCAGAATGGCTATATGAGCTGAAGAGCATGGTCTCGCGACGCCTTGAGAAGCTAGATGAGTTTCCTATCGAAAATCGGATCACACTTGCAACGCTTAGGGCACTCTATGACCAGCACAAGCGATGGGTGAAGAGGCAGAGGCGCAATGAAACCAATCCCAGTCGAGACGCGGCGCGAGATAAGGGTGGAGACAAGGATAGGGACACGGACAGCGAGAAAACCCTTGAAGCCCTCGACGCCTTTTGGAAGGACCTTGTGAAGTATCTTCGAAAAGAGAGCTTGTACGTCCCTGATGGGATTCCTAATGCGGAGTCGAACCGAAACCAAACTGTTCAAGGGGGGCCACCTCCGGATCCTCCTGCTTTCCCCTCAGTCCGTGAAATTTTGGCAAGGAACTGGATGGCTGCCCAGTTTAATATGGGGACGATCGACTTGTGGAAGTTTTTGGTGAATTCAAACACGGGTCATGTCCACATCCCCGGTATACGGGGACAAATCAGTGACGTTATGGAAAATTGGAAAGCCATGGAACATCTGAAGTACATCAACGCCTTCACCCCGCAGCCTGTGCCTAACAATCTGCTAAAGTTGACGATTCTTCCGCAGACTGCTCGGGATTTTGTTCAGGAGCGTCTTCAGAATCTTTCTCAAAACGATTTTCGAATGATAAGCAAAGACGAGGTTGTTTTCATATGGGCGTTTGCTGTTCACTATGCTCTTGAGGTTGAAAAGGCTCAAATCCTGGCGTTGAACAGTTGTGCATACTCTTCGGGGCTGTACGCCAATGCGATTTCCATGAAGGTATCCTACGTTCCGTTAATACCAAAGTGGCTTGAGAGGGTTCTTGGCGATGGTGATGAGCTTCCTTACGACCACGATGGAAAGGACGATTCAGGTATGTTTCTATTTAGACCGGGGAACAGGAGAAAAAGAGAAAGCAAGCAAAAAGCCAGCCATGAGAAAGCCGTACTGACACAAACCAGCACCGGCCGAGCCGGAACCGCAGATCGAGGTGGAGCAGGATCTGGGGCAGTCCATGGACCTAAGTTTCCTCACGCAACTTATAGGCTCACGCCAAGGAAGCCCGAGACCTTCTCACGATGTACTGGTCCGCAACGCAGTAGCGGCATTCTCGGCTCCTCCTCCTCCTCCTCCTCCTCCTCCTCCTCCTCCTCCTCCTCTTCCTAGAGAGCCATCCCCGGAGAATGCAGGGCCGGAGCAGGAGAAAAATGCTCAAGAAGATGGTGACGAGGTGATGGAGGATGCGGAAGATGCAGTCGATAATATGCAGGGGAGAGTCCAAGGATTCCATTACTGGTGGCTGAGCTCCTTGAACGACGAGCTGTGGCAGCAGCTGGTGCAGAGGCACGGAGGATTCGTCGATGAAAGTACGGGGACGCGGCGAACTCACCGAGAGATTCCGCCTGGCGTACGAAGGGCTTATATGGCAAGAGTCCAACAGGCGGCACAGGAGGAAAGCGATTCGGAAACGGGCGGAGGGGTATCGAACATGTATGTGGTGATCACCTCTATGTCTCCTTTGCTTCTCTTTTCCATATTATTTTTCGTTTTCTTCCCTACTCTCTCCTCTCCAAATTTCCTCCTCAGGTGTGATTCTGGTTTCGCTTTTACTACGTCTTCCCCCTTTTGTGGCTTTTAAGAGCGAACCTCACCGGAAAATCCAAGACACCAAACCGTCAAGGAGAAACCCCCATTCCCTTATCCCCATCCTTCCCAATCATCGCCATGGCTGACACAATATGGATGCTACAGTAAGAAGAAGTCGATACAGCGCACATTCCGGTGCATATTCTACCGCGATATCGGCAACGGGCAGCGCACAAACGCCGTGACGACGAACTCCTTCCGCGAGTTCATGGCCGCCATCGGCTGGAGCTCCGTGCCGAACCAGGGATCTATGCTCCGGTTCACGTACGACGCCAGGAGGGGCCTCTTCCCGCCATCCCAGCTTAGCAGGCACCAGTTCGTGATCCATATGCCGCATGCGTCAGATGGGAGGACGTGGCCGGCTGGGCTTATTGATAGTGCTAGGCAGAGGTTGAAGACTTTGAAGATTGATTATTCCAGTATTATCAAGTATTATTCCTTTCAGAGTTGATGTGTTTTGTTTCTTTTCTATGTATATGCATTTTTTTTTCTCCTTCGCTCCTCCCTTTATCTTCATTTCGTCTCCCCGTTTTTCCATTCTTCTTATTTTTTTTTTTTTTTTTTTTTTTTTTTTTTTTAAAAAAAGAATATCTAGGACCGATCTAGGGCGTTACAAGGTTGGGTGTTGGCCAGCTTGGACTCGGCACAAGGGGTACGTAGTTTATAATATAGTGTGGTCAGATTAGAGATACGGCTTTGATGTTGGATTTTGTCTGTTCTCATAGAGGGTGAGAGATGAGACCAACTCGTCGATCTCCTAGTTTTCCAATTTTTCTACGCCTCTTCTCATGCAGCCTCGGACGCCATAATGTATCAGGCCTCTTGTGCCTCCTCTGCACGACCACACCTACGAAAGGAGAAAGCCATATGGCCATGGCATCTATATCTAACACGCTAGCATCCCTCTAATACCCTCCAGCTAAGCACCATGACTATGACTTTTAGAGGGCGATTTTCCGAGATCTTGCAGAGGAGGGGGCAGTCTATTTTGGTCCGCTCTTGTGTGAGTCTAGCGAGAGGAAGCCTGGGTCTCCAGTGTGAAAGAAGGCATGAACTGAGGAACATACATTATTTGGTACGACTGAAAATGGCGTGTTTGAATCTTGAGTCATAATCATCAAAGCATTATTAGACCAAGCCAACAATATAAGCCCCCGAAGAACGGAAGCCCATGTCCACGATTCCAAAGAACGGCATCAAGCCAAAAGAAGAACAAAAAAGAACAACAACGCCGACTTCACCGAATCGTAAACTCGCTAATCTCCACCAACCCCGTTTTTATCATGTCCAGCACCTCCCCGTCCATCATTCCATGAACATAGCATTCCCCGACAAACTTGTACATCCCTCCCAAATTCCTCAAAACGTATAATACCTGCCCGCCAAGAAGAACAAAGACCTGGTCACCCTCGCGCACGCACTGCGGCACGAGCGCAAGTCCGTCCGTCGACCAATCCTTTTGAACGACGCGCGCCAAACGCCGTCCCGAGCAGGCCATGAGTGCGTCTTCCGGCGACGAGGAAGCCGTGGCCTTTGACCCATTTATCGAGGGCGGAACAGTGGCTGGGGTGCGGATGTCCTGATCGATGTCGGCGACAATGAGGCGGTTGAAGGCCTCTAGTTCGGTTTCGCCCGTAAAATATGTCGTAGATCGGAGGGATGAGCGCCAGTTATTCATCACTGTCGTTTTCCCCGGTTCAAGCACAGGTTGGATATCGTAGAGGAAGCCGACGCGAAATCCTTTGACTCGTAGCGAGCGGCCATCGATGGCGGCAACGGTCGATACATCTACGCCTAGGCTGAAAAGGGTCTCGGCTGAGCCGCTGGCACTGTAGACGCAGCATTCGGATTTTTGCCGGCCGGGCCGCGGGGTCGACGCTTCATCGTCGAGGAGTTTCTTGAGGGGGACGTGGTATCGGTTGCGGTAGCGCCAGTCGGGAAGCCACGAAGGGAGTCCCGTCATGCCGCCTTCGGGAAGGCCGTCGGCGCCGAGAAAGTCTAGCTTTCCCTCATACCCGGACGTCTCTAGCTGGTATTGAACTACGTCTGTGTAGACCTCGACGATATCCTTGCTGTAGTCTGCCAAGAGGTGCCACAAACCCCGAGGAGAGGCCATGCCGAGAACACCGTAGACTTTGTCTCGCGCATCCGTGGCATCGTAATGACGACAGGACATTAGCATACTTAGTAGCTCGCTCTCTGAGCCCTCGGCGCCTCTTCGCGACCGCAAGGTGTCTAGTGTATAAACGTAGGGCGATATCCCATATACCCTCGTCGCGGCATCCTCGTCCTCCTGTTCATTTATGCCCATCAAGACAGCGAAAGTGACAACCTCATCCAGGTCCACTTTATCCTCGCCGCATACCAGCCAAGTAGGTACTCTAGTACTCGCCTCCTGCGCAACCCACACGCGCGACCACCATTCGCGATCGAACAACGCCTGGACAGACCTCCACGTCGCCTCGTCCCCGTCTTCGCCCTCGCACAACATCAACTCGTCCGCAAGAAGCCTCGCGGCCCATCTGGGTACCTTGTCGTCTCTGAGATCCGCCGCATTCGTCATGCGCCGGTACCTATCCATGACGACACGGATCTTATCGAACGCGAGGGGGCTCTCGTCCGTCGCCGGGCCCAGCCAGGCAAAGATGGAGGCGGCGCTGGTATAGATGGTGGACATTTGCGCGACCTGCGCGCTCCTTTCGGCATCGTCGGATTGGTTGATGCAGATCGCATCGACCCAGAGGAGGTTCGTGGGCCTTGCGTGGTTGCCGTTCGCAGCGTTGGCGACATCTGCCTTGGCTTTGGGCAACTCGTCCCGGTAGCGCCGGAGTGCGGCATCTAGATTGTGAGTGATTTGAAATGTTTGGCCGTCGACGAGCATGGGGACGGTATCCTCGGGATTTCCCCATGTGTATGAGAGCGCCGTGTAGGGCGCGATCATATCGGGATTGACTAGCGACTGGAGGAAGACCCGGACGGATATCGCATCGTCGCGGTTCTTTGCGGGTAGAACTTCGACGAGCCGAATCTCGGACGACGCATCCAGCGGCGCATGTAGAAATGAAGACTGCAACATGACTAAACAAGCTAGAAGCAAGAAACGATTCAGCAAAAAAATAAAAATATAAATATAAAATATAAAAATAGTATTCACACAACGCTCAACACAATGGGGGTATCACGACAGTTCGGTGAAGGAGGGGGCCACATCACGGGTAGGCAGCAAGCAACAACCCGGTTGGGAACGGGAACAGGGAAGCAAGGAAGCGCAAACGCCATGGTTGGCAATCCGTGATCTAAAAATGGGACGGCAGCGGATACCGAAGTATTAAGACTAAGCTGAGGGAAAGGCAGCAGAGCCATGGTCTTATTAGTTCAGCTGATATTACTATCACATCACATCACAGTGACACTCTGCGGTGAACAGATGCGACTGTCCAATCCCGCTGGAGGGACGGGTAAGTTCGAATCTGCGCCAAAGTGTCCTTAGTGTTGACGTGTCGACGGATGCGACGCTGGGCTTTCCGGTAGAGGGGAGAGGAGAGGTTGGGAGGGGACGTCGAAGAACGGAGAGAAGCGAATAGGAGATGTTGGTGGACATCACTGGGGGAAGGAGGGAAGGAGGGGGAAGGAGGGGCAGGTGTGGGGATATATTGCGGCTGGCAGCAGCTGTGGTCGCGTGTACATACAATTGGGATTATTCCTCCATTTTGGGAAGTCTCCAAACAAGAAGTGCATGCATCACCACTTCAACCGCCCAATCCTTTTGCGACAGCTCGCCCAAGAGCTCACATCGACGAATTCCAATTGTATCAAGTGGAAAAGACGCGTAAAGTCGGAAGCCGAGCCCAATATTCCTGTTATTAGTTCTATTAGCGAACCTATTTACCACTCCCGCACGCGATCTATCCTCCAAATCTCTACGACACCTGGCTCCCTCCTTGCACGCATCGAGGCCCCGAGGCCCCGTCCCGGAATGCCTCCTGTTCGGGGACGTCGAGGCGGTCGACGAGGTGGTCGCGGCGGCCGACCCTCCAAGTCCCGCCCCTCCGATGCCGAATCCCCTTCCCTCCTGATCGAAGAACCTCCCCAACCGCCCTTCTTCAACACAACCTTCTCCGTCCACCGCGTATCCCCTCTCCACCTTGGCGAACAATCCGATCACGGCGCCATGCTCCGAACCCTCAGCGAGCGTCTCCGCGACACCCTTATCGGCGATGTCGTGCGCGGCGTGTACATCGGGCTCGACCCAACACACACGGGCGAACTGGGCCAGGCGGGGAGTCTTGAGAGCGTGAATCTGCGTTGGGTACGCGTCAGCGACGTGATTTCCAAAATCGACCTCGACAGGCGGCCGCCGAGCAGGGATTTAAGCTCCGATGCGCCGCTCGAGAGCGGGGACGGGTTAGGCGTCTTGGGGATGAGGAGGGGAATCTGGATTGATATTCAGTACGAGAACGCGGCGTGTACGGGTATGCTGCTTCCTGATTTATCGAGCCGGGAGGATGAGAGGGACGGACTCCAAGAGCAGATGTGGGCGTCTGAGGGGCCGAAAACGAGGTCGAGGAGGAAGAACGGGGTTGATCCGTCGCATTTTTTACATTTGCCGCTTTTGTTGTTGAGGATGCCGACGCCGTTGAAGAATATTGTTGTTGAGTGGTTGAGTGGCGTGTTTGATTGTCGTGTCGGCCCGTTGAGCTTGGGCACGCGGTGTCTTGTGCAGGTTTGGGAGACGTGGCTGAGGACGGCCCTTGTGCCTGATCGGGCGGCGCTTGCGAAGGAGGTGGTTATTACTCTTGGATTCTCGCTACCTCATCTTGAGGAAGAGGTCACAGTGGGTGAGAATGGCGAGGAAGACGAAGATGGGGACCAGCCGAAGGGTAAAAGTGTGCAGCAAGGGCTACGGACACTGGAGATTTCCATCGAGCCAGGCGACATCGAAAATTTTGTTCGGGCAGGCGAAAAGATTGCGGAGGATAAGATCAAGCCCCAACCTAGGCCGTGGACAGGGGATGCGCGAACGAGAAAGATACTAGCGGGAGGACACGACGAGGATGGCTGGAGTTGGAAGACGGGAGACGAGGCTGATCAACAGCAACAGCCCTTTATCGATGCGCTCGCCTACTACCTGGACCATCACCTCGCGCTGAACCTGTTTCACCCGAGCGTGCGGATAACGAAAATTGCTTCGCCTGGGTTTGTGCTGACGGACTCGAGGGTTAAAGTGTTTGATACGACGGATGCCGAGTCTGTGTGTCACTTGCTGGCGGATATTACAAAGAGGAGTCTTGGGCCCGAACTGCCTCGGGTGTTTTAATTCATCTTATGGCACTTTACTCAGGCGCTGAAACCTATTTCACATGATGATTGTACGAGTAATGTTTAGGGAAAGGAAGGGAGCGCGGCGCTACGGTTGGGATGCGGGGACTCCTTGGGCAGGCGTTGGTATTCACACAAATTGAACTCTTCGTCACGATTTATTGCTTCATCAAGGGTGGAAGAAACAGCGTTAATTCCTTCGTATTCAATTTAACCAGTAATTTCACTGATCCAAAACCCAATCCTCGTCCAAATTTGATCGTACAAAGTCATTTGATACCTTCCCCGAATTACTTCCTCGAAAGTCCGAAGAAGCTCCTCCTCCCCAAGCTCCCCGTCTTCGACGCCCTCAATGACCCCGTTCGACCCGCACCGCTAACACTCCCCTTATCCACCGGCCCGGAATCCACTGCACCCGCCGCACCATGCCCCTCATCGACATGATGCTGCTGCTGCTCATCCTCGTCCCCCACTACCTCGGGCCGTTCGCCTTCCTAGCATTGTATAACGTGCTCGCCCGCCGGCGCCGCAATCTCGTAGTCGAGGGTCAACTTGACGCTCTTGCCGGCCTTGAGGTTCACCTCCCACGAGATCTCGTTGCCCTTCCTCAGCAGGGCGGTAGCCTTGCCCCAGTCCTTGTTCTCGGAACCCTCGCGGCCAGGCACGCCTGAGGCGACGGCGGAACCACCCGATACGAGACCGCGTGGCGAGAGGATGTCGACGCGGAGACGCTCGTCCTCGGAAATGGGGACTTGGTCGAGGACGTAGAGCGTGGCGACCTTTCCGGCGGTGGCCTTGGTATTCGTAATCGTCACGGTACGCGTGTAGATAGAACTATCCTCCTTGGAGAACAAGCCAGAGGTGGACCGGCGGACCTCGGGCTTGGGATACACCACGCGAATAGCTGGATCGATGCCGAGGCTGAGCACGAAGGATTCTCCGGCACTGCAGCGAGGGAGGCGGGTTCGGCCCATGAAGCTTCCGTCGACGGTGAGACCCGCTGGACCGCGCAGGAGGGTGAGCTTGCTCGCGTTGCGGAGCTTGGCCTTGAGGTAGGCCACGGGCTTGTACTTGGCCACGACGGTGTGGTTGAAGACGACGTTGGAGAAGTTGATGCGCGCGATGCGCTGCTTCGAGGCGCGGCTGCGCGGCGCGAGGGTTCGCTGCCCGGGGAGGTCGTAGGTGGTCGTGAGGCCGGTTTCTTCCATGGCAGAATCCTGGAAGTCGAGTTCGGGCGAGTCCTCGAGCATGGTCTTGTCGTCGCCGTCGCCATCGCCCGCACCATCTGCCTCTTCTTCCTCGCCGCCCGAGGAATCACCACCACCACCGCCGCCTCCACCGACCCAACCACCAGGTCCACCTCGGCGTGCAGAGGCAGTCGCGCCGTACGCAGTAGGGGTAAAGCTGGAGGAGCCCCTCTTCTTCTTCGACTTCATGACAGAACCCGCCCGCGCTAGAGCCGGAGGTGGAGGAATGGAAGCAGATATGTTCTTGCTGTACGCTTCCAGAACCGGGCCCTTATTTCTGTAGGCATCGGGCTGCAGCGCATTCCGGGCGTCGATCTCCACGGCGGCGAGCTGCGCCTGCTGGGCCATGTTGATCCTGTTCTTCACGTAGCCGACATTCTGCGCCTGCTGCGCCGCCAGCGCACCGCCGGCCTCATTCTCCCATAGCCCGAAGAGCTCGGCGCGGGGCTTCTGCACCCTCTCGTGCTTGTGGCGCTGGATCTCCCAGTCCACCTGCTCCTTGCGCTCCTCGCGGCTGTGCAGGATATCGCTAGCGAAGACACCCGAGGTCCTGTTGCCCAGCTTGACGTGCCAGGGCACGAGAGTCGGGAGGGCGTCTTCGAGACCGGCGAAGGTGGTTTGTGACGTGGACAGGATGATCTTGGCGTTGCGCCAGGTTTCGGAGGTGGTGTTTGTGAGCTTGGCCTCGAAGGAGAGGTTCGCCGTGTTGTTGATCGTCGAGAGCTGTAGGTCGTAACTGGGCGCCCAGAAGGCAGAGGACGTGACGTAGGTGATGAGGAGGTCGCACTTGGCCGAGGAAGAGGAGGATTCGCCCGTCTCAGCACCTGCGGCCTGGTCCTTTTCCTTGAGGAGCTGAAGGTCAGCCTCGCTAGCAACGGAGCTACGGCGCGAAGACACTGGGGTGTAGGCCGAGGCGTCGAGGGTGATAGTAGCGGTGTAATGGAACTTGGGCCAAAACGTCGCGCGCTCCTTCTTGATCCTCTCCTTCTCGCGCTTCTTATCACGACGTTTAGCCTCCCGCCTCTCAGCCAGCTTAGTGTGCGCCGCACTGCGCTTCGCCACGCCCTTGGCCCATTTCTTCTTCTCCTTCCCCTCGAGCCTAGCCACCTTGATCCTCTCCTTCTCGACGTCCTTCAACTCCTTTTGTATGCGGCGCAGCTCGAGGGTCCCCTCCTGATGGTCGAGGAACACCTTTTCGCGCTCTTCGCGGTAGGTGTCTAGGCCTTGCTCGATGACTACGTTGCGCTTCTTGTCGAGGGAGTTTCCGTAGGAGTCGAGGATCTTGAGGCGTCTGTCGGCGCTGGCGATCTTTTCCCGGGCGCGGGCCTGCTCGTCGTTGAGGAGGGTGACCTGGTCCTCAAGGGCTTCGAGCTTACCGTCGTAGCCGAAGTCGGGCTTGTCCTCAGCGTCGAAATCCGAGAGGGAATCGCTGTCATCTTCTTCAGAGGGATAGTGGTCTTCGAAGAGCTCGAGGTTGGCGACGAGGTCGACGGAGATGTCGGAGATGGTGGCTGAGCCGGTGCCTTCTACTTTTATGGAGTCTTCGTCTAGGGTCGGGGTTAGGCCCACGATGGTGATTTCGTTGAGGCCGGGCTGGAGAGAAGAAACTGTTAGAGACGGAGAGAAACAGATAGATGGAGCTGAAGCGGAGATGTGGTTGAGAGAGGGTGAGTATTGAAGTGAGAGTGGAACTTACAGTGAGCTGGAGATCCTTGATCTCACGGACGATTTGGGCGCGGGATGGGAAGAGGGTGACGGATTTTGTTTCCAGATCTCGCAGGTGGAATTCCTGCTTTGCGATGTTATCCATCTTGCTGGCCTCCCGTGTTTGTCCAGTTCAATCTTCTTCGTGATAGTTCGGTTCAGGCGAAGATGGTTCAATGTGAGAATCTTCGAATTGGTTTCTCGTTACACGTATAATTGAGTCGATGACAAGAATAAGATCATGAGCCCAGGGAGGAAGGAGGGGTGAGCTTGATCTAAATACACCCAGAGCATATCGTAGGACTTGTCCCTCCTCTCCCCGCCTCCATGTCTCTCACGCCAGCTTCAATCCAGGGGCAGCACAAAGTAAGCTCGGAGCTCTTGTTTGCCTGAGCTACTGCCTGGCGAAGCAGTGTCTTTGCTTGGCTGCCTGCAAGAACGAACCAGTTTCCCCCCACACGGTTGCATCGAAAGGTTACTTCGTCTGGAGCTATGCCGTTCATGGTATCAAGGGGCCATCAGCCTCAGCGCCACGCAATTTTATCCGGTTGCCTCCCACACAGGACTTCCTTAGCACTTGCAATACGAAAAGCAAACCTGAAAACGTTCCAGAACACATTTGATGGAGAAGCCAATCTTTTACTTTGTTTGCAGGCCGCCAAGACATCGCCGGTGTTTGCTCTGGAAGCTCCGTTGCTCTTTTTTCCATTTCATCCACGCCAAGAGAACGCGGACAGTTTAAGATGCTCAACCATTGTCAGGCGGGGAAACGTCTCCCAGTCCTTGGGGCTGAAGTTCCCGTTCCTGGTGTCATTAAAGTCCTAAGCTAGGGATGGTCCTGTTGATGTCGCTAGGTTGCGCTAATTGGTTAAAGCTGGCAGGCATCAATTGCATCAGTTTCACCGCATCGCCCTACCAGGCACACCATTTAATCTTTTCGAGGCTCAGAAGAAGCCATTCTCCAAGCTAACTTATCCGGTGTAGTGGACTGACCATCGACCTGGAGGACGAAGTACACTAAACTAGTAGCAGAGGAGGCAACTCTTATCATAGGACGAAACCTGGAAGCATGCAGCTCTAGGCACCTATGGACTTAAACCTATTTTGTGACGAGATCCGAACGGTGATGGCGCAGTGCCAAGTTAAGACGAGGGATGATTCGCCAGCACAGGACAGGAGCGAGAGCGGGAAGTGCCCATGAAGCAAGCATCACAAGCCCAAGATTCAAATAAGGGATGTGTGTCTATTCTCCTATTTTTCAATCACAGAAAGAAAACATCCCAGCTCGAAGCGATTGTGCTATTAGTGCTGTGGCATTGGTAATTCGAAGAGAGGTTTTCGAGCGATCAGGGAGGGAGGAAATGTGAAGAGATCTAGGAGTAGCCGTAGATCCTGTCATCGGATGTGGGTTGAGAGAGTCAGATGGAGTGATCAACACTGCTATTACTGCGTCGGAGGGTGATATCTAGATCCCAACTCTGTGAGGTCAAAGTAAAACCGACCGACGCTATCAACATTAGCTTCAGTGTCTCCTGCTTGCCGCTGCATCCATTTCCGCCCATCGAGTGAGCTCGGCATGTTCTCTTAACAAGAGGTACGAGGGCTCGGGATCGACCTGATGGTCATGTCGGCATTTGTGACTGAAAAAGATGATAATTTCAAACACTTCTTCTCCAGCATTAAAGTTCCATATGAGAACGAAGGAGCAAGTAGTATCCGCGGCTGCTAATCCACCCTCAGCTCCTCTCTGGTCTCAATTAAGCTACTCGTCTGATGACCGTTATCCTCTAAGGAGAGGAGTCTAGAAACCAGAGAACATGTGCAGTCTCTCAGGGCTGTTATGCGATTGACGTGTTGAGATTGTTCATTCTGTAACTGACTGGACATGAAGTGTATCGGCGACACCCAGTTATGAGTCGACCAGTATTTCAACGAGAAGAGTAGGAGTACAGTCAGTACGAAACAGTTTCCTTAGATGCCATTCGGTGCCATTCGGAATAGAACCTGACTGGAACTGAGGATTTCAACGATATTGGATTGATCACGGCCTCCAAACTTCTCACCTATTCTAGGCAAACGAACTATGGACTCAACGACACGTATCGTCATTCCTGAGCAATCCTTGACCGTGGCACTGGGAGAAGGCGGTTGTCCCCCAAAACAAACTGAACAAGTTTGTCACACCAGCTCACCCGAGGACTCTCCTCACGAGACTCACTCTCAACGATGAATACAAAAGAAGAGAATGCAGTCCACACTGGAAGAGGTGAGATGCTACCAACCCTCAATCTTCCAAAGGACATCTGATATAGAACCAACTCTTCATCGCAGGTCTTTTACCCGCCCACGATCTTCTCTCATCTACAATTTGCAACACTACACAAGGTTAGCTTTGCTCACCTTCGCCAAGAGGACATTGCCCATCCCCCTACTTTCCTGAATTCCCAAGCGAAAATGGACGGGCGAAGGGGGCCTCCCGCTCCTCATCGACGACCGCTGTATGCTCCGAGACTACATCGCCAGGTTCCCAGGATATCTCAAGATGCCTACACGCACAATCCGAACGCCTTCCAACGATACAATGTCGTCCATCCAAACGATCCAGGAGAACGCATAGGAGAAATGAACCTCTACCAGCGTGCCCCCCGCGCCGGCATGGACGCCCATGACCCCACGGTAGGTCGACCGCCCCGACTAGCACGCCAGCGACGACGCATCCCTGACCTTCCTCCCTACAGGGGCCGCCGGGCAAGGGACAGGGACGATATAGTCGACGTCATCTTCCCCCACGGCAGGCAGTACGCCGTTCGCCGCGCCGACATGGCCCATTTTCTCCCTCGCGTAGCAGCCAACGTCCCCCTCCACCGAGACCACATCCACATCCGCACGCTCCTCACGGACGGCCTCCAGTTCCGATTCCCCCCCGAGCTAGACGCAGACGTTTCGCTCGACTTGGCCCTCGAGGTTCTCTTCAACGGTCTCCAAAGCATGGCGCATGGCGAAGAATCCGTAGACCTTTTCCACAACGAGGAGTTTTCCCATCTCGATCATTACGACAATCCGGTGGGCGAGATGAGGAGGATCGTGGGAACCGTGTACGCGCTGTGCGTCGTGCTGGATTTGGATAGGGAGCTGGGTTGCTCGGATCCACTCGCCGAGCATATTGGTCACTTTATGATTGAATTGCTGGCGTGGTTGGGGACCGCGGAGGGTCGCCACGAGGGGCAATGGGCGCATCTGTTGGCTTGCATCGTGATGGCCGGGTATATGAAGGTGTTTAGGAGGACGATTGGGAGTCTTGGCGTGTTGGAGCAGTTGTGGGATGAGTTAAATTGGGAGGCGAAGGAGGATGTGGTGGAATCTTTGAGGGACCAGGTTGAGATCAGGGGCGAGGGATCAGATGCGCAACGGATGCTTGGGGCGTTGAACCATTTGGGCCTGTTGGGAGTGTTTTGAACTCGGTGGAGACACGAAGGTGGCCGTCTCTGCGGTGGAGGTTGGAGATGTTTACCGAGTTGGGCTGGAGTTTTCGGTGCCCAGTATCTCGGAAACAGTCTAGTGATTTATGCCAGCTGAGAAAAGCAAGGATCCTCGAAAATAATCTCAATAGGTCGAAGAAGCCTTGTTCGAGGTCCAATAAAATTCCATGTTTAATTCATCTTGCTTCCAAGCTCCCAGCTTCACAGATGTTGTGCAGGAGCGGATGGTGGCAGTGGACATAAGGGAACCACGACATCTCGTATTAAATTAGTGCGTGTCTTGTAACTTCAATCGGAATATGACCTGGCGGTAAGACACCGAAACTGTGTGTGCTTCATTATGGGATATCGTTGGTGTCGCCTTTAGAGGCTACAGTAGGATTATGTAGCATTCTCCGCCTTGTATCCAAGCTCAGGAGGTGAGCGAATAACATGGGTGGGCGGCCAAGAATTGAGTCCAAGCTGTGCAAGAAGAAGAGTCTCTCTGCATACCGAGGATGTGTGGATGTGTCTGCGTGTGCCCTCCTGTCCTCCTTCAAATGTTCTCAGCTGGTCTTGGGGGTCTTCGCTGCAGGTCGCACGCACGCAACACGCAGAACCTGGCATCACGCCCCGCCCCGAACCGAGTTTGGTCTCGTCAATTGGCCTGCATCACCGCATTTGACGTCTTGGTCCGAGCCTTTTTTCCCAGCCACCCAGAATATTTGCATCATGCGTCAGGCGTTTATTTTCCATGCTCAATCCAGACCCCTTTTGCTTTTTCTCTCTCTCTCTTCTTTCTTTCTCATTCTTTGTCCGCCTCGATTCTTCATCCTGTCTTATAACCCGCAATAAATTGTGTGGGACATCCGCGGACTGGACTGGACTCGACTCTTCAGAGGCCAACCCTTTAATTTCGGCAGACTCCAGGACGCCATCCATCGCTCCGGGCTGGTCCGTTCCCCCATCTTCAAGCTCCCCCCACCTCCCCAACTCTCCCCAACTTTCCCCAAACCAAAACGTCAATCTCAAAACCCGACCGAACAAAATGTCTACCCAACCCCCTTCTCACTACTCCTCCCACCCAATGGATCCCCCCTCAATGTCCGGTGCCCTCCCCTCCCCTTCCGCCCAATACGGCCCTCCTCCCGGGCCTCCTCCCCCGGGCCCCCAACGTCCCCCCTCCGAAGCCCAAATGCTCGGCCCCGCCGGCCTCGAACAACTCTCCTCCCACCCCTCCGACCTTCCGCCGCGTCCGCCCCGCGACGACCGATACCAAACCACCGATCCGTTCCGCCCGCAGAGAGTATACAGCGATCCAGGGCCGCTCGCGCCGGCTCCTTCTATGACGCCCATGCTCTCGGCGACGACGCAGGACATCGCCACCATCCGCGCCAATACGCAATACGGGCTCAAGGAGTTCGTCGAACTAGTCAAGAGGCGCCAGAATGCGCCGCCAGGGAGCACGGTTAGCTCGGATATCGACGCTAAGCTTCGCGCTTCGGGGGGCTTGTTAGTGAAGGATCTGAGGGCTTTGAGGATTGAGCTCCGGGAGGTTGTGAAGTCGAAGGAGAGTCATCGGTGGAGGCGCTGGCTTGTCGGCGGTGCCATGTAAGTCTTTTTTTTTTTCTTCTTCTTTTTTTTCACCACCACCCTCGTCACTTTCCTTCCAAGCTTCCCATCCAGGCACCAGAGCAAAGGCTAACAAAACATAAAACAGGGCCACATTCTTCCCCGCCGTAAAAGCCATCCTCCGCATCGTCACCCCCTCCTCCACCTCCACCTCCCTCACCACCACCACCGCCAGCACCGCCACGTACTCCCCTTCCTCTCAACAACACTACCACTACGACCTCGAACACGCCTCCAACGACACAGAATACGCCTTCCACCGGAGCAAAACCCTCCTCCAGCGTATCCGATCCTCGGTGTTGGGCCGCGGTGGCGTGGCCGCTTCCTTCGCCTTCTTCGTCTTCGCGGCTCTGTACGTTTTCCAGAACGAGGTGGCGCTGAGGGTGGCCAAGACGCTTTCGAGGAGGGTCAAGAAGTTGCTGAATAAGGTGGAGGATGGAGGATTTGAGGTTGATGAGAAGGATTTGAAGACTTTGGAGGGGTGGAGGTGGAGGGTTTTGTTGTGGGGGAGGTGAGGCGAGAGAGGGATGTTTGTGGTGAGAGGTCATCGGTGCTGAAAGCTGGGTTATTTTCCTTGTGTTCTTTTCTCTTTGGCATGGGACTAGGTTTTTTCTTTGTTGCTGTATGTTGCATGGTTACGATATAAGATGAGATGCATAATATGTATATGAGTAGACGAAGATGTTTTTTTCTTATAGATTGATTCGAGAGACCGTTGAGGGCCATTGAGGCCGAGATTGGGATCGCCCCTGGAGAGTTGGGGAGAGACTTGAGAGACTTGATGAGCGATGTTTCCTCAGTATGCCAAGATCGACTTACGGGAAAGCTGAAGTTTTGGTGAGCTTGACGAGAGACCATCGTCACGACGAATCTCATATCTAAAGTCCTCAACTTGGTTGCTCCTTCCCTCCTGTCAAGCATGTAGCGGATATCAGGGGCATTAAATATTCGCACAGTAAAGAAGGCCCCCCAAACTTCCTGTACCCTAACTTTATAGGGCTTCTAAATACAGTGTAAAACTTAGAATAACACAATAGAAAGCTGCCCTCGCTGACGTCAGAACCAGCACCAGCAGCTCCTTCTCAAAGCTCAAAGGTCGAAGCTCACAGGTCGAAGCTCTCACCAACATCCTCATCAAATCTAATTGATCCCGTCAAGCCTCAATTGAGCCTCATTTCTCTTAAGAATCACATCCGTGCCAGTCCACCTTCACTACCGGATCGACAAACACTCTGAAGAGAGCACACGAAAATGTTGGCGGGGACGAAGCGCCCTCACTCACCACCCCCAGAGCCAGAGCTCAATCATCGCCAACGACCACAAAGACCCCTCCAACCCAGCGTAGAAGCAGACACATACTATCGAAATCTTTACGCAACAGAACCCGACTTTCGGCAGCTTGCTAGAGAAGATGCGGACTTTGCGAAAGTGTACTACAGCCCACTCTCTCAACTCGCCTTGGATTCGAAGACTTTCCTTTTCCACTGACACTAAGTTGTAAAAAATAGTCTGAAACACGGCCAGATCGACTTCAACGATCCCCGGTCCGTCGTCCAGCTCACAAAGACTTTACTCAAGTCCGATTTTAGACTGAAGATCGAGTTACCGCCCGATAGGCTGTGTCCGCCTGTCCCCAATCGACACAACTACATCCTCTGGCTCAAAGACCTCCTCGACACGACATCCTACCAAGATCCAAAGGATCAATCCATTCGCGGTCTCGACATCGGCACTGGCGCAAGTTGCATCTACCCCCTCCTAGCCTGCACGCAAAGACCCTGGACCTTTGTCGCAACCGGTAAGCTACTCTAATTCCTCCTCCTCGTTTCCTCCCCCATCTAACAACCTACAAAGACATCGACGAAAAAAGCCTCTCCTACGCGGCCAAAAACATCAAAACCAACTCACTAGATTCCAAAATTACCCTCCTCAGCCGCACCCCGACAGACCCCCTCATCCCTCCCACAGCCCTCCCCCTAACCTTCACTATGACAAATCCCCCCTTCTACACCTCCGCCGCCGAGCTCTCATCCCTCGCCCAGAAAAAGTCCCGCCCCCCGCACACGGCCTGCACGGGATCACCCTCCGAGATGGTCGCCGCGGGAGGCGAAGTAGCCTTCGTCAAACGCATCTTCGACGAGTCCCTCTTGCTGAGGGAACAGGTACGGTGGTACACGGCCATGTTAGGGAAGCATTCCAGCGTAGAGGTCGTCGTGGACATGCTGAGGGGGAAGGGGGTGGACAATTATGCCGTTACGGAGTTTGTGCAGGGGTCGAAGACGAGGAGGTGGGCCGTGGGGTGGAGTTTTGGATCTATGAGGCCTGATGAGGGGGTGTGTAGGGGGATGAGCGAGCCTGCGTGGTGTAAGGTGTTGCCACCGAGCGTGGTCCATGAGGTTTTGGCGGCAAAAGTGGGTGAGGTAGATATTGGGAAGCTTGCCGACGCGGTGAGGGAACTCGGAAGCGGGCTAGAGTTGATGTCCTGGGCCTGGGACGAGAAGGAGCTCGCGGGGCTAGGGAGGGCGAGGCAGAATGTTTGGAGTAGAGCGTGGAGGAGGAAGAAGATGCGTGCGGAGAAGGGAGACACGGGTGTTGATGTTCGGACGAAGCTCTCTGCTGAAGGGAAGGAGGAGGGGAATGTTTGTGCCATTGGCTTTAGGATATGGGTCATTGCGGGGAGGGAGGACGTCAAGATTATGTGTAGGTGGGTGGAGGGACATGATGTTTCGTTGCTTGAGAGCCTCTTGGGCTTTTTGAGGACGAGATTGAGCGCGATGGCCAAGTAAGTATCTGTCGGTGGATGATACAGCCTCGTTGAGGCAAATGTGAGAATCAATGATACCCATTTAGAGCTTTGTCGTAGACACAGAGGTTTTAAAACATAGAAAAACGGTCACATGAGTAGGGGATATCACAACACTGCCAACACTGTTCCGCCCAACGACCCAATCGCGCCAGCAACCCACTCCCGCGTATCCAGGCACCAACAAGCCATTATCAGGACCCAGGGAATCTAAATAAAGAGTGGCGATCAGAGAGTATGCAAGCAATGTCCAAAGTCTCAGCCCTCACAAATTAAACAATTGTCAACCATCTCATGACCAGCTTAACACAACTCCAAAACTCTCAAGCACGAACTCGGTGAGTAGCCCTCAGCTTAAAGTCCTCCGTAACGCAACACACCGTATCCCTAAGTGTCATTGGCGCGTTCTCAATCGTAAAATCAAACCGCTTGAACAACTAGATCTCATCATCAGTCGATCCCATTTTCTTCCATTGTGCTGGGGAGTGTATCTCTCTTACCTCGACAAAGACCTTGTTCAGCTCCATAAACGCAACGGTCCTCCCAACACACTCAACCTCACCACCCCCAAACGCCAAATCCAAAACGGCGCTCATCTCCTCAACCTTCCTACCACCACCCAGCCACCTATCCGGGTTAAAAATCTCAGCATCGGGCCCAAACGTACCAGTATCGCGCATCATCGCCAGTGTATTAACGCCCACACGCTTACCAGCCGGAAGGAGGTAGGCCATATACTTCTACGCCGCCGAGAGGAACTTCCTTGTAGGAGCCGAGTGTAGCGCAAGGAGGGGGGTACATCCGGAGACCTTCCTTGATGATGGCCTGGAGGTAGGGCAGGTGGCAGCTTCAGCGTCGCGGATGATGGGGGTGCTGATGGCATCGAGGGCGAGGCCGGAGTCGATTTCGGCGCGGAGTTTAGAGAGGGCGGTGGGGTTTGTTAGGAGGCAGAGGATGGTGGTGCGGATAGCGGCTGTGGTGGAGGCTGGATTGGTGATACTACATGGCATTGCATTAGTTGGGGACGCTTCGTTGGTATGAGACTTTGCTTACAGTTCTGTGCAGACTTCCTTCGGCGTCCCGTTGCAATTGGAGTCCTGGATGTGAGAGGTCATTGTGCCATTGCTGACCGGACCAGTGGTAAAGAAAGCCCTTTTCAAGGACAGCGAGCGGCCAACTAATCAATCATTAGTAGCCGGACAACACCTACACGTTGGTTTCAACTCACGGCATTGTCCTACGAAGGCTAGCTATTGCTCTGCGCGTTAACGTTAAAATATTAAACGGCCAGCTTTTCATCGACGCACTCAACCAAGCCATATTCAGCGTCTGGATCGAAATCGGGAAGAAACCATCTTTGACAGTGTCAACGCGGTTCTCCGTGCCGCTGTCATTCTTGAAGAAACCCGCGACATCACCAAAGCCTACGTCACTGATAACATCAAGGGCGAGGGACTGACAACGATGGGAGAATTCGATGGGGCTGTATTCGGTTGGAGCAGAAATGTACTTGCGCTCGAGGAGGTTGATGAACTCGGCGATGCGCTTGTCGACGATGGATTCGAAAGCGTTGATTTGGTCGTCTGGGAATTGCTTAACAAGATCGAGACCGTTAGTTGTCTACATTCAAATGGGAATGTTTAGTCAAGAGACGAAGAGTAAGTGTAGGCAAAGGGCGGCCCTGATGGCATGGTACAATCGGTTGCATTGAAAATTAGTTGTGAAGAGAGTAGGTTCAGACTCTGACGCAAGGGGCATAAAGCTTCTATTGCGCTGCGGCAGAAGCGTTCCCGTTTCCCAGTTCCATCGGAAGACTCCCGAATTGGCGTCGAGCAATGAAACAAGCAATTAAGTTGGTCACTAACACAAGAGAGACGCATTTCTTTCGAGGCTGATGATACGAAGTACACCGAGGAGTGAAATCGGTTTCCTGTCAGACAAACTCTTTGAAAATGTTCCGAACGCACAGACTTGCCCCACGTAGTGTTTGTTGCGATTTACTCACACGCGGTACTTCGCATAACGGAGCACTTCGCCTCTTGGATGAACCATTTACCGGGGTGCTGCCTAAATTACGCACCAAGGCAGCAGACATGGCACCGGTTGTCGCCCGCGATGCGGCGTTTCGAGATTGGGTCGCAGCCCTGCGTGGTCTCCAGTCTATAGACGACCTTGCTCGATTGCTAATCGACACCACTTGATGAGCTGTCTAGGCGCGAGGCTAATTTATCTTGTATCTTGGCAGTATTGGCACCAGGAACGGATCGTACTGTGACAGGCTCAATAGCGGCTGGCGCTTTGCGATCTCTAGCTACCCTGTATGGTCTCCTCCAGGCAAGCGGATCCGACACCGAGCTCCTCCTTGAACGAACCTTTTCCCGGCCGACCAGCCATTTCCACGCGAAACAATGCGGCTCTTGACGCGCGACCAGAATGGCGAGCTTAGCTTGACTGAGGACCTGGTTGACAATATCCCCCCATACGCGATACTATCGCATATGTGGAGTAAAAATAATGCCGAAGAGGTTTCCTACAAGGACATGAAGGACGGTACCGGGAAAGGCAAGGCGGGCTATCGCAAGGTCGAATTCTGTGCAGAACAAGCAGGACGCGACGGCTTGCAATACTTCTGGGTAGACACTTGCTGTATCGACAAATCGACTAGCGACGAGCTCCAGGCGTCGATAAATTCCATGTTTCGATGGTACCACGATGCCACTCGGTGCTACGTTTACCTGTCTGATGTTTCGATGACTGGTAGCCTTTCGCAGAACAGCGATCAAGCAAGCAGCGATCAAGCTGAGCTCTCCTGGGAAGTGGCGTTTCAAAGGAGTAAATGGTTTACTCGGGGCTGGACGCTCCAAGAGCTTCTTGCGCCGGCATCGGTGGAGTTCTTCTCGTTGGAGGGCCTGCAACTCGGCGATAAGGGATCTCTTGAGCACGAAATTCACAACATTACAAAAATACCAATCTCAGCTCTTCGGAAAACAACCCCCTTTAGTCAGTTCGATGTTGACGAGCGACTGAGATGGGCAGAGAGACGCCAAACCACGCGCCAGGAAGATTGGGCGTACTGTCTTCTGGGCATTTTCGGTGTCTTCATGCCGCTTATCTACGGCGAGGGAAGGGTCAATGCGGTACAGCGTCTTAGAAAAGAGATCGACAATACCCCAAAACGGCAAGGTTCGTCTTTATTTCTTGTGCTCTTTACGGTTATAATTCCCTAACAATCAATAGAATGGCTCCGGAAACTTTATACTTGTCCGTACCGAGACCGTAAGAACCGAAATCCGCCGCGAGTCCAAGGAACATGTGAGTGGTTCACGAACCATTTGCTCTTCCAAAATTGGCAGCAGAGCAGTGCAGCTAGCTTGCTCTGGGTGTCTGCTGACCCGGGATGTGGGAAGTCGGTTCTGGCCAAGTTCTTAGCTGATGAGGTACTGCCGAGCACAAATATAAGAACGACCTGCTATTTCTTCTTTAAGGAAGACTTTGAAGACCAGAGATCTTCAGCAACCGCACTATGCTCCATATTACATCAAGTCTTTAACCAGCATCCGGCCTCTTTTTCAACCCAGATCCTTGAGGAGTTCGAAGACAAAGGAGATACAATACTAACATCCTTCCGCGACCTCTGGGATATTCTCATCTCCGCTGCGACTGGCCATAAGAGGAGGGAGATTGTCTGTATCCTCGACGCCCTAGATGAATGCGAGGTTTCAGGACGACATCAGCTTATCGATACTGTTAGTAAATTCTACTCGGGCATAACAACAACTCGTCCTACATTAAAGCTCCTCTTAACGAGCCGGCCCTACCTAGATATCAAGAGAGGATTCTATCCTCTAGAACGCGAACTGCCGATGATTCACCTAAGCGGGGACAATGAAGAGGAGGTAGATAAAATTTCTCTCGAGATCGACTTGGTTGTAGGAAGCAGAGTGGCGGACCTTGGTGGAAGGCTCGGGCTTCTCCAAGAAGAGCAGCACGTTCTTCGAGAGGAACTTACACGGGCTCCTAACCGCACCTACCTCTGGGTGCATCTCATCTTCGACATCATAACTAAGAGCATTATCGACGGGTTAGAAGACATTCGGTCGATAGTGAAGACGACGAAAACGGTTGATGCAGCATACGATAGGATCTTGTCAAAGAGTCCAGATGTTGGGCAGGCCAGGAAGCTCCTCCATATCGTCGTCGCAGCAGCGAGGCCTCTTACTCTGCAGGAGATGGCCCTGGCTTTAGCGATTAGGCCCCATCATCGATCCTTCAGCGATCTCAAGCTAGGGCCAGAAGACCGAATCCGCAATAACATTAGGCAGCTTTGCGGACTTTTTGTGGTCGTTGCCGACTCCAAGGTCTACCTGCTTCATCAAACCGCCCGCGAGTTCTTGGTCCCCCCACCATCGGGGTCTTCGCCACCTCTTACCGGCAGCACGGCACTACAGTGGAAGTTTACCCTTCATCCGAAGGAATCGCATCGCATCCTTGCCGAGATCTGTATACAGCGGCTCTCGCTGTTAGATTTTAATCTAAGTGGCCTTAGAGCAAGTGCAGATCAAGATCAGTATATCTCCATGCGTACATTTCTGCGATATGCAGTGCAGTACTGGGCTGTCCACTTTCGTGAAGCAAACTGGAATGACGAAGATTGGGCTGTTGAGAAGGCAACATCATACTGTCGTCCGGACTTGCCAACCTCGGCGTGGTTTGAAATATATCAAAGAGTTGCGACAAGAGATGTGCCGGGCAACTTTACACCTCTTTTAGTCACATCCTATTTTGGTCTAAGCAGTGTGGTGGAGCGGCTTCCTAAGAAGGCTTTGAAGGCCATTAACATCAAGGATAGTAGGTATGGAAGGTCAGCTATTTCCTGGGCTGCCGGGGAAGGCTATATCGCGGTGCTGGAGTGGCTTCTCCGTGGTGGTGTGGTGCGGTGGCTCCTCGGCACCAGCGCCCGAGTCAACGCAAAGGATAGATCTGGCTGGACGCCGCTTCACTGGGCTTCCTGGAGCGGCCACGATGCTGTGGTGCAGCTGCTTCTTGAAGCTGGTGCTGATGTGAACGCGAAGGATGAATCTTTCTGGACGCCGCTTCACCGGGCTTCCCAGCACGGCTACGATGCTGTGGTGCAGCGGCTTCTTGAAGCTGGTGCTGATGTGAACGCGAAGGATGGACCTGGCTGGACGCCGCTTCACCGGGCTTCCCAGTACGGCTACGATGCTGTGGTGCAGCGGCTTCTTGAGGCTGGTGCTGATGTCAACGCGAAGGATAGATCTTTCTGGACGCCGCTTCACTGGCCTTCCCGGAACGGCCACGATGCTGTGGTGCAGCGGCTTCTTGAAGCTGGCGCTGATGTGAACATGAAGGATGACAAGTTCAGCAGCAGGACGCCGCTTCACTGGGCTTCCTGGAGCGGCCACTATGCTGTGGTGCAGCGGCTTCTTGAAGCCGGTGCCGATGCGAACGCGAAGAATTATCGCGGCGGCTGGACGCCGCTTCACCAGGCTTCCCAGTACGGCCACGACGCCGTGGTGCAGCGGCTTCTTGAAGCCAGCGCTGATGCGAATGCGAAGAATCGACGCCGTGGTGCAGCGGCTTCTTGAAGCTGGCGCCGATGCGAACGATGAACTCTAACACCGTCTGACTATTATTTCTATTATCTTGGCAGATGAAGGGGTCCGGGGGGGGGGGTATGTTTCTTATGTGTCGTTAACCCTTTTTGCCTCTCCGTTGTAGACTTTGCAAGTACGTGGTGAGTTTTCTTCAAAATATCCGGTAAGAGTATCCAGTACACAAGCCCACTCTGTGTCACGGTTCCGAGGGCTTGATAGGAAACATGGACATTTATTGACGAAGAGGTCGCTCAGGGAGCAGAAAACCTTTCTGCCCCTACTGTAAGCGATCCAAATATATCTTAGCGTATACGTGACCTGAGACTCCGAATCGAGGGCGGTAGGCTTGTATCAGCACGGTAATTGTGTCCGAATCTAGTTGGTATGAAAGTCTACGTTGTATTCTTAGAGTCAGTCGCACTGTCCTGTTTACTTAATGGTACCTCCTCAGCAGCTGATTCTAGCGCTATTGGGTCTGGAATAGAAGTAGGTAGAAGTATAATCAAGTACACACCGCCGCACCTCAAATTTCCAAAGAGTACAAAAGAGGAAACCGATTTCGCTCCCAGCTGTACACAACACATTAGAAAACATAAGAAGAATCGGATCACTTACACCCGGGGTACGCGCTGTCCCGTTGACCCTGCATTCCTCCCCATTTGTCTTGGAGGAGAGAATGTCCCCGTAGCGGGTTGTAGCTGAAGGCGGACACCAAGACCCTTTGAAGAAGAGCGAGTGTTCACCGGAGAGCCTGCGATAGGTCTCCGCATCTGCGAAGAGGATTTGATTTGGTCCTACTCGAAGTAGAGGGCCTATAAAACGCAAGTTAGCGTTCGCCTTGAGCTTTGTTCGACTTACGCCGCTCCCGGCGGGTCCATTCCGGACACCCTTTGTCCAACAACTTCCCCCAAGGCGACAAGGACGAAAACGCCTACTCATAAGAATGCCACAGTTCCAACTTTCAAAAAAGAAACCAACATACCATACTCCTTTCGCAATCTTTGTAGCTCAAAGCTCATCTTCCCGCTCCGGGCAAGTTCTTTGATCGGGTAGCTGGACAGTGCCATGGGCAACGGTCCAGGAACACGGCTGAGGCGCCAATATGACCAAACCTCCCAAGCGACCCATGCCGACGCGAGGGCAGCGCCGCTACAGATGGCGAGGGTGTGAACGACGCGAGCAAGAGCCAAGGATTTTTTTTCCCTCTTTATTTTGGTCTTTTTCGAACTTTCTCCCTTCCGGTATAAATAGAGAAGAAGAAGAAGGAGAAGAAGAAGAAGAGAAAAACTCGTCTTTTGTAAAACTGGGAAGGCTTTGCCTCATCTTGCCGGTGGGGTGAGTGATGAAGATTTGGAAAACCCATGCTGTGCTAAGACGCTAGTCGGATCTGGTGTAGATGTGAGAGTACGGTTCTCCGCGGCGGAGAGCCGCATCTGGGGTTGGTTGTGGGTTGGCGTGATGGTTGCAGTGATCCCGGTCTTGTCCGGTATCCTCTCACCGTTGCTTCCGTGGGATGTGGGTCTCGATGTTTACTCTTCCTAGGGGGTTAGGCGTCATAGGAATGCATATTCTAGTCGACTTCGGGGGTAGAGGATACAGTCTTGGAATTCAAAGATGTGCGGTATTCTTCTGGTAGAATTCCATATACTTTGACTACTCGATGGCGCGTTGGCTTTCTACATTTTATTGTGCCATTTTGATACCCGGTAAGGCTAAGGGCATTGAGTCTATGTCCATCCTTTCATGTGTAAATAGTTTAGTTTGGATGATTGAAGATTTGAACATGTAAATGTCAAAGAAACGTGTCCTGTCCGTCGAGAGAATCCTTCATTGCAACAGACATCAATCATATTTATCGTAGACTGTATTTAAGGATCCCCCTCTGATGTAGAAAGGAGCGAGGAGGGTATTCCTACAACTCTCTAGTACTCTACTAAAATCCCCTTTTCTCTTCCCTTGCACGTTAGCATACATACACTATCCTCTCTCCTTACCTCAACCTACTTTAACTGAAGGCCTTCTTCTGTCAGATTCCCTATATCACACAAACCAAAACCCCAAACCTTAGGGGAACATCTTTATTCGCCTGGAAACATGAGGTTCACCGAGGTACCACAACCGCCAGCATCTGCCAGGATTTGGAACCACATCGGAAGAAACTACAGACCAAACATCAGCACATTAGACGACGTCTCGCTGGAGACACACCAGCCAATGCACTCCACTCGACTCGGCAATAATCCTCAAGCGACCCTTGGAGCATTTGAACTCTTTCCTACCGAAGTCCTGTACATGATTCTCGATCATCTCGACCCCGTAAGCTTGAGCGTTCTTCGCCGGGTTAACAGGAAGGGGACGTCGCTCGTTGACTCGCAGCCCACATATTCCACGATCATGAGATACTGCCCCAATGTTATCCGGGCGGCAGTGGCGATTCGAGCCAAGTTCTTCACATTAGAAGAATTATACATGGCGCTTCTTGAGAAAACCTGCTATTCATGTGGTGAAAGCATGGGTAACTTCATTCACCTCGTCCTATGCAGGAGGATATGTCAATATTGCATTTTTCACTCCAGTTGCTATTTACCCCTCGACACAACTCGCCTGCCAATATCTGATCGTGCCAACCCGGATGAGGCGAAATGGCGCGGTATAACTGCCGTACCTGGTCGTTATGGGATGGACGAAGTGTGGGACGGGGACCGCGAGAGGTTGTTCTTCCCCAATAACGCGGAAGCTACTCTCTATTTCGACGGCGTCATTGTCGATGACGACGACAGGTACGATCACTGGAGGTACACGTGCGTCGTCTCAGTGCCCAACTTCGACGTTCAGAGGAGAGAGTTCGACTGGGGCTTCACGTGCCGAGAGTGTTACTGGGAGTTGCAAAATGATAAACATACCCTGAAAGCCCTCCCCGAGCACCTTTTAGAAGAGCACGACATTGTAGATATCGACTAGAAGATCGGGCATCTAGTAGTATTTTTAGTAGTAGTATACATGGTCTTTTTTATTTTATTTTATTTTATTTTTTTTCTAAAACAGAAACGATGTTAAGATGTTCAGCACCTCGTTAGGGTGGTGGCTAAGAAGAAGGGCGGGTTGGGGTTGGCAGTGGGGAGGAACTGTTCCTAGATTCACTTGAGGTTTGATGTCCGTTTAGCTCTTTTCTTCTTCTTCTTTTTTTTTTCTCCTCTTTCTTCCTTTTCGGTTGGCATGTGTATTGAATGGATTTCTGCCGCCTAGACTTAGACTGTCGAGGTTTCTTGTGAAGAACCTGGCTTGTTTTGTCCAACGCTGTCCTGAATCTGGCCGTGGAACGTAGCTACGAATTGCACGTCTCATCCTCGCGCTAAAATAGACTCCAAATTCCTTGCGATAGGTTGCCAAAAGGAAAAAATTCGGCCCAATATGGAGGGATCGACTCCGTGCAGTAGCGCGCCGAGTGTCGTCTGCTCGCACCTCCGAAAACTGGGTCGCTGACCGGAGCTAACTAAGTCGGAGAGGCCCGAAGAAAAGTGGAGACATTCGACCGGGATCGCATACGGACTTTCTCTTCACCGAAGACCAGCAAGAAGGTCGAAAGTATAAGGGCTTAGCAATAGAATAAGCTTGCTGAGCGCTTCTTTCTGACTTGTAGGTATCCAATCGCAGTACTTTGTGTCGGTAACTGCCTTGCAGCATCATTCTTACCCTCTTTTCTCAGCCGCTTGTTGACGCGGCACACGTTTCACGATATTGACAATGCCGATGAATTCGAGGTTATTGCTTTGGAATACGCCACGACATTCGCACGACTCTACAACACTCGGTCCGAGATCCAGTGAAGATTGCAGGATCGGATCCTGTCGACGTCACAGGTCTGCCCCCGGCTTAAGTGCTTCTCTGTTCCACTAACCTCTCATTCTTTCAAGCTAGAGGCCACAAACCGGGTAGCTACATCATAGCCTAGGAAATCGCCATTTCCGGCGATGGCACCCATCTCCCTCTCAGCCTCCTTCGATACTCAGGTGGCTTGTCCAGTATCTGTTACAAGACACGAGGAACGTTGAATGGTATGAGAGCAGAGGTTGATGAGAACATTTAGTATAGATCGACTACCCTCTCGACAAGCAGGAGGGATAGCCCGCACTCTTTTGTATACATGAAAAAATGAATATGAAAAAGAGAAAGAAAAAAGGTACTCCAGTAGAATCGGGAGGAAATGAAAGAAAAATGCCTTTCCAACGCCAAACCCGATATGTAAAATCCATATGTGCCTGTTGAGAAATACAATAGATCAAAATCTCATCCATAACGTAAACCATTCCGACTTGCAATCTTTCACTCGTAAGCTCCATACTCCGGCAATGGCGTAGTCTCTGTGTCTTCCGTCGGCCTACACGCATACTCTAACGTCGTCGAAGGCGTCTCAGCCTTAACCGTCTTCGTCCTAAATACCGCAGGCCCAACCCCCATATTTAACACCATTGTCTCCAGTTCCAAACACCCCCCGCAATCCAAAAGCTTCGTCACCGTTTCCACCCCAGGCCACACTGTCTCGGTTGGGTCCAGATTGAAGTGTTCGGCCTGTACAAGCGTGCTCGTACAACCTTCCTCAACCACTGTCTCCACTGGCTGTTCAGTAGCGATAGGATCCTCCTCATCATCGTCGTCGTCGTCATCATCGTCATCGGTATCGTCGTCGATGCCACCCTCTTGTCTAGGGATGGCAAGCCTAGGATGTGGCGTCTTCTTACACTCAAACTCGGTAACCGTCGTTGGTTCTCGCACGGTAACAGTGGCAATCGTCTTCACGGCGGGACCCGGACCGCCGAACCAAGGAGCGCGGGTTTCAAATATTTCCAGATTGGAGCAAATCCCACAGTTGATGAAGCTTGTCTCCGTTTCGGTCGTGGTGTAGGCTTTGCGCGTTGGGGTGGGAAAGGCAGGGCGAAAGGCACCAGTGTAGCGGGTTAGGGTCATGGTGCAGTCGGCGTCAGGAGGGGGTG